AAAATATTTGAATGATATTGTAATTATAATGAAGCTAATTGATAAAACATTATTATCAGTTGTTTATTATTTATTATTTTATTACAATGTGATTATAATTTATAGAAGATCACAACACTTATTAAAATTAATTAAGCTTTATAAAAATGGTATCAGCTATGTTTTTCTTTAATATTTCAGTGTTATTTATTAGAATTAAATTAATAATTTTTCAGGAGTATTTTTAGATAATCTTTTAAGTTGTTTGAAAATCTATTTTTCTTAATAGAATAATTGTTTTGCTCATTTGTTTGTTCGCAAAGGATTAACTCACAGAAAAGTAAAGAAAATGTGGTCAATTTAGATGTAATAAATTGACATTCTTTATTTAAAATTAATTCTAAACATTACATGAATTAGTTTTTACCTAATAAAATTAATCATTTTTTTAGGTTGTTTAAAGTGAGTTTAGAAGTCCCTTTTAGATCAACTTTTATTCAAAGGTTTCTATAATTATTTATAACAGGGTAGTTTATGATGTTATCCTTTTAGATATTATGATTTATTGGTAAGATGCCGCATTTCCTTTTATTTACTTTCAAGTTCCATTTAACTGAGTGCTTTATCTAGATAAAAAATAATGTGATTTGCATATCCTAAAAAGTTGATTTTAAAATCAATCTTTCGACATAGCCTCTTTAGAAATTCATCCATGTATATTTTAAATAAGGATGAAGAAATCGGTGCACTCCATGCCTAAAGTAAACCTTGAATTTTATTTCATAAGTGTTAATATAAGGGATTCTACTATGTATAGCCTATAACAATTTAACTTCTTATTGAGTTAAAATCTTTTTTTCCTCTAGGTTTTTATAGATCATTTCCCTACTGATTTTGTTATAAGCACTTGAGAAATCCATAAATATTAAATACTCCATATCTTTCCCTTTGTATTCTTTCATCCATTTATTAACTAAATATATATTGACTTGTGTTCCTAAACCATTAATAACACCAGTTTATTGTTTTTAAAATTACATTTTTTCAAATTAATTGCAGCTTTTATTTGAATCGAAGTTCAAAAACTCGGATAGTGGACTGAGTATTATTAGAGGATGGAATTATTCAATCCTGGGAATGGCTGGGTGTGCTTTATTTAAAGGAGGTAGTCTCGCCCACCCAAATTTTAGGTTTATTTGAAAAGTTCCCTCATTCCATATGTCCTTTAGGATTCTCCAATGGTAGTGTTTCACAAAGAATGTGGTATGCCATCAAATGAAATTGCTTTATTGAAAGCCATCTATTTTTACAATTCTTTAACTTCTTCAGGAAGCTATGGAATAGGGATTGGTCTATAAGCTTCTTATTATGATAGGATACTTAATATTGATATGCATTTAGTAAAGGAATCTTAACCTGTTCGAATATTATCATTTTAATCCAAATAACAGTAAAAATTCCTCCAGCTTTCCTTTGTTAGCGCAGAATTACTGAGTTCCTTATTGTCTTGAAAAACTTCTATTTGCTATTTTCTAGTTAAGCTTAAATATTAGTAATAAAATCTTCTTGACATCTTGATTTTTAATAGGTTGTATTCTTATTTTGTTTTTTGTAATTATTCCTTTTGTAAATAGTAGCCTTTTTTATTATTTATAAAAGCCTCGAAAATCTTAAATATCAAAATTATTTAAGAGTTTTGGCATTTTTAATTAGCCTTAATTTTAGAGATTACCAATTCAGATTTAAGTTGGGATAAATCCTCTATTACTTAATTTCTAGATAAATTTTAATTTTTTTGCATGATCAGAAAAGTTAGTCCCATTTTTTGCATCTACAATGCATAAAGGACTTAGAAATGATCAGTTTAAGATTATATTAATTAATTTTGTTATTATCTTCTGAATGTTATTTCCTTATACAAAAGGCCTTTAAATCCACAATAATTGAGGGTTAAAGTCCTCGCAAATCACTATTTTTTGATTATTTCAAATTTTTTTCTAAGGATTAAACTTATAATTACTAGAAATGATTATTTAAATTAAATAAATTTATTTTGGTTTTGAAAGTAAACATTTACGACAATAAATTCTATGATTGGGTTCACAATGCGAATTAAAAGAAGATCAGGTGTAAATAAATAAGTTTTCCTTTTATTCATCAAAAAAGTACTTTGTTATGTCTCTGCTATGAGATTGTTTATGAATTCCTAATAAAATTCCCCCAAATTATTCCTATCTTTTTTTTTTCATAAGAGTATTAGTATATAACAGTATCTTATTATTGCTTATTTCTCATTTCCGAAAGGCATAATATGTGTGGTTTGAGTTATCAATCTCTTTAAATGTATTTGGTTTATTCGATCATACATTTCAGCAAATGCTGATTATAGATTTTAAAATCGTTTTCTGTTTTCATATTCCTTAATGGGTGTTTTTGATTCATTATTAATTTCAATTCCCATTATTATTTTTCTTAATTAAGATTTTGTGATACTTGTTGTTCCTACAAAGTGTTGCACTTTTTTGCTTTTAATGAATGTGAGTTTTATAAGATACTTTAGTTTTTTTTGTAATTCTAAAAATTAAAATTATATATTTATAAGTATTAAATTAATCAATTTAAAAATTTGTTTTTTTTTTTTCTAATTAACTATTTTAATTATAGTTTTCTCATTAATAAGAATTGAAAATTGCTTATCAAAATATTTAAATTATTAGAGTTTTGATTCTTTATTAATGTTTATTAGTAATAATTTTTCTGCAAACAATATTATTTTCAATTAGGAATTAAAATATTAAATCACCCACCATTTCAAATTTTCAATTATGGAATAGAATTGGTATAAAGGACCAATAAAGGAAAATGTATAGATCTTATAAAATCATATATTTAATAAAATAATACTTGATTAGATAAGATTTGAATTTATAAATAATCATTTTCTTTTATAATAAAATAATGAAAAATAAACAAACTTTGAAAGATCAACTTTCTAAAATAAAATGTATCGAACATGAAAGATAAATTGTTTAAATAGGATTAGATTAAAATTTATTACCATCTTAAAGAGCTTTATGTGAAATGTGTGGTTAAAAAGCAATTATGGTACCAATATCAATAGACAGAGCTATCGTAATGCTTAGAATGATTTAAAATGATGAGGATATTTTAAAGGATAAAGCTTTAGTAAGCTTGATCGATCAATGCTTAAATGGTGGGGATCGAGCATTGACAGTGAAAGACATAATAACAATAGGAACAGTTCTCTCAAATAAATTTATTAAGATAGGGGATAATTTTGTCTTAAGATCTAAATATATTGCTAATAAAGATAAAACTTAACTTGATACTTCGGAATCTTTTTAGAATAAGAGAAAATTACTCAAAAAATAACATTAATTAATTGGAAATTAGTCTATAGTCATAAAAGAGAGCACAAAATATGAAGCTAAGACGGGGATTGAATGGATTAAAAATATCATTGAAACAGATTAAAGTCAAAGTAGCTTTATTTCTTCGAGTTTTAGTCCAATAATAAAAATATGGTCAGGTGGAAAGTTTAAAGAGTTGAAACATGAGAATTAATTTGTTAGATGTGTTACTTTGTTTGATGAAGAACTTATAGTATGTTATGCAGATTAGAGTATTAGAATTTGGAAATAAAAAGATGGAACTGAATGGACAGTGGATTAAACGTTAAAGGAACAACATTAGGGAGAAATTTGGTCAGTAATCACACATTTTGAAACATTTGTTACCGGAAGTTATGATAAAACTTTAAAGGTTTTCAGCAAGAGAAGAAATAATCGATTACATTCAAATTATAAAAGCATCTAAACAGTTGACATTAATGATTGTTAAGTTACTTGCATGGCTATTCATGACGATATATTAGGGATTGGAAGCAGATCTGGATCACTTGCTATATGTCAATTTACTGATGTTTGGAATTTAACATAAATACTGTCAAAACATACAGCAGCTATATAATGTGTTGCATTTAAAGCTGATTAAAACTTATTAGCTACAGGTTCAGAAGATAAATCAATACTATTATGGGAAATGAAATATGGGGATTAATTTGAATTAATCTAAGAAATTAAGGATCATTAAAGCTATGTGTTTAGTCTGGCATTTCATCCAACTTATGCAGCATTTTTATCTGGAGGATTAGATAATAAGATGATCTTATTTGGTTTAGATTCCAAAGGTAGATGGATTAAATATTAAGAATTGAATAAAGATAATCCAATTACAGTCATCTAATTTCTCAAAGATAATTGGAAATTTTATATTGGTACTAGTGTTGGTACAATTATTTTACATGAAATTGAATAACAACAGCAATGAAATTTCTAATTTGATATACTTGTAAGATTAATAATTCATATTATAAATTGTATTATTATTTTCAATATAATATTAGTTGAATCCTTTAAATGATATAATTTTTTTGTTTAATCTTAATTATCTACTACTTTAAATAATATTTTTATTTGTATAATAAAATTAGAGATAAGAAAACTACATTTTTCACCTTATAATTTTGAATATTGAGATTGCTTCTAATTATGTATATGTTAGGTAAGAATGTGATAAGTAGGAGCTTTTTAAAAATTCTTTCGGGCTGTTTAAAATATTTTTCTAATAATTTATTAATATCAAATTGAAATAAAATAATGGATAATTAATAAGATTCCAGACTAGTATCAGAATAAGGCTCTCCTAAATTAAAACTAACAGCACATCAACGAGCATAGATAATTAAAGAATTTTTTGTTACAAAAGGAAAATATCCAGTTTTTTCCAATAATTTAATTGACGAAGCTATTGGTCTAAATTTTTTATCATATGATAAGAAAGATAAAATTTTAAGAGATCCAAACAAATTATCAATATTTTAAATAGAGTTGAATATAAATTCTCCACGCACTAAAGAAGCATTATAATTAATGGAAGTATAAGAAGATTGGTGTCACGTAATGTCATTTTTCGATTTTTAAAGTGATTTTGATCATCCAATAAAATGTTTGGTAGATTATATGGAATATTTATAAGGAAAATCAAGAAAGCTGTTGCAAATAGTTTCTTTAAGAAATAGACTGAAAAAAATAAATAAAAATAATACAGGAAACAATAATTTCAATACCAATAGTACAATAACTTAATAACCATCTTCTCTCTTTGTCACTGATCAAAGAAATTCATAAATTCTATCCAAATCTTTTAATACACGAAGTTTGGATTTCTTATAGCAATCATTTGATGATAAATTAGAATAAATAACTAAAAGAAATACTTAATATCTCAATACTCTTAGAAAACATTAGCAACTTGATGAAGAATAGAATTAAAAGTTGCAACAATATTACTCATCCACAATCCCTAGTATCGCTAAGAAAGTAGAGAAAGTAAAGGAATTACATCGATTGTAATATAATTATTTCTATTTTCAGAGAGCAGAATTAACGAAAGCATTCATAGAAATAAAGACACAAGAAAACTTTAGATAAAATAGAAAAATTAGAAAAGGAAGATAAAGAACATAGATTATAATTTTAAGAATAAATAAAGCATAAATTTGAATAATCTGAACTCAACAGAAACTAATTAAATTAGTCTTATCAATAAGAATTATAAGAGAATATGGAAAGAAATAAAAAGAGACAAGAAGAGAGAGATGCTAAAAGATAAAGAGCAAAAGAATTAGAAGAATAAGAAGTTGAAGAAATTATTGAAAGAAACTTAGAAAAAACACAAATGGCTGAGAATTGTTTGAAAAAAATACGAAATATAATGAAATTAAAAAAAATAGAATAACAAAAGAAGATAGAAATTGCTAATAAAAAAGTAGCAGAGAAATAACAAGAAAAAGATTAATAGAGGTTATAATACTTTATTTAGATTGCTGATTAAAGTAATAAAATGGTGGAATCCCAAATGTAATTAAGAGCATAACGTTTACATGATTTAAAACTAAAATTTGAAAAATAATAATAAATAGTATAAAAGAACAAAAAGAAGATTTTAAATGAGTTTAATTCTAAAATAGAAGAAATAAGATCATAAGAAGAATGTATAATTTAATTATAATTTAGAAAAACAAGAAGATTTAATTAATGAAAACAAAACATTAACAATGCTTTCTGCTGATAGGATAAGAGAAATTGATGAAAGAGAGAAGCTTAGAATGTAAAGAACAACGCGAATTAATTAAGAACATGAAGTATATATATTTTTAAAATTTAAATTTAAGCAATAACAAGAAAAATGGTTGTAAAAGATTATAAGTGAGAAGCAAAAATTGAAAAAGTTAAAATCATAATAGGAGATGTTCAAGGATGCGATTATCAAACAACATTTATAGCTAAGAAATACAGTCGATAAATTGATAAAATGAGATTGTTCTGTTATGATGATCTTCTTATGCATGTTTATTAACAGAAATCCAAATCTATATATAGTTGTAATTCTCTCATAGCATTTTCATAAGAATATATATGATCGTGTAAAAATGCAAAATAGTTCATTATTCTTACAGTTTTTATTGTAAATTTTAACAATTACTAGTAAAATTATGCAATGTATCACTCATTTTTTGTCTTATTTATTGCATCTTAAATTCTAATTAAAGGATTTAGTAATCATCATATATTTTATTAATGATAATCTAATTAATCTCTTCTATTGATTAAATCATCATTAATTTATATTTAACGTCCCTAATCTGATATTGATATTACAATTAATAAAGTCATCTTTCTATATGATCTCTAAGGCTAAGGTATCATCAATCTCTACTTTTATAAAAGTTTTATAATATCTAAATAGTTTTTAATAAATACAATTCCATGATTTCTTTATCAGTATAAATCTTGTCAGGAATTGTATAAGCTTTTTTGTGAAATACAGGTTATTTCTTCTATTTGAGAATTTGTATTCTCATTGGCATTCTAACTTATCTAATCAATAGGCATAAATCGTTATTCATAAATTAACGATAAAATAAATAGAGTGCTTAACAATAATATTATTTAAATTTAATGAATAGAAACTTGAAATTAGGTAACAATAATAAATTTAGTGTAGGTGAAAATGAGAATCTATCAAAAATTAAATTAGCTCGTTTTTCAGACACTGCCACAAGATTCTTTACATATGTTGATGACATGAATTAGATTTATATAAATAAGATAGAAAATTCAAAAAATTTTTTAGATGTTAAATTATTCAACCCATTTTAACAGTACTTTGTTTAAAGTTAGAATGAAATTTCAAGCATCATATTTAGCAGTTCTGAAAATGAAATCATTAATGGATCAAGTAAAGGAATTATTACATTTTTGGATATCTCAACTTAAAAGAGTATGATTGATTCCTATAAATTTAGTTTAATCTAATATAAAAGGTCATTTATCTTCAATAACAGCCTTAGCTATATTTCCAAATCAAGAAAATATTATTTTAAGTGGTGCAATGGATAGTTAAGTAAAACTATGGGATTCAAGGTCTAAAATAGCTGGATTTACATTAAGAGCACATACTTTATCAATTAGTGCATTGGTTGTGTCTCCAGATGGTAAATTATTAGCATCTGGTTCAAATGACGGAAGTGTGAAAATTTGGGATATTCATTAATAAAAATTGATGGCTACTTTTAACGAATCTGATTCTTNTATCACTCATTTTTTGTCTTATTTATTGCATCTTAAATTCTAATTAAAGGATTTAGTAATCATCATATATTTTATTAATGATAATCTAATTAATCTCTTCTATTGATTAAATCATCATTAATTTATATTTAACGTCCCTAATCTGATATTGATATTACAATTAATAAAGTCATCTTTCTATATGATCTCTAAGGCTAAGGTATCATCAATCTCTACTTTTATAAAAGTTTTATAATATCTAAATAGTTTTTAATAAATACAATTCCATGATTTCTTTATCAGTATAAATCTTGTCAGGAATTGTATAAGCTTTTTTGTGAAATACAGGTTATTTCTTCTATTTGAGAATTTGTATTCTCATTGGCATTCTAACTTATCTAATCAATAGGCATAAATCGTTATTCATAAATTAACGATAAAATAAATAGAGTGCTTAACAATAATATTATTTAAATTTAATGAATAGAAACTTGAAATTAGGTAACAATAATAAATTTAGTGTAGGTGAAAATGAGAATCTATCAAAAATTAAATTAGCTCGTTTTTCAGACACTGCCACAAGATTCTTTACATATGTTGATGACATGAATTAGATTTATATAAATAAGATAGAAAATTCAAAAAATTTTTTAGATGTTAAATTATTCAACCCATTTTAACAGTACTTTGTTTAAAGTTAGAATGAAATTTCAAGCATCATATTTAGCAGTTCTGAAAATGAAATCATTAATGGATCAAGTAAAGGAATTATTACATTTTTGGATATCTCAACTTAAAAGAGTATGATTGATTCCTATAAATTTAGTTTAATCTAATATAAAAGGTCATTTATCTTCAATAACAGCCTTAGCTATATTTCCAAATCAAGAAAATATTATTTTAAGTGGTGCAATGGATAGTTAAGTAAAACTATGGGATTCAAGGTCTAAAATAGCTGGATTTACATTAAGAGCACATACTTTATCAATTAGTGCATTGGTTGTGTCTCCAGATGGTAAATTATTAGCATCTGGTTCAAATGACGGAAGTGTGAAAATTTGGGATATTCATTAATAAAAATTGATGGCTACTTTTAACGAATCTGATTCTTCCATAACATGTTTGTAGTTTAATCCTTTTGATAAAGCAATAGCCACTGCCTCAGATGATGGATGCGTAAGATATTGGGATTTAGATAAATATAATTAAGTAATAATATTAATCTTATTTAATCAGATATCTTCAACAAAACCAGATAAATAGACAGTTTATTCAATCAGATTTTGTAATGAAGGCAAATCCTTATTATCAGCATAAAATTTTTCATTTAAATGTTGGGATTTAGAAAGGGATGCTTTATTATTAGATAACATCGAAAGTTAATGTAAAAGCATATTAGATACATATGTTTTTGAAGACAGAGAATTATTTAGTCTGTCAACTCAGAATTAAACAGGTTTAAGTGTATTTGGATCAAAATTATCAAATATAAATTTTGATAGTAGATTCTGTATCGATAGACACAAGTAGAGAATAAATAGTGAAAGAATATAAAGCTGTGAGATAAATGATCAATTTCAATAGAGAAATAGTGTAAATATATTGAAGCCTAAGAATTCTTAAAAAATATTTTAAAATAATCAAAAACAATGTAATTAGAATTTAATTGAAGAGTAAGGATTTTAATAATGTAATAATAATGGAAATAAGTTTGTACCTACCACATAAATTCCTTAAATGATTGTTAATGAAAGTGTGATGTAGGAGGAAGATATTAAAGAAAACTAATTCATCAATTAAGAAGTTTAAAGTGTATTAGATTTAGTTACAAGTTAAGATGAAGTAAATTTATCAAGCTTTGTAATTGATGATGAGAACAAAATGAAATTTATTTAAATTGACTTGATTAATGAAATATAGAAGGATCATAACAGAGTTAATTAAATTCTAAAATAAAGGATTAATTATATGAAACCTATAATTTATTGGTGGAGTAATAATAATATAAAATCTGCAATTAATGCAATTAATTAATTGACTGAACCATCTATATTATTTGATGCTTTGACAATGTGTTCACATAGTTAAAAGTTTAAATCTATACCAATAGAGTAAATACCTTAATTGTTAGAGAAGTGTAAAGTTCTAATAGATTCAAAATACCTATCTCATATAAAGGGAGGAATTGTGTTTTCTTATAAAACATTCACAATTTATAGAGATGTATAGAATTGATATTTAGTAAATAGGATATTTTAACAATAAAATGTTTCAATTAGATGTCTAAAGTTGATTTAAGTAGAGAGGAAAGAGTGGCTAAATATGATAAAATAGTAGAATAATTAAAGTAAATAATTTAAATGTCAAAATTAACAAAATTAATAGAAAGAAATAAAGAAGAAATAAGTGATTTAGCTAAAAAATTTTAAATAGAAATGTTAGGCTTGTTAAAAAGAATTAATTAATAATAATGATTATGATTTTTTTTCTATTTATTATTTTTCAGAAAAACTTTGTTTCTGCTTCTTTTTCAACAAATAAATCTCTAATAAATTAAATTTAAATAAATACCCTTCACCTCCAAAATATGGATAAGCACATGTAACAAGAATTATGTTGTATAATAAGTAAACAATAAGAGGAATTGCTGTGCTTTCTTCAACAACAGTAGCTAACATATCTCCTTAAACACAGGATTAATAAATGTTTCCTCTTTTTGATAATTTATCATCGACTTTAAATAGTAATTTATAATATACCTTCATTATAATAACGACTTTGTTTCATTGCAGTTCCATTAATAATAGAATAACACATCAAAAATAATATTATTACTGTATGTCCTAAGAGAAATCCTGGAGAACCTCTCTTACCAAAGAAATATGCAAAAATAAATAATAGTATTGTGTCAGTAATTGTTATAATGTAAACCCAAATTATTGCTAGTAAATGTTTACTCTCAAAAAATCTGCTTAATGTGAGATTATTTCTCTTGGCTATCTCTGCTGCAATACCACTTTCATAAATGTTAAGATCAAATATCCTAGATATTGAAATCACAGAGCCAACTGTCATACCCTTGATAAGGAATGCCAATCCAATTCCAAATAGTATTCCAAAAATACCATTAAAATCAATCAATGGATTATTATCGACTTTAAATAAATAAAGAGCACCTCCAAGAAAGGTTAATGCTAATAAAATGGCTGAACCAGCATTTGTGATTTTTAAATAAATCATATAATTTCTAGCTGCCCATGCCATTTTTGTAAATCTCTCTGATACTACTTATGTAACGTGAGATGCTGCACATAATTTTGCTCCATCTTAAGATATAGATCCAATATAATAAAGTGGAATTATGATTAAAACATTGATTAAAAATCCAGCTGCTGCTGCTAAGATTCCTGCATATCCTGCTAAAGCATGTGCAGCTGTTGCTATTATTCCTAAGGTTAATACTATGATGATTTATCCAGAAGCACTCAAAAAAGTAGCATAATTAAATGATTATGTTAATATTCTTTCAGATGATGATAATGCCTCTTAATAGATTTATATATGATACCAAATTTCTAACTGGTTAGCATCCATGTGATGTCATCCATTCTCCTATTGATAATAATACTAAATTGCTTAATTGACCCAAAATACAACAATAGGTAATCTTTCTTATTGTAATGTCTTCTTTAGCCAATGTTTCAGGTGCTTCAATTCCTTTTAATGAAAATTGTTTTAGAATTGTTACCATTGGCATGAAAAAGAATATGAATAATGTCATTAAATGAGTAATTAACACTTATTATCTGATGTTCATTTTTGTGAATCTCACTACTTCATTATCCCAAATCATGCTCTTCATTGTTTAAACAATCACTGCACAGAAGACATTTACACAAAAATATAATGTTGGAGCTAATAAAGATTTCCATGTAATATTTTCTTTAGATACTTCCTCTGAATTAGAAAATATTACAAATCCTCCAACTGTTAATACTGCTATACATATTGCTGTGTCCAACAAATTCACTATTTATGTACTAATTATGTTGGAAATCACATATAATAATTTTGTAGGTGATGAAATATATGGGTTATTGAAACTTAAATTCCTATCGCATTTAATCAATCCATCAATTGCGTTAAATATACTTCTACCCAGTATACTTGTTGATTCTCTATATATAAATGCACAAACTATTATTCCTAAAGCATATCCACAACAGCATATGCCCATCAATTGTAATTTATCTTATGGTTTGTTATCATTACTTAATCCTTACAAACTCTTAAACAAGAAGAATAATATTAAGAAAATAAAATAAATAGATGCTATGCACATTAGAACTACTCCAAAACCTACAGTGTACATAAAATCATATAGCTCCCATTTATTTTAAATTGCAGTTGTTATCACTTTGCATATTGATCGACCTGCAAATGTGTATGCTGTCCATGCAATTATTGTTATGGATGCAAATCCAAAAAATAAACCTACTATGAATCCTGCTTTAGTTCCGACAGGAATGAACCAGATCTACATATATATTTTCATATTGATACAGTTGACAACAGAAACAAAATCAATAAGATTAGGGCGTATATCAATTATGTAAAGAACATTCCTATTATTGTATTTGATATTTGAATGCATCCATCAGCCAATTCACTTGCGTAATTATGCCTTACCTATTATTATTTGATTGAATACTTCATATTATCTCACGATTTCTTAAGTTTCACATATCAATTCAAATTACTTTGCTAAATATTGTGGTTCATCGTCTCTCTCTGATAATGCACCACAATATGCCATTATACACCATATTAATGCTAATATTGATGCAAGAATTATTAAAATTATTGGCCAATCTGCCATCAAATCTATTCCAACTGCCCCTGCTGTAAAAAGCAATCCAAGTCCTAAAGCACCGCATAGATATTTAGCACACGTCGCTATTGGACCAAGACACATTCCTAATATGTCACCGACACACATTTATATTAAAAACGAATTAATTATAATCTCATTTTCTATAAAATATTCAAATTCATCCTATATTGTTATTTTTAAATAGTTCCCCCATAACTTATTTATCTTGTTGTAATAACGCAACTAATTATTCATATCCAATTTCCTACTTTTAGAAAATAATTGATTACCTCTCCATTTGTGCCACCAAATAAATTACTTTAACCATTAGGATTGCTACTAACATTATTGTCTTCCTCTTCTGAAGTAACTGGTTCTAATTCTGTTTATTATTATTATTGTTATTACTATGATTATAATTATTATTATTAAAATTATTATGATTACAATTATTATTATAATTACTATTATTATTACTATTGCTATTATTATTACTATTGTTATTATTATTGCTATTACAATTATTATTATTGCTATTATTGCTATTACAATTATTATTATTATTATTATTATTATTATTATTATTATTACTATTACTATTATTATTGTTGTTAATATTATTTTTTATTGGCTTTCTATTCATTTTGTTTACTTTCTACCCATTTACAAACTTCCTTTGACTAATAATTTATTTTTAAATAATTACTCTAACAACATTTTTGGCTGTTTCATATTATAAAGGAGTAAAACTACTTAACATCACTGCTGCAGCTTACTATTTGATACTAATTACAAAGCATAATTTGGAAGTTAAATTTCCCCAAAATTTTATGATGCCTGAATCTCTTCTTTAATAATTCGATTCAGAAACGAACTCTTATAGCTTGAAATTTGCAAACAATTATGAATTTTACAATTAATCATAATGCATTAAATATACAACAGTAGAGAAAGAATCCCCTTGCGAAATTGACATGAATTATTAATCTTTCCTTAGCATATCACTAATTTTATGAATTTCACCAAATTCACTATATTTTTCAGGAACTACCCATCCTGCTAAAATTATCTAGATATTTTTATTCACTGATTTTTCCATTGATATTAATGTAGTATCTTATGAATAGTATTTTTGATGCTTAAATTCACTAGAAATTTTAGGAAATTCTTTCAATTTATTATCAAAAGAATTAGTATAAAATTCACAATTTATTTATTATTCTTTTAAATGTAATTTATATCTCTTTCCTATCTTTAAGATTCTATCACCAAAATTAAGAGGAGTAACCTAATAATAAATCAATTAATTTACTTCAATCTTTTAAACAACTACTTTTTAATCTGGTTCATCATCATCAGGATTATATAAAATGGGTTTATTTGGATTTTCCATTTTCTATATTTCTAATTCAGGTAAATCTGAAGACATGGATTCGTTGATTCCTTTGCTAATAGATCTGCTTGGAGAAAGTAATGATTTTTAAGACTATTATTATTGATGTTAGGATTATAATGATTATTATGATTAAAGAGATAATTGTGATTAGTATTAGGAAGGTTATTTATTCTAATCCAATTAAAAAGGATCATAAATAGATTGTTATTATTATTATTATTATTATTATTATTATTATTATTATTATTATTATTATTATTATTATTATTATTATTACTATTATTATTTTAGTAATTATTGAGTCTGTTATTACAATTACAATTATTTTAATTAAGATTAAATTTATTATTATTATGTTTGTTATTGTTATAACTTGATATTTGAATATGAATCATTCAAAATTTAATTAAGAACATCTTCTTTCGTTAATTTAGGATGAGGGGATTAGACTTATTTAGTAACAGATTAAGCATTTTTCTAATTTACTGGCTATATTGCAACAACTTTATTCTTATTTGGAGCTAAAGGATTATAATCTTATTATTATTGTGATGATGGTGCATGAGGTTTCTACATTAACTTTTCTTCGATCTAATGAAGTGCTTTGCTTTCATATTTTTTGACTGCGTAATTAACCTATTCTATGTTGAATCCTTTTTCAACAATCCTTTTTGAGAAATTAGGCAATTATTACAATTCTTTAAAAGTTTGAATAAGTGTTGTCATTTTCTCCACATACACTAAATTATAACATTTATTTTATACTTGATTTATTTGTATTGAAAGTACCAAACTCTTAATTTTCAAAAATCTTAATTCTGTTTTCAAAAAATGCAGGATTCTTCAAATTTGATAATGTAGGATTACGTTAGATAGCTTATAATAATTCTTTTTTCTTTGAATCTCTTAATTACTAAGTAACTGTTTCTTATATTTTCTTTACTTTCTTTATACTAATAAATTCAATATTTTGTTCCTCTGCATCTTATCTTTATTAATTCTTCTTTCTAATTTATTATTATTTTTATTTCCTATCAAAATATGAATTAATATCATCAAATGGTTTTTTGGGTTGCAATTCCCTTAACCTTTCTAATTTATCATGTTAAGTAATATGTTAAAGTTCAATTTACAATTAAGAAGCATCAACCTTTCCATCAACGCATGAATCTAAGCATGATCCACTTGCCACTGAATCTATCAATTTAGCCATTATTTATTCTAAATATGTTAATGGAATCTTCATTTTTTCAATTGATAATTTTTAATTATTCACTAATGCCTAATCAATTATATCATAACCTTAATTCAACATATTTCTAAATGAAGCAAACCCCCATTTTTATTATGGATTTTCCTTAAATTAATTAACTTATTTAATCCAAATAGCAATTTTAACTCTTTCATATTGATCTCCCCATCTAAATATACTAAGTAAATCATGAAAATCATTAAAAGCCTATTCATTTTATAAATTATTTTCTATAAATTCTAATTTTTTAGTAAATTCTTAATATTCTCTTATAAAATGATCAGCATCAGGATAAATAATTATTATATCTTTATACTTCTTCTAGAAATTGTTCATCAAATCTGTTAATTCTTTACTATTAGGATTTGCCTTTTATTTTGAGATAGTTTATCTTAATGTTTAATAACTTTGTTTTAGCTATTCAAAAGAATTCAACCAAAATTAGACCAATTATTTCTCTTCTGGCAAAGGTAAGTTCTGTAATTTTTCTAAGATGTTTTGAACTACAACTTCTTTTGTTTTAATTTGAGACTAACTAATTTCTTGAATTTCATTTTAAATTTAGAGACATTCATGATATCTTATTTCAACATCCTATGATCTTTCTATATTGATATTTTATATCTTATCAATATCTTGTATAGATTACTATAATTCTTCAAAGGTATATTGTTGATTGTTTTTGATTTTATTTGCTACATTTTAAATCTTCTCAGCAATATTTAATAAATTATTCAATTCTATAATTTAATCTGGAATTTATAAATTATGAGTTTGTAATAATGTAAGGAGACTATTGTATTGCTTTTTGGCTTTGAATAATTCAACTGTTTTATTCCCTTTTAAAATTTCTTTTAGTTTCAATAGATAGATTTTAATCTTCAAATTATCCATTAATTACTAATCTTAGATAAATGATGAAATTAATCTCTGATATAATGATGTAAGAGTAAAAATATCATCTTATGAACAATTGTTAAATTCTTCTTAAATTTAATGGATATTATGAAAATCTTAATAAAAATCCTTAGAAATAAAATCATGTGCTATATTATTTGATTAGATTTCTTAATCCAATAATCTGGCTTCAATAATTGTGAAACATTATTTAAACTTTTACAAATCTTATTTTGATTTTTTTTTCTCTAAGAACATTTATTTTCTATTGTTATATTCTTTGATTTTATCAACTAATGCATTAAAACAAGTTATTTTTTATAGCAAATTTACACAAATCAAAGATTGTTTAGGAATATGTGACATGACAATAACGTCTTATAATAATTTTAAACTTTCGTATGTAAACTCTGGAGTTGTAGTAATTTCAAAATATTTCTTGATAATTGTAACCCAAACATTATATATTTTAACTTAATCCCAGATTCCCCCTTTTACAGAAAGAGTAATTTAATTATATAAGTAGAACCATCCATCTAAATCTTAGGGTAGAGGTACTTAAAATAGATAGTTTCCAATCTAAGAACCTAATGCAATTAATATTTTTTATTGATTTGAGAACATTTCTGAAAATTAAATTAAATTGGCTTAGTCATTTTCATTTAATTAAAATTTCTGAGAAATTACTTATTCAATTAATGATAATTATATTTCTTATTTTGATTACCAGAGAGATAATAATATTTTAGTTTGTTTTTCCCAAAGAAAATGCTAGTAATTATTTAATACAGTATTTATTCTTTTATCAAGTATGATTGATTATTTACTTAATATATTATCTAATTCTAGTATGATATTTTCATTATCATCTTTAAATAGAATTTAAAAAGGATTACAAACTTAATTAATTTTAAATTATAAATCTGGATTTTTATCATCTTCAATTTCCATTTCTTAATCTGGAGATTTATATTTTTAATAAAATTCATATAATTATTAAATAAATTAGCAAGCTTTATTCAAACTCTATAATTATTATTTCTCCTCATAAATTATCTTACTTTAAGAAATATCTTAAAGTAATTATTTAGCCTATTCTAATTATTCAGTTTCAAATATTTCATTATCTAATAAAGCTTTAATTTCTTTCTTCTTCTATAAACATTTAGTTATCTCTTATTCAAATTGATTTATAATCTTTTCATCAAAATTTAATTCTTTAGATTTTTCATATGCTTATTCTAATTATTAAAGTGTTTATGATTTAGCCATTCTAATTTTTTCAACCTCTTAAAATTATTCTAATTTTTTCTATAATTCAGAAATTTCAGGTACATCATAAATTTTATTCATTTATATTTCTGCTTAAAACTTCTTTCTCATTTATTCATTTAAATTCTTCTATTCTATCATACCTCTTAATTTTTATCTAAATTCATTTAATAGTTTTTCAACTTATTCCAAAATCTATTAATCTTTTTCTGGAGCTTTGATTTCAATAGATAATTATTTCAACATCTAAAGATGATCCCATGTAATCTTAGTTTAAATATCCTTAGTAACTTAGATTTCACTGTCATCTTCATCTTTTTCTTATAATTCTAAATCTTGCATATATCTCTCATACAATTAATATTTAGATACTAATTCATAAAATTCCAGAAAATCTTTATAATGAAATGGTAATTCTTCAAGCTTACTTAACAATATTTATATTTCTTCATTTGATTTAGTATTTTCTAATTATTAAACAATTAATTATCCTTCTTCTAATTCTTATTTTAATATTTCAACCCATGGAACTGAAATTAATAATACATTAAGTTCTTGAATTGTTTTTTCAACAAATTCATTACTTAATTTAATCTAATTTAATTTGATTCTAGTTTCAGAGGTAAGACTATAAAATTATTAATAATTTTTAATTTAAGTCATTTAAAGACCTAAAAAGCTTTGTAATTTTTCATAATCTTCCAATTCATCTTCTATTTCATCTTCTTCTTCAGAATCTTAGACTTCTTCATTCATAATTTATTCAAAATCACAGAATTTATCTTCAGCTTCTTACAATTTATTAATAAATCTTTTCTTAATTCTTTTATACTCTTATACTTATTATTATAAATATATGAATTCTTAAAATTCATTTGATTTATATTGATTTTAAATTGTTTTTTTAGTTACTTTAGTTTTAGATGTGATAATTTGAAATGCTGATTATAAATTATTCAATTTATTTAGCAATTCAATATAAAATTTGGATTCATCAAAATCTTTAAATAAATTAATAACTTAATTTAATTTATCTTTCAAAGCATTATTATTTATAATATTTTATTAGATTATTTGATAAGATTCATCTAATTAAGATAGTATTATCCATTAACTATCATCTCTATAAGGTATTTATTATTTAAAAAGGAAATTCATAAAATCAGTGACATTAGATTTTTGTTTAATTTATGATAATTATTATTATAAGGGTTGATAGAATGGTAAATTACCTAATATAGTTTCTATAATTGAGTATTCAGATTCAGAATCTAATAATTAATTATTAAATATTTACATGATTATATTTGAGCAGTCAAACTTCTTTCACAATAAATACCTAAAATGATAAGTGTATTAAATGTCATTTTTAAAAAAGGTGGCAATAAAGACTTTAAATTATTAACAGGAACATATTTAAGAATATGATCAAATCTATAATTGCTCCATTGATTACAAAATGGGCAGAAATAATGATCTTTATTTTTCTATTCTTCATAATCATCTTGATATTAACGTAAACATTTATCATGATACCATTCCATACAAGTTTCACACTAAACCATTTCTTCAGAATCATTAGCTTATTATTATTAACAACAACAATATATCTATTAATTCTAATGAGGAGAACAATAGAATTCAACCAATTAACTATTTTAATATAAATAAAATACTCTTTTTCTTCTTCAATCTTTTCTTATTATTGATATATATCATATAATTAATCTATATTAATTTACTTGTCTACTTTTTAAATTTCCATAAACTATTATAAAATAATTTAGGATTTAGTTTTTAATTGAGTCTTATCATTTCCTGCTTATACAATATTTCCAGAACAAAATATTTATTTATGATTAAATTGAATTTCCCATCCTGTTTGTTTTTATTGATTTTCTGAGTATGATAAATTATAGCCACCAAAACTTACTATGTAATTAACAATACAATATATATGCGCATAAGTATTACATTCTTATTATTAACATTTAATTGTGGCTCCTTAAGATTTACAATAAGAACATATTTATTTAGGTACTTGTATAACATTATTAGGTTTCTTGAATTTAATATCCATAAATGAAGTTAATTCAAGTTGTTTGGATAGTAATCCACAAAGAGGATGAACAAATTCATTTGTATCATTAATTCTCTTCTTCAAACCGCCTTTTTGATTACATACAATGCATATTTGATCTTGTTTTTGACTATATTTGCACTTATCACATGCAAAATATCCTTAATTATTAGTATTGGGATTCAACTCTATTTCAGTGGAAATACCATAACAATACAAGTGACAACTCAATTAACAACCATAACAGGATATTATTGTCATTCCTTTTTAACTATTATTTTGCTATGTTTACCTCTTTCTTATTATTAATATCTACTTTCGAATCCAACTGCACAAATATCACAAGCTTAACTCTAATTGATTTTTTAATATATTTATACTTATAAATCTCTTGAAATTGTTAACTTTTTAGGTCTGAATCCAATATCTTTCTTATTTAATTGGTTATAAACTAAAGATAAAATAGGAATTAAAATTATTATATAATGGTATATATAGTGAACAAATGCATAATATATAACACACCTACTGAAAGATCTTATTGCTCATTTTCTTCGTTGTCCATTTTTCCACTCTAATTTACTTAAAATGTTTAAAAAAAATAATTAAATTATTTATATTTAGAAATCCTTTAAATTATTTATATTGTATAAATTATTTATTCTTTATACTACTTTTGATGTCCCCATTCTACTTAATTTGTTTATCATCAATAAATATTCTAAGTGTCAGATCTAATACATTTCTTTATTACTTATCTATATATCTATTGATATTTATACAATTTTAGTTTTATATTAAAAATATAAATAATCGTTAATGATTGCCTCTAAAATAATCAAAAGATAAGAATAACTCACATCAAATCCAATCTAAGATGTTTCTTAAATGAAAAAGGTACAAAGTAATCTAATGATGGTATCTAAAGCAAGTAGTTTACCAAAATAGTTTGATAAGAATGAGAAATTAAAAACTACAGGAAATAAAATGGAATCTTTTAAGCATTCAAAAAATAACTCTATGAATCATTTATCAACAACTGAAAACACTAAAATTATTGATTCTATTCAAAATGTTTCGTCCATTTATATTAATAATAAAACAGAAGAAATTTAACTTAGAAATGAGATTTAACTTAAAGCATAAATTATTGCAGATTTAAATAAACATGTTTCTTAATTATAATAATAAAATACAAACAATGAAATGATTATTTCATAATTGGAAAAAGACGTTTAATAATTAAATTAAACTATCGAAAAAATGTGTGAATAATTAACAGATTCTAATAATGATTATAACAAAGAGATATAAAAATTTTAAGATTAAATTATAAATAAAGATAAAATCATTAAGTTTTTCAAAGCAGAAAACTAATAATTGTTAACTATTATTAAATAAGGTTCTTATGATAAAAAAAAAGTAGATAAAGAGAATTAACCAAATATTACTTAAGCTAATTAATAGGATTAAATTAATTATTTAAAAGATTAAATTGATCTATAAAGAAAATAGTTTTAATAAACTGAAGATTCTTTATAAAAATAAATAACTGGACTCAATTAATTTGTAAATGAATTATTTCAATAATAATCATCTGATAGATTAAACACGAATATAAGTAGTAGAAATGATAAAGATAATAGAAATAGAAAATTATCATTATAAAATGATATGGATACATTTCAATCATAATTATAATAACTTGATAAATAAAAACATAAATTAGATCATAAATTTGATAATATCTAATGCAATCTAAATTAATTAACTGAAAAACAATTAAACTATGTTTGTACAGATAACACTTAAAGTATGAAGGAAATCATTAAATTAAAATAAATAGTGTAAATATAAAAGAAATAAATTGAATTATAGTAAAAAACAATACTTAATCAACATTTCGAAATTCAAAATTTATAAACATTACTTTATAAAAATGATCAATATAGTATTTCTAAAACTAAAGAAATTAAAGAAAATAATGAAGATATTATAACTAATGAATTTACTAATTCTCCAAAAGATGATATGTAAATTTTTATATTTATATATAGTTATCATTTAAATGACAGTTAAAGTGAGATTAAACCTAAATATTATATGGATAGCATATAAAATACATTCCAGAAGTTTTAAGTAATAACAGAAGAAAGCACTTTTAGAAGTTGAATTCTATACTTTAAATCTTTTTAAATTATTACTTTTTTTTTAATTAATTATTTATTTCCAAATAGTATAAATCTATTAAGTTAATGAATTAATCAAAGAATAAGATAACATTAACAGATGATCAACATGAAAAATTAGAATAATTGTAACAAAAGGTTCAAGCAGAAGTTCCAAATTTATTAAGGGAAAATCTTATATAAAAATATGAGAATAAGGATCATTTAATTAGATTAATGATTGCTAGAGAATGGAAAGGTAAATGATGCATTTGAATAATGGAAAAGATGGGTTGAATGGAGAAAACAATATAGAGCAGATGATATCAAAATTGAAGAAATTTAATAAGAGATTGATTTAAGAAAAGCCTTTTGGAATGGAGTCGATAAATTAGGAAATCCATGTTTAATTATTAAAACAAAGAGACATTTCCCTGGTTAAAGTAATCCTGAAACACTCATCAGATTTTTTTTGTATATGATTGATTAAGGAATTCAGAAAGCAGATTTAGTTGGAACTGGTAGAATTAGTGTAATTTGGGATAGAGAAGGTGTTACATCAAAGAATTTTGATACATCAATGTTTACAATAATGAAGAAAGTAATAACTTTTGTTTAAGATAATTATGCAGAGAGATTACATTAATTATTCATACTATATCCAAATTTCTTAGTTAAATCTATTATGACTGTTATAAAACCATTCCTAAGTGAGAAAACAAAATCTAAGATAATATTATGTAATCAGATGAAGGATCTACAATAATATGTTGGTGAAAATTATTAGATTTCTGAAGGTATAATTTAGGAGAATGTTGAATAGATATAAGGATAGTATAATGAAGAAAATTAAAATTAAATAGAAGAGATTATAAATTAATGACATTATTATATTTAGTATATCTTAATAAATTATATGTCTATTACAATATATGAGAATTAAAGAAAATCATTTGTTAAACATTCTAAATGGTAATGTATTCTTTTCATTTAAATTTACTTAAATTTGAAAATTCTATTAAAATAAATCTAATAATTTAATTAATCATTTCAATTTTATACTGATAATTACTATTAGATTAAATATATAAAATAATTTAAAAAATGAGTTTTTTAATTCGTTTCAATAAATATATATACATTTTCTCTAAACTGTTATCATAAGTAATCTAAATATTATTGAATGATAAATAATTATATTTTAATAATAGTAAATCAGACTAGAAAGTAACCTTTTCTTATTGTTGGTTATGGTAAAGTAGATGTTTTTTCTTGTGAAACTATCCATTATTGAATATTATTAAATTATTCAATAGTTCTGTTTATAATCTATACTTATTATATAAACCTTCATATCTTGGTGAATTATTAAAGCCAGTTTTATCACTGGCCAAAGCTATGTATTAATACATTTCCAATTTTCTATTTGGGGTCATAATGACTCATTAAGACCTTGTCCTTAATAGACCCAAGACTTTGATGAGGATTTGAAACTTTAACTCTAGATGGCTCGAAAATTTCATTTGATAGAAATTAAGAATTATATTTTCTTTCAGTTTATCGAATGTTTAAGTTTGCTGTATCTTTAATGACTTTAATGTCTCGTATTTTCTTTTGAAAATATTTATCAACATAATATTTCTAATGGATATTGTCAGATGTTTATGGAAATACAATTTCATAACATTCATCATCTGATGATACTTATTCTATATCAAAAATTAGATGATCTTTATTAATCTTATTTGATAAACTTCCTTATTCTAATCTACTCAAGGCTAACAAACGAACTCTTGAATTTTCATCCTAATAAAAATAATATAGATTACCTCACAATTTCCATTAATCATTCTTTCATGAAAGAGTTTGGTTTTCTCAATTTATCCAACATAAAAATAATACTTTCCTAATAATTCATATGCTAGTAATTCATCATTCTTTTATTTTATTTTCCAAGCTGCCATCAAATATTTCGTGAAGTACAATTAACTTAATTTTGGATAGATTCTTAATAGACATTCACCTAAACCTCTGTAAGCTTTCATTTAATTAGTAAAATGAGTTTCACTATCTGATAATCTCTTACAAATTTTAAAATATATAGCTCCTTGTATTAAATCCCCAAAATATACAATATTTGTTAACGCCTTCCATGGCTATTCTAGTTGTTGTATAAATTATTTAGAATTGAAATATCACGTATTTTGCAATACCATTCTCAATTAAAATATATATAATTTCAATTTTCTTTATCATGGATTCATTTTTCAATAATAACTAATTATAGTAAAGGTATGTTTATAAGCCATCAATCTAATTTAAATTTGAATCAATGATCCTTATTTGATAATAAATTCAAACTAAATTTATTTAGTCTAACTTTTTAAACAATTGTTAATTCCAAAAATGTTCAAACTCTTTATGAATTAATTTTCATTTTATTTATTTTAAGATAAAGTAAAAAGTGAAAATAGTTCTCATTTCTAATAAAATTTAAATATCTTCTTCTTATGGAATTTTATTAATTATAATGAATATCTATCCTCTAATCCAAAGTTAATAAGCAAATTTTATATTAATATCAAATACTATATAAAATGAAATATATTATAAATATAAAACTACTATCATTACAATTTATAAATTGCGTAATTAATAATATAAAAAATTGCATATCAATATATTCACTTAGTATAATCAAGAAGTACATTAATTATTGAATTGATTGCTAAAGCATTCTTTTATCTTTTTTCTTTAAGTCTTACTTTTCTATCTTATTTTATTTTAAATTAATATATTAAGAGAAACAAATTATAAAATATATAAAGTCTAGCTCATAAATTCTTGAATCTCTATCGACTTATTTATAATTGTATTGTTTTAAATAATTATGTTGTTTTTATGATGAAAAATATGGTTATTAGAATATTTGTTAAGAATCTATAAAATTATTGATTGTTAAACTTTGAAAACTATAAAAACTAAATATTCAAAAGTCATGTTATTATTTTTAATTAAGCCATTAGTATTTATTGTAAATATTGATGTTTTTAAATTCTACATGATTAATCAACATCATTATAAACCTTTGAATTTGTAATGAGATTAAGGTAACTAATACAATACTACTTTTTAAGAGAGTTATGACCTTTTGTTCAATAGAATAAAAAAGAACTTTGACTTTTATATATATTTATATTATCATAAATGTTCAGTAAAAATGTGAAATTTATAATTTTAATATGAGTTCATGAATAGAAGCAAGCATCAAATAGATTCTTACGATTCTTTTTTGTTCTAATTTTTTGATGAATTTATAAAATATTAGATAACTAATCTTTTGTTCATACTTTAGTTTCGAAATATTCAAATATAGGTTAATTATTAACAATATTTGAGCATTAATGAAATGAATAGGGCAATAACTCCCCATTAGAAATGGTTAAAATTTGAAATTATATTAATTGATGCCTTTCATATAATAACAATTGAAATAATCGCATTTAAGGTATTAAAATGTTAAAGAAGGATGAGCTAGTAAAAGATGTGAATAAAATTGAGGAATATTGAGCTTCAAAATGAATAATTAGAGATGTTTATAAAAAATAATTGGAAATGAATGACATATTTTAAGGAAAGATCATTTAAGAATTTATAGTAAAATAAAAATTGAAGTTAATAAGAAAGTTGAAATGGAATTTTACCATTTGGATTGATATATGAGTGTTGAAAAGACTGAAATTTATTTTTTAAAAATGTTATTAGTGAATAGTTGGTTGATTTTAATTAAGTAATTAATTGTATTAAATCATGCAGTAAAATGAAAAGAGTAATATTTTTAATTTGTGGTAATTGATTGGAGATTGTTGAAAGTAGGGTATAAAATGAATAAAGGTAATTTTTATGTTCAAATTGAGAGTAAATGGAGAGGAAATATTTATAAATTTTAAAAAGTTGTTACAACTAATTTAATAAAAAATATATAATTATTATTTTTCATATTATCAATAGCATTAACATTAGGTAATCAAGAATTGATTCTTGGTAATAAAAAGCCATATTATGATTAGTATAAATTATGTTAGATTGGAAATGGATATTAAGTTTGATTAGGGGAAGGAGGTTCATGCTCTTGTTTTACATTAATTTATTGTTTAACTTCTAGAAGTTGTTTAATTACTAATTATGATGCCCATAATAAATTTTGTAGAGTACTTTAATAAAGTGGATTAGGGTTTTCCATAGTTCTTTATAATTATTAGGATAATATGATATAGAGTTTTTAACATTGTGATTGAAGAAGAGAACGCTATTCTTTAGCTAAACTTACTTAGTCTTCCTTTGTTGGTTGTTTATCTATATAAATCTATATAATTATATTTAAATTTACTTGACTAACTTCGGATGATACAATAGGCTCTGATAGTTAAAATGTGAATGGATTTATGATTGATATTTTCAGAATATTCTCAATCTTTAGCTTCTTCTTTCTGGTTTCCTTTTTCCCTATACGACCATCTTTCTCGTATGCCTTTTAAATTGTGCGAACAGTACAGTATTTAAGTTTAAGTCTATTAGCTACCTATATTAAATAAATGATTAAAATATCATATATATTAGTTATAGTTAATGATAATTTTAGCAATATTTGATACCTCTTAAAGGGAAAGTTTGTCATTGATTAGTAGTTTGAGTACAACTTTTCTTTCTTCTTTATTGATCTTTTAGTATTTTCTTGTATGCTTTTATTAATCATCGACATCTCCTGATTTAGTCATGATCAAAGAATCTTAATTTATTATATTTATAAAATAAAATTTTAAAAATAATGCTTATTAATTTAAATTAAGATTCATTTTATTATTAATTATATACACTTATTAGCATTGATTTTACAAATTATTAAAAAGTAATTCAAAATCATGTCTTAACTATTTAAAATAAAAAATAAAATGATAGTTTAAAAACCTTATGAATATATGTATCATATTTATGTATTCAAAATTTTATAAATAATTCACATCACAATATTTAATAAATCATCTATAATTCTGATACTACCTTCTTTAATATTATTGGATTAAATTAAATATCCCAGCATATCAATATAAAAAATGCAGATATTCTTGGATATTGATTTTAGACAATGTACTCAATTTCGTTTTAAAATTTATAATTATCATACACACTCTTCTAAAATCAATAAACATAAGTTTCTTTATTTAGAAACATTATAATCAATTGATCTTACACTATGAAAATTTATCATCTAGGGCTTATAGTTAAATTATTCTACAGTTATATTTTTATATATAAATTTTCAAATAATTACTTCTCAACTGAATTTCAAAGTAAATTTGCCAAAATAATAAGTATTGTTATACAATTTAATATCTATATAAATATAAGGATTATGATTCTATTATTCAATTTTGCTTAATAAATATATATATGATAAGTTTTGATAAAAAATAGAAATTCTCTGTAATTCTTTTAACTATTTTTATTCTTAATTGAGTTTAAATAATATTGAATAAGAGATATTTATAAGTAATAGATATTGATTGATCTAAATTTTTTAATTAGAGGAATTGATTATTTATTTAAAGTTTAGATGTTAATTATACTGAAGTAAATTAATTCTTTTGATTATGAGCTTATATGGATAACATCGAAAAGCAATTTAAAAATTAAAGGTTTTGTAATAAGTGCAAGTGATTTTTGAAGAATCTATTGTTGAATATATAATTTTTTTAGTATTAATTAATTATATTTTAAATGAATAAATATTATTTAGTGTTTAATATGATATATATCATTCTATTTTTTTCATCATGCTAAAAAATTCATCTAATGAGATTTGTCCATCAGAATTGGAATCAAATTCTTGAACCACTTATTTCCACATATCTTCAGAGATACCACTAAATATTTCCTTTAATTCATCTACACTAATCAAACCACTTTTATCCTATATTATATAATATTTTACTTTATCAAACATTCTAAATGTCATCTACAATCTCTATTTAGATAATAATTATTATCTATCTATAGTGGCTATAACAAACTCTATTCATATATATATTATAAACATAAGTACCAGTATAATCTATAGAACCAGAATTATTTTTATCAACTTATTAAAATATACGATTAACTTCTTCTGCTGCTTCAACTGGTTTCATAATCTTAGAATATCCTGCCAATAATTCCTCTTTGCTTAATTTACCATCTTAATTAGTATCAAGACATTAAAATGTTTTTAATAATTCTGCTTTCTCCTCTTTAGTTGCTAATTAATTCACAATAAATTTAAAAACAGCTTCTTATAATTTTTATTATGCTGTGAATTTCTTCATATTTGTTAATACTTTTGTCATTAATGGTTTATCGAATTCAAGAGGATTACTAAACTTTTTAATCCAAGGATCAGATAACGCTTAATGAGCACTCAACCTTTTGCCTAAGAATCTATAAAACTGAACTACTTGGATCCAATTATAATAGTTTTCTAATGAAATCTTTGGCTTCCTTAGACACATCTTCCCATTCTTAAGAATCAAATGAATAAACTCCTTTTGAAACTTTCTCCATTATTTTATCTTCAGTTTTTCCATCAAATGGAGGATAACTTAATAATTTATTCTACATATGTTACCCACATAAAAGTATGTATAAAATTACACCACAAGACCATAAATCACATTTTTCATCATATTTCTTTTTCAATACTTCAGGTGCTATATAATATGGAGTTCCTAATTTCTAATTCAATTTTTAATTTGGTACAAACTCTTTAGAAGTACCAAAATCAATAATTTTAAGTAAAGAATTTTCTTTTTCTGATTCATACAATAGATTCTCAGGTTTTAAGTCTCTTTTTACAATATTCATTTTAATACCTATGAACAATCTTTTCATCATGACAATAATGAACTGCCGATAATATTTGTTTCATTATTTCAGAAGCTTTCTTTTCAGAAAAACTCCCCTCTGCTCTAATTTTATCGAATAGTTCTCCTCCTGTACACAACTCTGTTACTATATAGAAAAATCTTTCATCTTAATAAAATTCGAATATTTTAATGATGTTTGGATGATCCTATTAGATATAAATATTATTGATACTAATTTCTACAGCATCTTAACTTCATTCATTAACCTTTCTTATTCCTCTTTGCTAGTTTAAGATTTATGTATTATTTTAACAGCCTTCAATAGATTCGTACTTTTATGAATAGCTTTACGCACCTCTCCATAGGCTCCTTGAATTATAATCAATAACATTATTTATACCACTTCCCAAAGGAGGATTTAAGAGCGTATAATCCCTTGTTATCCTTCCTAATTTCTCACTTGTTATTATTAGATGTCCGATGTCTGGTTATACTTTTTTCAATTTAGATACATACCATCATTCAATTGATATTTTTAAGTAGTAGTATTTCCTTGGTCTGATTAGTTCTGCTGGTTCTTTGAAGCTAAACTATTTTAAGGTCTTTTTCCAGAGCAGGTACCCATAAGTTATTATAATTAAATTAATAAATGGGAACTTGTACTCAAACTAATAATAAAGTACTACATTAAGAAAAAACCTTACATAAATTGGTTATGTATTTCTATAATGTTTCTATGCATTCACATCCAGATATTGATAGTCTCATCAATATCAAATTGGATTCTTGTAAGATTATGCAAAGAGGATTGAGTAAAACCTTAACAGAAGAAATAGTGCTATTCTTAAATTCTTATAAGATCAGAACTCCGGAACAAGATGAATTACTCAATCATTTCAATTATGTTTACAAATAATCTTTAAAGAAGTTTAATCAATTTGAAACAAATCTAGGCAAAGTGATATTAATTGTATTATATATAATATATATAAGACATCAATAGAAGTGTTATTATGCTTTAAATCACTTGAAATGGGGGATTTAACACCTGTTGATGTTTGGTGGGTCTAAGAACATTTTCAAATTAGATATAGATTATTGAATGAATAATATAACATAGAATACGACCACTTTTTGGATATGAATTTCTTAATTAAGTTTCTCTATCTTCTCAAAGAATGTGTGAGAATTGAACTAAAAAAGAATAGCCTTGAATTAAATTAGTTTTTTCTCTCAGTTAGGCATGACTAATCAGATATTCAACATACATCTAGAACTGAAGATAGCTATAAAAATTAATAAAAAAGATTAGATACAATTTGATGATTACCTCAATTTATTAATTAAATTTTGTCAATTTCTGAATAATAATTAAGTTTTATTCAATTATTACTCCATTTATAATATAAGTTAGTATATATAACAAAATAATTCAAAGAGAATGACAAATTTGATCTTATTAAAAACAATTATTGGCCTTCATTTCCGATTATTATTAAATTTTTATATTGAATAATAAATATATGTAATCTTAATTTAGGTTGAGTAAATTTACTATTCATCTTATTTATTTATTTTGGTTTGACTTTGTTTTATTATTATTTGAATTATAAAAACATCAAACACATTTAATAATTAATAGAATAATTAATTATAATTATCTTATGATAATTTTATATACTTTAAAATATCTTAAATAAAGGATAATTCATTGTGAAGAACTAAGTTTTAATGGGAACTATTTATAGGCATAATTTCTTTTAATATTAATATAATGATATTCTATATATATGTATTTTATATAATAATAATATATGAGTTAAAAAATCCATTGTCTCAATTTGAAGTATAAATGTTGTCTTTTTAAGGATTTAAATAAGATAAACCTTTGTAATGATTTGTGCTACATTACTTTAGGAATGAATAAATTGAAGAATTGATGGATCACTTGGATTATGAACATGATAGTGAAGATGAAGGGATAGAAGATTATTCCATAGGAGGTTATTTATTATTAGTATCATTAATATAGGATATCATCCAGTTCATATTAAAGGAGTATTACTAAATAGATATGTTGTTATGTAAAAGGGATGGTTTTTTTACTGTATGGTTGGTTTAAGATTTTCAACATACTTTTGTGGCTTTAAAATTTAAAAGAGTGCATCTCAATATTTGGAAGCTGCATATGATGAAGTAATTGTTATTTTAGGTAGAAATTCTATAAAAAATTACTTAGAACTGTATATAAGTCAGTTTGGATTCAATCACTTAAAGAATATTATGCAGATGTTTAGATTATCATATGTTTATTAAAAATAAGGAAGAACTTCATTCAACAGAGATGATACTCACAAAGTTTATTTATTGAATTTTTTTTTATATAAAAGACCTTATGGACATCATTGTTGTATGGTATTTGAGATATTGGGAGTAAATCTATTATAGATATTAAAGATATGAATTTAAAGGAGTAAAATAATATAATATAATGATTAGTGTTTTATGGATATTGTTAGAAGTGTTGCTAAGTAGATTTTGATAGGATTAGATTATTTACATAGAATTTTGGAAGTTATCCATACATACTTGAAACCTGAGAATGTTTTAATATGTTTGTCTGATGAGGAGATAAAAGATATAGTAGAAAATGGATAAATGTCATCAAATTAATTATTCTCAGATAGAATCATATCTATAGATAAATGCTAGGAATAGTAGAAGAAATAACAGTTGTTGATGATAATAATACAGTTTAAAAATAAGAGGAAGACAATTTAAATACTTAGTCTACAAATTTAACAAAAACTCAAAAGAGAAAACTATTAAGAAAAAAAAATAATAATAAGAATAATTAAATGAATTTATTAATTAATATACTGAATATATAGAACCTGAAAGGCCTAAATCAATAAAAGAATTGTTTTAACAAAAAAAAGTATTGGTTTAATCTAATTTTAGGATTTCATTGGCATAACAATAGAAATTGCTAGAAAATTTTCATTAAAAGATAGCAGATCTTGGTAATGCTTGTTGGATACATCATCATTTCTCAAATTTGATTTAGACAAGACAGTATCGATCTCCTGAAGTTCTGTTGGGAATCAAATAAAATTCCATTGCAGATATTTGGAGTTTAGCTTGCATGATATTTGAAATATTAACTGGAGAATTTTTATTTGAACCTAGATAAAGCTCAAACTTTTCAAAAAATGAAGTCCATTTGACCTAAATTTAAGAGATTTTAGGCAAGTTCCCCTTAGAACATTATACTAGAGGTTTTAAAGCTAAAGTATTTGTATATTAAGTATTGTTTCAGAAGTACTTTACAAGTAACGGTCAGATAAAAAGGTTTCCATAACTAAATTATTGGAGTTTATTCAATATACCACAGTTAATGGTAGATTAATTACTAAATTTGTATATGATTGAATTTAGTGCTATATAATTTATGGAACAAAGCTATTGTTTAAGTTTTCTTCTATAAAAATTTAATTAATTCAAATTTATTTATAACTTATTCTGTAACAGATTATTATCCATTCAAATTAGAAGAAGCATAATCATTTGCATCATTTATGATCATATAAATATTTGAATTATCAAATGTACCCGAATATAGAATTACAGCTTAAGAAGTGTTAAAGAGAGAATTATGTTCTAATAATTTGGATGATTCACATAGACTTGCTTTATTGAAGAAATATATAGATTCAATATTTGCATTTTAAAATTTCAGAAATATCATTCCAATTTCTGGATTGTTAAAGGCCAAAACTGATTAATAAATTAGATATAAAATGAATGAAGAGGAATTTAAGATGTATATTAAACTAAAGAGAGAAAATGAAGAAAAGGAGCAATCAGATTAGAATATTGAAGGAATTTAATTATCTTTATTATTAAAAAATAGAATAGTATGATGAATTATTTAATAATTTGGCATCAACTAGATCTTATGAAGGATCTAATTAATAAAGTTCAAACAAGATAAAGTGATTAAAAAAGAGGGGAAATATGTGGATCATAGCATGATTGATAGATCATTTATAGATTTAGGATATATAGGATGTGGAGATGGAATAGATTTAGAATAATTAAGACAGTATCGGAAATTGGTAGTTTAGTTGAATTATAGTACTTATTAAGTATGTAATAATTTTGAATGATTTTATAATTGAATTTTTTATTTCATTGATTGTGATGACCTTCAAATGCTCTGATATTATGGGCAGTATTGATCACAAAGTTGGATGTGTCAATCACATAACCTTTGGTTGCTGCTTCAAATAATTCAGGATGATGAACTATTCCTTCCTATTCCCATTTATAATTCAAATACTTTCATGAAATAAATCACTTCATCTTAAACTGTTGTACCCAATTCTTGGATATGATCAAGTTGGCATGCTAATTCATACTTTAATTGTCCTTCTTCTGTCAAAAAATCTGCATTATCACGATCATCAAATTTTGTGAAATCAGCTGTTAATGGATGTGATTAATATGTTTCAAACCAATAAGTGTTTTTATCATTAGCTAGAGTATTTGTCTCCATCTTTAATATTTTACCACCTCTTAGTAAAGAGAGTCTTTGTATTTTATATTACAATGATCTCCAATACCTATGAAAAAATGGAAAGATTCATTACCACATTCTTGGAATCCACAAAAATGAAGGTGCATAAATGAAAAGGTTGTTCCAATACCATGCAATATCTAATGGGTTCTTAAACCAAAGGTAAATGGACAATGGAATGGCTGTCTCATAAAGTATATATGGATATTTAAGGAAGATAGTAAGATGCTTATGGGGATCACAAGAGTAACTAATGATTAGTGACTGAGTTACAGCAACACTTCTCCTATTCTATCAAACTCAATTGTATATGTTGGTTTGTAAATTCGATCAGTTTTGACAAGATATGAGGATTCATCATTCATGACCTAAGCTTTATGTGCCACAGTGGCATTATGGAAATCTTTGATGTGGTTGAGTTGATAGAGATTCTTCAAGCCCAACCTCAAAGTGTTTATTTATCTGGTGAGCATTAATTAAAGATATTATTAATTATATTTAAGTTTAGCAACAAGACAATGGAATATGAGGAATAAATGCTTGGAGAAATTTAAGATGAGCTTTCATCAAATGTTAAGTATTAGCATATAGACCAATATAAATATTTCCTCTAAAATAAGAGGTGAAAAAGGTAGTGTTCATGAGATTAGAATGTTAAATTAGATACAGATGCCTTTATTATAGTATATATTAGCTTAAATGATTTCTAATTGAAACTCTATTTGTTAATTTTCATAAAAATTTTAACATTTGAATATTTTCTTTATGAGTAAGTTATGTTTGTACCTGATTAATAAAGAAACTTGGATTTCTAGAACTGGTTTGATGGATGTTTTTAGGTAGAAACAGAGTTATTCATCAGTATTGAATAGTATGATAAATCAAAGTATTAATTTCAATGATCTTGCAAACAGTAATTATAAGGATCCCTGGGTTTATGAAAGGATATGAAAAAAATAAGCAAGAAAATTTAGAGATGAGAAATATAAAATAATGTGAAATTAAATCGTTTTTGAGATGTGTCGTTTTTTATTTAATAAATAAATGAAAGGAATCATCGCTATCATTCTTGCATTGGCTGTGGTCTCAAATGCCACCAGCACAAAAGATTAAATCTTAGCTTTACTTTAAACAGGAACAAAAGCTAGTGATGCTATTGATACAGTCTTTGGATTGCTTAACGATTTAAAGTAATCAAACATCGATGCTCAATTTGCAGCTGACCAAAAAAATGAGACTGACGAATGGATTGGTGCTTAAACCATTGAATAATTCACAAAAATTAAGACTCTTAACCAAAAATTGTTCCAATAGGCTGTTGAAAACAGAGCTGAATATGAAAATGTTCTTTAATAAACTAAAAATTATTTGGCATGGAATGAAGCAAGAAGAGATTCAATTGCTGCTAAAATTGATACACTCTAAGACAACCAATGCTTCTCCAACCAATTATTTGTTAAGTCCATCAAACATAACTAAGAAGCTTTGGAAGTGATTAGACTCCTCAAATAAGATGTTGCTGGATACATCATTAATGGAGATTCCTTTGAATTCACTTAAGTTTAAGCTCAATCAGTTGCTGAGAAATTAAAATAATATAGCAACCTCTTCCAAGAACATTAAATCAAGTCCTTCTTAGCACTTGCTTAAGATGAATAAGTATTTATTTATATGATATATCAATTAGGTTTCTGAATCTTCTGGACATGGATAAACATTAGCTGAAAGAGTTTTGGGTGTTCTTGAAGGCTTAGAAAGTGAATTAGCTGCTTCATTAGAAAATTTGAAATAAAATGAAATCAATGCATCATGGGAATTGGCTGGTTGGGTTTCCTTATCAGAAGCTGAAATTGCCTCATTAGAAGTTGAATACGAAAGAAAATAAGTGTTTGCTGATAGAACTGCCACTGTATGATTTTCAATCCTAATTTTTAATAGTAAATCCAAGCTGCTTTAGCTCAATAAGCTAAATCAAAGATCATCTTATAAGAATCATAAGATGCTTTAGATTAAGCACAATCTGATTTAGAAGCAAAGAGAGCTGATTATGCTGAAGCAAAAGCCAAGAGGCTAGAAGAGAATGCCATCTTGGATGAAGTAATCATAATGTTCAAGAAATAAGTTGCCTCATGGTCTGGAAGATGATATTCTTTTTAAATACAAAATTAGTCAATCATAACAATATCACTAATATTATAGTTCTTAATTCTTTTATGTTTTAGTAAGAGTAGGCTTTTATAATTACTTACTCTATTAATTAAATATTTTTTGATAGACTTACACATCATCTTCATCATCGTCTTCCATATAATCATCTCCTTCATACATAATTGTTTGAGAGTTTGTAAACCTATTCTTAAACTCTATATCTTACATATGATTTTTAGGATTATATGTGATAACCTAATCAGCTTCCTCATAATCTTAATACCTTTTTAAATGAGAGGTTTTCTGTATTAATTTTTCCCAACCCTAATTAAGAGAGCTCAGTAATTAATCTTTTGATGACAACTTATCTGCTTAATTCTCTTTTACAACAGATTCAGGAATACTTTCCTTAGTATCAATATCTATAGCTAATTTCTTTGGTTGTTATTGATTTTATAGAGATTATTACTATAATTCTTTTTTTTGTATTGAACTATTAGATGATGATCCAGAAAGTATATCTAATTACTTTTATTTAACTTCTTAAACATTAATTTGTTATTATTTGTTAGAACCAATAGGTTTTTACAATTCTTCCATAATTCTCTATTTATCTTCTTTACTCATAAGTTGATTTGATTGTTTCTTCATCATCATTTCTTTCTCTTCTGCATACAAATCTTACAAAGGTTGATGCATAGGTTATTAATTTTAATATTGTGAGTTTATTTGAGCCATATTCCAATCAACATATTATTATTCAATTTATGATTTTCTATTTTGTAACATTTTCTCATATTCTAGAATTGCTTATTTATCTAAGTCTTTTCTTGATATGCAAAAATTATCAAAGAATTGTAATTCTACTTCATTTTATTATTATTCCAATTGTTTAATTTATTCATCACTAAAATTTACTGATAGTAATCTTCTCAAAAATAAATTTTATGTTTCTAATTCAATTTATTATGCTTATATTTCTTACCATTATTATTCTTCCTATATTGTATGTTCTTCAATAACTTTGATCATTTGATTATATTTTTCTCTTATTTATTGAATGCATTCATTTTTCTTTGCAATTTCAGCATCTTTAATTCTTAATTTCAATTATAAATGTTCAATACTATTTAAGTGATCTTGACATGTTTATTGTTTTAGTTTTTTAATCATTTTAGCCATCTTCTTAATGAGGTACATACATTCTTTGTTATTTTCATATAGAATCTTGTTATCTTAACAAAATTGATCTATTTTTTCTTTTTATTATTCAATCATCATTATATCAGATGGTCTTATAGGAAGTGTGGCAATTTCTTTTGACTTTCTTTATTCCTATTTCTTTGTTATATAGACAGCTCTTCTTTATTTTGGTACTTATCTGGTAGTTGTTGAATCATCATACTTTAGAGATTCCTCAGTTATTTATGCTTTTGAATTTTATTTATCGATTTCTTGTTGTCTATCTATTTTCTAAGATGGAATAGCTCCTTATTCACATTGTCTAACTTATTGCAATTAGATAAAAAATTGTTTGATGAGTTCATACTTTTAAATAAAGGCAGGTTGTTGTGGGTATTCGAATAACATAATTCAATTTAAAATTTAATTTATTAGTAGATAAAATATCAAAAAATCAATGTTGTTTTAATTATAAAGATAATAATTACATTCCTTATGAATCTGTGTATATTTTTTATGTTTTTGAATCAGCATCAATGTATGTACAAATCTCATTCTAACAAAAGTGACACTTTGGTTTTTAAAACTCTAAGGCACATATATGGCATATCTAATTAACACAACAACATGATGATAGAATGTCTAATATTGTTAATAAATTAGATATACAATTAAAATATTTAAAACATATTGGACATGAAAATTGTGTATTTTATGTTAATGTCTCACTAAATATCAAATCATTAAGAGGATGTGATGTCTTAATCTTTTTTACCTTGTCTTAATAATAACCATCCAATAATTATAGAGAATACAATGAAGGATCCTTCTTATTCAATTTCAAATATTCACAAAATGTAGTTGTTATAATATATGTGTTTGGTGCTGTTTTTGGTTCTTAGATGTCAGACTGTGTTCCACAACAAAAGTACTTTTAAAAAAAAGAAACCTTTCTGTTCTTAGCCATTTTAGTAGTAAAATAATTAAAAATGATTTTTAATGGCAATCAATTAGCCAATTCAATATTATAAACTCTTCGTGTTACTTCAAAAATAAAGCCAAAATTAGGAATTTGTTTAGTAGGAGATTCACCTGCATCAAAATCATATGTTAATAGGAAATTAAAAGCTTGTTAGGAAATTAATGTTGATGCAGAATTATTTAATTTTTCAGAGAATGTTGAATAAGATTAATTGATTAAACATATCTAATCAATGAATCATGATGGTATATTAGTGTAAGTATTTTAATAAATAAAAATATTAATAGTTACCATTACCATTACATCTGAATAAGTTGGATATCATTCATTCAATTCCATATGAAAAAGATGTGGATTGTTTACATATGCATAATTTATAAAGAATTTTAGTTTATGGAGAATTATGTGAGATGTTACCATGTACTCCTGCAGCAGTATTATAAATTTTGGATTATTATGATGTGAATGTAATTGGCAAGAAAGTTACAGTTATAGGTAGAAGTTTCTTAGTTGGATTACCATTATCAGTGTTATTATAAAAAAGAAATGCTACAGTAACTGTTTGTCATAGAGAAACATTAAATTTAGATTAACATATTATGAATGCAGATATTGTTATAAGTGCTGCTGGACATCCGAAATTAGTTAGAAATGTTAAATAAGGAGCTATAGTGATTGATGTTGGAATCTCATAAGGTGAATAGAAAGGTAGAATTGTTGGAGATGTTGATTTTGATGTTGTCAAAAATTAGGCATCACTTATTACTCCTGTTCCTGGAGGAGTTGGACCAATGACAGTATGTATGTTAATGAGAAATCTGTGTAATATTTGGAAGAAGAAATAAGGATAGCCTGTTTATATCAATCCGAAATTGAGTGATGCTTATTTGAATGATTGATTAAAATTAATATGAGTAAAAATGATAAAAATCAAAAGTTGACTGCTTATGAAAGTTATAAGAAAATAGAATCTGAAATCAAATTTCAAACTAATCTCTTAGAGAAATCAAATCCAACTATCAGGTGTCCAATACATTAATATAATTACTCCAAAACTTGTAGGTAGTACCAAAATTTGAATCATTAGATAATGTAAGAAAATTGTTGTAGAAGAAGTACCAACATATTAAGAAAAATCAATTAATATGGATAAGTATCATTATGATGTTGGAGATAGAGGAGATAATATAATACCAATGTATTTGTGAAAATTTAATGAAAGTCGAGGAGAAAATGCTATCAGCAATATGAATTCATTAGTTAGATAAAATATACTAACATGTCAATATTATAAAGAATTACTATAGATTAGAGATATTAATGATATTGTTACAGAGACTGATAAGATTGTTACTTCTGTTGGTACTTGGGCAGGTCCAGGAGTACCATCATCATTCTTTTGTATATTACATAAATTGATGAGTATGAATTTGAATGGTATACTTGATTAAATAAATATATTAGTAAAATAATTACAAATTTTATGTGATTGGAAATTGAATCCATATGTTAGATGTTTAGGATTATTATATTTAAGATATTCATTAGATCCAAATTTTTTATGGGGATGGATGAAGAGATATATTTTAGATGAATAAGGTATTTAAAATGTATTTAATATTAGAATTTAAACCTTCTAAAGATGAAACAATTACTATTGGAGATTATTGTGAAAGATTACTCACTGACTTAAATTATTATAATACTAGATTACCTCGTATTCCATAATAGATTGATACTATCATATAAGCTAAAATATTACTGGCTTAAGAAAAGAGATAAAGAAGAAATATTAATTAAAGAATTATGCCACTTTTATAACCAGGTGTCTAAGTTAGAGCAATTTCATAAAAAGATGATGAATGGCATGTTGGTAAAATAGAAAATATTGATGGAACATTTCTTATTATTTAATTTGAAGAAGAAAAAGAAAAAATAAGTTTAGGTGAAATTGAATTTATACCTAAGAATGATGAATAAAGATTATATATAGCATAAATGATTACTGAAGGAATGTAAGAAGGTTAAATTTAATTACCATAAGAAGTGATATCATAAAAATCACCATCTAAATCTAAATCTAAATCTAAAAAGAAAAAAAGATCAAGTTCTAGTAGTAGTGAAACTAGTAGTAGTAGAAGTAAAAGTAGACATAAGAATCACAAGAAAAAGAAAAATAAACATAAATCATAAAAAGAACATAAAAAAAAGAAGGATAAAAAGAAAGAAAAGGAAAGAGAAAAATATAAAAAAGATAAAGAAAAAGAAAGATAAAGATAAAAATCTAATAGTCCAGAATTAGGTTAATATGAAACAAATAAAGAAAGATAAGAAAGATTAGAAAGAGAAATTAGAAGAAAATAATAGGATAAAGCAGTTGCTCATACTAAACAAGATGTTGCCAAAATACCTGCTTCTTATAAAACTTCTTTAGCTGCAGCTTTGCCAACTTCAACCAAACCAGTTAGACAAAATAGTCCATCTCCTATTAAAAAAAAAGAATAATTTATTGATTTAGGAAACTCAGAAACCAACAATTCTAAATTTGATAAAGAATCAAAAACAGATGTAATTTATTATATTATATTTATAGTAAAATAATCCCTTTTTAAAAGAATTAATTAAAAAATATGGTGATGATGATATTTGACTATTATTTATCAATTCATTTAATGTATTTATTATCAAGGTTTTCTTAAAATTAACTGGAATCATTCTAATATTCAATTTCAATCAATTTTCTAGAATAAAATAACTATAATATTCTTGAAAATATAATATTGTTTTAAAATAATACAACAATTTAATGGTTGATCTTTTGATTAAAACAATGGAAAAAATTTCAATACACAATCGATGAGGAGTATAAAAACTGTTAAGTGAAATAATGTAATTTACTTGAAGAATTTTAATGATAAAGTCTTGTTTATGAAATCATAAAATTAAAAATCTTATGAAAAACTTAGAAGTGACTTTTTAATTATGATAATACAAGAATACTTGAACTATATAATAGATAAGAATGGTATACAAATTTTATTAAATTATGTGACTGAATAAAAGTAAACTATGATATAATGATTTAGATATTGTATCTAAATATTTGAATACTGTTGGATAAACATAAAAATGGCAAGACAAAAAGAATTATAAAATAATAATAAACATAAGAAAAGAAGTACTAAAATCAATGAATTGCCTAAAAATCTTATTTCTAATAGTATTGTCAAAAGAATATTAAGAGAGATAAAGTTTCTAATGAAAATTAATTTATTTATTGTTTTTCTATTAAATCTTCTAAATAATTAAATCTCTTTGTGATAATCCAATACAGGAACAAGATTAGATTGAAGGAGAAATAATTTTAGGCAAATAAATTCTGTGACTTTTATATTAATTTTATTTATTATATATATAAAATCAAAGCATTATCTCAAATAATGATTTTTAAAAAGGAATAAGATATATTCAAATTCATACTCTATTTGTTTTGGATTAAAGATCACTACAATGAGTGAGATAAATTTTGAACTAATTGATTAAAGGATATTTAAGATTTATTTCTATCAAGGTAATAAGTTTAAATTTTCATCAAATTAGTTTTGGCCAATAAATCAAAGGATACAATCCAATATTAACATTTACTGTATCATAATTTCATGTAACCTTAAAAATGCTTATTCATTTTGGGCACAACAAGTATATAAATTTTTAAGAATAAGTCAATTAAAATGTAGTTTATATTAAAATTAATTGATAGCTTTTTTGTAAGGAATAAATGAAGAAATGATAAATTTAATTTCTATTTATTAGTTTGAATCAAGTGATGAAGATGAAGATTTAAGGTCTATAATGTGAATTAAATATTGAAATAAAATAAATGTTAAAAAGAATTAAGTTATGATTAAATAAAATGATATTGTTTTCATTACAAATATAATAATTGATATTTTTTTTCTACTTGTTTTTATTTAAATCTTTATATTAAGATTTAAATTGTCAGTAATCAAAGATAAAGTCAAAAAAATATGCTTCTCGGATATTTTTTTATGGTTAGGATTCAAATATTTAAATGTATTTAATTTCATTTAATTTTTCTTGACTTTTTTACATTTTTAGAGCATAAAAACCTGATCTTAATGAAGAAAAAGGTTTATAAATTATTAATAAGCTTTTGCTGCTACTTGATTTTTAATATTAATTAGCAATATAAAGTAAATTATCCTTTTAATTATTATGATGATAGAGTTTTAAAATTCTAATTGCAATTACTAAACAAAGAACTTAGCTTTAATAATGATTGTTCTTGTCTTCTTAATGATATTTTAGCAAATATACAGAGTTAGACACAAAAATGATTGAAATTTAGTTTACTATAATTTGATATGATTGATATTGAGCAATTTCAATAGATCAAAAGAACTTAGAATTGTTTATCAAGGTTATAAACAAGCAATGAGTCTAATAAATTAGCGGAATCTAACAATTTATATGGTCTTGAATTATAAACAGTACATAATTTCTAATTTCTAGAATGTTAGATTATGAAATACATTATCCATCTAACTTGAAGCATAGTAAATACAATTAATTTTTTGATTGGCTTGTCTCTAGTCTCGTTGAAATATTGAATAATTTTAAATACTAAACTTGATTAATGAATTTGATAGCTCTAGATTAAGGGAAGTGATTAAAAATAACACATTTGAATGAGAGAATTGATCAGGAAGAAGGTGAAGTTGAATTAATTACTCAATAAATGCTAGTGGGGATTCAAATGAGGATTATTCTTTTTTTGTGATAAATTTATCATTAATAAAAACAACGAAATAGCTCAATATTTATATATTAAGAGAAGTCTATCATATTAGATAGGAGGAACTTAATAATCTACATAATGTTCTGATATTAGAGTGATCATATAAATGATAGGAGAGAAAAAATAATTAAAAATTTATCTTATTTTTCAGATAACATTACTGCTTGGAATGCTTCAAAATTTGATTATTATTAATTACTAATATTTATATCTACTCTTAAATGATATATTTGAAGATTTTAAAGGTAAATATATTTATAATGTCATAAAATTTAAAAATAATTATAGAATCAAAAATAATAATTAATTACAAATTTAATTATTAGATTCTAAAATATTCATGAAATACACTTTTTAACTTATACATATATATGACTATATTGAGGTTTTTCCATTTTTTCTGTTAAATGAGATGATAGAGGTCTTTTATAGAAAAAAAGTAGATATTAAAAAATAGATAACCGAGGAATTATAAAGCTTATGTATCTTGTAATTAAAAATATAAATAAAGTCAATGCAATAATCTTGCTTATAGATGAACTAATCCAAGAAATCAAAATTTAATTCAAAGTTTATAAGTATTCAAGAAAGTTCTATAGGATTGAAGATAGTGGTAAAATTGTTTAATTAAATATAGGATCCTGTTAGCAAAATGATTTAAGTTTTTCTATTTTGGAACAATTCCATTTTAATGGATTGGAATCAATTTTTCGAGGAATTAAATGCTGGAAATCTTAGCAATCTATGTTTTATTATTGAATATGAGGAATCTAAATTGTTTATATATGGGACAGCTGAAGATTTATTATGTATATATAGATTCTGTGCTGGAAAGTATATTTTTAAAAAAGGAACAGCTAGTAAAACACTTGAAATAATAAAGGAGAAACATGATTATCAAGTAAGTCAAGAATTTATATTTACTAGTTGAAATCAATATTTGACTAGTCCAGACAAAAGTAGTACTATGAACATGTCATATTTGCTGAGATGAATGACAACTTAGATATTTCTTTCTATTCTTAGGTTACATATGATAGAGAGAGATTTATTCCTTAAGAAATTTAGATTATATAGGACTTACATATTACATATATACCTTAATTCATATAAGTAGATGCTCTTTACCACGATGGAGTTTAATATTCTTACATCTATTCAAATAAAGATTTAATAAAATTATCTTTATATTATAATAACACTCAATTAGATAACCATTGTTTTATGTCTCACACAGCTCACTAATTAGTATTATGTAAATTATTACACTATTAAATCGATAGTATTGATAGCTTTAGATGAGAAGGGAATTATACATCCAGGACTTGATTTAAAAAATCTTTATATTAATCCAAATTCATAAGATATTGTTCTGGCTTCCTATTATTAAGCTTATTATTAGTAAAACAATGATGAAAGAAGAATGTAAATATATTAACATATTAATTTAGATGTGTAAACATTGGTTATTCTCCTCCTGAATACTTTTAGATTAATTAAAAACTAACAACCAAAGCAAATATTTATCAAGTTGGAATATCATTATTTCAATTGTACACTATTCAGTATTACATTAGATTACTTGGACACAATCCTTTTGGTAAATCCTAAAAAGAAATGGCACTCAATCATACTAAGAATAATCTTGATTTATCTAGACTTAATGCTTTTGATTGTATTTTACATGATTTCATCCGAAAATTACTAGATTAGGATCCTGATAAAAGACCATCACCTTAAGAATTACTTAAGCATAAGTTATTTTCAATATCTCACAAAGAATATATGTCTAAATAGACTATAACAAAGCAATACCATTAAGATATTGAAGAATTCGCCATTTTTAATAAGACCTCAAATATCTAAACTGTAAAATCAATCATAAATTTCAAAAAGAGATTATGACATATTGTTTTAATTTAGATGACAAACTATTTTTAAATTCATATTTGTTGTGATTTTAGCTTTCTCATCTTTTTTCTGTGTTTTTTTATTAAATTATTTAAATAATTAACTGCATATTATTTAAAAATTTTCTATACTAATTCAATTATTGTTATTAAATGATATATAGTTGAAATAAACTCAATCTAGCATATATAAAAAGCTATAAAAAATTGGTCACAATATTTCAAAAAATTTCACTAAATAAGATGCAACACATACTTCATTTTGTATATTTAAATTTTTGCATTCAAAAAAAAGAAAACTTATAAGAAAAAGATTTCTCATTCATAATGATATCAAAACAAAATATCACTTCAATTAGTACTAAAATATCTCAATATATGTTTATTATTTGTTATTTCTTAATAACTAGATCTATGTATGTTAGTCAACTATTTTTATATTAATAAGATTATAACTTTAATTGTGGTTAGAATAGAAAAAGATCATAGTCTTAATCTTAAGATTTCATTTCAAAAAATTCATTTGTTATTTTTTTTTATTTTTTCAATTTTTATTTTTGAGTAATTTAATCAGCCAAAATTTTAGTATAGTGACTGATTTAAGAGCTTGACTCAACATTGTTTTCTAGTAAACTTTTTTTTAGAATAGGTCTTATTAAAATAGAGTAGAGAGTTATTAAGAAAAGTAATTAAAATCTTATTATCTAATTTGAATGAAAAATGTTTAATTTTATATATTTATAATCTTATTTGTTAGAGAATTGGATATGATAATCAAAAAAAATGATAAGAATGTTCTGAGTCCAATAAATAGATACTTATTTGTCCTAAGAATAATAATATTTTACTAATGAGGAACTCGAAAAGTTAAGGATGCAAGAATTCAATATATATTATATTATATTTTATAAATATGAACTTTAACGTCTAATAACTTTATTATTAATTTACAAATTATGAATAATTGTGAATGATAATTACAATATTTATGTTGAAATATTGTATCACTTCTCAAATAATATAATGTAAATGATATATTATAAAGTAATAAAAAGAATTTATATATATATATATATATATATATTAGTTTATTTTTATTGAAATCACAAAATCATGTATGAATTATTAATATTCATTATTCAATTCATAATAATTGATAAATGAGATTACTTATTAATATTGAATGGGGTAAAAATAATTCATAATTTGTTATTTGATTAAATAATCGGTTATACTATAAAATTAATATAAATATTCTTGTAAGCTTAATTTCTTATAATATTGATATATATATCAATAATAATATAATAATAGTTTTGAATTTGCTTTGATGTTTTATTTTTGTTATTAAATTTATATATTAAATGTAACAATTTAGAGACACTGACAATAATAGTGAAAATCTAAATGAGGAAGATAAGTAATGTAATAAATAGTATAACAAAAGCAGCTCCATCAATTAGCATGTACCATAATTTCCTCCTAAAAAAGCCCCATCGTTTTCTATGGAAGGCCCATAAATTCTAGGGCTTTTATTATAATTTAGATTTGCATAAGGAAATGCAAGAAGAGAATTAGAATGCCAATTGATAAAACGATTAGTTAACATAAAAAAAAATTATGAACCTGATTGCTACAGATTAAATGGAACTTGGGCTCTAAAATATACAAATTATCTTTATGAAAATTCAAATACTCTACCAGGTCCAATTGATAATACACCTTTATTATAAATCAAAGAGCCAATTCGAAATAGAGATTATTTTGTATTGACTGATACAGTTTGGAAATTCTTGCTTGAAGAATATGGTGGAGGTCCTGAAATATTGGAAGACAAAGTGCCACCATCTCCAGTATCAGTTATTTCATCAACAGCAGACAGAGCAAAATCAGCTGATATAAGCATGATGTCAAGTGTATCATAATAAGAGTTGCCATCAGAAATTCCAATAAAAGGATTGAAGAATGAATTGTTTTATTGCTATATGCACTCAATTCTTTAATGTTTAATGTGCATTCAAGAATTGAATCATTTTTTATTAAACAGTATTAATAGACATAATGGGTAGAAAATGCTATATTGTCGAGGTTATAAAGAAATGTTATTATAAATACGAGATGCTTAAAGTGACTATATAAAAATAAACAATTTGAGAACTACAATAAGTAAGAAGTTCAATCCAAAGTATTAACATGATGCATAAGAGTTTCTCTTATATTTAATATCAATGATGGAAGATGAAATTATAGAAGTAAATAAGGAATATGAAAAACTATAGTTACCTAAATTAGAGAATGTTGTAAAGAAGTATTTAAAAGGTTAAATAGTAAGTGAATTAATTTGTAAGAATTGTAAACATAAGTCTGTAATAACAGAGGAATTTCTAACTTTATCTTTAGCTTTAACAAAAGTTGCTACAGTAAATCAATCATTAGAAGAGTTTTTGAAAGATGAATTAATTTAAGATTATCAATGTGATAATTGTCATAAGAAAAAAATAGCAATAAAAAAAACAAGAATTACTAATTTACCTAGATATCTCATATTACATTTAAAAAGATTTAAGTTTTTTCCTAAATAAACTAAAATAACATAATAAATAAAATTTTCAATTGAATCTAATTTCTGTAATACAGAATATAAATTAATTGGAATAATTGTTCATTCTGGTTCTTTAGAATAAGGACATTATTATTCATATGGTAGAAGATAACACAAATGGTGGTTATTTAATGATTAACGAATTAAATAAGCAAATAAAATGGATGTATAATAATAACAAGGTTACATATTGTTTTATTAATAACTTTTTTGATTATATGAATTAATATTAATAATTAATCTATTATTTTATCTTATAATTTTTTAGTTTTTATTAATATAGAATATATCAATCATTAAGAAATCTTATTAATAGATTATATTTATTATTTATAGAAATAAGATTATGATATTTATTTAATTATCTTTATATAATTCACAATTCTGTTTTAAAATCTTAATGCTTTTTACAAAACTATTCTAAATTGTCTTAAAGACCATGCAAATTATAATGAACAATATCCCAATCAACTATGTATTCATCTATAATTACTCGTTCAATAATTTGCTTTAATTAAGATGCATATTCTGGATTTTTGAATGTTAAATAATCTATTACTAATTTTCCTTACTTTGAATCCTAGTAAGTAAATGTAAATTAAGGATTTGGTGTAACTTCATATTCGTACTATAAATTAAAATCATCTAACTTCAATATTGTTCCATTTTCAAGAAGATGAAATTAAATATTTGGAATTGCTTCTTCTAGATCATGACATTTCCATAATAAGATATTATTTGTTTATGGAATCACTGTTAATATACCTCTAAAAGTATATGCAGAATATTCCATTTAAGATGTCACTTAGACATACTCAAAGTTAGAGAATAGAGCATCAACAAATGGAATTAATAATAAAGTAAACATTAAAATTATTGATTAGAAATATGAATAATATTTAAATTTTAATAATGACATATCTTTATGATATCATATTTTATCTAGGATGTTACCATATTCCAATAAGAATTGAGCTACACCTGGTAATTTAGCATTTCCACTAACAGCCAAGAAATTTGGAATTGTAAAATAGAAGTCTGTTTCCATATTTGGCAAGTTCTACAATTATTATTATTATTTACATCTTGAATTTGTTTTAATATTGCTATTCCTTATTCATCTTGTACAGCAGCCTCTCCATCTTAAATCCATTTTTAAATCTTTTTTCCAAAGAATCCATTTTATCTAATGAATTCAGGACAATCATCAGAACTCTTGAATTCTAAATCCACTTTAAAATTCTTAAACTTTAAAAACAAACTCATTGGAGGTTCATTGGCAGCATCAGGTTCAAGATTTTCAAGTACATTTTTTATTGTTTATGCCAAATCTTAAGCAAGATCCAATTTCAGAACGAATTTAAGACTCTTCATAACGACTGACATTAATCTATCACCTTTCTTTAGAAGTTCACTTGCAAATGTAAAATCTGTATTAGATGACAATAACATTTATATTGAATTTTCATTCTTTTCAGCAAATTCTTCTAAACCTAATGTTATTTTAAATAAATCATATCTTTACCTTAAGCAAAGACCATATTGAATCCTTCTTTAATTTCTTCCATTTCCTCAGGTTTTAATTAAAATGACAACCATAAAGTTGTTCCTTCACTGTGAGTCTTCAATACTATGTTTTCTTCTTCAAGCATAGGATTAAATTTCTCATTAAGGAATTTCTATAATTCTTAAGCTTTTCCATCTATTGTCTTCAAAGCAAATACAACTCCCCATTCTGTATCCAAATTACCACCTGTTTATTTTGCTAGCTATTCCAATTGTTATGTTGCAGCTTACTTATTGATAAGAGCTTTCAAACTAAAGTATATAAAAGTCTTATACCTCAAACTCCAAGATCCCTCTCCTTCATAATATGGACCAACTTGTACAGAAATGTGTGATGAATTGATTGACATTTTCTTTAATTAATAAAATCAGAATAGATTCAATTGATATTTTGCTTAATTATACATATATTTAATGACAATCCATTCATGACTTCGGATTATAAAAGAAAAACATAATTTGATCACATATAAAGTATCATACATAAAATTTATAGTATTTTACATGATGAAGTATTTGGATACAAACTAATTGATGATGGAGATACTCCTATAATTTCTATATTCCTTATGATTTCCTTCTCCTTTCCTTTCTAAACAACATACACTATTTCATTTGATCCTATCTTCTAATAAGCACTATCATAATAAGATAATTCTATTCTTCCAGTATGCAACTTCATCAAATAGTTTTGCATTGGTTTATGTTTACTTACTCCTGAATCCTTAGCCACAATTTATAACATTACTCCTTTAACTTTGTATTTTGATAAATCAATCTAGGAACTACATTAAAATAACCTCATTTGATAATGAGCTTATATTATCATCCATAATTATCTACTAACTCTTCTCATTCTCAAAATGTTTTAAATACTCAAGTATTATAAGATATCCAAAACAATATGTCTTGGTAAGTTTTTAAACATAAAATTAATTATATCAATTCAATTAGCTATTCTATGCATACAACCATTTATTGTTTCATACCATTTCTAATTGATTAAATCAAATTATCCCCTCTCTAAATCTATAACTTAAATTTGATTGAATATATTTTAATAAGTCTATATATCTTTATAATCTCTTCTTAAATTTAATAGTGAAATGTACAACTTTTTTGTAAATCCTATCTCAAAAGAATAAATTATTATCTCCAAACAACTAATATATTGATTTATTAATATTACTCTTATTCTTCTCTTAAATTCATAGCTACATTGAATGAATCATCATCTCAAGATTAATAAAATACAATTGAATTCTCTTCTTACTCTCTTTCACTATTTATTTATTTCTATTCTTCGTATATTGTTTCTGTTTTTTATTTTTCCTATTTCCATTGTATATTCTATCTTAAAGTCTTCTATTATAATTATGTTAATAATTCTTATTTTTATTTCAATTATTCAAATACTTTAGGATTCATTCGTTTGTATTCATCATACATTCTATTATAGTATTATAAACATTCTTATTATGATTTAGTTCTAATTAAAATTGTATAAAATCATTACTATACTTTCCTAAAAGTTCAAAACTTAGGCAAAGAATTTATATCCCAAAAGTAAATGATAATGAATCTAATAAGGTGGAATTTCCTTTGGATATGGAATCAAAGCCTTTTAGTTATTATTAATTGAATATTCAATTAATGATAAAATAATTCTATTCTTTATTAAAATATCATGAGTTTTGCTATCTTAATGTAATGTTTCTAAAATTTACATTGGAACTGTTATTAATTAAGTTGCCTGTTAAGATTATTTGTATTAATTTAATGCAAAACAAATATTCAATTACAATTGAATCTATTAATAAATGAATAAATTCTTTGTCAAAAGATAAAATCTGATAGATAAAGCTCTAAATATGTAATTCAATCCAATTTGAGTCTTTTTTCTTAAGATTTTAATAGCTCCAATATTATTAACAAAAATAATTAAAATAAAAAGATTATCTCTATTTTATATTTATAATTTTACTCTAAGAACTCTTGTAATCTTTTCAATTCAAAAGGTAAAACATCATCTTTATTTTTTAATTTTACTTTGACATCAAACATCTAAATTATTTCTGCATCTGTAAATTATCTATAATCATCTAAGATTGTAATAATCATATCTTTAATATCCTTAATATTTGGTAGTTAATTCTAGATCTTTAAACAGAGTTACTTAAGATTTTATTGTAAAATTATACAAACCTTTTTAGCAATTTGAAACGCTTTCTGTAAATAATGTATTAATTCTTTACTTTATATTCTTCAGATTCAACATTCCTAATATATTTAATTTACTATTTCTCTAGGTATTAATTAACCATAGCCTAAACCTCTTCTTAAGGTAAATTTTTCTGAATATTTTCATTATTTCATCAAATTCTGAATCCATTAAGACAATTAATTAATTATATAATTAAAATATTAAGAAAATTAATCTTCCTTTGATATCTGAATTGATTTTTTAATTTGTCTTTTCAAATTTCTTCAATTTAAATCAAATAAGAATTTTGCTTTATTATCAATGGTATTTAAAGATTAAATTATGATATTATTTATTTATCATTAATCTATTTTATAGTACATAAATAAATTTTATATTCATTTTTATCACATAGATAACTTGTTGGTAAAGTAATAATTAACATACTTTATATTAATATTAACAAATCCTCATTGTCTTTAAATCCTACAATAAATGAAAACTGCTAAGACTTTCTTATTGATGATTATAGATTTTATATTTTGAATTTTCATTCCTTATATTAAACATAATTTAATTATAAAATTAACAAAAAATATAAATATCAATAAAATACCCTTTGACTTTTTTATTTAATCATCTAATCTTATTGATTAAATACAATTTAATTTCTTTAAGTTGTGTTAATTATATTTTTTTAGAGTTTAATAAGATTATCAATTTATAGTTTGTTAATATGAGTTTTAGTTTAAAGACTATTATATAATATTTTATATATATACATATCCAACTGGTCAAGACTATCTTTAATTTTTAATTTACTGAATTGATAATTCATTACTTTTGGTAGAGATAAAGAATACATAGTTTTTTAAGCATGATGAAAATCAGAAGCTGAGGTAAGTTGTTTGGATTAAGATTTCTTATTTTGCTTCCTAACTTTAGAAGGTGGAAAATAAGGTTATTTGTAATGATCTTCACTTAAATATACGATATTCTCAACAGGTTTATGTTATTTTTCAATTCTCTTTTTATGTAATACTAATTTATCTGCTTTAAATTTTGGTAAAATTCTATTTAGATTGATTTCTTCTTAAGATATTTATGCTTATTAACAATAAATAGATATTTGTTCTATATTAGGTCTAAGTTCAGGATCATAACCTAACATCAATCTTAACAAATTATTTAAATTAAGACTGTAATTTGGATTATATGTAATATGAATTCCTTTTAGAATTTTTTTATGTAAAACATCAATATTATTAGCTATTATTAATGGATCTTTGAACATCATTTAATATAACATATATCCAAACATCCATATATCTGATTTATAATCATAAGTTTATGTTCTGATGAATTCAGGAGCCAATAAATATGTATCAGTATAATTTTGTTTGTGTAAATATAATAGAATGTTCATCTCTCCTAAAATAGTATTTGTTTAACTTTAAAACAAATTCTATAATTGCAACTTCCCATGAACTCTTTTTGGATGAAATAATTATAATGCTTGAGATGTCTAAATGAATAACATAGAAGTGATACTTCTTATATTGCATTCCAAATATCTCGTTCTTGCATGGGATATTCATATTACTTATCTAAATAATCACTCACTATTCTAATAATCAAATTTATACAAATACCCTAAATAAGTCATATCTTAATCCAAAGTGGCTTCATAAAATTTAACAATATGTGGATTTTTTTGATTTGATATTTTAGAAAGTATTTTAATTACACTTTACACTCTTTCTTTTGGAATACCTTCTAATGTAAATATTCTCAACATGTAATAATAACCACTTCTTTTCACAATGAGTGACTTCTTATATTAGTTTTATTTAACTATATTAACTACCTCAAATTGAGGAAATAGTTGTTCCACACTTTTCATTAAAATAATTAATGGAACTTTGAGAATATATATTAAATTTCATAAATTACTATTAAAATCACTAATAGATAACTCAAATATTTTATAATACAATTCATAAGATAATCAAATACTGAAATACAATATAAATGATAATGAAATCAATTAATTAAATAATTTCCAATTCAACTAATTCACATTAACAATTCAGCTATAATCTCATAAAAATATCAAAAGTTCTTTAATAGAATGCTTTTTTTTCATTTACTTATTTTACTTTGAAACTTCAATGAAAAATTAAATAATAAAATATGAAGCATTTTCTTTAAAGATAGTATAATTATATAGTTATTTAGAAATTCAAATTAATAAACAAGAACAATATGAAATACTATTTAAGGTATTACAACCAAAATCTTGATCCTTAATTATATAATGGTTAATATTAGGAAATCTTGTACTATATTGAGAGTCTTTTATAAATTTATAGTAACACACATATTCACAAATACCAAGTAATATGATGAGTATGATCTTAATCAATAGCATTGGATTGAATAAATTAGATTTAATTGTAAATTGATTAGTGATGATCAATTGGTTGACATTTCAGAACCATTTTGTAATGATACAATAAATTGAGAAGGAATGCCATTAGGACATAACAAATGAATCACCATTATTTATGTAAAAGTAGATCTTCTTTATTTGATAATTTAATATTATGGATATAAGATCAGCTATATGCAATCTCATTAAGACTGTGTTAAACTTCATAACAGAACCTAAACTTAGGACTTAACTCAACGAACTTTATAATCTAGCATCCATATCCAATTCTAATCTAGATGACATATAAAGGCTCATGAATAACCTTGGAAAGGGATCAACAATTCATCATAGAGTCGTTTCCTAACCTTTCTCACTTAATTCTCCTAAACCCTCTTAAAAAATTTCAGCTCAATCTGGAGCAAGTGTTTCTGCATTCTCTAATGGAATTAACACTAAATTTGCAAGTTTTGGAAGTCGTATACAATATACCAGTCCCTTTAAGACTCATAGAGATGATAGATAGAATAAAACTAACTCAGATCGATAAATTTGTTTAACTAGTGAAACTTTGACATAAACCCCCAAGAATTAATCTGATTTCAAGCCTTTTGACAAATTAACCATTGACTTACCTTCCAAATTCAAAATGTAATAAAAAGTACATAATCATTGTCCTACAGTTCCAGCAATTTAGGACCTTTTTGAATAATCTTAAAAAAAAGTTAACATACCAGAAAATAACACTGAAAAAAAGATTACTTAAATTAATCCCAAATAATAATAATTAGTAATAAAATAGTACGATTAATAAAAAATATCTGGCAGATTATTAATCACCTTAGATTAATGTATTAAGGAAATGAGTTAGAATACATTTAAATTAATATTAACAACAGAAAAAACCAGTGAAATAGATACTTGTACCTCTGTTCTCCATAACAGTTAATTAGAAAATTCAATTACAATAGTTTAGAGGAAATAATTTAATGTAAGATTTTTAATATCTATATATATAGCCTTTGTACAAAGGAATCCATTAGAAGATGAGTGATAGGGATCTTTTTTATATTCAATAAAATTTCTTAATGAAAAAGTTAATTGTAAAAGCAAAACAAATTGAAAAAAGTTCTCCTTTGAATCCAAGTTTAGAGATATTTTTAAAATGAAATGATTTCAATCATATTTAATTAGTTATTATAATTAATAATGAAAATTAAGAATTCAGAAATTATAATTTAAATTTATTATCATGAGACAAAGCAACAAAATATAATGGGGATCTGTTTTAGGAGAAGCTCATAATGTCAAAGCATATTCAAATGTTGGAATTCATTATGATCATTAAAAATGGAATAGTTATAAAAGTATATTAAAAAAGGAAGAATCAGGTTTGACAAAGGATGTATTTTTAGGAGTAAAGTAAAAATTTAAATTTAAATAAAGATATTAATGTGTAGAATATGCAAGAAGATTTTTAGTCATTAATTTTGCAGCTGCATTTAAGGAAATAAATTGTGCTGATGAAATTTATAAGTTAAATTATGTAGATGATTTGACAACATTAAATGGTACCTTACAATTCTAGACATTTCCAAATAAAGGAAATCAGTAATACTATAATAATATATATAGACCTCCTAAAGAGGGAGATTTGATAATTTATCCAAAAACTTCAAAATAACCTTATGGACATGTAGCTGTTATAGTTGAAGTGGGTATGGGATATGTTTGTGTAGCTGAATAAAATTATGAAGATTCTGGATGGATAAAGAAAAACTATGCAAGAAAACTGAAAATGAATGAAATTAATGGTTAATATGAGATCACATAAGTTAGAGTTGGGTAATCAATATTATAAATAATAGTATGGAACATTAATATTAATATTGGTGGGATCGAAATGAATAGATTTTAGGATGGAAAAGAGTCTCTAGATGAAATTTGATATAATTACTTTTTATTAAGCTAATTATGATATTTAAATATTAATATTTTTGAATTATTTATTATTATTCGTAATATATAATAATACACAATTTTATTATACAAAAATAAATATACAACTTTAACAAATTTTTCAATTACTTACGAATTCATTTTTTAGATTTTTACTATTTAGTTTCATCTATTTAATTAATAGGAGATACATCATATGATGTATGGGCTGAAGGTATTTAATAGCTACTTTTTCTACTTTAAGAATCCTCTATAACATGATCTTTAATTTATATTATCAATTCTTAGAATTACTTATGAGCATAATGTATATGATTAGAGAAATCAATCTTTATTGATGTTGCATCAAGATTGACAGAAGTAGTTATTTCATTATTCTTGTTAATTTATAAGTCATCTCTTGAAGTTGATTTTGAAGTGCTGATTTCATTGATCCAAGGATGCAATGAAAATTCTTCAGCACTCAATCGTTTTTCTGGATTCTTATTTAAGAGTCTTTTTAATAAATCTACCTAAAGTGGTTATAATAATTTTAATTCCTTATTTTAATCAATAGTGAGATTGGGGTCAGTAATCAATTCTATTGTATCTAATTTAGAATCGCAAAAAAATGGAAATTTACCACAAAGTAATTAATACAAGATGACACCAACACTCCATACATCAACTAATATATAATAATGTTGATATACCTTTTTCATCATATCCTCCACCTAAAAATGTTTCTGGTGCTTAATAGAGTAATGAACCAGTTCTTGTCCACATTTCATGATATATTTTATCATTTTTCTTTTTGACCATGAATTTTTTAGATACACCAAAATCAATAATTTTGATATCAATTTAACCATGGAGTCTTACTAATATATTATCTGGTTTTAAATCTCTATGACATATGCCTTTCTTATGGATTTCAGTTATAGTTTGAGCCAATTATTTCATAATTTATTAGATCACCACATCAGGAATTGATTTCTACATATATGATTAGAGACTTTTATAATTGCAATATTCCATCACCCAATATGCAACTTATTCATTTTCATCAATGTACAAATCATATGATTTGATTATTTTGGGATTATCATTCAAAGTTCTATTGATATTAAAGGTTTAAATGATAGTTCGTATTAATTCAGGATCGTTTTGACATGATAATTTTTTAACAGCATAGTTTATTTTTAGTTAATCTAAAATTTTATAACAGATCTTAACAACACCATGAGCACCAATTCCAATTTTTTTAGTGACCTTATAAACATCATGAAATTTGGTGATTTTTGATTGCTGATTTTATTTAAAGAATGTAAATTATTTCCATTATGTTATTGATTTGGATCTCTTAGTTTCAGTCGGGTATTGAGATCTTTCTGTCTTCAATGATAAGAATAGAGATTGCTTCACACTCTGTCTTAACTCAAACAATTTTCTATTTGACTATTATTTCATATATTAATATTATATAAAATTTAATACATTCTCATACTCACTCATTCTTATCTGTTGTTTTACATAATCCAAAAATATGTTTAATATTAATCACATTTAAATAAATTTCTTTAGTACATAAATTAATTAATGACATTTCTTTGGGCTGACATACCATTCGAATGGACTTGTCTTTCATTAAGATATCATAATGACATGCTATGGTAACATTACTTATCTATATATATAGGTATATATGGAGTCTTATATAAATGATACCGGTCTTTGTAGCAGGATTCTATTAATTGTACAAGCATCAAACAACACCTGATTATTATCATAAAATCAAGAAAGGCACATGGGATCAGTTTATTGTCATGTTTTTTGTATTCCAAAACAATACTATAAGGCTGCTCCAGTTCCACTCTATTATTTAATTGATCTCACAATTTCTATTGTGGAGGGAACATTTTTTGAACCATGTAGATTCTGGTTATGGTTTCATCACATGGTACATCATTTATTCAAGAAACTAAGGTTTCCATGATTGTCATTCCAGCATTAATTCTAAGAAATGAGTATGAATGGTAAGACACAATGATCATGGCCACACATACTTTACTGATGAAGTATCCCTTCATCTTTCTATTTAATATATTATATGTTGGGCTAGTGTTTTATTACAATATTTTGCTTTATTTCAGGTATATACATAATATATCCTATCTAGTCCATTGAATGAAAAATGGGTCAATAGATTCTTGGGTAAATTCTTCCCTTTCATCTATTACAGCTTTATTGTCCTCTTGGTTCATGATTGCAATAATGCCTTACCATTCCTTTATTGATCATTCATTAAAATACATATATCTTTAAAATTACATTATGAACAATTGATATTTAATTTTTTATAAAATTCATTATATTTCATTATAAAAATGGGTTGTGTCCAAACAAGATAATATGAAAAGAGCACAATGATTACTTGTGAAATCAAATATTTAATTCCTGAATTAGTTTAATCAATAAAATTAGCATAATAATGTCTCTATTCTCCAGAATCTCCAATCACGGTAATCGCTATTTCCAATTTTAGCTTACTCCTATCAAACCAATAAACGGAATTTATTGTAAAATCGAAAGCACATTACCATCAGGTTCGGTTAAAATGAGAGCCATCTATAATATGCTTTATAGATTGTAACAGAAAAAACGGTACAGAGGAGATGATGAGCTAAATTTAGTAATTTGTTCTTCTGGAAATGCAGCCACAGCTTGTATAGAGAGTTTGAAATTATTAAAGTCAGATAGAAAGTTGAATCAAAAATAAGAAGGAATTGCAAGTGAATTTGTTTAAGATGATACACCTACTGATCCAGGATTGTCTGTAGAAATTAAAGATGAATAATTCTAATCAAAAATAAAACCATATGAATTAATTGGCAAGTTAATAATATTCTCGAAATATGTCAAAGAAATTCATCAAACAAATGATTTACCTAATGTTACAATAATACATTCTGAGTTAAATAAAAATGAAATTGAAAAAGAAGCTATAACATATAGTTAAGAGATGGGATATGATTATTTAGATTTATAGAATGATTTTGATGTTTTTGGAGGCTATGCTACAATAGGATTTGAAATAGATTAATGGCAAGTTTTAACAAATACAAATATAGATTATATATTTGTTACTCTGAAAAGTGGAGCTTTAATAGCAGGAATAGCTTTCTATTTAAAGTACATTGCATAAAATTAAACGCGTATTATTGGAGTAATGTTAAATGGAACAACTAGAAAAGATGCAACTTTATGTTAATAAATTATAGAAGGATTTATTGATGAAATTCTTTATGTCACTGTAGAGGAAGTAGAGAGGGCTTAATGTGAATTAGCAAAAGCTGAGTAAATAGCTGAATTTAATTGTGCTATTGCTTATGCAGGATGCAAGAAGAGTTAAATGAAAAATAGCTTAGTTGTACTTTCAGGTGGAAATGTTGCAGTTAAAGATTTAGAAAGATTAATGAAAAAATATGAATGAATTAAGTTTATTTATATATATTATGAATATTTAATAGTTCAAAAGTAATTTCTAGTTAATAGTAACAGCAATAATGAATTATAAGGTTATGCATAAATAGTAATTTACCTAAAAGAATAATAACATAAGATGGCAATAAAACAAATGAAGTTGGTATTCGGAAAAAGAAGGAGTAATTATATGATGACAGTAGTCAATAATTCTTATATAATTTATAGAAAATGATTCTCCATCTCTATAATTGAGTAAGTTTTTAGGTTTAATTAGCATATCCCATAAATTAAAAATTAATATTAAATAAATTGAATAAGGGGAGAGAGGAGATAATGATAATTCTTTCGCCACATGAAAATAATTATATTGTTTGAATATTAAATTAAATGGCTTCTCATTTTTTATCTTTTCTTTTTCTATCTTCTATAATATAAGAATTGAAATACTGTTGTCCTATTAAGTGCTAAGCTAATAAGCTAAAGTTTCTTTGATAAATGGACGTTGGATATCAATAGGTTTATCAATAATCTTGGCGTTAGCATTAACATTTTAATCGTTAATGACCAATTATAAATGGACTGGAGGACGTAATGCCTCCTGCAATTAAGAGGACGATGAATACAAGAGTAAATAACTTGAAAATTAAATTGCTGCCATACTTCCTATTTTACTAAAAAACATATATTCCAATTAGATCTCCATACTTTTTAAACTCCAAATAGACATTAAAAGGAGGTACATCTCTATCTAATTCAACTTGCACCTCATAATTTCTCAATAAATCTTAAACAGGTCTTTATTTTTTAGCCACAACTAAAAGAGGTATGCCCTTAACTTGCAAACAGGGCCTCAAATTGACTAAAAATTGAGCAGTATTTTCATCTTAAAATTATAACTCTAAATATTGCATCTTATCAGAAGTGTCTTAATAATTTAAATAAATAATAACTCCAAATTTGATGTATAGGTGCATTTTATTTATGATGAGTAACAATCTCTTAGATAACATCATTCTCATTAACTTCTTGTGGTATAGAGAAGATATAAACACTATTTTTATCAGTGTACACCTATTAAGGTTTGATAGGTTAAACATTCAATTAATCTTTATTTAAATCTAAAGAAGAACTCCTAGATGATTATCTATTTTTTTTGACTTATTTTATTCTTCTTGGTTCACTAGAAGAAGATGGAGATCTCCTTCTTGATCCTTAACCTTAAGATTATTTGCTGTCAACTTTTTTACTCTTCTTTTTCTTACTAACACTTCTACTCTTATATCTTCTTGATGATTCACTACTATCACTTCTACCCTTAGATTATTACTACAATCAACTTTCTATTATTACATTTCTCCTCAAGGATCGTTCTAAATGTTCTTTTTCTAACATATTCTTATTTTCTAAATAATTTTTAAAGGCATCACTCAATTCAACTACTTCCTTTTATCTTCCTATACATAATTTGACTAAATCATACCATTCCTTCCAAAATTGAAATGCTTCTTGCCAATATATACTAATTTGGCATTATCATCATTGCTCATCCCTATTGCTACATCACAATATGATCCCTGTGTATTGAACATTTGAACAACCTCACATGATCCAGCCAAATTCACTAAATATTACCATACATTACCTTTTCTCTTTATGAAACTCAAGAATTCATTAGTACTCATACCATTCATATGTACATGACGTACATAAAAGTGAATCTTGAATTCACTGTGTGGATAGTAACGTTTTCCAATCTTATTCTCAAAAGAGGATGATTAATTTGAGTATGATTCATTTGAAGAATCACGTCTCTTAGATTGCCCTTTTCTACCTTCCTCCCCATATGAAGAAGCATTTCTTCCCTCATCCTTAGTCTCTTACTTTTGTACTTCCTCTTGTTAACCTTACTACTAAATCATTTTTTAAAATATTAATGTTAAATTCAAATAATGAGACGCTTCTCAAACAGGTGAACAAAAACCAAACTCTCCTAATCCAAAAATTACAAGATGACATTCAACTCCTTAATGAAGAAATTGAAGCTTCTAATTAACAAATTGACACTCTCAAATCAGAAAATGATTTAGCATTATCTCAACAATAATCCATCATCCAAGATCTTAGAAATGAATGCTAGAACTATCAATAATAAAATATGGAACTCCAATCCAAATTCACTTAATCTGTCTTATAAAATCAATTGCTTTAATCTAAGTACGACAAAAAGAATAAATAATATACAGATTAAATAATAGAACTCAAGCAACAAATCAAATTAATTCATCTAAAAAATTAAGATTATCAAAGAGAGATTATAGATCTACGTAAATCCTTGGATTTCAAAAAAATAGAACTTTCCAAAGCCATTGACAACTCTTCCTTATTAAATGAATAAAATAAACAGCTAAAAGCTAATTTGGATTTGTAAAAGGTTGATTATTAAAATAAGATTGATCAAATTTAAAATTTAATTCAAGACAAAGATGAAGAGATCACTCTAATAATAAATGATAACAATTTATTAAATAAAAACAATCTAGAATTAATAGAAAAAAATGACAATCAATTGCAAACTTTTAAATCTTAAATCCACATTCTAGAGCAAGACAATCAAAAGCTTCAAATTCAATTATCAGATGTCCTAAATTAAAATTGTCTTTTAAAATAATAATTATTGTAGAAATCTTAAGAAATGCAAATCATATCCTCTTCTATATAATTGTAATCAGCTGCTGAATCTCAATAATTAATGGTTTAATAATAATGTTCAAATTTGTAGAATCAAAACAATTAACTAGAAATGATTTTATAATAAAAAGAAAATGATATTTAATCCTTTTAATAACATATTCAAGCTCAAAATGATTAAATAACATAATAAAAATAATAATATAGAGATCTAGAATTCTTATATCAATAATAAACCTAAAATATCGAAAAGAACAATCAAGAATTACTTAATTAAATTAATAATCTATAATAATAGATATCTAAACTTACATCTGAGTTGAAAGAATCTGATATAAAGCATGTTTAAGTTAAACAAATATAAGAAAGTACTATATCAAAATTAAATCACGATATTCGATTATTAGAATAAAAAAATGAAGATTTGATTTTACATAATAACAAACTTATAAATGAAATAAAGTAAAATGAATTAATACAATAAAAAGAATCTACCATTATTTGTTAGAAAAATTCAGAATTTGAAATTTAACTCTTAGAATCATAACATTAAATAGAAGATTTAAAATAAGAAAAATAAAAATAAGAACATGTTGTTGAGATGTTAAATCATTAATTATAAATTTAAATATAATTACAAAACAAATTAGAGGAAGATATAAATAAATATTAAAGCTTTCTCATATCACATGATAAACAATTAGAAGCTATCACTTCTAATGAAAGTTCTGACTCTAGTGATTCAAGCGAAGAATTAATAACAGAAAAATCATAATAATTAAATTTTGATGTACTATGTACTAAATTAACAGAAAAAAATAGATTAATCTAACTAAGATTAGAAATTTATGAAAAATAAATTAAGCAATATAAATAAGAACTTCATTCTAAAACTATAGAAATTTAAAAGCTTTTTAGTGAAAATTCTGAATCAAATTTAAAACTTTAAAGATTATCATAAATACAACCTAAACTAGAATAATAGCTAGAAAGTCAGGAAGAATCTTTAAAATAAAAGGATTAAAATATTGAAAATTTAACATTGTAAATTACAAAATTGTAAGTTTAATTTAATGAAATTGAACAATCAAATTTATCTCTTGTAAACTAAATAAAAATATTAATAGAAGCTTAAGATAATCAAACATTGGATTTCTAAAATTAAATATTAATTCAAGCAAAATAATATGATATAAAGATTCAAGAATTAACAAAGACAAAAAAAGACATTGAAATTCAATTGATTCAAAGTGAAAATAAAACCAAATAATTAGAGATAGAGAATGAATCATTGAATCTAAAAATTGCCTCTTTAGATGTAGAACTTTCAAATTTATAAAATCAACTTTAACTTGAACTTGTTACCAAAAATGATTTATAAAGTAATTTGAATTCTATAAAAGAAGAATTAATTTCAAATTTCGATTTACGCACCTCTGAAACAACATAAGTTTCAATCTTTGATCAAGTATTTCCAAATATCAATTATCAAGTATTATTATTTATAGAAGAAATAACAGAAAACATCAAGAAATAATTATATAATAAGATGGATAATCTAGAAAACAATCTTTTAAGAACTATTAATAAATATTAAAAATTATTAGAAAAAATTTAAAAGAATTATCACAATATTTAATAATTGTATGAACTAAGTCAATAGACATTAATACAAAAGGAAAGTCTATAATAAGATTAAAATAAAAAACTATTAATATAAATTAAATCTTTGTCGGAAGAATTAAATTACAAAAACAATCTCATCCATCAATTAGAAGAATAATAAAAGAAATTATTACTTGATTAATAAAGTATAGAACAGTAGAATCTAGATTAATAGAATATAATAAATCAATAATAATAATAAAAATAAGATGAATTTCATTAAACAAAAATTGCTGAACTTGAAAAAATAATTACAAATTAACAATTAGAAATGGATTAGTTTATTAAAAAAATTACTCAATTAGAATAATAAGTTTAAGATTAAAAAAATTAAGTTAATTCAAAATAAAATAGAATAAATGAATTAAAGTAAGAGTTGAATCATTTAAAAAATGATTAGACAGGACTAAAATTTGATTAATTGAAATTTTAATAACAATAAAATTAGATATTAGAACTTATTTCGAATAATACAAATTTAACTCAATAAAATTTAGATGCATAACGCAGATTAAAATAATTAGAGGATTCAAATTAAAATTTATAAGATAAAATAAATCAACTAATTAAATAAGGAGTAAGCCAAAAGGAAATAATTAATTAATTACAATAATAAAACTAGTTAGAAGTTAAATAAAATCTTGCCTTGATGTAACAGATGGATCCTTTATAAAAGCAGATAGAATATTTAACAAGAGAAAATCGAAAGCTATAACAATCCAACAACGATTTTGAAAAAGCTTATGGAAAATTGCCTATTTATGGTAGTCCTAGCCCAAAAAAAGTTTAAAATATTGATTAAAATTAACTCAAAAAATTTGAAGAAGAATTGTAACAGATGTAATTGAAATTCACACAAGAAATGGAGGAAAAAAATAAAGAATTAAAACATATCTCTAAAGAGTATGAATTGCAAATATAATAATTTAAAGATGTAAATTAAGATGAAATAAATAAATTAGAAAAAAATTGTAATGCTTTGAAAAACGAATTAAAAGAATAATAAGTTTAAAATAATAAATTATTGGAAGACAATCACAAATTTGATAGAGAAAATTTATAATTAATTCAAAATATTGACAAATTAACATTATAGCTGAATGAATTTAGTAAAAATTAAATAATATAAACTTAATAAGAAAACGAATTGATAAGAATCAATATGCTTCACTAGCAAATATTAGATGAAAACTAAAAATTATAGAATCTTATAATTAAATTGGAGGAGGAAAATAAAAATATGAAATAATAACAAAATTTATTAAGTCTAGAGTTAGAAAAATAAAATAATGAATATTAGATTTAGATAAGTTAATTGCAGGTAAATTATAGAGATTTACAAAATTAGAGTTTAGAATAAAAAAAAATATTAGAATAGAAGGTATGTGAGATTAATAATGAATTGAAGAATAAATAGTTTGAATTTGGTAAAACAATTGAAAATCTTTAAAAAATAATTAATGATTAGAACGATTAATTATAGAATTCTAACAGTAATATCTAAGATCTATAATAATAAATTAATTATTAAGAAGATTAAATACTTTAATATAAAAATTTGATTCAAGAAAAAGAGAAATTGATTAAAATTTAAATTGATTAACTTAAAAATTTTGAAATTGAACATAATAATAAAGTAGAAAATCTTTAAAAAATAATTGATGATTTAAATATATAATTATAGAAGTCTTAGAGTTATATTCTAGAATTATAATAATAAATAAATTGTTAGGAGAGATAAATTAATCAGTAAATAAGTTAGATATAAGAAAAAGAATAACATATATCAAATAAAATAAATTAATCAAATGATTTAAATTAAGAATTAAAGAATAAAGTATAACATCTTTAAAAAATAATTGATGATTTAAACATATAATTATTGAATTCTAAGAATAATATATAAGATCTAAAATAATAAATTAATACTTAAGAAGATTAAATACTTTAATATTTAAATTTGATTCAAGAAAAAGAGAAATTGATTTAAATTTAAGTTGATTAACTTAAAAATATTGAAATTGAACATAATAATAAAGTAGAAAATCTTTAAAAAATAATTGATGATTTAAACATATAATTATTGAATTCTAAAAAGAATATCTAAGATCTATAATAATAAATTAATACTTAAGAGGATTAAATACTTTAATATAAAAATTTGATTCAAGAAAAAGAGAAATTGATTAAAATTTAAATTGATTAACTTAAAAATATTGAAATCGAACATAATAATAAAGTATAACATCTTTAAAAAATAATTAATGATCAGAACGATTAATTATAGATATCTAAGAGTAATATTCAAGAACTATAATAATCATTATAAGCTTCAGAATATTCAATTAATACATATAAAAATTAGATAGAAGAAAAAGAAAAGCTAATATTAACATCAATTAATGAATCAAAAACAACTGAAATGGATTATAATAATAAAATTGAATTTCTTAAATAACTACTTGATGACTAAAATTCATTACTATCAAATTCTAAAAACAAAATCTAAGATCTATAATAATAAATTAATTATTAAGAAGATTAAATACTTTAATATAAAAATTTGATTCAAGAAAAAGAGAAATTGATTAAAATTTAAATTGATTAACTTAAAAATTTTGAAATTGAACATAATAATAAAGTAGAAAATCTTTAAAAAATAATTGATGATTTAAACATATAATTATAGAAGTCTTAGAGTTATATTCTAGAATTATAATAATAAATAAATTGTTAGGAGAGATAAATTAATCAGTAAATAAGTTAGATATAAGAAAAAGAATAACATATATCAAATAAAATAAATTAATCAAATGATTTAAATTAAGAATTAAAGAATAAAGTATAACATCTTTAAAAAATAATTAATGATTAGAACGATTAATTATAGAATTCTAAGAATAATATATAAGATCTAAAATAATAAATTAATACTTAAGAAGATTAAATACTTTAATATTTAAATTTGATTCAAGAAAAAGAGAAATTGATTTAAATTTAAGTTGATTAACTTAAAAATATTGAAATTGAACATAATAATAAAGTAGAAAATCTTTAAAAAATAATTGATGATTTAAATATATAATTATTGAATTCTAAAAAGAATATCTAAGATCTATAATAATAAATTAATACTTAAGAGGATTAAATACTTTAATATAAAAATTTGATTCAAGAAAAAGAGAAATTGATTAAAATTTAAATTGATTAACTTAAAAATTTTGAAATTGAACATAATAATAAAGTAGAAAATCTTTAAAAAATAATTGATGATTTAAACATATAATTATAGAAGTCTTAGAGTTATATTCTAGAATTATAATAATAAATAAATTGTTAGGAGAGATAAATTAATCAGTAAATAAGTTAGATATAAGAAAAAGAATAACATATATCAAATAAAATAAATTAATCAAATGATTTAAATTAAGAATTAAAGAATAAAGTATAACATCTTTAAAAAATAATTAATGATTAGAACGATTAATTATAGAATTCTAAGAATAATATATAAGATCTAAAATAATAAATTAATACTTAAGAAGATTAAATACTTTAATATAAAAATTTGATTCAAGAAAAAGAGAAATTGATTAAAATTTAAATTGATTAACTTAAAAATATTGAAATCGAACATAATAATAAAGTATAACATCTTTAAAAAATAATTAATGATCAGAACGATTAATTATAGAAATCTAAGAGTAATATTCAAGAACTATAATAATAAATAAATTGTTAGGAGATATAAATTAACCAATATAACAATCAGATTTAAGAAAATGAGAACGCTTATTAAATTAAAATTTTGAATTCTAATAACAATATTGTTGCTTTAAACGATAGATTAAAAGATTCTGAAAATCAAGTTCTAAACCTTTCAAAATAAATATACAATGAAAAGAACAAACTAAACGAGTAATAAAAATTGCTTGAAGAAGAGAAGGCAAAAGTGTAGTATATTCTAGATAAATTTACACTAGAGGATTAAAAGTAAAAATAGCTAGTAATGGATTAGGAGGAATAAATTAATATGTTAACTAGTATTAAATAATAAAATGAATTAAAGTTAATTTAAGAATAAGTAATAAATAGTTAGTTAAAAAAGGATAATTTTGAAAAAGAATAAAAATTAAATTAATTATTGATCTTAGAAGAAGATTAAAAAAATGAAATTATGAAATTAAATAATTAAATTAGTATTGAGTAAGATGTTATAAATAATCTTAAGTTAAAACAAGAAGAGGAAGCTAAAAATAAAATAATATTATAAGATCAAATTAAGGAATACTTGTAAGTTATTTAAAACTTATAAATTGAAATTAAAGAAGTACCTATTATTGAATAACAACTTAAAGACAAAAAGAAAGAACTTGATAATAATAGAATCACTTTAGAAGAATTATAGGATAAAATAAATGAGTAGGAAAGTCTTATTTAATAATTAGAACAAGTAATTTAATCAAGTTCAGAATCATTTCAAATTTTATCTTTTTAAAAAGAATAGCATTAGATAGAATTAAATAAAAAGTAGAAATAATTACAAGATAAAGATATATTTATTCTTGAATAAGAAACGATTATAGGAAATCTTAAGGAGGATTATGTGAAATTATAAAAGCAGTTACAAGAGATGTAGAATAAAATCTTAATCAATTAAACTTAGAATTAAGAGAATTGTAGTTTATTATAAAAAAAAATAGATGAGTTGGAAAAATAAAAAATGGATCAAGAAAACATAATATCTTAATTGTAAATTAAAAATTAGGAAATAAACAAGAAATATGATCAAAGCGAATAATTAAATGAAGAATTAAAATAATAATTAAATAGGCAATTTGATTAAGTTAATTATAAATAATAGTAAGTTGTAAATTTGGAAAATAAAATAATGTAACTAAACAATACAAATTTAACTTAAGAGCAAAAGATTGCAGAATTTAATTAGAATATTAATTAATAGGATTAATAAATTAATGATTTAAAAAATAAGATTAAAATTTTAATCTAAGAAATTTCTGAGAAAGAGGATAAATACAAAAACGAAATAGAATAATAAAAAATGAAAAGTATATCTAATAAAATATCATTTGAGAACAGGTTTTAATAGTCAATTATTGAATGTAATTAAAAATTAGAGGATAAAGAGAAAGATTATAAGATTTAATAACAAGTTATGCAGGATAATTTGAATTAAGAAATTTTGGTATCTAAGAAATTTGAGGAGCATAATAAAGAATTATAAATAAAAATCCAAAATTTAGAAACATTATTAGAGAAACTTAGAGCAGAGAATGTAAACTTATTAAGTAAAATTGAAGAGCTTATGGTTGAAAATAGTAGTCATTAAAGTGAATTAGAGAAAATTAAGAAATATAAAGAAGAACTTGAGGTTAAATATTAAGATATGGAACATTAAAGGAATGAAACATTAGATTCAAACAAAAGTTTATAAGAAATGTTATTTGAATTAAAATAGATTAATGAGAAGATTGTTGAATAAAATAATGCTAAGTAAAGAGAGATGGATGAGATAAAGAGTTTAAATTAAAGTTTAGAAAAGAGACATTCTTTACTTATAAATGAGAAATCAAGTTTGTTAGAACAGGTTCGAGAATAAAAATCTGCTTTAGTTGATCAATGTCAATAGTATACTTCATTAGAGAATTAGTTTAATCAAATGTAATAGAATTTCATTAGAATAGAATCTCAAACTAATAGTATGAAATAAATAAATCAGTAGTTAGAATAATCTTTATAATAATAATAGTAGGTAAATTCATAGATAATTTAAAAATAAGAATAATCATATTAGTAATAATTAGATTAATTGACTCTATAACTTCAAGATAGTTAGAATTAGATTAAATAACTTTAATAAAAGAATGGAGAGTAGAGGTAGGAGATTCAAATGATTAGAAATGATTAAAAGTAATGGGAGAACAATAAAATAAATGAATTGGTTTAAATGAAATAGGAAAGTGAGAGATAGATATAAAGATTGATGGATTAGGTTAGTTAAGTAGAAGGATTAAATAAGCAATATTAGAATGAAATCTTAGAGTTGAACAATATAATAAAAAGATAAATTGAAGAAAAGGATAAGAGTAATATAAATGATCAAGTAATTTAATAATTGTAAACAAAGTTAAAATGTAATTAGTTAATCTCTATTATTTAATAGTAAGTGAAGAATAAATAGAAAGATTACTTATGACTAATAGGGCATTGATGGAAGAGAATGCTAATCTTCAAGAGTAAATTAAGGATGATTTAAACTCTAGTTTTTGCAGCAATTCTTCATAAAAGTGATTATATTAATTAATAAATAAAAATGGGTAGTTGCGCAACTAAAAATTAAGAAAATGAAGTTTCTCTCCCTTCTAATCCTAGATTACAAAGAGCTTACTAAGTAAAATCTAATTGAATTTATAGCAATATTCATAAATCATAGAAATTACTCATCCACTTAATGTGAATCAGAAATACAATAGTTACTTTACTTTGATACCAGATTAATTTGTAGGTACAGGAATAAAGAAGACAAATTAATATGAATCTCGTCTTTCAAAAGAAGAATGGCAATAAAAAAGAGTTGAATTCTGGGGTATAAATGATTGTTTGATAGTAGAATCTAGAATAGAGGGATAGAAGGAAAATTGGATTACTATAAAAGCTGCATTGGAAGCTGATGAAGGTATGTATTATTGTAAATTAGGAACTGCAAAAACACTTTTGTAAGCTGCTGACTTAAAGCTAATCAAAAATAGTATGTAAATTGTTTTTGATAATCATGGTATTATAATAAAAATAGAAATATTTAGGATAGAAATATGATTTACCAGTTTTTGTAATTCATAATCCTATTTCTTTTCCATAGAAATAATCTTATGATTAAAATCTTTACTAAAATTTTGACCGTAAGGTTGTTAAGGTAATTTTTGATGTATATTTTGTAGTTTAAATTGAGATGTACAAAATGGAACACTGATAAGGAGATATCCTATAACACAGGAGACAAGGTTGAATCATTAATAAAAGAATTACAATCTTAGGAGAATCCATAGAAGATGAAATTGTTTGTAAATGGCAGAGAAATGAAAGGCCATAATATGTTTGGAAATTATGGTGTCTAAGATAATTCTGTAATTATTCCCAATTATCTTTTTTTAGGTTGTACAAGCATTTATGTTCTGATTATATAATAATATATATATTTATGAATAAATAGAGACGTTAGAAAATACTTCCAATTCAATAACTTTAGGCTAAACTTAAATAGTTGAAATAAAGCATAAGAGCTAGTGAAATCAAATCTCTAAGATCATCTTGCCTTTTGACTGAAACCACTCCAATAGACAAATTGGATAAAATCAAAAAACTAAATCCTAATAGTAGTGTTGATGGCAAGACTATGTATCTCAAACCTTCTTTTAAAACAAAGATGAAAACTTCAAAAAGGTATTTCTAAATCAATTTTTAGTCCATAATCTATGAAATTAAAAACAAGTTCTGTACTAACCTAAAAAAAAACAATTCCTTCACCTTAAAAGCCTCTTAAAGATATAGTAAAACATTATATTAAGAGTAAAATTCCAAAAAGTAGAACTCCATCTAAGTCACCTCCATAAAAGATCAAGAAATTATCAAGTCCATAATAAAGACAAGTTAGAAGTCAAAGTAAAAAGAAGATCAAATATAAAACTACTATTAGTTCACCTAATAAAGTTAATAAGAAAAGCAAAAAATAGAAAACTTAAAATCAATATTATTAACCATAAATAAGTAAGGTAAGTTCTATTAGATTAAATACTTTTTCAGTGAGTGAAGATCCACATAAAATGTTAATGAATTAGATTATTGATGAATTACAATAGATGAATGAGAAATAAATCATAGAATTATAATCTTATTTAAAGAATATAAAATAATAAAAAATTGATGAAGCATTATAAACAAGTTTACATGAAAAAATAGATATTTAATTAAAACATCAATAAAAAGCATTTCATGAAAGTTTACCATTAAATATAATTAATGAAATTTGTCATTAAAGAGAATCAACTATAAATGTAAGAGTTAAAATGTAAATGGATGCATTTTCTACTTTATTAGAATAACAAAAAATCTCACCAAGATCTTTTAATAAAAATGGTTAAGTTTTAGAATAATGGAAAACCTAGTCAACAGATAAATTACATAAATGTTAAGAATTATTACAAAAAATGTAAAATGTAACAAATAAAATTCAGTAAAAAACTATTTAAGATTTGAAACTTATTTAAGAATTAGAATCAAACAATTCAATTGTAATTTAATAGTTATGTAAACTATAAAATAAACTTAGAATAAATGTCATGTGATTCAAGTTATTTGGAGTCTTAAGATTTATATTTACATTTTCCTATGTAAAATTAATAATAAGATTTCAAAAGGAAAGATGTAGATTTTGAATTTCAAACAACTCCATATAATCTAGAAATCTAAACAAATGTTGGAACTGTAAATTTATTTGTAGAATTATTGTGTGTTAGCATTTTAAGTACAATTTATGTTTATTAATAATTAGATGATGATTTAACTTAATTTATTTAGAGAATGAATTATCCTTATGGTTTATAGCCATATGATAAAATAAGAAAAATTCATGGATATAATATTGTTTAAGATAAATAATATGAATATCCAATATAGGATTGTGTATTCTAAGAAATATAGGTATGATAATATCATAGATTAAGCAAAGTAGTAATCCGTATGAATAAATTCATAATAAAGCTATTTTTGATACTTTTAATGAGATTCTAAATTTATATAGACCATTTTATTATTGTGATGGTCAACCATATCCTTGGGAATTCTATAGAAATCTAATAGTTACTTTATACAATGAGGATAATGTGAGTCTTTTATTAGAGAAGGCTAAGGAAAAAGTAATATAGTATGCATCTACATTATGTGGATTAATAAATGATGATGATGAGAATATTTAATCACGTTTAAATTATGAGGAAGTATTGTAAAGTTTGATGAATTCTGATTATTTATAGTAATTAAGAAATGAAAGACTTTAATTGTGCATAAAGAATGAAGTATGATATATAATAAATGTATAGTTAGAAGAGAATGAATATGAATGGAGATATCATGATAAGACAGAAGCACTAGTTGAGATAACAGATTGCATCTTTGAAGAATTGGTAAATGAATTAATGGTTGAATTGTATTGATAATATAAGAAATCACTTTCTCATACTTTTCTCTTATTCATTCAATGCATAATATTGAGCCAGATGGATATTTACTTATTAATTAATCTGTTCATTAGCTTCTTTTCTAAACATTCTCTTATATAGGAAAGTAGTACAAATCATAAGGAGTACCATTGTAGTGAGTACCACTACCCAGACAACCCAAGTGTTAGAACTTATAGAATGTTCAACCTAAAATTAGTGAATTTATTACCCAAACTCCATCATCTATATAACCAATCATTCTTTATTTACAAACATTTGGAAGTTATTCCTCAATGAAACTTCTACATATTGTTTACAAAGGTCCAAAATGAGATGTATCAAATAATTGTTAAGCTCCAGTTTCATAATTAAATGTATAAGTAGAGACAGTCAAAGATCCTTTGTATTTTAGGTCATTGATATATAAAATTGGCCATGACATTGCAGAATAATTGAGGTTAGTCTAGTATTGCTCATTAAGTAATTCATTTTCTTCTAGTTCATCATTCTTAGATTTAAAACTTTTAACATAGCAATCCTAAATCTCTTCAGGAACTAGACCTACTTGAGTCATAATATCATTTGAGCATTATGAAGCTTACATTTAAGTTAAACATTTATTGCTGTACTTTACTACATATTTCCACCATTTAACATTGTCTTTTTTGAAAATACATAATTATCTAACAATTTCTCTTACAGAATCTTATCCAGTCAAAGGACCATCACCATCAGGATCACTTGCACAATATCGACCACCAGACAAACATTGTTAATGTTGACTTGTATAATTGTCTTTTTTGCATTTGCCACATCTATCTATTGAATAATGTGGAGTAAAAATTAATTGTTCTTTCATTTCCATATGGAATGGATAAAACTATTCTAAGAACTAATAGCTCTATTTATCCATTGCACTAAACCAATAATGGTATTTAACTTTTTCTGTTTTCATCATTTCTGGGAATTTTATTACTAAATACACTTTATCATTTTAATTTGCATCCATATATTTTTTTATTATATCACCCTACTTTTTGGAAATCAATATTGCTGGTATATCAATTTCCTTTGTTTCATTCAAACTTACTAAATTCAATCCTGATATTTCTTCATCAAAATTGTCTACAATCACTAACATTTAATAACCAAATGATTATGCATTGATAGTCTAATTATCTTAAATTTATATTACCTTGGTGTAAAAAGGGCATTCACCTCTTTGTACAAGAAGTATCTTTACATTTGAATAGTCACTGTTAAAATTACTAGTAGTATTCATTTCTGGAGAGCAAAAATTAAAAGGTTATGCTACTTCAAGCACACCTGCAATTCTTTATCCATATGGCACAAAACCAAAATTAGCAATATTAAATTTAATCTAATCCAATTCAGGTTTCGTAGCTAAGTCTTAAGGATACTTTATCACTAATGTCTCTTTTTGGGCCAACACCAGTGTGATTAATGCAAAAATTATCATTTAATTAATTATTAATGATGTAAGACCCATTTAATAAGGTTATATACATAAATCATAAATACTCGTGCATTTTATTACGTAGATTATCCATTCTCTTGTCCATATTCTCTATTGGCTTAGCTCTTATTGCTGTTCTAATATCTTAAATTTTTTGTTTATTTATTAACATTGAAAGTCCATTCAAGTATTTCACTAATAAATCTAGAGACCCATCTGTTTACACATCAACATATTGAGGATCAAATTTTGGTATGATAATATCATTAACTTCATAATTTATAATATAATACAAGAATGTTATTCCAAAAGATTGGGTAATACATTCACCATCACTATATTAGGAAGATCATAATCAGGAAATTTCTAATGTATTAAAGATAAATCTCTATCAATTCTAATTGGCTCAGTACTATACTCTTTTTAAGTACCTTCATATTATTCTCTATTGCAAGTGCTAACAAAAAGTAAATTTCTAAAATGTTTTCCAAAAAAGGATTTAGCAAATGCAGCTGTCTTGTCTCTATCTAAACTTGACCATACTGCAACATCAAACCTATCTCTATATTTAATCATAAGTGAATCAAGAAAGAATTCTCTTCCTGGTCTCCAAATTATACTATAATTTTCATATTTATCATTTGGTTTTATATTATCTAATTCTCTTCTCTTATCCAAGTACAATTATTTCCCCAATCGTTCTGCTAATAGAAGAGTTCGAGAAATATCTGTAATCACTAGTATTTTTTTGTTCATTATGAAAACTTAATGGTTTATAAAAAATTATTTAATTTCTTATTTCTTATGTTTCTGTAAAAATTAGTTAGTCTAATTAAGATATCTAAATCTATAGAACCAATTAAAAAATGATATTTGAATTTATTATGATAAATGGCATCAATTTTAAAATCTGGAATGTATAGATTTTGACAAATTCATCATAAAAAATCAAACTTTTAACTCTGTCTTCACTTCCTTGATTTTAATTTGATTTATTAAGGAGTGTTACTCTATTTTAGATTCTGTAATAACTCCTAAAAGATAAGGAATGCATATTCATGTCCTCTTGAGATAAATTCTATCTATTTATATTTTAAGTCTTATTTCTATAAGTAAACTATTCATTCAGATTTTATAATTGTTATTTACTTATATATCTTTTTAATAAGAACTCAAAAATTTTATGATTTTCCCTCATCTATTTAAATTTATTTTAAAAATACAGCATATTAACAATATAAGCTACTTTAAATTATAATACAATACTTATTAATGTTTAGAATTCAATTAAGTATTTTGTTTCTTTTTAAAAAATATGTAATTTATATGAATAGAATTCTTTTTGATTAATAATTAAAAATTAGAAATTGTGTAATTATTCTTAAATTTTAGTAAGTATTTTAATAAATCCTATTTAAAAAAGATTATTATTATCAATAATAAATGAGAAACTACTTGAATTACTAATAATTATATATATATATTAGTGTAATTTAATTAATATAAATCATAACTACAATTGCCACTAAGTATAGAGTTTAAAATTGTCTTTTTGTTCATCTTCAACACATTTAATTAAATTAGATATTTGTTTGATGTTTTACATGAACTTCTATTTCACATAGTACAATTTATATGAGATTCTAGTTTGGGTATTTTCAATATCTTCCAATTCTGGTGGATCAATATTATATCCCATCTATTGATGTACTTCATATATTGCCCATTGCAATTATATACCTATATTATGATTCTATTATTTTATTAGTATTAACAATTTAATTAACTTTTATTGCTAAATCTCCTTGCAAAAAGGAACCATAAGAGATTAAACATTTAGATATTGAACTAAAGTATCTTCTTAAATGGTTGAAAAGATCTAAGGAATAATTTTTAAATTATTAGCAAATATTTATTCTGCACTATCTTGTTTATTTGGATCAAGTAGAAAATATAATCTTTGAAGCATAAATATTAGTTTATAATCATTTGATTACTCTTTAAGTTTATCATATACTATTTATTTGATTTAATTATCATTAAATTTATAGATTTACAAGTGAAGTGCTACAATTTCATAATATTATTGTTCAATTAATTCACATATATAAATTTAAGGTGAGGAAGTTGCTGTTAAAAAAGCATGTATTAATTATAATGATTTATAAGGTGGTTCATTCTTTAGAAATCCTAAAATGAAATCAAAAAATAGATGATCACAATCTTCATCTGATAAACATGAGAATATTTCTTAGATCTAAGTATAATATTAAAGTCCATCTGAAGCCATAAACTCCCCTAATATTTATATTATGTTTTCTTCATTCAAATCCATGAACAAATAATTTAAAATATATATTTAATTCTAGTTCAAAAAAATAAGATGTTTATATAGAATGATATTCTTATTAATTGTATTCTAATTTAAATAATCAACAATCAACTGATGAGCTCCATCCCATATAATAACTGTGATCAGCAATTGATGGAATAAGAACTGAATCTGAACAATTAGGATCTTCATCCAATTAGCATACAGTGTATGAAGCTCTGTGATACCAAATTTCTCTATCAACGTGATTAAATCCAAAGCTTTATGGTGGAACCTATATTTAAATGAATTAAATTACATGTGGTACAGCATCCTTATCATGAACAACTCTGAAATGAGTCACTTAAGTAAATGAAGAGAAATAATCATAATAGGCTTTATCACCAACTCTTGGTAATCCAAAAGTAGACAATTGAAGTGAATTTCCAGCAATTGCTAATTAAGTAGCATAAAGAGTAGCCATAGCAGCTCCCAAAGAATGACCGGTTACATGAATGACGGCATTTGGGTACATGTTTCTATATTATGTGAAGAGAGCGTCAACTTATGGCTTAAGTGAATTGAAGGCCTCAAGGAATCCTTTGTGAACTTAGCATTTGCATGCATCATTATAATCAACCTTATCGAATTAGATGTTGTCCAACCAGTTTTAGATGTTGCTTGAACCTCTGAAAACAACTGTGATGGCATTGTAGGTAGGGTTAAAAGCGATATATCCTTTTGTTCCCTAAAAATAATGTATAATTTCTTACTTAAATGATATCTTCAAAAACTTTAGGATTTTAAATATTTGGATAATTAGCACTAACATAGCCTAACTTCCAATTATTGATAGCTGAATTAGGACAATAAGCAGCAAATGAGAGGGCAGCTTCCTCTTTAGCCAAATCTTCATTATAGATGAATGTTGCACTGACTGTTGCTGTCAAAATAACCAAAATCAAAGCTGATGATCTCATTAAAGTTTATTATTTTAATTATTGCAAAATAATTTAAAATCAAAATACTTATATATCAAATATATAGAATTCGAGAAAGATATTTTATTATAAATTATTTATTTCATAAAATCAAATAATGATATTTGACTTGAATATTATTGAGATATTGAATAATGATAAATGATGTAATTATAAAATCAATTGGAAATTTGCATCACAGGCTCAGAATTACAAGAACTTGCTGACCAACCCAAATATGAATGATGATCATTCAAATTTGTACGTGTGGCTGAAGCTGAACAAGTTTGATCTTCTCCTTTTACTTCTTTACAAATAATATAATCTACTCCATCATAATACCAAACTTCTGTATTAACATGTTCAAAACCAAATCTAAAAGGAGGTAGATGAGGAGCAATATCCTTTTTATTTGTTAATCTTGTATGAGTAATTTACAACTTAGAAAACCAATCATAAAAATCAGAATCACCTACTCTTGGAGCTCCAACAGTAACCAAAGTTACTTTAATTCCAGTCATAGACAATTCACTAGCAAATAAAGTAGCCATAGCACCTCCTAATGAATGACCTGTAACATGATATTTAGCATATGGATATTTGACTCTATATTCACCAATTAAACTATTCAAATGTATTTTGAGTGATGAATATGCTGCCAAAAAGCCTTCATGCACTTGACATTTACAAGCTGTGTTGAAATTTGTTTTTTTTGTATCTATATCTGCAATAAAATTCTTAATATTATCTGATCCTCTAAATACTACAGTAATGGCTTAAGTTTAAGTATTATATGCTATATATCCTCTTGTTTTCTAAAATAATATCTAAAAAATACCATATCAACGTTTTCAAAAACTTAGACTTTTGTTAAATGTGGATATTGTTCACTTATAGTTCCTGTATTCCAATTATTGATGTCATTGATTTCACAATAAGCACCAAAAGAGAATGCTGTCAATTAACGTGCCAAACTTTCATCATATTCAAATGCTACAGCTAATGCTAAAAGAACCACTAAAAATTTCATGAATATATTTTATAAAAAGTAGAGTAATATCAATTCATTATAAATGCACGGTTTTATTATTAATTCCTTCAATTTATTAACTTTTATACATTCTTGTTATCTCTTTCTCTCTTTCAGTTTTTAAAGACTTAAAATAATTAATTAACATATTACTTTATATTTTTATCTTAATATTGTCATATCAACATTTTAATTTTCTGAAATAACATTTTAATTCTTTAGATATTATTTTACATACTTATCAATTCTAGAATCTAATCTATTTTTACATTTTCCAGGACTCTCCAATCTTATTTCTGTACTACTTCCATGTAAATTACTCATAGATGCCTTCAAAGGTTATTAATAATATTAATGAGATATTTAAGATTATAATGTTCCAAATCTTTAACTTTTTGTACGAGAAGTAGTTTAACTTGATTCTCCTTTTTATTTTGGAAATTTTAAATAAAATTTTCTAATTTATTTAACATCATTTTCACTAGATTCAATTTATGATGCTTTAATAGAATTTTCTGGTGATACTTCATGAATTTCTCTAGGCGTTTTCATTCCATTTTCTCTTAATTCTTCTATCAATTAGGAGAAATGATTTCTTCTCAATTATTAATTAATATTAGGAACTTCTCTAACATGGAATACATAATTATTAGTATTAAATAATTCACATTTCATATTTGTAAAAGTTCTCTTCCTATCAAATAATTTAGAAGTAGTAATTTTTTAATTAGTATCTGTTTATGATTCTGTTGCTTAACATATAGGATCTCCAGGATTTAATTATTTGACTTATAATTTTCTTTTAATTGGATAAAATGTCTAAAATGCTCTCATTTCTTATATTAATGTTTTATTATCAATCTTTTTATCCAAATAATCTTATATATCATTTAATACATGATAAAATTTTTATCCTTCTAATTCCACATATTCTTAAGGTTATTCATTTTTTTATTTATTAATTTATTTTAATTCATTTAATTTTGATAACAATTATTTGTTGTCTAAATTACTGAATGCATATTTCTCACTTATATCATTATTATATAAATCTTAATGATTAAGTTTAATCTTATATTCACTTGGACTTTATTGTTCTTACTTTATTAATTCTTCATATTCAATTTCTTCTTCATTTTTTTCCATTTTTTTTATATTATACTATGGACCCAAATCAAATTTAGAATCACCAGCACCATTATGCCAACCATTAATCATCCCTTAATCAATCTTTGATGTTTTAATAATACGAGCACTTGATGGACCATCATGTTTCATAGTAGAGTCTATTTTACATACTCTTCTCTATCCAAATTACAATGCTATCTTTCTATCAATCTTCTAAAACCCTTTTAATTAAGCATCATTTACCTACTCTTTTAACCATAAGAATTATAAAGCTCTATCTAAAGTGATTGGATGTGGTGCTTAATCTCTAAATTTCGTACATTTACTAAAAAATGCAACCTAAAATACTTATAATTATTATACATCTTCCTTTTCCACTTATTTCAATACATCCTCATATAATAATTTATGTCTGTGCATCTTCTACATTTTCTTCTTCATTTATATAAATATGATTTATAAAGTGGTTAATTGATATTATAATTGATATTTTTATAAATGAATTATATAATTGTATGATAATATATTTATGAAAATCAATCCTAAATGCAATAAATTATCAATCTCTATATAATATAATGATCTATCCACTTTTTAAATAACATTCCCAATTTTCATATAAGCACTTTTGAACTATTCCTATTTTTTTGAATTCACCTTTCCTACTCAATCCAAGGATGGTTTCATATTACTTTTTTTTAGTATTATCCATTGCTATAGTTTCTGTAATTGTTAATTTCCTTTAAGCAAATTTGATTTAACTATAATTTGAATATATTATTTTTTCATATGATTTAATTCCATGTGATTGATAATCTAATGGTTCATTAAATAGAGTTAAAGTTACCCAAGAAAATGAATTTTAAATCTAAATTTATTAGAAAATAAATTATATACAGCTGCCCATCCTTAATCCTTAGTTTCTACAACAGCCATAATTACTTCAATTTTATCATATATATCTGAAATATCTACTTCCAAATATAATTGAATCCCATTATTCTTTACATTAGCCATTTTCTCTAAATGTACTACTCTTTTCTTGAAATTTAAGAGTTATTCTTTAAAAAATGAATTGGTTAAACCTAAAGATAATATATCACATGCCATTAAATATTTTGATAACCTTAATATCAAACGAAAATCAAGTATTCCAAGTAATCCTAATGAAAATTATTATTATTAGTCCATATATATTGATTAAATTATTAGTAGTAAATAATTCTATTTTCCTTTATTTATCAAATTGAATAAATCATTTTGTCATCCCTATCAATTAGAGATAAGGTTTAATAACTAATTTGTACAATTATTAATAAAATATTTCTGTTATTAAATATAATGAATCAAAGTTATTATCATAAACTAAATAGTAGTTTAACACCTGGAAAGAATAAATAAAGTAATTTAACATAACTTTAATTGTAAGACCTCATAAAAATAATTAGAAACATTAGCAAACAAATAAGAGATTCAACTGATAATAATAAAAAAAGTGACTCTTTACTTAATATACTCATTAAATAATAATAATAAGCAATTTAATCAGATAGATAATTTAGTATAGAAAGATCTATAAAAAAGTCTCCCTTAGAAACGTATTCATTATTTATATTCAGATCACCTTATATATAAAAGAATACAGCAATTGTTTCATCTTCACTTTCATTTATCAGAAGAAGCACAGAATAATCATAGATGGGTGGTAGTACATAATTTGATAGATTACTTAATGAAAATACAACATTGTTAATGAAGATTTAAGAATTGGAATAAAAAGTAAAATACATTTTTAAATAGTAAGAATTCATTATTATAGATGAAATGTTAATCTTCTAGAAAATAAGATATTTTAGTTAAAAAAGAAAATATAACTAATGATAAATAGTTATTATTATAAATAAATTAAAAGAATGAAAATGAAAATAGAATTTTAAAAGAATTAATAAATAGGTAAACTTATTTAATGCATATTCCATCAGTTCTATAAACATTATCACTTATTAAATGATTATATATTGTTTTTTAAATAATAAAATTAAGAGGAATCATTATTCAATATCTAATTATTTTTATAATTGTCTTGTTTTATTGCATAAAAGTCCAACCTATTTTTATTTTAAATCAAAGATTCCTAAAAGTTCAGTCAATAATCTAGGTTATAAAGCAAGCAATCCTAAAATTTAAACTGATGTAAATTGCATGAATTACTCTTAACTTACTGAATTACGAATTCTAAAATCTTAATATTAAAATACATCGAATCTGCAATAGAAGATCCATTTAAATCTGTCTTTTATTATGAATCAATTAGATCAATCATTATTTATTATAAAGTATCATATAAAATGTTTTATATTTTCCTTTCTTTAATAATGCTACTTTCATTTTTACTGTTATTTAGAGTACTTACATCAAAATAAATAGAATTAGCATAACCATTTTTATTAGTAATCTTTTACTTATTTTTAAAACTTTATATAGATATACTAGCACATTCAGATAATAAACTTCTAATTTAACAATATCTATTTGTCACTTTCTAAATAAAACGAGTAGATTATTATGTTCTAGATCTTAATTCTTATACTTGACGATAAATGTATACTATATCATTTATTTTCTATTCAAAGAATATATTATTCATATATACTTCTTATTAATTATTTGATTACACATTTTTCATTATATTAAGTAAAGTACTTTTAGATTTCTATTTTAATGGAATAGATGGTAAAATCTATTGTTTGGGTATTGAAGTTTCTGGTATTGTTAAAAACATATCTACACTATTTCTGTCAACTTATTAATAATTATAAATACTAGAAACTGTTCTTTTCTCTTATTTTATTTTTATCATCTCTTCTTATATTCTGAATGAATCTCTTACTGTATCTCTTATTTCTATTCTTTTTTAATATACAGTCTATTTCAATTAATTAATAGTCATTTTATTTTATTTAATCTCATCAACCATTTTACTATGGTTCTCACTCAAAGCCTTTTCATACTTAGAAATCTTATGTAATTCTGCAACCACTTCTTTAACTGATGGATGATTCTCAAGACTAATCTTATTAATCATTTTAATTACTCTTCTTATGATTTCTTTTTCTCTTCTAACTTTACTATTTAAAATTTTAATCTCTCTAATTGATTCATTAAATGAAAATATCTTTAATTTAATCTTTCTTCCTAATTTAATCTCATTTATATTTAATACTTCTTTTTCTATTGCAATTGCAGTTTTAGGATTTACTTATTCTACATAACTTTGAACAACCTAATGTTTATCTTATACTTTATCCATTCCATCATTTATGCTAAAATATTATTATCAATTTAATACGGTTCCATCGATACAACTGAACCTCTTTTCTGCATAATATGAAGCATCGATTTCATTTTATTTAATAAATAATTATTTTAATTTTTATGCTAGAATATATTAATAGATGTCTAGAGTTTTCATTATCACCAATCCCCACTTTCCCAACTAATCTCTTAACTAATATCAAATTTATGACAAATATAGAAAATTAAACTATACAACCTATTGTAAATTTGAATCCCCCAATTTATTATTAATAGCCCTTTATTTAAAATCCATTAAGTAATTTCCTTATATATATTTTTTAGTTAGTGAATCATATGTTATAGAGGAAAATAAATTAAGTTTTTTCATTTCAGAATCACCTTAAACAAGTTAAAATGAAAAAAATTTGAATTCATAAACAAAATAATCTACTAAGACTCTAAGAGAATAAATTAATGAAAGAATATAATAAAATAAATAAAGACAATCACATGTACCTGAATCATCAATATCTCCTTTAAAAATTCGTTCAAAAAGTCCAATACTATTTAAGACAGGACATACTCCTTAAAAGTAGGAATCATCTGAAAATAAAGAAAATTATATGCCTACTATACATAGAAAATAGTTTTCTTAAATTAATGAAAATATCGAAACACCAAAAAAAGGTTATTTGCCATTTTAAAATACAAAATTTAATAAGACTCCTTCTAGATAATCTTAAGTTTAAAGTAAAATAAAATAAGAATTATAACCATCTTAATAATAAAGACATTCGTTAAAAAGAGAATTAAAAAATGGAGTTAGCCATATAAAAATAACATTATATAAATGATGACTAATAATTTATGTTTAAAACTTGAATTTAATTTTAATTTTTTTATTTCTTTTTAAAGTAGTTTATTATCTGTTTAAGTATAATAATTATAATTTATTAAAAAATATAAACTGTTAATTTGATGTATTTTAATATATATATATAATAAGTATATAAATATGTTAAATATTTTTAGTATAAAATAACAACAATGTATTTGATAGATTTATTGTATTCAAATTAAATTCATAAATAAGAAACTAGAATATGATTAATTTCATTTATATTTAAAAATATATGTATATGTTTTATTTAGTTTTTAAATGAATTATATTTTGAATTCAAATATATATAAATATGATGAATTATTATTCTAAAATTTGTTACAATAATAATACCAATATAATATGAATTAATAATATAAAATTAAATTTATATAAATAATGATAATAAATAACAAATTTATATTCAGTGATTTAATCTAAATAATCAAATACTTTGTTCTATTTTTTTTTTTTTCATTATTGCAAGTTCTTTAAATTTACATTCAACTATATGTTTAAATTTTTTTTCTTAATTTGATTTATTTTTAAGACTGTTTCTAGCATTTATAAACCAATTTAAGACCTATAAGAAAATGAGAATATTGATACCTATTTGTTAGTTAAATTTGTTAATTAGACTAATTACTCTACTTAATGAGGTTTTGGATATGGATTGTTATAATTCTCAATCAACCATTTTTTGAGTATCATGTTAGCAGATTTTGAATAAGTCCTCTTAGTGTTAGCTAAAAGGAATATCAAAATTATATAATACTTGGATAATTTTAGAGTAATTTTAATTTCTAGATGTCTTCATAGAGTTTGATTTTGTTTTAAATTTAGGTTGTGGCTTCTTCAAAAAATTAGGTCATTTATATTTGTGTCATAGTAGAATACAATTTCTCATTTATTATTCTTGATTTAAGTATTTCAAAGAAGTTTTTGAGTTAAGCACTCTTTTCAACTGCCTATCTTATAATTAAAAGAAATACATTTGTCTCTTGAGTGCATTCTACATCAATGGACTCATTTTTCTTTTAAATGTCTTCAGTCTAGATTTGAGACATTTATTGTTGGCTTAACCATTAAACCCAGATGTGCTCTAAGCTCTAAATATCAGATTTAACTTTCTGTTCCTTTTATTCATTAACTGATTGAATAGTTAAGCATATATTACCTTATTGTTGTATTTACTGATACGAGGATAATTTAATAGGGTCTTCTAAGAAAGTTTAGAAATGCATAATTAAGGGAATCTTTTTTTATTTTTTAAAATTGATTAATTCAAGTCAAAATTTTACTGATAAATAGCAAATCAGCAGTCTAGAAGGATGATACTTATCTAGATTTTTGTATTATAAGAAGTTTTAACTTTTATAATAACTTAATTTGTATTAAGGTTAATGGTATGTTCTAAAAAATGGAAAATAATGACTCCATAAATAACTTTTATATATTATTAATTTTAATATTTAATAGTGAATTAAGATGAAGTCTAAATTTCAACAAACAACAAGAAATTTAGTATCAATACCTAAATATTCCATTTACCATTTCTTTCAGAAGAAAGATACATACAAGGATCCTAAGGGTCAATAAATAAGAATTTTTAAAATGCCTAAGTTTTTAATTCCTACACTAATTTTAATGTCATCAGTCTTTATATATAATTAAGCTTTTTCAAAAAAAGAGACTATAATAAAAATAAATGAGGATTAGTGAATAATAAAATGAGAATATTTATAAAAAATAATAATTAACAATATTTTATTATATGAAATCTCAAAATTAAGGTAGATAAGATTTCTTATAATGGATAAATGAATTAACAGAATGTGATTATCCAAAAGTTGAGGTTTATATTTAAATATTATATTTAGTTATTATCAGATGGAATTGGTTATTGTTAAATAATAGATGCATTACATCCTGGTTCTATTTATCTTTCAAAATTAAATTTTATGGCAAGATTTCCAGATGAATATACAAAGAATCTTAAAGTATATAATAATATTTAATTAAGGTTCTTGATGATGCTTTTTCAAAATTAAAAATTGATAAAGTTGTTCCAATTGATAAATTAAGTAAATGCAAATTCTAAGATAATATGGCATTTCTATAATGGATGTATAATTATGCATCTAAAGTTAATCCATTTGTTAAAAATTACAGAGGATATTCAAGAAGATTAGAGTCATTTGAAAAATAGCATCATGGTCGTTATACATAAATGAGTGCACATTTAATTCCAAATACTGAATTTTTAAAATTCAAATAGACAGATATAGATGGAAGAACTTTTTTAAAAATTGAAACAACGAAAGCTTCATAAGCTGAAGAAGCTATAAAAGAATTAGAAATTGATATCAAAAATAAAATGGATTACAATTGGAAATTGATATATGCTTTAGATGATCTTTAATATTAAAGAGATGTATTATATGGATTATTAACAAAAATTGATTAATGTGTACAAAAAAGTAATGATCCTGCAGCAATCAAAATGCACAATGTAATTATGGAAGAACCTATAGATTTTTCAGAAAAATGAATTATAGTTATATATTACTTTGGTAATTTCTTAAAGATAATATTATTCTAAATTTGAGAATATCTATACAATAAATTGAATTTAATCATATTTATAATAATTTTGATTGTCATATGTGAATTAGATATCAATATGAAATAAAAGCAAATAAATAAAAATTTATTTTAATGTTATCAAGCTCACAAAAATCCTAAGTTTATAAAAGAACTTCTTATTTGACTGAATCAGGTTCTTAGCCCATTACAGCCAGACCTTAATCAACTTATGTTAGTACATTAGAAAAGAAAGAACTTAGAAGGTACATTTATTTCTTATTAGATATCCTACTGAATGGGCTGAATAGGTTGATAATAAAACAGACAATAGATTTCATCATGTTATCCTTAATTAAAGTAAGGCTGAGCATAATCCTAATTTGGCATCTCCTAGTAAAATATTCGGATTGACAGAAAGGTTAATTTTACATTCTATTTCAATAGTCGTCGATTGAACACATAAAATGATGATTTACTATCAGCTTTCAGAAAAAAAAATTAATCTTTAAGCAATCTAGGAAGTTGGTAATTCAATAGCACTCCTGTAGCTAATCAATCATCAAATACTTAAACTAAATCATCAACAACTTAAAAACAATAACCAATGTTAACAAGAAAATTAGATTAATCTGTTCCTCTTAGAGATTTACTCGAATTATCAAGATAATTAGATTAGGCTACACCAGATGAGATAAAATAATTATCAAAAGGATATGTTAATGAACTCGTCTAATTATAATAGACTATCACAAGATCCTTAAAATATGTTAAAAGATGAGATATATAATTAAAATAAGCTAATCAAAAAAAGATTATTATAATTATTTCTTTTATGATTGTAACGATTTCTTATATATTTATATTTTTATTGTTCCACATATAAAAATAAAATTATATAAAATTACATTCACAAATCAATTAATATATATATAATTAATCTATAATAAATGTATTTATTTTAGATTTTTAAATAATCTATTTTAATTGATTATAAATAATATATATTGAATATAAAATACAAAATATGTTAATTTTGTAGATATGTATTTAATATTTCATTATCCTAAGTCATTATCTCCAGCAGCAACTCTTTAAGCTATATATTCTTTCAAATCTCTCAAATTTGTGTTCAAATGACCAATCAAATCAGATACAGTTTATCTATCTGCATCTCTAGCTGATCTTCTTTATTAATATTCATAAGCTGCTTATTATCCTTCAGCTCTTCTATCATCTCTTTATTAAAGTTTAGCAGCATATCTATCATTATTATCATCCTATGAAGAATGAGTGGCAGCTAATTAATCAGCTAATGATTAGATTTCAGCATCTAAATTAGCAATAGAACTATTTAATTTGTTGATATCTCTTTATAATAAAGTACTATAGGCTTCAAATTATTATCTCTTAGCATCTTCTTATTTTCTAGCTAAATCAAAAGCTTATTAAAGTTAATTTTAAAGATCATCAATTAATTAGACGATTCTGCTTGTTAATTCTTAATTGGCAAATTATTAAGCCTTAATAGATAATTAAGCCAAAAGTTTAATAGCTTTTCCATAAGTCTTAATATGTTTCATTTAACTAGCCTTATGAGCAGCACTATTTAAATGAGAAGCTACTTAAGCAAATATTGCTGGAGTAGCATGAACAGATTCTGATGATCCTTTTTATAAGAAAGTTGGAGCTTATAAATTATCTGTAAATAATCTTCTGGCTTCAGCAAGAACACTAGAAACAAAAGTGAATTCTTCTCTTTAGGCTTCAAAGTCATTATTTTATGATGTTCTTTTCTCTGTAGCTTCATTTAATACTTTTTAAACAAGAGTTAATTCAGCTAATTTGGCAACTCTTTATCCAACTTTTGTGTCATATTATGGCTATAATTCATCTAATCTAGCTTATAATTCTGTTCCTTTCTATTCAAGATTAGCAAGTTCTTAGTTCAAAACAGCAAGATCACCATCTACTTATGATTAAAAGACTTTATTTTCAGCATCGTCTTCTCTTTAATCATTTTAGTATCTTTCTTCCAAATCATAAAGTGTTTAGAACACTCTTTCAAGAGGCTCACCTGTTTACATATGAAGGGAAATTGTATTCAACAAAGTCTTTCCCAATCTACTTTTTTCAATTTTCTCAAAAGCAGAAAGATTAGTAGCAAAGGTTGTTGCAACTAATACTAATATGATGATGTTTTTCATTAAAATATTTATGTTGTGTTCTTCTTTACTACTAAGTTAAATAGCAAATAATACTAAAAAACGGATAAAATGATTTATAAAATCAAATTATCATCATTTATAATTGACAATTTTAATGTTACAGTTATTATTAAACTTTACGTAAAAAAAAATTAATTGTTAATTTATTATTAAATGCTATCAATAACTATATTATATTTTAAATTAATTTAAATTGATTATCAATAATCTTATTAAAATACATCAATATCAATAATCTTGTTAATAAATATATTTAATAATTTAGCAATCAAATATTCTAGCTAATTTTAAGAATTCAATATATTTATAAGAACTAAATCATTATTGTAGATTAAAAATTTTCTTTTCATCAATATAATAAGAATCTTTTAATTGATAATTTTTTATTAGATATAAATATTAAAGTGATTAAGTCAGATACTAGAGTTAAGCTTTTAGTTGATTGAACTACTATAAGATAATCTATATTTTTGTAAGTTTTCATCTTATTTCATTATTTTTACATATATTTAATTTTTGATTATATTTGTGATAGTGAGACATTACTTGAAATAATTAATGAATCAATTTTTAAAAGATATTGATATGTAGATTATTAAAATAAATAAGAAATTTTAGAAGATGATAAATTAAAATCACTCAAAATTATTCAAAAATTGTAATTAAATAATAATAATAGAGACACACTTCAAGAATTAAACGGTTTGTGTATAAATTTCTAATTAAAAAGAAGTGAAATCTCAATTTAAATATTAAGAATTGTAATTAGAGAATCTCCATTAAGAATTAATTTAATACAAAAAAAATATTTGAATTAGTTTGATTAGTATTTTGAATTTCAAATTAACAAAATGATAAAAACATTAATAAAGTTCTTACAAATTTCTCTAAACAATATACAATAAACCTAACAATATTATAGTAGAATCAAATTAGGGAAGAACAAAGTGAATAATACAATCAATATAATTTAATATACTAATTCTAATTAAATGAATAATAAACATATGAAAACCATATTTAATAATAAATGAATATTGAACATATTTTATTAACGGGTGCCTCTACTGGTAGACGTACAAGGCATTTCTCTTTAATAAAACCTCTGCATCCATCTAATACAAGAGAATCACCTGAACCCTCTTTAATTTTAGGTTTTACATAACCTTGGAAGGAGAACGCATTATAAATATTTGTCCGCATTACCAAATTTATAATCAAATTGAAATAGGCTGCTGAATAATACAGATTTAAATTAATTACTCATCGTATACACAACATTATAGGTGACAAGGCTTCTGATTTTATGTATTATCAAAGGAAAGGATTAGTAAAAGCACCATTTACATTTCTAGATTTTATAACTTCTATGATAGTTAATAAAATGCCATCATTAGAATTTAGTGTAATCAAACCAGATAGTAAATTTAAATTGATAATGGATTTGATCATTCTTGTACTCATCATAATCAATATCTTCTATATTCCAATGTAATTATCATTTTAATTAAATGACAATAACACTGTCATTGACTTTCTATTTAGCACACTTCCTAGTTGGGTATTTATAATTTAATATTAAGGATTTTCCTAATAGAAATAATTCTTAATTTTAATACAGCATATTATTCAAAAGGTATGATTCATGAAAGTAGACAGAAAATATTTAAGCATTATGTACAAGGAGAATTTGCTTATGATTTAATAGTGGTTATACCTTTTTTAATATCTTAATATTAGATTCCTTATATCAATTTTATGTTATTATTGAGAATAACAAGAGTTAAGAAAATATTTGAATAAATTGAAGAGATATCATTAATCAGAGAGAAATTTGCAGCTCCAATAGACATATGCAAACTCTTATATTTTTTAATTCTAGTTTCCCATATGCTTGGTTGTGCTTGGCATTTTGTTGGTTAAATAGAATTATAAAATAATTCAGAGAATTGTTGGTTGACAAGATATGGTTATGCTGAAAAGGATTGGGTAGTAAGATATATTGCTTCATTATATTTTGGAACTATAACTGCATTCACAATAGGATATGGGGATATTGTTCCATAAAATTAATTTGAATAAATGTTTGTGATATTAACTGTGTTAATTACATCATTAATATTTGGATACACAATATCGGCTATTTAATAAATATTTGGGTAATTAAGAGAGAAGACTGATTAACTTAGAAATAATATGGCTACAGTGAATTCATATTTGAAGAAGAATAAAATTAATCCAATTCTACAAATGAAGATAAGAAAATATTTTGAATATTTCTTTACTTTAGATGAAACATAAGATGTATTAATGGATCATTTAAATGAAGACTTGAAATAAGAATTAAAAGCTAGTATTTTTATTCCAAAATTGAAATAATGTTAATTAATAAATAGATTTAATGATTCTCTTTTGGCTTAGTTGAGTAGAGTAGTCAAAACATAGAAATATATACCTGGATAAATTATATTTTAATAAGGAGACTTTGTACCAAAAGCAATGTTTCTTGTAAGAGGAGAAATAGAATCTCTTATTAATAAGGTCTCAATTAGAAAGTAAAAATAAGGATCATTTGGAATTAGAGAATTCTTTTTAAGAAATACTGTTCATTATACAACCAAAGCAACTAAGTTTTCTGAAATTGCATATATTACTCATGAAGAATTTATTGAAGTAGTTAAGAAATAATCTAGTAATTATGAACAATATTGTTTATTAAGAGATGATTTGTAATTTGATTTATGTCCAATTTAATGTTAAGTTTGTTTGAGAAGTCATAATTTTATGGATTGTCCTGTTGTTTTTTATAGTCCAAGTAGAGGTAAGATTGCAATAGATAAAGGATAGAATATTAATTAAGTAAGACATAATTTACATGAAAGAAAGAAAAGGAAATCAAAAAATAGTTATTTAAATATGGTTGAAAAAATTGAATCAGCTCTTGATTTATAATTAGAAAATGGATTACTTTAATAAGAATAAATTAATTCTCATTATATCTCAGAACTTGGATTACCTACTGTAATTGATGATATTTCTATTGATTCCTTAACTAAAAGAAAATAATAAAATGTAGTAGATTAATTTAGACTTTCAAAAGTTAAATAATTAGTAAATTAAGGTCGTCTTTTAAAATTAGAAAGAATACCTTAAGTAATAAATGAATTGTATTCAGAATTCCTTAATATTAAGAAGGAAAGTTTAGATAATTTTGATAAAAATGCAAACTTATAACATTATCATATAGATGAAAATGTCTTAAATGTTCTTAAGAATTTTACAAATAGAGAGTACAGAGTTGTAAATAGAAGAGTTAGTAGAATGAAAACCTTTTATAGAAGAGGACCTCTAAATAGAACATGAATATAAATGTTTTGACTGTATAAATATATATTAATTTTTTGAATTTCTTATTTTTGTATTTATTATAAAATACTTATAATTATTAATATTTATTCACTAAAATGTATGATTATGTTAAGTCTGATAATATTTACTATATTAATTATATCTTATATAAAGATTCATATTATATTTAATATTTTTTAAAAAATTATAAATGTACACAAAAATACTTTAAATAGTTAAGATTTATGAATAACTAATGAAAATGTGTTAGGATTAAAATTAGAATAATAATTAATTATTAATTAGATTTCTTCAAACAATACAAGTCTACTGGAATTTTGTATTTAGCATTTTAATGCAAAAATAACAGCAATAATTAATAATTAATTTATTTTAAATTCAAAAATGAGCAACGAAAACATGTATTCTAGTGATCTCTTTTAATCTACTGTGATGTCTAAGTCATATTATTAAGTCTTACAAGACTCAAATTTGATTGAGTCATAAGTACTTCAACCAGTTTATCAAATGGCTACTTCTCAATACATTACTCCATCAATGTATAAACCTAAAAAGATGGAATTATTTCATTAATTAGATGATGAACATGACTCAGAAGATGAAGGAATAGAAGATTATAAAATTGGTGGCTATCATCCTGTACATGTTGGAGAAGTACTTTAAAATAGATATGTGATAATTTAAAAATTAGGATGGGGTCATTTCTCAACTGTATGGTTATGTAAAGATTTTAAATTTGATACTTATGTTGCAATCAAAGTATAGAAATCTGCAGAAAATTATTTGGAAGCTGCTTATGATGAAGTGGAAATATTATAAAAAGTAGCTTAAAATGTTACTAATTAAAAATGGATGGAAAAATTAAAATAATATAAACCTAATTAAAGATTGAATAGAGATGATAGTCATGTAGTGCAATTATTAAATTCTTTTATTTATAGAGGACCATATGGATGTCATTTTTGTATGGTTTTTGAAATCTTAGGGGTTAATTTATTGGAAATAATCAAAAGATTTGAATTTAAAGGAGTTCCAATGAAATTATGTAGAAAAATAGCAAAAGAAGTATTAATAGGCTTAGAATTCTTACATGAATAATGTGGAGTAATTCATACAGATTTAAAACCTGAAAATGTATTACTTCAATTGTCTTAAGAAGAAATTAAAGATATTATTGAAAATGGTTAATTAACAAGTAATTAGATTTTTAAAGAACGTTTGGAATTTTATCATTAACTTTTTGATATAAAAAAAGAGGAACCAGTCAAATTAGATGATAATTTATAATTAATTAAAACTGAATCAATTAAAACTACAGAAGGAATAATAACTGATTAATAATAATAATAATTAACTAAAAATCAATTAAGAAATTTATAAAGAAGATAAAAGAAAAAATAATAAAAATTATAAAAATAATAAGAATTTTAATAAATTGATGAAAACAATAAAATTTCAGATAAAGAAAATAATGAAATTATATAATAACATTAAAATTAATAAGAGAATCAAAAAGAAAATAATAATCTATTTTAAATTGATAAGAAATCTTTATTTAAATAAATTTAAAAGAATGATTTTTCTGTTAAAGTAGCAGATTTAGGTAATGCATGTTGGACTCATCATCAATTTTCTACTTTAATTTAAACTAGATAATATAGATCTCCTGAAGTTTTAATTGGAACTAGATATAATGCCACAGCTGATTTGTGGAGCTTTGCTTGTATGTTATTTGAATTGTTAACTGGTGATTTTTTATTTGAACCTAGAAAAGGTGCAAATTTTTCAAAAAATGATGATCATTTAGCTTAAATTTAAGAATTAACAGGCAAATTTCCATTATAATTTTCTTAAAGAGGTCTAAAATCAAAGAGATATTTTAATAAAGAAGGAAATCTTTTAAGAATACCAATTTTAAATTGTTGGTCATTAACAGATGTTTTAATTGAAAAGTATAAATATAATCCAAAAGAAGCTAAAGAATTAGGTATTTAATATAATTTTATAATTTAGCTTCTTTTTTAGAACCAATGCTTAATCCATATCCAGAAAAAAGAGCTACTGCATCTTAATCTTTAAAACATTCTTGGTTAAAAAGTGAAACTGAAGGAATTAAAATGAATGAAGAGTAATTTAAAGAATATAAAGCTAAAAGAGGATTGATTGAATTTAAGAAAGTAATTTAAAATATAAAAATATTAGGAAATTGAAAGTGAGGAAGAATATGCTGATAGAAGTGAATCACCAAGAGTTATATTACCATTATCTACTAGACGTAGACATCATATTCAACCAAGAGTTGTGGAAAGAAAGGAAATAGATAGATCATTTACAGATTTAGGATATATAGGATTTGGGAATGGAATCGAGATAGATTTATTAGATTCTACAGGGAATTGGCAATTTATTAATTGATATATATCATTCCTATGTTGTTTTGGGTACCTTATAGGATGAACTCTTTTTAAATAGTCCAATTTTTGGTGTTTAAGAATTTAATTTTTTAATAGCATCTTCTAATTGTGTTGATTCTTCATTAACAAAATCATCATCTTTGCTCATTTGTTTTTTCTAATATGAGTTTTTTAATGCAAATTTATGAAGATCCTAAGAGTCATTTTTTTTATTTAAAGGAGAAGCTTGAGAACTACTATTTGAATCTTGTTAAACATTCTTCATATTTTAACAGAATTAACTAAATTTAGATTATTATAATTATTATTATTATTATGGTTTTTCCAAACGACTTGATGAATCTAAAGGTGAACCATTAGATAATGATCCAACTGTATCAATATGACCATTGAGAACAGGAGATCTAGTTATTAATTCCATTGAACCAACTTGACTATCAAAACTACCTTTCTTTAATATTCTATTTTTATTTTCAAGTTCATATTCAATCAAATTTTATTGAATTTCAATTAAATCTTTTTGATTAAAAAGTTCTTTAAAATAAGGATGTTATAAACAGGTTTCAGCATTGGGTCTATCTTTTGGATTTTACTGAAGCATTTTTCTTAACAATTCTTATAATTTTTATGAAGACTAAACTTATGAATGTTATATAGTACCTACTATATTTGCTTTAAATTGTAATTAATATCACAGTTTTTATTTGATCTTAAGATGGCTTTATAATCAGAACCTTAAAAAGGTTACTTGCCAGTAAGTAGGATATAGAATATAACACCAGCACTAAAGATATCACATTTATCATCATAAAAAGGATCATCTTCCTTATATGTTAAGATTTCAGGTGCAACAAATCCAGGAGTTCCACATCTTTTAAATATGATATCTTCATTAAGAAAAGTAGCTAATCCAAAATCTGCAATAACAATATCAGTTGAAGATTCTTTAGTTTTTAATAATAAATTTTCTGGTTTTAAATCTCGATGAATACATTTTTTGCTATGAATATGTACAAGTGCTTTAATAAAATTGTACATCAATTTTTATAAAGAATCACTTGAAAATGGATGAGCCTGAGCTCTAGCCAATAATTCACCTCCTTATAAAAGATCCATAACAAAATATATTGAATTTTATGTTTCATATGCTTCATATAAATGTACAAGACTTTCTTAATTTAATCTACGCATAACTCTTATCTCATTCTCTAAACTTTCCATTCCTTTAAACTATTCAAGCATGAACTCTTTATTGAATGCCTTTATTGCATATTAGATCCCTGAAGATTTTTTGGCTGCTAGATAAACTTTAGCAAAGCTTCCTTTTCCTATCATTTTAGATACACTAAATTCATCATGAAATGTAGTTTGTAGACACTTGTATTACAATAGTTACTTGAGAATATTAACATCCTATGTAATAATATCAACATATTATCCATTTCTTTATAATCTAATAGCCATTCCATAATCAGTTTTATAAATGTTCATTATAACTACTGTTAGTTATAACATTCCAAGAGGGTTTTTATTTTTAAAAACATACATATATTCTTATCCTAATTAGATTGAGATAGGTTTGAGTTATTTCTTTTTTCTACTTATTTTATGACACACAGATTCAAAGATTATTGAATCATTCTAGGGTTACTAGCATTTTAATTTACTTCATATTATGAAAGCTGAAACTTAGACCATATGTGTTTGATTTTATGAACTACTTCGAAATTATCAAAGAAGGAAGAAAAATCAGTCAGCATATTTTTACTTGAAAATTATTTATATTATTGTTATCAAAACACTTGTCATACCATTTTCTACAAAGTAACAATTTTAAAGAACTTTATTGATATTAGCCAATGTATCACTACTTAATGGATCCTCTAATTAAGTTAGAGCACAATAGATCCATAAACATTAATTATAATTACATTTTTGAGTCAAACTAAGCCATTTAATAATTTTGGATGCTATATGATAATCTAATACATGAAATGTGAAAAGTGTTGGAATGATGTCTTTTGATAATTCTTTAAATTAGCATTTCTTTTTTAGACCAGATTTAATTTTCTCTTCTTACTCTAAATTAAAATTTATCAACTAATATGAGTTTTAATCTAATTATCTAAATTATTCAATATTCTAAAATAGAAGCAAAATTTAAACCTTTTTAAAACTATAATATTATTCTATAACATCCTATTACCATAAAGGATTTATTGCCCATTTTCCATTTAATTTAACACCTTTAGGTTTTATTAAATATTTTGGATCTGTTTATTTAAATTGAAAATCATCTCCTTCTTCAAAATATGTGCATTTTGGTGCTTATTTGACTTCATCTCTTACCTTTTGTAAATATTGAATAGCTTTTTAATTATCTGAATTTACTGACATCTAATCAATATCAAATACTGGTTATTCTGAATTATATGAATGACTTTCATCTTGACTTATAAATTCTTCACTCATTATTATTAATAAATTATTATATTATTTTAAAATATATGTCAAGTGAGGATCCAACAACCAAAGAACTTAATAATTTTGTTTAAACATTATTAAAATAAATGTCAGAACGCTTTGAAGAAATGTAAGGTACTATAGTTTCAAGAATTGATGATATGGGTAATTATTATAAATGATGAATTATAAAAGGAAAGAGAATTGATGATATTGAAAAGAGTGTTACAGAATTAATGAATGATTTAGGATTTTCAGATGAAGAAAATGATAAATAAAGGTGAATTAAATATTCATTAAATATATTTTTATTTTTATTGAACTTACTCCCTTTATTTCATAATTATCTATATTTTTCGTTATTCTTATTAGATCTATTATTATATCATAGATTTGTATAATAAAGTATGTTATTTAGTTTTTCTTGATTAAAGTTATTATGATTAAACAACTACTCTTAAAGGTTAAGCATAAATTTTAGCAGCATCATGTTTTATTGATTTTTATGGACTTCCTGTAATTTTTCTATTAGGAGGCAATTAAACTTTTTTTGTACCTATATAGATATTCAACAAATAACCTGTTGATTCTTCAAAAATATCACTAGCATATGTCAAAAATTAAGTATAATAATCTGTTTCATACTCTTCATCACATGGATAAATCTTTTCAAATCCTCCAAGATGTTCATCTTCATAAGCATCTCTAATCATTTAATATTATTCAATAATAGCCTTTCTATCCTCTTATGTCATTCTAATATTTCTTCCTGTTAAAATACGTTTTTGCATTTCTTGGTGTTTCTCCTATCTTAATAAGTAATTTAAGCATACATTAATCTATACTTCTCTTCCCTATTTACATTCATCAACACTAATGCATCTTCAATCAAATTTGCTTTGATGTATTAATCTAATGGAGAATCAGTAGTAAATGAAGGACTATGATTAATTTCTAATAAGATTGGTCTAAAAATAGAAAATAATTTAGTTACGTGAAAGAATTATCTAGAATTATATCAAATCCTAAGATTTCAAAACACATATTATTCATTAAATTATTAGGTTGACTAGTAGTATATTGATGTTTAAGAAATGGTTAAGCAGAACAAAGAGTTTTAATTATGATTTATTTGATATCCATCCATAATTAATCTATATCTCTACCTTCCTATTTTAATTTTTCAAATACACTTGACATACTTCTCTTATGTCCAATATCCATTCTTTAAACATCTTCATTAAATACAAAGTTTTCATTATTTTTATTAATAGCATAATTTGTCAAATGCATACAAAGATCATCAAAATTAGTTGGATGTGGAGTAATATATTTTTCAGTTGCAAATCTTGCCAATCCTTCAGTGTATATGAATATTCTTAATGGATCACATCCAGCAACAAGTACATATATTCTAAAATCAAATTTTAAACCGTCAATTAAAAAGGGATCACCCAAATATTTTTAAACTACATATCTCTCTGTTGGACTGATAAAATCAAGAGATTTAGTTAAAAAAATACCTTAACTTTAAAATATGTATTTTTACCTCTACCTTAACAAGATGCTTCAGGTTTCACAATTAAAATTTCATCTCTACCTTTTCCTTTCATATATTCTTTTAAATCTTAAGCATCTGAAGGTAACATCCAAGTAAAAGGAAAGAATTTAAATTCCTTTGGAAACCTTCGACGCATTTTAGTTAATTATTTACCTAGATTATTTTTTCTAGCTAATATGTACATTCCTGGAAAATGATTAACTTTTTAATGTTCTAAGAGAATTTTAATTTTAATTGTACATTTCATTTTACTCAACATTTCTGCATGAACACCAGAATCAGTCCAATATACATCCCAATCCCATGATTCTGGTTCTGCAATTAATTTCCATTTAAGTATTTCTTATCCAACATAACGAACAACTTAATACTAAGTATCACAGACATTCATAATTATTTAAGGAAGTACAATCTTTCTTTATTATTCATTTTCATCACTATCTGACATTATTTGGAAAATATATTTATATCAAGGTTTAATAAATAATATATATATTCACTTATACTAAAATGTAAATTTATAATATATTAGATGATAAATTAATAACATATAAAATTCGATGATGAAAGAGAACACAAACTATATGAAATATGGCCAGGGAAAAATAGATTCTATCTAGGTGGTAGAATTATGATTGGACCTAGTACAGATTTTGGACCTAATTTTTTCACTTGGGGTGGTTTAATACTTCTACCTATATTCTTTACTATTTCAAATGGTTAATAAATTTGGGAAGCTAATAGACTATTATTTATTTGTACTTTACTTTTAGCATTCTTAACCTTATTCTTTCTCTTTCTAACTTAATTTACAGATCCTGGAATCATTCCAAGAAAGAATATTTTTGAAATTATGAATATATAATGGGAAACTGAAAGTGCTTGGCCTATGTGTGAAACTTGTTAAATTAAAAAACCTCCAGGTTCATCTCATTGTAAATAATGTGATAATTGTATTTTAATGTTTGATCATCATTGTCCATTTGTTAATAATTGTATAGGAAAACGAAACTATAAGTAATAATCATATATTTTATATTAGATATTTTGCATTATTTTTGGCAAGTCTCCTTATGTAAGGTCTTTCAATTTTAATTAGTTTAAATAAAATCAATCCAGAAGAAAGTAATGGATTAACAGATTTTTTATTAATTATTGTTTGCTTTATAAGTGCAGTAATAGGAGTCTTTTGTTTTTTCCATTTAATTGTAATTTTGAGTGGATCAACAACTAGATAAATTATAAAACATCTTGAACCAACAAATAGTTTTGATTGGATTGGTAGATCTCAATAGTTGTTTAATCCAACCATGATTATTGCCACATAACAATAAGCATTTGATTTTTGAATTATACACAATATATTTTTTAAGACCTAATAAATATAATTATAATGATGTCATTTTAAATAAGATTTAGATTATGAAGCTTAATTAATAATTTATATTCAAAGTTTTTTTGATGATCAATAAATCAATACAATCTAATAGAAACATGATTTCTTCTTAGATTAGTAAAGTAGTTTTAAACAAATAACAAATTAAAGAACATAATGACTTGATTAAACGTAAAACTTCCTAAAGATATCCATTTAAAGAGGAAATCAACCTTCAAAAAAGTAGTAACCACTTTAATGGAAGGAATTCTATAGATTGTTTAGAATCAATTTCTAAGTTCTAAACAAGTAAAAAAATAAAAAGTCCTAATGTTATCATCTCAAACAGAAAACTTTTTATTTCAAGCAGAAATAGTAAAAAAACATAAGAATCAGTAAGTCAAGAACCTATGTTTATTTAATAAAGTAAAAATAAAGTAAATGAATATGGATACAGAGTGGTTGTCAATAGAACCAACAGAATGTCCACTATGTAGATTGAGGAGGCTGTGACATAATAATCTCCGAAATTTAATACATATAAAGATCCTGAGACTTTCACTGATTGGGTTGAAAAGATTTATGGAAGGTAATGGTTTTGCTGAATCTGCAAGCCAATGAGTAATAATTTGACATTAATAATTTGTTTATGATAATAGATATATAATATTCCAGATAACTCTATTATTAAATTACGAATTAAAACAAAAATAATCATTTAGGTGTAAGATAAAAGCAATCAAGTACATATACTCTTTTTATAATAATTACAAATTTCTTCAGCTTATGCAATTAAACTTGAACAAATTGCTTCTTCCTGCATAGCATTTTTAAGAAATTAAACAAACAAATTAAATGTACTTTCTCTAATTTTTAATGATTAATGAATGACTTTTAAATCATTTGAGTTGTATATTTATTAATCTTTAAGAATAAAAGCAATAATTCTATGCAAATGTAAATTCATTTAGTAATTGGCATTCTTAAAATATTCTGTATAATTTTCATTGTCTTACAATTTTAATTAAACTTTAGCTATAACAAGATCCACTTTCTTCTTACCAATTCTACTTTCAATTGAATGGTATTAAGTTAGATTTTTTCTCAGTTTATACCAGATATCTTCATAATCTTAAATAATTAAAGCATTTAAATTTAGACTTTTAATAAGATGAAAAAAGTTATCACGAAAAGAATCAATCCATTCAATTGCTATATTATATTTCGAATGGATAGTCCATAAATCATTTTTTGTTAAGGTTGGTAGATGTTAATGTGTAAGATATCTCAATAAAAATTATGAATGTCTTTCCAATGCAATTGTTGGATAATTTTGCATTCTAACATCCCTTTTCAACAATTACACATATTTCTTCTATTAAACTTACAATAAGGAAGATTATTCTCCATAATAATCAAGTAAAGAGTCTTAATTAATGATGTAACTTCTATAACCATCCATTCTAGTTGTTACTAACTCTATTTATTTTTCTTGTATATTTAATTAACGCATAGATTCAATCAAATGTTATTTAAATAGTGTGAAATGTACATTTGTTAAATGCATTCCTTTATGAGAATATCTCATATCAACCAATACTTGATCATTAGTTTATTCCCAAGCCATTAATTAAGATAAGATCTTTCCTAATTTTCTAGCTTACTATTTAATTTCAATTCCTATAAAATATGGTGCTAAAGTATTGTCTTAGAAAATCTTTTGATAACTGCTCTAAGCTAATTACAAGATTGTATCAGGAACATCTTTTGTATTTAATTTTTCAGTTCTCTGGTTGTAAATTATAGCAAATGGAGTATTACTATTTATAATACAATAACGATATTGTTCAATCATAGAACTAAATTCAAATACAAAATCTAATTGTCCTTTATTAACTTTTAAAAAGCATGTCTAAATTATATTATGTAATCATTATTACAATCAAATAGTTTTTGAATTAATTGAAATCTCTATTTTTAAGTCCTAAATCTTTATGTTTTTCTTTCAATTGTTCTAGATTATAAAAAATAGGCTTTCCCATTATATATTCCAAAAATGTCTTAAATCTTTATTTATATCTTTCTAAATCATCAATCTCTATATATATTATAAATACTTACTTGAAATCATTTCATGTTGAATTGAATAATTGTGAAATTCCTCATTAAGTTAATCTACAATTTCTGCTCCACCAATTTTATAATAGAACAAACTCATATCATCATCCCTTACGCTTCTTCCACTTATATTATTGACCGAAGTTCGATGGATAGGCAACAATCTTTATTGAGGAATGAGAGACTTCCTAATCTCAAATGAATTGTGTCTAGGAGATTATATGTTATGGAATTAATGTTAATTGGATTGTAACACACTAGGTCTATAAATAGGTGATTGGTAATTATTATTTATTGGACATTTTCCAACATTTACAACAAATCTTTTATTCATTATATCTGGGGAAGGCAATTCTAATTTAGGGAGAGTGGGATGTCGTTTAGGTACTGATTCTTTTCTAGGAGACTTGTTATGAATGAGCATTTGTTGTTATGATTCTGACAAAGAATTCACATAGTCTGCAAATGATTGTCTTTCCTTTGGATTCTCATTAACTTTACTTATTCCTTTCTAAATAAGGTATCCTTTTTTTGGATTTTGACAATTTAGCGATATTGGTTAATTCATATATTAAATTATATTCATAAACAATCAGTGGAATTTTTAAAAAGAGATTGTTTCTATAAAAAATACTTAAGATCATATTAAAATACTCTGATCATCTTTTTTATATAATATACATTCTCTGATGGTTTGAAGCAGATAGCATCGCTAATAGGTTATTCTTTTATTTCTTCTTACAATAGAAAGTTCTAAGCAACTCTATTAGTACTCTTTTAATTGAATAGATATTGACAAGATTAAAGAGGATCTTTCTTCTTCCATCTCTTTGTAGATTATATTTGATCAGGAATATCCTTTGAATAGATAGGTCCCAAAGGAATCTATTATTTATTTTGAAATTTATGTAATATTAACATAGCATGTTTGAAGTCAATAATATTATTAGTGGGACGATGAATTTTTCCAAAACTATGTCCCTTTTTATATTCAGTAGGCATCTTTTTAGCCATAACTTTTAAATCTTTTCTTTTATTTTCAAGTTCCCATTTGTTTAAATTTCCATTTTATAAAAGAACATCAAGATCGTATTCATCTTCAGAATAGGAATTTTAATCTATAAATCCTTCTTTCATTTTTGAATCTAGTAAATATGCAGCCTCTCCTACATTTCTCATTCCTTTACCTGGTTCTTCATATTCTCCCTAAGCAAATTTTTCATGATAATAGATTGCTTTGTTCATGTCTTACTTGTAATAATAACATAAAGATATTTTATCATAAGTAAAGATTTCATAATTAGTATCATTTATAATCCATGATAATTTAAGCATCTTTTTTAGATAGATTAAACTTTTATCATATAATTAGAGTTTAATACATATTTTAGAAATGTGTTTATAAGCTATCAATTTATAACGATGACAATGATTGCCTTACATATTACAAATACGTAAGATCTTCTTCCAATTCTAATATGCCAATTTCTCCTTACCATATATCTCTAAAATCATGTTATGTATAAAATAACCTAATAAAAAGAGATTCAAACATCCTATTTTCCATAATAATCTGATCATTCTTTCTCCAAGTGGTGATATTTAATTAATTTCTTCACTCACAATCTTCTCATTAATTAATTATAGTATCTATTATATTTTATCAATTAATTCTTTTAATTTAACATTTTCAAATACCATTTATTATAATTTTCCAGTATCCTTTCCTCCAAAAAATGATTATTTATACTTTTCTGGATTAAATTTCTAATAATTTGCTTCTCCAGGTTAATATAACTTTTGTAATTATTACATCTATTATCTACGATGTTAATCTTTGTACTCCTACATCCCATTATCAGCTTGATAAACAACTTAAACATGAATATTATATGCCTATAATTCTTCTACAACATCATTTTTAGTTAAAATCTCTCTTCCTTTTATATGTCTTAAGTTGATAGGATCTCTCAAAAATAGATAATCATCAAATCCTTGCCATCGAAGTAATGATCTCCAATATTGTTTAACAACAAATTTTTCTTATTATTCTACCTAATAATTGAAGGCATCCTATTATAAAGAGAATTTATGATTGTTAAATAAATTTCCAAGGTTTCCAGTAGGAGAATCAATCTTAAAAAATCTTTAATAAGATCTTGATCCAACTGCTCTTCCTGACTCACGTGTTGCAGCAGTTCTTCTACTTATTGCTTACTATTGATAAAGTTATTCTCGTTTATCTGACAATAGATCTTCATTATCCTTAATCAAAAGGTTACGTAAATCTTTCATTATCGATGTTATTTATTAAAAAAATATATATTATTCATATTTATTATTAAAAATTAATATCTTATCCTTTTCTTGTGGTTACTCTTTTAAAAAATTATGGTGCAATAACACCATTAATTCCACTTGATAATACTACACCATTTTTAGAAACATAAAATTCTATGCCTGCATTCATTGCTTTTTCCATATCCACCTATATGATTACTTCACAAGTATTTCTCATTCCACTAATTACTGCATCATCTCCTGGTAATCCTACAGCAAAATGTATATGCTATCTTGCCATTCTATTTAATCCAGTATCCTTAATTAAATCCCATGCTTTAAAATATGTACCATGTACAATAACAGGAAATTATTGTGGGTCAACTATTTTCTCTAATAATTCTTCCTCATTAATTTCAATAGTATGTCCTTAAACACATCTAATATACAATTATCCATCTATTTCTTTTAGTTCAAATCTTTTTTTGTCATTATTATCCACTACATTTCTGATACTTTATAAATTTGCTTTAAGCTTAGCCATCGTTTGCCAATTGAGCAAATCTTAAACCAACACAAAACCATCTTATCTAATTGGAATTCCCTCCTTCTATGCACCATGTCTCAATAAATAACTCATTGCTTTAGATTATTGAACCAAGGGTGAGTCTCTTTTCTTTTATTACATGGATTTCTTATTAAAAATAATTAAAATATAATTATTTAGTAAGAATGAGAGTTTAAGCTTCATCATTCAGATTGCCTGTTCTTAAATTACAACCTAAAGATCCTCAATTCAGTCTAAGTTATGGTGATAATAATCAATCAAGCTCATCAATGATCAAATATTAGAGTAATCCTTAAAGATATTATGATCCATCTCCCATTAAAAAGAGAGTGAGAGGAATGACAATTGCCATCTATAATAGTTAGGAGAAACTAAAAACAGCAGAATTTCGTTATGGAAGCGATTTAATTACTCAAACTTAACCTCTCAACTAAAGTGCATCAGTTGTTAATACTGTACGTAGATATAGAAATAAACTAAAATAATTAATGTACTAGCCTCCAAAAGAAGATGGAGGTCTATCTCGAGATCCAAGGATATATTCATTTAAAGAACCCAGTGCCTCCATTCGATTAGATCGTTTAACTAATGATCGGGGTGATCAACAATTAAAGGACAAAGTCACCTAATTAATGAGCAAAGTAAAGTTGCTAATATCAACTAAACACTTTTATTAAGAGCCACATCAATAAGAGACTTTCTAAGTTACTATGGTGAGACTTAAAGATGAATATGATTGTCTCTATTAAGACTTTAATGATTACTATGTGTAAAATAAAAAGGTAGACAATTAAGTCATTTAACTTTAAAATCATATGGAAATCATTAAGACACTTCTTAAACCAAAGAGACCTACCATGACTAGAAAATAATCTGCAATTATCTTTGATCAAGTTTAATAGGAAATCTTGATTCCAGAAACCTCAGAAAAGATTGAAGAAACTCCACAATAATCATAAATAATAGACATTCCACCTCCACCTTAAGAAACTCCAGTGATCTCCTAAGTAGAACCACATGAGGAAAGTGTATTTACTCCTCTTACATCCATATAACTTAATGAAGATCAACCTCCAAGTGATCTGGATAAAGAAGAAACAAATAATAATAGTCCAAGTAGTCCTAAAAAGAAACGTATCAAAAATAAACGAAGTCCATAGAAATCTTAAAAATCAATTATTCTTTAACTATCTGTTTAAGATCTCTCTTAATTAGATTTTAATCCTTAATCTTCATAATAATAATAATTAAGTTCAAGATCTAAAATACCTTTAGAGGACATACCATTAAAATCAGTCCGAAGTACAAAAAGTGAACAATTAGTAGAAATAGATAATAAATAGGATGAAACTCCATTATCTGAAAAGACTCCATTAAGAAAATAAAGCAGTAATTTAGGATCTCTTAACAAAAGAAGAAACACAGTTCTCGAAAATAAATAAGGAAGAAGAGTATAAAAGGGTGCAGCTGCTATCTCTGAATAAGATGATAGTTAATCTGATGAAGGTGGAGATGAAGATCAATAAAAGGAGGATGTGATTGAAATATAAGAAGAAGAACAATAAGAAAATTAAACTAAAGACTTTTACTATAATAATCTTTTAGATAAATTAATTGAATCTGACAATATTTACAGATATCCCTTTTATTAATCATGGGAATACCATGAAGATCAAATTATTCAAGGTATAATATTTGGAGAATTTGATTTATGATTTTAATATACTAGATGATCATATCAGTATTTTAATTTTTTTTCTCTTTATTCAGTGTTTATTCTTTACTTATAGTTCTTGTTTATTTTATTCAAAATCATCCTTTTTCTTTTAGTCTAATTCTGATCATATTTGATTTTGAATTACTCTATTAGGAATTAGTATTTTAATTGTTTAATAAGTTATGTCTTTCAAAGTATATTTTGTGAATAACATTTGATTTGATAAATATTGATTGAAGATAGGATTAAAATAAATATATGAATAAAGTATATGCTAGATTTTAAATTCTAAATAACTTAAATTTTATAAAATAGCATATCATGAGATAAATCTTCTTGATCTATTGAAGTTGTTAAGAATTTTATCTATCTTCGAATTAGAACTAAGCTTTGATATCTATTAAGTAGTCTTATTATGTTCATATTGGAGTTCTCTAAGGATTTCTTTTTGTTGTTCAATTTATTATTATAAATGCATTTTATGTTTCTAGAGATTTTCAATTGTACTTTTAGTTTAATTCCAATTACTCCGAGATTCAGTTGTAATTGATCTTTAAGTACAACTACTTTTTCTCATAGCAGAATTAGGTTTACTATTACTACAAGAGAGATCCATAGAAGGTTATTCTTAAAAGTCAAGTCCACTTTCTTATGTCTTCATTCTAGATTCAATATCATCTGAATCGTCAAGATAATTAGCTATTTATTCTTCATTAATTTGAATCTCATATTTTTCAACAATATATTGAATGAGTGCAGCCAAATATTATGAATATTGATTATCTCCTGAACGTAAATTGTCAACTGCAATTTCAATATTTTTAGGATGCATTTTTTAAATGTTAACCCTATAATTTTGAACCAATTTAATTAACTTTTAAGGTTTTTCTAATAATGACCATATTTTATATTGATTCCATTTCTAACAACATTAGATAATTGACAAATACATTAATATTTACAATCCAAGGTTCACAACCTTCGAATAATTACAGTAGTTTTCTGAAATTTATCCAGATATCTGTTTATTGTCTTAATTTGTAATTTGCTAAAGCTGTTAAAAATGGTACTCTAAATTTATCAATCATTTCTGTCATAATTTAACTATATTATAATTTATTATTTTATAATCATCCATGAAGTTCTTTATGCAATAAATTCAAAGCATCTGAATACTTATACATTTATTTTGCATAAGATTGTTTTGGTTATCCCATATAATTGTCAAACACTTATTTCTTATTTGTCTCATTTAAATTAATTGTATTTGCATTCCTAACATATTAACTTATCTTTGGCTGAAAAGTACATTCCTTCAATTCATTTTCCACATCAAACATCCGTAATTTTTGCAATTTTACTTATTTCTATTCTTCATACTATTGACATCGCTGTAAGAAATCACCTTCATTATATTGAAAACATCTTTTCGAGAATAATTATGGTTTAAATGTACACTCAGCCCATTCTTCTTCTTCTAACCTTTGTAATGTAGATTTGACTTATTATTTTTATTTCCTTAAAGGAGACTTAGATCTAGTTGGAGTTGAAGATCTAGCTTTGTAATCTGAATATTTCCAAAAAAAGAGCTATCAAATATGAGAAATAGCAAGTTTACATGTTCAGGAATAGGTTATTCGTTAATAACTTTATATTGTTACATAATTAAAAATGAATTCATTATAAATGATAATTCTATAAGATTAATATAATACTTAGAAAATAACACAAAGATTATCAAGTAATCTAATATGAAGCAATCAATTTCATATATTTATATTTATTGACTCATTTTCATATTGATTTCTTTTTATTTACTATATTCAATACAATTATTCAATTGTTATTAATCTATCATTAATCATTTTTTTTAAATTATTTCACTTTAATTTCTAAAATAACACTTATTCATAATAATATAAAAATTTAAGGAAAGGAATTCACAATAAAGAATATTATAAATAGAATCTTTTTAAATTGAGATTAATATAAAATATTTCTCATTATAACTGTTTGAATTACTATTTTATTACCTCAAATAAATATCTAAAATACCTACATAAAAATAAATAGTATAGTTTCCCTTTAAATTAAAAAGATTTAGTCTCTATAATATTATAAATCATTAAAGAAATATATATTTCAAACTTATTTTTATCTTCTTTTTTAACATTACATAACAATTATACTATGAAGATAATGAATAAATATTATCTAAATTAAAAATAATTAAATTGAAAATATTATTAACAATTTTATCAATTAACTAATTATCAAGATAAAATACTAATATTGCTTTTAATTTTATGATTCTTATTTACTTAAATAATATCATATTTATATATATTTTAGAATAAGATATAATTAAATAATAAATTAACTCTATCTTAGTAAAAGTAAAATTTAACAAAAAAATCAATTTTATTCAGTGTCTACTTCTAAATATTGAGATTTTTTTTTAATGAATATGATTATTATTAAATTTATTAATTCATAAATGGTAACTATTTATTAAAAAATAATAATTTTATTAAGAATATGTTAATTGGAAATGGTTAATTTATTTATATGAAGTAAAAAGCACAATGAAATATATATTCAAACATCATCAAGCCATTTGATTCTTTTTCCATCTTCCCAAATTCCTTCTTTAATGGTTCCATCATTAAGGTAATATTTTGCATTTCCATGTTATTTACCATTCTTCCATCCTCCTTCATATCTTCTACCATCAGCCCAGTAATATATACCAAATCCATGTTTCTTATCATTAAGATAAGAACCTTCATATTTTCTACCATCTTGCCATTAATAAACTCCTTTTCCATTCATATTATTATCTAACCATTCTCCTGTATATCCTCTTCCATCTGCCCATTTATATATTCCAAATCCATTAATTTTATTGTCTTTCCATTCTCCATCATAATAAGAACCATCCGCCCAATCATATCTTCCTTTACCATGTTTTTTACCATCAATATAATCTCCAGAATATTTTGATTTATCCTACCCTAAACTAAATAACTTCAAATATTACATGTTTCAGTTCCTTTTCCATGTTACAAATCATCTCTCCATTCACCTTCATACATAGCTCCATTCTAATGTTTATAAGTACCCCAACCATTAGCTTTATCATCCTTCCATTCTCCTTCAAAAACATCACCATCTGCATGATAAAACTTTCCATGTCCACATGCTTTATTATCAACCCATTACCCTTCATATTTAGCACCATCTGGCCATTTTTAGATTCCAAACCCATCTCTTTTTTTGTCTTTCCATTCTCCTTCATATATTGCACCTGATTAAAACCTATTATCTATTTTTGAATACTTATATGGTGGATTTTTTATTCTATTTGGGTCTGGAGGAGGTTGTGCATTTGCTATTTCATCTTTAAAATACTATTATTTCATGTTAGCACCAGCCTTTTCTTACTTTTTTTCTTTCTATTTTTTGTGTTTCTTCCAATTTCTTTAAATTTTTATAGCAGCATCTCCTTATGAGATTTTTTTTTATTTCTTAATACTATGGTCAGTTTTCTCTATTTATTTTTATTCTTATTGATGATCTGATTTCTCAGTTTTCTCTGACTTGTCTTGCTTTTCAACCTTTTTCTTGGGTTTCTTTTTTACATTGATTTCTTAAATGGATTCTAGAGATTGATGTTAACATTAGCATCCATTACATGCTTAACCCATTATTATTAATAAAAATGACTGATCTAAACATTCTAATACAAGTTGAGAAATCTAATATAATTATAAATATACAATAAAAACAACTAAATAACAAAGAAGAATCAAATTTTAATGTATTCAAATGATTGATTAACCTAAAACTATGTTTGAATTTAAGAAAATTATAAATAACTGATCCATTTAACATAAATTCATTAAAATTACTAAAGATTAAAGATATTATATTCTTATAAAAGTCTACGTATTTGTATTTCAAAATTAACCAGTATTGTTTCTGAACAAGATTGATATAAAAAAAGAAATATAAATTATATTATTTTGGAGATATAAATTTATTGATAAATCTCTTCAAAATTATTTCTATTGCTGATATTTCATATAATTATACAATTATTTTTTCATATCAATCTATTAGTAAATTTAATGGATTCATAATTCAAATGATAATAAATGCCTTTATAAGTTTTAGAGTCAAATAATTAATAAGTTTAGCTCATTATTAAAAAAAAATATTAAAATTAAAGTTAAATTGATTATTGTTAATACATATATTATATAGTAATTTAGCAAATGATATGTCTTTATTTAGTATAAATTTATGAAAATTTTGATTAATTCATTTATAAACTATTCAAATAGTCTCATTAAATTAAAAAATGTGTCAATTTTACAAATCAAAAGATAATAAATTTGTCAGAATAATTATAATATTCTTATAAAATTAGGATCAATATTGTTAAAGAAATATTATATATTTTTTATTCATATTTGATAAAAAAACCATCAAATTTTAATTTAGTGATATCAATTTGATTTTGATCATTGTTTGAGTTTATATTATTATTATAAAATCTATCTTTTTAATGATTATAATTTTTCTGGTTTATTTTAATTTCCAATAAAAATACTTATATTATATTTATATTGTATTTATAAGTGTTAATAAAATATATAAATAGAAATATGAATACTTATATGTTAACTTTTATTATTTAATGTTATTTTCATTATATACTTTAAATATTGATAAATAATTAAATTGAAATATTGATAACTTATAATTATTGTATATTCATAAACATAATAAGCTAAAAAGTAAAGTACAAATTTTAACATAATATTTAAAAGTATTAATTATTAATTATAACAAACAATGAGTAAATTGTCAATTTAGGTTGATTTCTAATTTATTAAATTGGGCATTCTCACTAAACTTAAAGAATTAGCATATCCATATTATGAAGTTACAAATGAGTATAGAAACTATCAATTTAAAATTTAGCATAATAAGTTCAAAGATGTACAATATTAATAATAAATTATTAGTTCATCAATAATGAACTAAAAGCAATTAAACAATTATTAGATTAAGAGAATCCTTTACAAAATGAAGTTTCTATTTGTGGATATGGATTATAAGATCAAGAAGAGTTTACTTACTATTCTGATATTTTTGAAAAAGAATTGGATTTAAAGCTAATTAAATAAAGGAGTGTTCATAATTCAATTAAAGCAATTGACTATTTAATAAAAAATAAAGAGGGAGCATTTTATAAATTTACTAACTTAATAAATTTAAAAGAAATTCATTTATTAAAATAAGGTTATGAGATTGAGAAAGTTTTATGTCCTTGTCCAAACTATCCATACCTTTATTTAAATGTGAATAAAAGTGTATCTTTTTATAAAGTGCAAGCAGTAAATTAATTTGTTAAGCTGAATGGTTCTCTAATTACAGATACTACGATTGAGAAAATATTTTAATTAATTGGTTTAGATGGAGATATAAATGAATAATTAATGTTAGCATTCAAAGAAGGTAATAATTTGAATGCAGATATGACAGTAGAAGATATTTATGGTAAGAGTTACACATCATTGGGTTTATCAAAAGACATTATAGCTGCATCAATGGGTAAATTACAAACTAAAGAACCCTCAGAAGTTAATGTACTTGATGTTGTAAAAAGTTTATGGTTCATGTTTGCTATAAATTTGGGTTAATTAGCTGCTTTAAATGCTTAATTAGAAGATTTAACAACAATTATAGTAGGTTCAAGTAAAATAACATTTGAACCATTTTTATTATCACTTTAATCAGTGTTAACATTTTTTGGAGCTGGGAAATTAAATATAATATATATAGAAAATATGGAATTTTTGACTTGTTTGAGTCTATGAAAATTATAATAAATTTATAAAAATGTAGTCATTCATTTTTTATATGAGTTTTTAATAGCTTAATTACTAGATAGTTTAAATGGTTGACAATTTGTTTTATCTTGATGTTTATTGTAATCATAATTTTCATGTTTTTTAAAAAGTTTTTATTCAACCAATTATTATTGATCTTTTTTCTTATTAGTCATATCAACTTTATGCATAAAAGATTCTAAACCATATACTTCAATTTATTTGTTGTTATCTATAGTTTTTTTATTTATTTATGGTTTAAATGTACACTATTTCAATTATTCATCTTCTTACTACCTTAGTATAGTAAAATTATTACTTTTTTAATTAAGATCTTCTTTATTCTCTATCAGTTTAATATTATTTAATCTTTTCATGACAATCATCAAAACTATATTAGGAATGCATTTATGAATATTTCATTGATGTTGATACACTTGGATAGAATGAACATTCTTTATCAGAGTCATCATATTTCTATAAAATAATTCAATTAATTAACTTCTTTTAATAACTATTTTCTATATTCTCCATATTCATTTTTTATCAAATCTTATAATGTTCTATCTACAGCCATTTCCATTGACTTAGGATTTAATTCTGGATTAAAATTTAATTTGTTTATATCTTCTTATTTCTTATCTTCAATATATGATTATCTAGTTTAATATTCACTATATAATCTATCAAATAATGAATCTTAAGAGATCTTTCGATTTGCTATTTATTCACTTTACTTATTTAACTTTGGTCTGAATGTATAATCTTTATAAGCCTTACTTTCTAAATCCATATTCTTTTCTAGTTATTTTCTGTTGAATTCTTCTTATCTCTAATTAAAATCCCCTTTAACTATTTGATCATTAATTTATTAATTAGTTTAAGGTTGAAAATCATAAGGTAGATCATCCTCATAAATAATATTTTATTTTCTTATGCCATCCTATATTAATCTATCAACTACATTCAAACCATCTATTTTATTTTTTTCAGCTAAAATTTAAGATTATAAATTAATTCGAGGTTTAAATAAATCTTCTTCCTCTCTAAGTTATTTTGCTTTTAAATATTCAATTAATGCCTTTTTATCTTACATAACTTATTAATATCTTTCATATAAAGGAGGTTTATCACCATATGGTCTAGGAACCTTATTTATAGGTTATTCTTCTTCTTATTAATTAATCATCAATTTTAATTCATCAATATGTGCTTGTCTTTCTTATTCTAAAAATTATAGTCTCTCATATATTGGCATTCCTTCAAATTTTGAATATTTAATTTATGCAAGCAAATTAGTCTAATCACTTAATTCTGGTCTGAAAGATAATTCAGCCAACTTAAATAATTTAATGATATACCATTTTTTTCTCTTATTCTAATTTTTAATGCTCCCTCTCTTCTTATACAATAGTTTTAGGTTCTGCTAATTTATCAATATATGTCTGTTTTTTGCTCTCTTTATTTTTGAATAAGTTCTATTTCATCGCCTATAACTTTTCTTATTAAACTTTTAAAATATCAGGTGTTTGTCTACTATATTAACTAATTTTGCTTTCATCTGTAATTTATGATTAAGTTTCTGAATATTCTTCTTTACCAATGCTTGGTGTTTCTATTAAAGATTTATCAATGTAAATAGTTTCAACATTGCCATCTTCTATCAATTTCTTCCTTTGCTCTCTCTCTTATTTCAATCTTGACATAATTTCTTGCCTCCTATTCTCGTTAATCATATTTAATTTAAATTATATTATTAAAATAATACTCCTAATTAAAATAATTAGAATAGATATAGTTATTTTCATTCCTCAACTAATTTATTTGTATTTTCCTATTAAAACTAAATCTAAAATGTATATATGAACTAAATATCTCAAATATCTTGAAAATTAAATTAATTCTTATTTTTTATATCCTTCCCTATTTGATCTTTAATAATTATACATATTATACTTATATTTTTGATAAAAAACAATAAATCATTTACTTATCTACTAATCTATAATTATTAATAATAATAATAAATCTTTTTTTATTCAATTAAAATCAAAATTATTTGTTGATATCTTATTTAATTAAAATGATATTAGTAAAATAAAAATAATCATCTAAAACGAGTCATTGGTTATTTTTGAGTTCTGATAACAACAGATCTTCCTCTAATAACTCCTTTTGATGGTTTTGATTATGTCTATCTTTTTTATTCTTCTTCTAAAGTACTTTCTCTAAATACAACTAAGCCTAACAACTTTTCATGTTATTTGAGTTATCTTATAAATCCTTCATTTGGACATATTACATTTCTTTTAGCTTTAACATGTTGAAATGATTTAACAAAACTCCATTTAAATGATCTCATTATAAAATATATTACTATAGCAGCAGAACGAGATACTCCAGCAGCACAATGAACTAAAATTGGTCCTCTTTTTAACCATATTGACATAAATTCATAACATTCATCAAAATGTTATGATAAATCATAAGATGGATCATCAATTGCATCTATTACTTTATGTACAATTCCTTATGCTGGTTGAATATTTAAATCTTTAGCTACAGTTAATAATGCAACTATTTGATGTTTCTATTACCACTTTTTATCCAAAGCTGCATAAAAATCTCCTAAATATAATGTTCCATTTGTAAATGTATTTTCAAGTATTATATTAGCACAAACTACTTTGTATTTTTCCATAAAATCAACAAAGGTTCTCATTTATTTATAATTTAATAATAAATAAAAAATGAGCTAATAAATTCAAAAAAAATAATTGCAAATCCTTTCTAAATCAAAATTAGCTAAAATAAAAGATGGAAATGAAGAAGAGAACATTTTTAAATCTTATATTTAATTACATACTGAATAAAGAGCTAATTATCATAGAGACATTCGTGATTAATAATTAAAGTAAAGAAAAGAGTTCGAAAGATTATGTCAATCCCTTAAAAAAAATGATGTGTCTACACGGTTTAATAAAAAACGATTGTCATAATCAGTTTAATAAAGTCCATAAATAAAAGTTTCCTTCTAAACACCTTTGTTAAAGAAAGCACATCGAAAATTTTAAAAAACACCATTTCCTAAACAATGAATATCAATTATGGTTTTGTATCATAAAATCATCAATCTCTCTTATTTCAATTTGGATATTTCTTTAAGTCTCAACTGTATACGATTAATTTCTTCTTATATTAGTTTTGCTCTTGAAAAATATGGTCTATTCAAATGATTCTTGGTTGCATATCTTGGTTCAATTCCTTCAATACTTTTAGTGATAGATGCATATTCATCTCTCACATTATTAACTAATTTCTATCTCACTAAAAACCCTCTTACTAATGCCTGTATTTTTATTATATGATTATTATTATTATTCATATAATATTCAAATTATTTATTTTTATCCTCTAATATCACATGTAAACACTCTTAAATATTATAAATAATCTATAACACTAGCCAATAAAAATGGATCTTTAACCTATTATTAAATTCAATTCATACTCCATCTAACTACATGTTAGTATCAGGAAACATTTTTTCAGGATTCTCTAAGAATTCCCATAGCTTTCTTCTAGTCCAATAAAACTTATAGGCAGTCAAATCTTTTCCATAATTTGAAAACCTTTTAGAACCATTTCTTCTTAAATACACTGTTCTTAAAGATGGACCTAAATTTAAATCTTAATCTCTTTATTAATTTATTATATTATTATACAGATCATGACAACCAGCACAATTATGACTAAAGAATATCCTTCCTTTAGTTAAATCACCATTAGGAACCTCTATCTCAATCTCATTCTCATTTTTCACTTAACCTTTTCTTCTAAATTTTTAACTAGACTAACCACGCATCTCAAATCCAACATCTCCATCATATACTTTTCTTGATCTCATTATTTTATATGAGTAATTATTATTACTCAAAATTGTTAATTAATATATAAATCTTTATTTTTTATAATATTAAATATTTATTACATTATTTTTATCAAAAATTTCATTTAATTATATATTTATACTCTCTATCTTATTATACATCAATAAAATATATATATTCTTATTAATTTTGTTATTTGTCTTATTAATTTCTATATAATAATAAGTTAGTTGAAATTTAGTATACTTTATGATTTAGGGATCTTTAAAAAGTAATTTATAATAATAATAATCATATATAAATTATTTGATAAAAGACTTTAATTTAAAATAATAAATTCTTTTTAAATCTAATTATATTATAATTGATTTTCAATTATGAGTAGATCTCATATAAATTAAAAAATATATGATGATATATATATATTATTAGTAATACATATATTTTTAAAATATAATTGAAACATTGGTTGATAATAATAGTAAATTGATTATTATAATTATAATTAATGAAATAAGAAAATAGTTAAGAGAAAGAGGCAGATAAAATGTTCAAGAAAGGAAAAGATGCGTATATATTATGCTATAGATTTTTTTTAGCTTAACAACTGGTGTATTTTAATGGAAAAAGGATTATAATTTAGGTGCTATGTAATTTGAGGAAGCAGCTAAATTGTATAAGGAATGCAAGAATTTTAAAAAAGAAAAAGAGGCACTTAAATTTGCTATTGAATGTAATGAGAAATTGAATGATACTTGGGCTGTGGGTAGAAACTATGAAGCTCTATTGAATTCTTTGATTGATAATTCAAGTGATGATTATAAAGAACTTGTTGAATGGACATAAAAGGCAGGAGTTTATTTTAAGGTTTCAGATTCAGGAATGAAATCTCTCTAAGTGTTAAATAAAGTAGCCAAGTAAAAGTGATAGATTTACTTCAGGTATTTAAACAAAAGACAACAATATGAATTGTCAGAGAAAATAATTTTGGAAGCTTTAACTGAAGCTGAAGAATTATAGGCTCCATCTACAAGAACTGACATAATTTGCTCATATGTAGAGATATTGATAGAGACTCAATAATATCATAAAGTGGCTGATTTATATATGAAGGAGATAACAAAGTTTAGAGAAGAACATATGAAATATCCTTTAAGTCAATATGCTTTGATTATTATTGTTATGTACATTTTATAAGATGAGATCATCAGAGCCAATTAAGAATTAGAGCAATTAATTATTTAGTATGATTTGAACATTTAGAATATATTAGAGTGTATAATTTCCATAAGTCATCAGAATTTAGAGCAGTTGATCAGATGCTAAACTCCTATGAGAAAGGAGATTAGAATTAATTTAATGATGCTGTAATGAAAGCATGTGTGACATCAATATATCCTCCAAATGTAAAATATAGAATCTAGACAATTAGATTGTAAGAGCTTTGAGGAAAGTGAAAGTGAGAGTGATAAATATTCATTCAAAACAAAATATTAATCAATAACAACTTGATTAAGGAAATGAAGAAAATGACTACCAATAAGAATTAGAAAAAAAGATTCTTTGATTGTGATTATTAAATCAAAATAAATAAATGAATACATTTAGAATAAAATATTGAGACTTTCATAAAATATATTATTATTAAATGTAATTAGTAAGATTGACTACTAAAGCACATACAACTAGAAATGTTCCTTTAAGATCTCCAGAAAAAACTTAACCCATTATAATTCAATTTCCAAATTACATATTTTTAGGTCCCACAGATAACATAAAAATAGTAAAATTTACAAAGAACATATAATCATCTAATTTTAAACAAATAAGAACAAAATCTCCTTGCAAAGATTAAAACATAAGTTTTGTGAAAAATGTTGATGAAATTAAAACAAAACATCAAAAAACTTCTAGTGTTTAAATAATAACTTAAAATCCTGATCTTTTTTCTAAATTACAATCCCAAAACAGTACTACTTATAAACTAAGTAACATAACAGCTTTATAGACAATATCAAATAAACATAAACATCATCGATCTGAATTAACTCAAGATACTTGTAGTGAGTAACCAAGTACTCCTACTTTAACATTTCCAATATTAAAATATGTTGAATACTCTAGTAATATTTAATAAGGAAATATGTTTAATAAATCCAATAAATTAATTGGTTAGATTACATTTTAGAATGGTTTATACTATGAAGGAGAGATAGTTAAAGTAGATGATATGATAATCATAGAAGGTTAAGGTATTTTATATACAGACAATTCTAAATTTTATATAGTATATGAGGGAAGATGGAAAAATAATTGTTTTCATGGTAAAGGGAAATACTTTAATTAATATCAAATAGAATCTTCAAATGATTGGCATTTCAATTGGAAGATGATTTAAGGTATATTTAATATTTATTAATTTAAGCAATATTTAATAAAAATGAGATTATTGAAGGTAAAATTGATTTCTATATAAATGAAGATATCATAGCACATTAAATTTAATATTCAAAATGAAGATAAAATGATTTATTTACTAAATTTAATTTTTCATCAATCATTTATTATTTATCATTTATTCAATGTCTTACTTCTCTCAATTTGATCAAATGAATATTTTTTTTAATTTCTTACTTATTCCATAATTGTTTATTAAATTATATCATGCCATTCATCTTTCAAAATAGCTGATGTTGTACTAAAAAGGTATTCATATTCTGAATTTTCATAACGAACCTATAATTTTTAATATTAATATATATACTTTTAAAAGATTTTATTAATGAGTTTAAATTATTGGATCTTTTATAACAATAGCATCTACTAAAGATACAAATAAAATAGGTTCGAAATCTCCTGGCTTCTTGAATAAGATTAAACCAACATTTGTTAAAATTACAAATACTTCTTTCCATCTTTCTGAATTCATAAAATTCATTTTTAATAAATACAACCAACCTAAATTATTATTAAAATTTATTAAATACCTTATTTAGATGATACTTTAAAAGCAGATACTTTTCCTTAATCTAAATATCCTTATCTTTTAGAAACTTAAGAAAATGGTATTTCATTATTTAATCCTATAAACTTTATTTTAAATTCTGATTAAAATTCTAAATTATATAATAAAAGTCTTTATTAATTAAATATCTCTGTTAAATAAATATTTAATTCTGTTCTTTTAAATGTTTCCATTAATAAATCATCACAACCTGCTACTTTTATACAACAAACTACAGGAGAAGTCTTTAATAATTAATTAATATAAATTACCTCTGAAAATATTATTGATTTTATATCTTTTATTGCAAAATTTCTACTTAATTTTCTTGGTTTTTTTTCACCAAAGAATATAAAAAAAGTATATTCAGATAAATATATAATTCTTCTAGCTCTTTTACCCTTTGAATCAATTCTATAAATACTATCAGAAAAACATCTCTAAATAATTTATTTATGAACATTATTTTCTATTCTTAAATATTCCTTCACTTTTTAATCATCTCTTATTCCAAGAAAATCTCTCTCAAATAATAAATTTTCATCTATTTAAATTGATTATGGATCAAATATAGATTCTTATTAATTCTTATTTTTTAATCCTACCCAAAATTTATCAAAATTTTATAATAATAAATTTTATTAATCTTAATTATTTGGTTCTATTTTATTAATAGTTTAATCATTTTCTTCTTCACCCTCATGAATTGATTCAAACACACTTTATTCATATTTTGGATTTATTCTTAATACAATTTTTTATTAATCTGGTTATTATTATTATTAATCAGGTTCATATTAATCACATTCATCTTACTCATTAATTTTTAGACCACCACTTTATAAATCATCCAATGGATTAAAATTACTATATCTTATCTATGGATTTCCTCTTATTGATGACATTCTTATACTTGATATCCTACCTATCATACCCATTTTATTAGATGGAAAACCACCTTCTACAATAGATAATTTACTCATTCTACCCAATCCACCTAAATTAAATTATTTACCAATATTGCTAGATCTTGGCATAATACTACTTCTTAATTATTAATTCTCACAATTTAAATTTTCATATAATTTTTTATAATGATTAAGTTCTCTCTTCAATTCTATTATTTGTGATTCATAAGTATTTTATTATTTTTCAAGTTCAGTATTTGTTTATTCCAATAAATTATATTACTATTACAAACTTAAATAATAATAATAATAATAAATACTCAATCAATTTTTCTTCATAATCTCTTATTATATCTTTATTTTAATCTTAAACATTAACTTAAACTTATTCTTATTCTAAATTTTATTTATTTTCATATTCCTCAATTATTTACATTAATGATTTATTATTTTAAGTTAATCTATTAATTTCAGTTTTACTCTTAATTAAATTTTCATTTAATTTCTTAACTTCTATCTAAGTTTATTTTAATTCTGTTTCTATCTTTGTAATACTTTTTAATTAATCATGATAATCATTTATTTATTATTATAAATCTGTACATTATTCTTAATATCTCTATTATTTACAAATATTTTACATTTCTTTATTCCTAAAACATATCAATATCCTATAAAAGTATTTCAATTTATTAATCCTTATTGATAATATCTAATTCAAATTATCTTAATTAAGTTTTGGCCAATTCTTTCTCAATTAAAGCTTCTTCAATCTTTTTTGTATTTTCTATTAAAAAGGTTTCCATTTTTCTATCTTTTTATTTAGTTTCTTCTTATAAATTAAGTATTTGAACTTCCATTTTTTTAACAGCTTAATTAATATCATTTAAATGTTATTTGCCTTATTGATTAACATATTTTTTTTGTATTAATATATCAGTTTATTGATAAATTATATTAGCATAATCTTTTTTATCAATTACTTCACTCTATCTATGATTATTTGATTATTATTCCTCATCACTTGATATATACTAATATTTATTTATAATTTATTCATTATTTTATGATTCTTATACTTCTATTGTTTATTAATTGTTATGCTAATTAATAATAATTCTTTCTAAATCATTACATAATTCAAGTAACTCTTTAATATTCACTTTTTTATGTTCATCTACTAAAGGTTATATATATCTCAACATTTCAATTGCATTAATCTTTATTGTTCTCTATAATTCTTTACCAAGGTTTTCTAACTCCTCATATTCAATATCAATTCCATATCTATTCTCTATCAATTTATAAAGATTCTTAAATTGAATTATAAAGTCATTAGTCAAAACTTCCAACATATCTTTAGGTAAACGTTGGGCTTATCTTCCAAGAGTCTTAGGAAGTATGTATTATTTATATGGAGGAACTTCTTATTATAATAGAAATTCAAATATTACAGTCTCAACTATATTACCTATATAAATAAATACCTGTAGAATAAGTGACAATCCCTTCTTATTTCTCTGAGATGAAATCATATAATTATTTTTTAATTTGTTCTTCTAATTAGCATCTTATATCCAATTTGCCATATTCATCAATGATGTTTATGAAATCTTCAAAGGTCAGATTTTTATTGCTATAGAAATTCCTAAATTCTGAGATTACGTCTTGAAACATATGGAAAATAAATTAAATAATCTATTAGTTGGTTGAATATAAATGTTCTTATTTAAATCAGTTAACAAACTTAGCACTTGGAGGTTTGTTTTATTAGGAAGCACCTTATGCACCCTATTCTGCTGGTTTTAGTATTTAGAATGAACACATTAATGATTCATCAATAGTCATCATAGAGCCTGAATACATTATTTATATTAATTACCTGCATTATCAAATTCACCACAATAATTTGGTGCTGAAAAGAGAGTCACCAATTATCGTTTACTAAAGAATTCATAACCATCTTCAACAACCTAATATAATTATATATATAATAATAAATACTTGATGTGCTCTACAAATTAAATCAAGTTCATGCTTTTTAAGAAAGACTTAAACAATTTCTTAACTAAAGACATATGATACTCCTCTTTCATTATCTGCCCAACCTTATACATCTTTATCTGGATCTGACCAAAGTAGATCACATAAGAGACCAGTGTCAGGAACATCAGTTGGTCTCATAATTCTTCTGATTTACTCTAAATTAGAAAGTTCAGGAGATAATCCACCATGCATACAAAGAATCTTTTCATCAATTAATGCAGCAACTGGTAGACAATTAAAACAATCAGTAAAAGTCTTCCATAATTTTATTGTATATCTACGTTTACCTATAAATTAATAGGTATGATTTAATTACATTCATCATAAAATCCATATATACGATTGATAGATGCACATTCATGATTGCCTCTCAAAAGAAAGAAATTTTCAGGATACTTGATTTTATATGCTAAAAGTAAACATATAGTTTCCAATGATTATTTCCCTCTATCCACATAATCACCCAAAAATAGATAATTACTTTCTGGAGGATAACCACCATATTCGAATAATCTCAAAAGATCAAAATACTATCCATGAACATCGCCTAAAATTAAATTAAATAAAATATAGCACCACAAATTTTGAGAGGGGCTTCTAATTCTAATAAAATTGGTTAGCTGATGAAGATATCTCTAGCCTTAACACAAAGACCACGAACTTCAGATTCAGTCAAATTCACATTTTTTCCAGGTTTACTACCTCTCACACTTAGTAATCTTTCAATAATGTTATCTACATCTATTTCGCCCTATTTATCCTTTGCCATGTATATTATTATCTTTAATTATTATTAAAATATATATATATTACATATGAATATTTACAATAACTAAATTTCAATTAAAAGAAGATGTTATTAATTCCTATGTATTCAAATATATTAACTAATTTTGAAAATATGATACATTTTAATTTAATCTAAACTAAAAACATAAATTATTTATATTCCTAAAATTTCAGTGATGACAATACTGCAAACATACTCACACTTTCACTTAAAATTAATTATAATATTAAATGGAACTTATAAAAATTGAAGATAAATTTAATAACTATAAACAACACATTTTAGAATTAGAAGACAATATATACATAATAACAACAACTCTTGATTTTAAGGGACATGTACAACTATCCTAATTTGTTATCAATTACAAAACTAAAGAAATGTTATAAAAAAAGTAACTCAATATTTAGTTCAAAATGTCTTTATTTATACAAACTTCTATGACTGGATATTATACTATAAATGGTATGCTTGGTTGTTTAATTGGTATTCATAATGGAAGACTCTTTTAAATAAGAGATAATAAAGTTGATGAAATTTGTATAAGTGCAATGGCAATTAATCAAATTGAATTGATATCAGATTCATTAGCATTATTGAGTTCTGAAAGTGGATAAATCAATTTATATGATATATATACTCAAACTACAATATTCTTGTTTAATGAATATTTAAGTACTCCACTTAAGTATTTTCGTATTAGATATTTTTATGATACTATAGTATAAGGTAAATAAGATGGTTAAATGACATACTTTATTTTTAATGAGAATATGAAATAGATTCTTGCTAATAGAGATAAAAATATTCAGATGAATAAATTTGTATAATATTAAAATATACTTATTTCTCAACCTAATTGTAGACTTTATGTTACAGGTTAGAAATTATTGGATTTTGAATTATATGGAGATGTAATGATAATTTTAGTTGAACATCAAATTGAATATTTATTAATTGATGTAAAGAATTAGGAATACATTCGATTAAGAGTGTTCCAAATTACACATAATATAACATCTTTTTAAGTATGCAATGATTCTTTAATATTATATAATGAATCAAATGTTTTTAGTATGGATATGAATAAAGGAGAAATAAGAAATTAATTAGATTAAAAAGGAACATTTATGAATTTACTTACATATGTAAAAGACAATAAAATTTTATATAAATGATAATTTTAATCAATTTGGACATTTTCTTTCTATAATACTAAATTTACCAGATTCCTAATATTCATTCTTCGCAACCCAAAGAGATTAAAAAGAACTAAGTGATGCCAAAATAGATCCACCAATAAATACTGAATGATATCGATTTTACTAATAAATTAAAATAAATTTTATACATTAGATGGATATATTATTAATTTAATTTTACACATAGGTGGTGCCAAAGCAGATAAAGTAGTTTATAATTTATTCAAAAATCCAGGAATATTAGATGATCCTCCAGTTGATATTACAGTAGAACATAACTATTATTTAATATCATTAACAGAATTATTAATTATATCCAATAACATATGTTGAATACCTTTGAAATTATCATTACTATTAAATAATTTATCTGCAATTTCAGAAAGTTATGCTTATTACATTTATATAAACTTTCCATCAGGTAATTCATATTATTATGTTGTATCAATTTGTTCATAAGTTAATAAACCTTATTTAATGTCTCTAGCTAAACATGTTTTTTTAAATTAATTATATTCTCCAACTACAAATTATCTAAATGGTTCATTTAGTATTTCTCCACCAATTGGCGCTTAAATTTGAGTTTTTAATAATGTATAACCATCATGAACAGCAGATGCAGTTGTTGAATATGCACCAATATCTAAAATCAATGCTGTAGAACGACCTGCTGAAAATGTAGATAAGGCTGCATTTCTAATAGTGAAGAAATTTGGAATTTCTACACTTTCAAATAATATTTCCACTACTTTTTATAAATCATGTTTAGTCTGGAAATTATTAGCTAACAATAAACTATAATCTTTAGATTGAACTCCAAGTTTCTCAAACATCTTTTTCAATAAATTTTCATATAAATCTGGATTAAATGGTTATAATATGTCCAATACTTAACCATTACCATACCCTAATGATTCATCTCCAAATTGCATTGTCTCAGTACATTTTGTGAAAGTACTCCATCTAGGAAAATCATCTCCTGTAAATCCTGCTCTAGTATAGAGATTACCAATATCAGCAACAACAGATATAATTTCATCACTATTCATTGAAATTAAAATAATATTATGCTTAAAGTACACGAATTCTTTTCAGTTGCTACTTAATTAGCCTACAATGCAGCTATCATTATTAATCAAATTCGATTATCAACTGATATTGGTTAGAAATGGAAAGGCATTGATGATCCAGTCACAATTGCTGATATTAAAGCTTAAACCTATATTATTTAGCAACTATAAAAACATTGGTAATCTTTAGTATAATATACAAGGCCATAGTTAAAGATTGTTGGAGAAGAATCTACTGTGTATGATTAACCAATTGATTTACCAGATACTTATAACAATCTTTATACAGAGGATATATTCAACAAAACACCTAATAATTTAAAGGTTAGAACTCAATATGAAATAGAAGATCTATGTGTTTGGGTTGATCCTTTAGATGGCACTTTAGATTTTGTTTAAGGTGATTATGATTGTGTCACCACTTTGATTGGTCTCTCATATAAGAAGTAAGCTTTAATGGGTATCATTTCCTAACCATTTGTTAAAATTGCTGATAAACAATATGAATTTAAACCTAAGATATATTTTGGTCATCATCCTTAAAGAAGAGTGTTTTATACCTATGATACTAAGTAATTAATTCCCTTTGAACTCTTAAAGCCATCATATGATCCTTCCAATATCATATTGTGTACATCAAAAAATAGAATAACTGAAACTAAATAAAAACAAATTTAATCTCTTGGTTGTCCTCTCTTATAAATGGGAGGATCTGGTAAAAAGAGTCTTTCAATTTTAGAAGGTAAGGGTGATTTATTTTTATATATTGGTGTTAAAATGAGCAAATGGGATATATCTGCACCTGAGGCTTTAATAAAAGCATTTGGAGTATTCAAATTATATAAATATAGGGTCGTTTTGTAGGATTAGAAGGATAAATTTATGATTATAATCATGAAGATAAAACTTATGATAATCCATATGGTCTTTTAGCAAGTATTCATAGTGAACTAGTAGAAAAATTCTTACCAAAAACCACTGGATTGTTATGATTATTTTATGTAAAAATTAAAAAATAACATGTTTGTATACAGGGTATAATAGTATTATACAAAATTAACAAATTTACATAAAACAAAATTATATTTATTAATAAGTCTTAATCATTTAAAATAATAAACTAATTTGTCATTAATATTTAAAAGATAAGGAGTAAATGATAAACTTCATAGATTTTAAATTTACTTAATTCTTAAAGAATAACTCATATGATGTTATAGATAATAGATTAAATAATGAATACAAAATTTGAATTATAATAAAAATGAATATAATTTTTTATTAAATTATAACATATTTAATTTTCAAATTTAATATTTATATATAACAACACACATCAATGAGTGATTATCAGTAAAAATACTAAGAAATCAAAGGAAGTCTAGCCATTTTGATGTAATAAAATAATGCTCTCAAATAATAACTTAAAGAAGCTTGTGAAGAATTATAAGAAAAATAATAGTTAAAAGAAGAATGGGCAGATGAAGTGTAAAGAGTCTCTGAAACAATTAATATATTATAAAATGAAAATTCTTGTAATTATTATTTATATTTTAGAGTTATAATAAGAAAATGAATAATTGCATAGAAACTGTTCAGAATCTAAATACTTAATTGAGCAATAAATTGAATAAATTACTATTTTGAAGGATTAGAATGATAAATTGGTTAATTAGTTAGATTAATGCAGATAATAAAATTTACAAAAGGAATTATATATAAAATAGTAAAGAGATGATAATCTTAAATAAATAGATTAATTACAATAGTAATAATTTGAAGAAATAAAAAAATTATAGGGTATAATTGATAATCAAAGTGGTTTAATATAATCTTATGAGAAATTAAATGAAATTGAGAAATAAGATACTCATCATGTTAAATAATAACACTAAATTATATTTGAAGATTAACTTATTGAATTGAAGAATAGAAATATCATACTATCAAATAAAATTAATGAAGAGAAATAGAAATATGATTAATTATTTGAATAACATAAAGATGAAGTATAAAAACTATAAGGTGTAATTAAAGAATAAAAAGAATTATTAAATCAATATGAAAGAATTATAGAGAGAGATAAGAAATAAGTCTAATAACAACAAAATTTGAACATTACTCCTATTCATAAGTAATATGAAATACCATAACTTCAATAACCTTAATAAATTAAATAAATACATTAAATATAATAAGCACCACCACAATAACCTTTATATTAACAATCTAATTATAATCAAAATATGTATCAATAAACTTTGACATCCCCTGTTCTTTATGAAAAATGCAATCAACCATCTCCAACTTATTTACACACATAACCAAGTTATGCATAACCTCTATCATAAAGACCACCAAAAACCTTTTTTACTAACAATAAGATAAATCATCAATTACAATAATAGATAACAAGAGATAAATAAAATTCAAGAGAATATCACTAAAAACGTAGTTTTCATTTTGATGATTAAGAAGACAGTAAAAGAGTAGAAAAAGAATTTTAAGAAGAATTTTTGAATAAATTTTAGAATGTAATTGGAAGAATGGAAGATAAACTATATTAAATGCAAAATGAACTAAATATTTCTGATATTTCTGATAAACCAAAAAAATTAAGATGAGATATATATTAATAATTGTTATTATAAAAAACATCTAATGAAATATTTTCATTAAGAATATAAGATTTTATGTATCTATAATCAAATTAAATTATAATTATAATAATCTAAGAATTAAAAAAGAAATATCTCAGATTTTAAATGATTAATATTTGAACTATGTAATTAAAATAAATGATATAATTAGAATTATGACTACATTCTTTAAAAGATTATACATATATAATAAATATTATTTCTATTTAAGTCAATTTATTATATTGCATATTAAAAAATTGATTACTTTTTTAATAATTTTTTGTATATATTTCTTAGAATTCATTAAATTGATCATTATTGTCTATTGTTCTTATAAATTATCACTCAAACTTTATTATGTATTTTAGTAATGAAGTTATTTGACAGATCCAAAAATATAATTAATGTACATGTCAATCAATCTATTTAATATAAAATGAGTGATATAATGTTTGCAGAGATATCACTATAGTATCACTTATAATAGAAACTATTATATAGATAAGGGAATGAGAACACTTAATGATGGTAACTATTACAAAAAAAGAATGTTAATTAATTATATTTGTGTGTGTGCTACAATAATCATTATCTAAAAATTAAGTATGGGTTGAACACTTCAGGGACAACAAACAGACCTGCTCCAACATATGTCAACACTGTATTACGTGTAACTTTGATGAAAGAAGGAGAGACTATTAAATTTTGTATTCTTAATACTTCTAGCTGTCAGAGCTGCACTGCTCAAAGCCCCTAAGCACAATATTACAAATCTTGAATTGACTGTTGCCATATCCAAAATATATTGCTTTTTAAGACCTATCATTCTTTTTTGAATCATTTACTTGTAATTTGATTAGGTAATTGTTCGAAGAAATTTTGGAAGGCTACGTAGTTTTCACATACTTATTATTTGGTTTCACACTATATATATATTATATTATGAATTTTACCAAAACATTTTGCTGTTCCTTATTTTCCATTTTTGTATATCTAATCGAATATAAAAATAATTATGTAGAAACACTTTTACTAAAAATAATTACAATATCTAAAAATTGAATAATAATTTAACAGATTAAAAAGGACATTTATTTGCCTTATCATTATGAGATGATTAATCATTAAGTAGAGAGTAGTGGTGTTATGTAATTTCTAAATGTATATCATAAGTTTTAACTTTTACCAAACAGCAGTTTCCACTTATCATTCTATCATTTACACTTTAATATTAAATAACTACAGAAAATCATAAACAATAAGTTGTGTTAATATCATAAAAACTATTATAATTGCTCCTTTTTCAATGGCTTAACTAGTAAATCATCCATACCAGCACTAATACAAGCTGCCTTTGTTTTTGGATCACCGTCTTATTATTCATATTATAATGATATTTACCTCCACTGAGACCAAGAATCTTGCATCTAGGTAATCCTTTTGCTTTTTCATGAAGCCTAATTTATTTTGTAGACTAATATTTAAATTTAACTGTTACATCATATCCATCCATTATTGGCATATGAATATCCATGAGTATGTGAACAAAATTAGCTGATTTTTGGTATTCTTCCAAGGCTTCCTTTCCATTAGCCACTACTATACACTCTACTTTCAGAACACCATAAAGCATCTTCAATAAATTTTGAGCAAAGGGTTCATCATCAACCACTAACACTTTCTTTCCTTCCATAATAAAATATTTTTTATTAATCAGAATTTTTAATGTCTTAACATCTATCTCTCAAAATTCATGATTAGGTTTTCTATATTTTTATTTTTTAAAAGACTAAAATTAAAATAGAATTGCCATACTAATTACTCATATATATTTACTATCATTATAATTAATAGTAATCACTATGAATTAATGACAATTAAATATTGATTAGTCATTCAATATCAATTGATTTCGAAATATATTAAAGATTATTATAGAGAATCAATATATACAAACAATAAATCACAAATTTTATAATTAAAAATAATTTAATTTATTTTAGATATATCTATTGAACTATTTTATTATTGAATAAATTTGTTTAAATAGTTTCTCTATTTAAAATCTAGTTAATAATCTTCTAATAATTCACACCCTATCCTCTATGAGTAATATTATTTAATTTAATATATTCCTAAATAGATTTACATATTAAACCTAAGTTGTCTGAAATTGTACATTGTAAAATTTGATTGATTAATTGATGTTTTTTTGTCCATAATTAATAATTAAAAATGGAAAGAGCTGCAAATCTAATATTAACAGCAGGTTCTTTACTTGTAGGTGGTGGAATACTATTTCAATCATTCTTTTATACAGTAGATGGAGGTTAAAGAGGATTAATATTTGATCGTTTCCAAGGAGTTAAGGAAACAGTATATGGAGAAGGAATGCATTTTTTTATTCCTGTTATTTAAGTATGAATGTTAGAATATATGTTAGTCTCCAATTGTTGCAGAGGTTAGATTGTAACCTAAAACAGTGGCATCCCATACTGGTACAAAGGACTTATAAACAGTGGATATTGCAATTAGAATGCTTCATAAACCTATTGAATCATATTTACCTGAAATTTATAAGTAAAGTTTCTTTTTAATAGATAAGAACCATTGGTTTGAATTATGAAGAAAAGATTCTCCCATCTATTGCAAATGAAGTCTTAAAAGCAGTTGTTGCTTAATATGATGCAGATCAATTAATAAAAATGAGAGAAAAGATTTCATAAGAAATTAAGGAAGGTTTAATTGAAAGAGCCAAAGAATTTAAGATAGTTTTAGATGATGTTTCAATTACTCATTTAGGATTTATGAAAGAATATGCTTAAGCTATTGAAGCAAAACAAGTTGCATAATAATTGGCAGAAAGATAAAAATTCATAGTGTTGAGAGATGAAGAAGAAAAGAATGCAAAAATTATATTATCTGAAGGAGAATCAGAAGCAGCTAGATTGATTAATGATGCAGTCAAATAATATGGAACAGGTAGAAATGTTTATTTGATCAATAGCTTAAATTGAGATTAAGAAATTAGAGACAGCTAAACATATAGCTGAATAATTAGCTAAGAGTCCAAATATTACATGGATACCAACTGGAAATGGTGTGTCCAATTTATTGAATTTGAAGACATTTTGATGGATAATGATCATTATTATTTTGATGGGATATCTAAATTTAAACTAAAATTAATAGTTATTCATTATATATTACAATTACTGTACCAATATATTTATTAATTTACAATTTTGAATATCAAAAACATCTAAAATAAACATATAATATTCATCATTTAGTTTCTAGCAAATGTATACTATAAAATAACTATTTGGACCTAAGATAACTATAACTATTATCAAATATAATTCTATAAAGTCCTGGATTGGATATAACTGTGACTCCAATTATTGGTTACTTGTGAGATTCAATCCTTTATAATTTGATCAATGATTTAACTCCATTTCTTTCATTCACATAATCTATAATTCCTAAATCTTCAATTGTTTATAATTTGAATAATCCAAATGATACATCATAATCTAATGTTCTAAAACTCCAAAATATTAATGAATTTGGTTTATCAACCATAAATGAATAACAATATATAGATGCTGCTTAAATTATAGTATAACAAGGGAAAGCTGCTTGAATATTTAAGTTTCTCAAAGATGGAACACTTTAAGATTCATCTACATAACTCAGAGCTTTAACAGAGAAATATCTATTGAATATAATATGATAATTTACTTATTTTCTCTCAGATATGCAAGATCATCATCATCAAGAAGAGATTACTTAAATTTTTCATCATAATCTGATGAATGAATAATTTAATACAAAAATATAGTTATTTCTTTGTATTCTTAAGCATCTTTTTGTAAAAACAAAGAAAGATTACGCATCACCAATTATAATGGTCCCATTAAAGCTATTCTCAAATCTGGAATGTATCTATATAAGACTTTTATCATAAGATAGATTCTCTTTTATAGTCCAATTTCTTCTGGCAATACTAAAATCATATTTAAGAGTTGAGCACAACTTTTATACATGTTAGATATCTAATGCAAAATCATTTATTTCTCTATTTTTATATAGTAAGTTCTTTATTGCATTTCTTATATAGTATATTGTACATCTAATATGTACCTTTCATATATGCCTAAAACTTGAGTCAAAAAGTTAACCTATTATTTTTCTTCCATCTACCTTATCATCAAAAGATATTCATAAATTAGTTCTTACAGAGGACCTCCAAATAGATAATATTAATCTATTATGCTTTCACAAGAAGATAAGATTATTTGCAATTGTTTAATGAAAAGACTATTGTTATCTTGGAATTATTTTAAGGCCAATTTCAATATACTTAAGTCTGACTATTTCTTTTCAACATATTTGACTTATAAACCAATTAGGAGATCATCAATATGTAATTCTAAAGAAGTATGCCGCAATTATTATTATAAGTTCAATAAACTATTAGCTAGATCCACCATGGTTCTTTCTGCACCTCTTTGATGAAGAAGTCTATTTGCTATTATTTTTCGTTGCATTATTGCATCCAATATAATGATAGAACTTCTTACTTATTAAGGATTAGTGGATGAGAGATGCTTCATTAATTTCCTCAATAATGGTAGATTTAGTAGATCTTAAAGTTGTGGCTCATCCTTTATATCTTGTCCTAATTAATCTATTAAATGGAGTATTCCCTTGACTTCATTGTTTTCAAAACATTCATTCAACTTTGCCTACAATTCTACTTGATATTGTTGTAATAATGGAGTGATTAATGGTGATTCAGACATTAATTAATATGAATTTAAACTAAAATGCATTACTCTAACTTAGTAGTAGAGTTGCTGCACCTAGAAGAGCCACTATGTTTAATTATACCAAAAAGGGATTAAATATAAGACCAGATAGTCCAAAAACTAGAGAGGCATGTTTAGCCTTGGGTTATGATTCTTCAATATTTAAACTTAAGTAATAGTATAAATATATTAAGAAAATTGGATGAATTTGGTGGACCCAATGTAACTGAAGCTATATAAAAAATGAGATATGATCATTATGTAAAAAAAATGGAAAGTATATTTTCCATCTTAATCGAAAGTTACATTTAAAGAGATATCTTAAAAGAGAAAGTAAATCACCAAGAAGAATAAAGGGTTATAAAATATTTAATTAGAAAAATCATTTCATAGAGATGAGGGGTATCTTCAAATGATTATATACATTTTTTAGTTTAGTCAATGATTTGATAGAAACTTACAATAAAAAGATGGTTAACCTTAAGATAGATGAAGAAGATAATGATAATTCTTATGAATCTTATGATGAAGAAGATCCAGTTTTAGTTTTAGAGGAATAATTAGAAAGAGAAATAAAAAAATATTAAAGAGCTCTTGGAGTTAAGGCTAAAGAGATTCATCATTAATTAGAGAATGAAAAGAAACGACATTTATTGTAATAAGAAATGGAAGATAGAGAAAAAAAGATTTCTGAATTAAATGAGAAGATTAGAAAAGAAAAATAATTAAAAAAAAAATAAAAATTAGAAGCAGCTTAAAAGAAATTTAATGAAATAAAAAATAAAGAAAAATAATTTAATTTAAAATAAATTGATGAAAGAAAAAGATAATTAGAAAGATTTGAAGAATTAGGAAGAAAATTATAATTTGATGAACAAATAAAGAAAAAAGAAATTGAAGAACATGAAAAAGCATTAAGATAAAAATTTGAAACTGTTAAAGCAAATAAAAAAAAATTTGATAAATTTTTAGAAGACAAAATGACACATACTCTATCTAATTTATAAATAAAATGTAATTCTATTCTTTTTATTTTATATAGAAAATGAATGTAATTTAAATAAAGAAAAGTTTACATGGGAATGTAAATTAGAAAAATTAACTATGAGAAGTTCTCATTATGATGAAAAATTAAGAAAAATTAAATTATAAACAGAACAAAAGGAAGCAGAAACTATTCAAAAAGTTGTAGAAAAGTTATTTAATTAAGAATAAGAACTATAAAGTATAATTTTATATATATATATATATATTTTAGTTCTTGAAAAATAAAAATAATTGGATGAATAAGCTAAAATAAAAGAAGAACTTACTAAACGTAAAAAAGCTTAAGATTCTTTAAATAGAATTTAATCATTATAATTATAACGTGTTACAAATCTAGAGAAAAAATTCTTAGATTAAGATTAATTGAGTAATAGAAGAAAGGATGAATATGATTATTAAAAAAATATAAGAAAAGAAAAATTGAAAATTAAATAATAAGATTTAATTGAAAATTATTAAAGATAAGAAAGACTTAAAGATTTAAGATTTAAATAAGTAATCAAAGATAATCAATAATTGAATGAACAAAAATCATTAGAAAAACTTTCAATGGAATTGGTTAGAAAAGCATAATAAGAATTGTAAAGAAAACTTAAATAAGAAAATGAAAATCTAGATAGAAGTTTAGTCTCTGTTAATTAAGCAGATAATAAATCTATGGGGTATTATTTTATTACTATTATTATAGAAATCTTGTTCAATAATTAGAAAAAAGCTTAATGCAATATTCCTAATTTATTTGACCAAATTTTTATATAATAATGAAGATTCATTCTATTTCTCATTGTGATCTAATTTATATACCATATAAATAAGTTCATATCATTTTATTAATTCTATTTTTGTTAATTTATTAAAATCTTAACTGATATGAAAAACAATTCTCAAATTTTGCCTATAATTTATGGTTAAAAATATGATAATTTATTAAAAATCATTGATGCAATCATTGTTTTAATAAATTCAATATATAATTGAATAATGGCATTTTTAAAGAAATTTTTTGGATAAAAAACAGATTCTTAAAGTTCTCTATATAAGACTAACTTAAATGAAATTTATAATAAATCACCATTTCAAAAAAAATAAATTACCTCAACTATTCAAGATTAAAAAAAATTAGAGCAATTTGAACTTATACTAGAATAGCAAATAATTGATTTAGAAGCTCTTAAGAAACTCACTTGGAGAGGAATACCTAATGGTATTGTTTTAGATAAATATAACTAGAATATAGAGCAAAAGTATGGAAATTAATAGTAAAATACATTCCTCCCAATCACATGAGTCAGACAACTATTTTGCAAAAGAAAAGATAAGATTATTAACAATACATTAAGAATTATTATCAACATATGAACGAACAAGAAAGGGATGAAAATGAAAGGAAAATCATAAAGATTATATAAAATGATGTATTGAGAACTCAACCAGATTATAAACTATTTAGAGATCCAAGAATATAAGAGATGTTTAAAAGACTCTTATTTATATGGAATATGAGACATCCAATGAGTGGTTATGTTTAGGGCATAAATGATGTAGCATCACCTTTAGTTGTAGTATTCTTGAATGAATATGTTCAAATAGATTTCAATTCTTTTGATGTTCCTTCTAATTTTGACAAATTACCAGAAGACATTTTGATTGATATTGAAGCTGATATCTATTGGTGTTTATGCAAAATAATTGAAAATATTTAAGATTATTTCACTGCAAATTAACCAGGTGTTTAAGAAGCATATGTAAAAATTAGAGAATTGATCAAAATAGTAAGAATTAATCAATAAAATTAAGCTTGACTATCCTTTATATCAATATTTTGAAGATCAATAAATAGACTTAAATCATTTTGCCTTTAGATGGGTGTTATGCCTATTAATAAGAGAATTTCCATTATCTTTAACTATCAGATTATTGGATACATATTTAGCTGAAGGTGATGAGATGGCTAATTTACATGTATATACAGTAACTAACTTAATACTTAAATGTGCACCTGAAGTAAATTAGTAAAATATAATAGATTAAATCAAAGAATATGAGTGAAGCAGTCATATTTTTATAGAATTTACCTACAAAAGAATGGACAGAAGTGTAACTTGAAATGCTTTTGTAAGAAGCATTTGTTTTTCAAGATCATTTTGAAAAAACAAAGGGCCATTTAAAATTAAATTAAGGAAATACAAATAGAAGTAGCATTCTCTGATTACTACAAGATATAAAGAGAATATATATATATAAATAATTAAATCATCATCTTTTCTTTTTGCATTGACTAATTTCTCTTAGTTTCCAATATGGTTGATTTTCATCTTTAATAATATTTCTCTTTGATTAAATCAATTTTTATTATTATATAAATCTAGATTCTTAATTTTTTTTGATTTGATCATCAAACTTTAGAGTTTTATTTAATCCATCACTACTTGGAGAATGTTGTATTTCACTTGAATTTAGTCCAATTGATTCAAATATTCGATCCTACTATTTATCTAAAATAGTCATGATTTTTCTACACTCTAATATACTATAGTGATCTTAATTCCCTTTTTTTGATTAAAAGTAGGGTTTTTTTGTTGGAATTGTTTTTTAAACAGGCATAAAAGTATCTTCTTAACAAGATAACTTACGTTATTATATTTATTATTCTGGATAGCAATCATATTCTATATTCTATTATATATTTTCATTAAGATATACAAAATTATCATCTTTATTTGATTACATAAACTAAGCTGTACCTGGAGTCTCAATTGATTTTAGAATTAGTTTACCATCATCTATATAGGTTGAAGCTTAAAATGTTATTCGATTTGATGGTTAATCATAATCCTAATTAAATATCTGTAAATGATTCTGAACCTTTTATTTAGGTTTTTTTTATAATTCATTCTCATTGAATAATTCTTTTTTATTTTCACTAACACAATTTCTTTTTCGATTTATAACAATATTTTATAAAGGTGATGCATCTTAACTTATTCTTTTTGGAGAGATATCTTAATTGTGAAATGTCTTTTGTTTTTTCGATTAGATTTCATAATCCTTATTATCTATTTGATTATTAGTATGAGTATGACATTTTATAAAGTTGGATTAGAGATATAAAATATCTGGAATAGAATTCTGTTTCTTTCTATCTTGAAAATGAATTTCACCTTTATTGTTTTATTTCTGAAGTATATGTTCTGATGATTTTTTTCTATTATTTGGTATTATATGTATTTTTGAATAGGAGTCCTGATGATTTAATTATTAGAAAGGTTAGTTACAATTCACATGGGTACTTCTTATAAGTATCTGTTAATTTAGTTTAAGCATAATTTATATTAATAGTATAATCAAAGCATTTCTATCAACATCTTATTCATGTTCTAACTTAATTTTATTCAGGTTAGACTTGCCAAATATATACCTGACCTCTAATCAATAACAATATTTTAGATGGAAATTTGAGAACATTAGGAGACTGTAATATTTTTAGGGAAATCGACTATTTCTGCAATTCATCATCACAAATTCCATTCCATCTAAATCTCCCTATATTTATTTTAAAAGATGTTATAATTATGCATTCCTTCAGACAAGATTTTGATTTGATTTAAATATTTAATTAGGAATGAATATAAGACTATTGTGGAGAATAACTTATCTATTATTTACAAGCAAATTATATTATAATTAATAAATTCAAATCAAAAGTGTTATATCTTTGCTGTTATCAATATGACTTCAATTAAATAATACAAATGTTCAAAAATAAATTTAGATTTTTATTTTGTTACTTAAACTCTATTGTTTCTTTCATCTATAGTATTATTTAAATTTCAAATAATATAACAGATAACACTCTTTTATTTTACTTCTTTATTTTAATATTTTACACACTTTACAAGTTTATGATTAAATTAATAAATACTTAAAATTTTTATTGTTCATTATTAATTACTTTAGCCTTGACATGTTGTTATAAAAATTTTTGAGTTGAAAATTGAAATGTTCTATAATTATATTTTAATATATATATATATATGTGTTAAATTCAAAGATTTTAATTAAAACTTAAATCATAGCATCCCGATAAATTTATTGTTAAGATTTCTACTGCTTCGATCCTTGTTCAGCAAAGATGGACTTGGAGCCTACCTCAAATCAATTATGACTTCTCCTTTTATCTATACACTTTATTATCTCTCCACTCTACTTTATTATTTTTCACCTAAAATATTATCGGCACAAGTGCTGCCTAACCTCTCTATACAATCGATATCTCCTTTAATTAAATTTAAAGAGAAGGGCTCCATTTGTAAAGTTTTTGGAGAGAATTCTTATTTAATGCTTAATTGAGGCATTACAATAGTTTCAGTTTCCTTTAAAGGAAGATTTTAGCAGCAACCCATAAATTTATTTATTAATTTGTTCAATAAGATAGAGATAATTATGCTTATTTATAAACTCTAAATATTTTTATTAATATGAAGTCAGTATGAGTTAAAAATATATTACTTTGGTCATTTCTCTTAAGTACATTAAGACATATTACCACAGGTTATTATATAAACATATATGATATTGTTAATATCAATTATAAATATATTTTGAATATCAAGTTTAAATTTACAATTCCATCATGTTATCTTTACAAATAGTAAATTGTCCATAAAGAAGCTAATAGATAAAATATCGTCATTTTTTATATTTGAATAAATTAATTTAACTCCTGGTCAGGTTAATTAAAATGAAAACATTAAATATTTTTTTAAATCTTTATGAGTAATAATTTGTTCAACGTTCTCAACTTCTCCGATACTGAAGAAGCTCCCTAATAATCACAAAAAAAGAATAAAAAAAACAACAATTAGGAGTAGGTTATCCCTGCTGAATAAGTAGTAAAAGAAAATACTCAACACCACAATCCTGCTCCAAAGACTAAGGGAGTTGTTGCTGAGCCACATCCTAAAGACAGACAATCTGGTACTGGAAGAGGCAAAGAATAACGAAAAGAAGGAGGAGGTAGAAATAATTGGGGCAATTACAAAGATGACTAGAAGGAGGAAAAATATGTAGCAAAAGAAAAAAACACAGTAGATGCCCCATAAGAAGGCAAAACTGGGTAGACAACTCAGCCAGTTTAACCACCAGCCCCAGAAAAGACTCTTGCTGATTATTACTAATAAAGAGGCGCTGTATCAATTTAAATATTATATTCAGAATGTTGATGAAGTATTAAAATAGGTTGAAGTTAAATAATAAGCTCCAAAGAAAATTGATGAAGAAGCTTTGAAGAAGGAAAAACTCTTTGTTGTTAAAACAAGAGAAGATGAAAAAAGAGAACAAGATTAAAAGTAAAAAAAAACAAGATAATAATAATAAACATACAGAACTGAATTGAATACATAAGCTGCTGAGTACTTGGGATTTACTAATTAACCTTAAGAAAAGAATGAAAGAAGAGGTTAAAGAAGATAATATGAACAACCATAATAATAATAAGAAGGTGAAGAGTAAGGATAAAGAGGAGAAAGATAAGATGAATAATAAAATTAAGGATAATAAAAAGGAGAAAGATAAGATAGAGGAGAAAAACAATATAGAGGAGAAAAATAATATAGAGGAGAAAAATAATATAGAGGTGATAGATAAGACAGAGGAGATAGATAAGATAGAGGAGACAGATAAGATAGAGGAGACAGATAAGACAGAGGAAATAGATAAGACAGAGGAGATAGATAAGACAGAGGAGAAAATTAAGAAAGAGGAGACAATCAAGAAGGAAGAGAAAGATAAGATAGAGGAGACAGATAATATAAAGGAGATAGATAATATAAGGGAGATAGATAATACAAAGGAGACAATAACAATAGAGATTAAGAAAGGGGTGAAAAAAATAGAAGAGGAGGTGATAGATAAGAAAAGAAACCATAATAAAGATAATAAGTAAATTTCAAATATTACTTGAGTAGGAAAAAGGAATCCAATTGGATGAGAAAGATTTCCCAGCTCTATGAATGTGATAAGTATAATACACATAAAGTACATTTATAAATCTTAATTAAAATAAAATGAACCAAAATCTCGAAAATGCCATCGACATAGAGAATGATGAACTCATTTTTGAAAATTGTATATGTATTCTTTACACTTAGACAACAATGATGATTAAGATGATTAACTAGTTTCATAATTATAAGAGATTCTTATATCAGAAGATTTTGAAAAATTATCTTAAGATTTCTTACGTGAGAAATGTTTAGTCTTTGATGAGACTGAATAAAAGGAATATAGAGATATATTTAAATTATACTAAAGTGCTATTTAGTTATATTTGAATGAAGTATTATAATGAATGAATGAATTTAGAAACTTAAAGTTGAATTTACACTTGAAAAATTGTAATCTCTCCCTTTGGATGAGGCAATAAATGAAACTTTAGCATCATTATTTGATTATGATTTATTTAAAGATATCATGGTAGAAACAAGAATAAGAGTAGAAGAAGAGGAAAGGACAATTAAAAAAAGTACCAATAAAGCTACTAAAGGATATAAATAAGCACCTTAATAAAATATCTTTAGTACAGGATAAGCAATATAATTTGAAAAAAAACCATTAAAAAATGTAATAAATATTAATTATTCTTTAGTAAATTCCTTAAGACTTAAGACCAGACTTATTCTTTAATGTAGTGCCTTTAAGTACCCCAAAAGTTAATAGAAAATAAGCTTGAGTATATAAAAAAGATTGTTTATATTTTAATCATGCCTATTTAACTAAGACTCTATGGGATTATGATTGCCATTTATTTTTGACAAGTCTTTTTTATGGAGCAGTTCCTGGTCTTAATAAAGGTTTTATTTATTGTCTATCAGATTTAATGCTAAACAGATTTATCTTTTTTTCATCTATAACTTAATTCAAAGGTAGTTTCTTAGTCATCCAATTATCAGTTGTTTGTCGTCTAAGTTTTTTTGTAAGTTAAATATTTTAATTTTAAACTTAATTTAGAGGTTCAGGTTCAGATTTTGATAGATTTTTAAATTAGCTTAAACATAACAAAAAGGAATTACATTTAAAAATAAGGAGGAATGTATTGGGATATGATGATTTTATTCCATTATACTTTTTTAGAACCTACTTCCTTTTTTTGTCTTGGTTCACATTCTTAAGGTTTTTAACTATTTAGATAAGTATTTCTTGCAACAACTTCATCTTAATTTTAAGTAGAATCCCAATTGTTACTCAGTTTACTAATATGTAACCATTTTTCAAAATTCACCAGTTGCTACATCACATTTTATTTGATATCATTATTATTTTTCAAGTTCTACACATACTAAAGAGTTTTTTATAAGGTCCATTTAAATCTAGATTCTATAAATAAAATGATAATACTTCCTCATCAAAAATACAGCAATTACAAAAACAGAACGATTGAGAGCTTTAATTGAATGAACTAAAACAGCCTCTCCTGCTTCTAAGTTATCATTTATAAATGAAAAACAACGAGAATGGTCAATTGCATATTGATTATCACTTTCAATCCAACCATAAGTCAAGTATTCTATACCAATTGATTCCCAATGATTTGGTATTTACTTTCCAGCGCAATTAATTACTTTTGTAATTTTATTAGTTATCAAGAATTCTAAATCCTTATATTTTATAAAGTATCAATTACATGTGCAGCACTTTAATCTCCTATAAATAAACCGTCAATGATACGTGTTGGGGTTTACATTATATTTTTTAATAATATTAAAATAATTGGTTGATAATTTTCTATGAAATTACTTGAGTTACTGAATCAAATTTTGCTTTAATACTTATAATTATCTATTGCCATATTAGTTGAGAATGATTGATTAGATGTTAATTATAAACATACATAATAGTTTAATAAACTTAAAAATTAATTTTATATGAAAAATAATAATTATATAGTTAAAGACATCTATTAGGAGAAAAATAAAGGTCGTATCTATGATTTTCATAAAAAGAAATTAGAGGAAATAAATTAATAGGTAGATGATTAAAAATTATTGTAGTATCCTAAATTGGAAGATTAGAAAATAATGAAGAAATTATAGGAGAAGCATAATATGATTAAAACAGTTTCTAAATTTTATAATCAAGAAGCTTTTCTTGAATAATAAAGAGTGAATTAACATCTAATTTTGAAAATAATGTAGCCTCAAACTAGCAAAACACGATCTTAACATAATTAATCAAGAAAAGAATATGCTAAAATTAATTTTGATACTAAGCGTATAAGTGAAGAAAATCGTAGTCTAGCTAATAGAATTACTAATTTACCTCCTGTTATTGATGCTAAAAAGCATGACAAAGAATATAGAAAGCATTAGAGTGATGTTGTCTTAATGCAAAAATATCATACTACAAAACTTATTGAACAATATGATCAAAAAACATTTACTATACTTAATAAATTGACCAATAACAAATTCAACAAGACTAAATTTGGCAATTTCAAATTCTTATCAACCATAAATAAACAAACTAAATTTATGATGCTTATTATATAAGAGATGGAATTGTTTGGAGTAAAACACTCTTCATTTATGAGTAAAAACACTCCTACTTATTAATGCTCTATATTTTCAGATTAAAAATGTTTATGCAAAAGTAAACCATTAGAATATAATGAATTTCTGGAAAATATTATTGGATTCAATTGTTAAGATTTTACATCTATTTATATGGTCATTGAAAAGATCAAATAAAATGAAGAAGTAATTGTATGATTTCATATCATAGTTTTAAGTAGGAGAGGTAATATATTGTGAGAGTTATTCTCATATAAACACTCATCCATTAAAGGATAATATAATTGCTAGAATTTCAGATGAAATTGATGGTGAAATAAGAAAACATATCTCAGAAGAACAAGTAGTCATTGGGAGATTCAAATACAAAATGCTATAATTGTGTCAATAAAGCCATGAGAATAAATTACAAGTGCCTCCTGCATCTTATGCAATCCAAATCAAACACTCAACTCCTTAACCCTCTATCAAAGAACCTGAAGATATTCCATCATAATAATTAATATGATTAGTAATTTAATTTACGTGTTAAAATGGAATCTTGGGTACAGGAGACATAAAAATTGTACTTTTCTGGCTATCCATTTATTGAGTATGGTGTAGGTGGCTATATCATTCTAATTGTTCTGCTTCTTACTCTAAAATGTCTTTTTAATTGTGAAACTAAACATCCTGCAAAATTCAATGTATGATTAAAAATTTCATCTAGGTTGTGAAATTTAAGATCCCTAATAATAATTCAAATACAAACACATCTTATTAATAAGAACTAATAAGTAACTAAACAAAAGTGATTTAATAATTGAATGAAAAATTAGTAACAATGCAATAAGCATTTGATAAATTGGCTAAGGAACATAATTAGTTGCGTACAAGTATCAAATGATTTTAAATCATATAGCACTATCTGATTTATAATCATAAGTTTTTGATATTTTGACTAAAAAAACTAATTCCACTTCTTCATAATTATCAGTGAAATCTATCAAATCTCAAACTGCTACATCTTAGAAATAAGTAGAGAATTAAGAAGTAAGATAAGGATCAGAAGCATAAGAAGGATAAGATTAATAAAAAATAGATAAATTATAATTATAAGAGGAATAATCTTAATAAAATTAAATATAGTAGCATGAATAGTAATAATAATAATAATAATAATAATAATAATAATAATAATAATAATAATAATAATAATAATAATAATAATTATCATAGAATGAAGAAAATTTATAAAATAATTCTTAAAGGTAATTTAGAGAAAAAGAAGACAATACATAAAATACAATAATCGCATAACCATAAGAATCTATGAATCAATCCTAAACAAATCCATTTACTGTAGAATAACCTCCTGTCATAAGAAAACCATAAAATCCACCTACTCCAAGAAGAATACCTCCATAATTGAGACCAAAGTGAAAATTTTAATATAGTAATCATAACAATTTATTGAATTCCAATGTTCCTTATAGTTCTTATAACTATCGACTATATGATAAATATTTTGAATTTTGGTATTATTTAGCAAATGCAACTTCTGGTGGTTAAGGTTAACTTAGCGGAAATCGTTTTTTTTATCTTGATCTTTTGATTATCTTATCAATTGCGCTTGTCTTAAATTCAATATGGGTTTCCGATCTTTCTGGAAGTGTTAAGAAATTAATATTGGATTATTATTGAGATGTTCGAGTTTTTTCTCTTCGACTACTTGGTAATGCTTTTGCCCTGAATTAATATTGAATTCTATCAGTTTATGATTGTTAGATAGATTCTGATTTTTAGACTCTAGTTGATTCCATAGATTTTAGTAAATATTTTCTTTAGCTTAGTGAACCAACTCTGCCTTCATCATCTGTAACTCCTATCTATTTAACTGAAAATGTCAATTTATCATAATTCTCTTTGCTTAATTGTAGGTTGGCAATAAGCTCCTATTACTTGTTTAAGTAATCTTGTCTTCTCTTAATATAATGCATATATTCAAAGGGACTAAAGACTTTGATGACTTTAGCATTGAGACTAAGATATGAGTTCTTTTATACTCTTGAGTGTTGTAGAGTACTTTTGGTTGGACTTTGGATACAATAATAGGGGACTTAAATTTTTGAGACATTTAATATTAATAATTAATATTGATCATATTATAAAAGAATGGTTTTTATAAAAACTTTGATTCTTAGTAGATTTAATATGATTGTTGATTTGAATGTATTTAGATTTTTGGTTATTTTTGGTGAAATAATAGTTAAATGTATTCTTTTAATACAGAAGCTTAGATTAAAAATAAATATAATGCTTGATTTGCAAATCTTTAATTTTTTATCTTGATTTTTTAATATTATTATATTTTATTCTATCTATTTTGATTGAATGAGGATTTTTTGTTAGGTTTAAATAATTGTATTAATATGTTAGATTAAGGAATTGTATTATTGTGTTTTAATTGATTCATTTTGAATTAATCAACAAAAAATATTAAGCAGGTCTTATATTTATGAGAGAATGAATTGAAATAGTTTATTATCAAATATTCTCATCTGTCATATGTAACGTTAGATTTTTAAATAATAATAATATAAATATTTATAATAAATGAGTAAAGGGATAGGAGCACACCTTGATAAAGCTGTCAAATTGAAAATCTATCAACAGAGAGCAAATAAATACAATTCTGAATTTGATAAATTAGAGGTATAGTTAATTGACTTATTTAATTTCCTTTAAAATAGGAATAAGGACATGACCCAGATAAGATCCCTGCAATTTTGAGTGAGGAGGAATATAAGAAACGACATGCTAATGATCCACAAGAACCATTACCTTTTGAACGTAGTGATAAAGTATTGCCAATAACTGGGTCCACTCATCTGGGATTTGATAAAGCTCATACAAATCTGTCTGCAACTAAATAGATGATGTAGATTTAGGAATAGAAAATGCAAAAAATAAAAACAATAAAATAGTCAGGAGGAAAATTGCCTGTTGATGGTAAACAGTTATACCTATTAGTTAAGAGGTACATAAGGCATAAAAGGAACATGAGAGAAACATGAAGGCACGTATTCAATATGATCATATTAATGATTTACATTAAATGTAATAATCGGATCCTAATGCCAAGAAGTCATCATATTAATAGCATCATGGTAAAATAGTAGTTTGATTTAGTGTTTACAAAATATATGTAAGATGAATGTGACCATCAAAACTTTGATTATCATTAGATGAAGAACGACTTAAAACAATACCATGAGGCTTTTGTTATATGTCAAAAAACACTAAGAAAATGAATTATTCATCATATTAATTATTTTATAATGGTTTTTTCAATGTTTTTATTATTTTTAATATCTCTTGATTCCTATGTCGATTAATAATAAAGTATAGTAGACCAAGAAAAAATTGTAGGAGGCTTTTTTAAGATAGTTTGCCTAACTAATAAGTTTGTTTTTCATACATTTTTGGATGGATCTACTTCAAATAATTTAATTGCTCTATAATTCCAAAAGTATAATGACAATAATCCTGAGACACAACTGATAAATTTTAATTCTGGCTAAGAATGCTGAGATGCAGTTCCAAACCAACTCAACCCATTAATGGCTAAACATATTTTCATATGTCTACTAGCAACTGCACTATCATTTACCATTTTAAATCCAGCTCTTAAATAATCCTTCTGATATTTCCAATAAATTCCATAGAAATGATTGATTTACCATGAAAACATGAATCCAAAATTACCCCACATTCCCAAATTATATAAACTATCATTATTTACACAAGCAGCTCCTAATAATACTGGAAGAGCCCCTATGACTGCTCCAATTAAAGTATTAATAGGAGATCTTGTTTTCAAAGTTGTATAGATTCCCAAGTAAGAGAAGAAAATAAAATTGTTAATTAATAAGGCATTGGTTGGCAAACACTAAATCACTAATAAATATACATTATACATCAGGATATTAGAAGCTGCATAAAATGCAAATCCTATCAATCCTCCTTAAAAACGAGTAAGACGTTGGATTGGAATTGGACGATTACATGTACGTGTCATAACTTTATCTTGCTTCCATTCAATTACTTAATTAAAAGCTTAACTTGCCATAGCCTGTTCATAATAATACAGCTAAATACCATAAAGAGTGATCCCGAAAACACCGAAAAAGACTTCAATGAGACTAAGTTGTCATCTCCTAAATACATATATGAAATGAAAGGGATCACTGCATTTCCACTTGCTAAACTAAATTTACATAAATTTTTCAAATCTGTGATTGTTATTTTCATTAATATAAAAAATAAGTATATAAAGTGAATAATTTACTATCTCCAATGAATATATATAAAAATATTAAATATTCCCATCCATTTATAAGATTAACTATTTTAATTGTATTTAATCAAAACAAAATTCAAAGTATATAATAACCTAAATGGATTGATAAAATATATCAAAAATTAATCCATATTTATTTTTAATCTTATCTTTGAATACGAAAAAGAGAGATGAAATCTTTCTAAATTAAAGAAATATCTAATAAAAAAATACACAATAATAAAAATTAACTTAATTATTAATAGAATTTTGATATATGAAAATCTTAAGAATTAATTAAATTACATTCCAAATAAATTTTTTATTGTTAATCATACTTTAACAACTTTAGAATTAAATCCTTAGATTGATATTTTAAGATTTTTCTTATTCTTTATCAATTATTGCCCTATCATTAATTTAATCATTTTCATTCTACTTTACTATAGAAATATGTTTGAGTAACTAAATTAATCATTTTATATAAAAAATGCTATATAGATGTTAAACTAACATCTAAAAAGAAAATGATTAAATAGTAAATTATAATTAATTCACTTTAAATGAATACAAGAAAAATTATTTATTTAAAGTATTTTCTATAATTTATTTATAATAATACAATTCCGAAGTTTATTATAGTTTTCATAATGTAAATGGTTATTTCAAGATTTTTAAGTAATTCAAAATCAAACAATCATAAATCTAATGTTATAGAATGAATATTCAATTATTATTATATAATATAATCAAAGTATTTCTTCTATTTACAATTCACACTTATCTTTAGTTACTTTTTTGAATTTTCAATATAATTAAATATAAAAATCCAATTTTGATAGTTTCATTTCTCATAATCTGTAAATATTTAAGGTATTTATATTTTATTATATCTTTCATATTACACAAAATTAATAAATTTAAATACATATAGTTAATCATGAAAATAAACAATAACTATAGTTATCTAAATTAATGAAAGAAATAAAATAGAAAAATGTCTTTGATCACTTTGTCATGATATTGATAATTAAAAATATATGTAAGGATACATGTGATTTCAATTATTTTATTCATAATTTTATATTGAGATTATTTCTTAATTTAATATTTTAATTTATATTTATTTAAAACTTCAGAATAATGTTAAATTAAGAATTCTATGACAATGCATTGAAAACATTGCAATAATTGTCACCTGAAATATAAGAATATTAATTTCCTCATTTAAGATTGTTTACAGATGGAGATGAATTTTATTGTATAAATAATGATGATTATAGAGAAATTATGGTAAATGATTGACGAATCAAAAACATATTGTTGGATTTTGACTTATGCTATGGACAAGAGTTTAGCAGCCAATATAACTCTTTATAAATTAATTAATGCATAATAAAGAGGTGTTAATGNATTTTGATATATGAAAATCTTAAGAATTAATTAAATTACATTCCAAATAAATTTTTTATTGTTAATCATACTTTAACAACTTTAGAATTAAATCCTTAGATTGATATTTTAAGATTTTTCTTATTCTTTATCAATTATTGCCCTATCATTAATTTAATCATTTTCATTCTACTTTACTATAGAAATATGTTTGAGTAACTAAATTAATCATTTTATATAAAAAATGCTATATAGATGTTAAACTAACATCTAAAAAGAAAATGATTAAATAGTAAATTATAATTAATTCACTTTAAATGAATACAAGAAAAATTATTTATTTAAAGTATTTTCTATAATTTATTTATAATAATACAATTCCGAAGTTTATTATAGTTTTCATAATGTAAATGGTTATTTCAAGATTTTTAAGTAATTCAAAATCAAACAATCATAAATCTAATGTTATAATATAATCAAAGTATTTCTTCTATTTACAATTCACACTTATCTTTAGTTACTTTTTTGAATTTTCAATATAATTAAATATAAAAATCCAATTTTGATAGTTTCATTTCTCATAATCTGTAAATATTTAAGGTATTTATATTTTATTATATCTTTCATATTACACAAAATTAATAAATTTAAATACATATAGTTAATCATGAAAATAAACAATAACTATAGTTATCTAAATTAATGAAAGAAATAAAATAGAAAAATGTCTTTGATCACTTTGTCATGATATTGATAATTAAAAATATATGTAAGGATACATGTGATTTCAATTATTTTATTCATAATTTTATATTGAGATTATTTCTTAATTTAATATTTTAATTTATATTTATTTAAAACTTCAGAATAATGTTAAATTAAGAATTCTATGACAATGCATTGAAAACATTGCAATAATTGTCACCTGAAATATAAGAATATTAATTTCCTCATTTAAGATTGTTTACAGATGGAGATGAATTTTATTGTATAAATAATGATGATTATAGAGAAATTATGGTAAATGATTGACGAATCAAAAACATATTGTTGGATTTTGACTTATGCTATGGACAAGAGTTTAGCAGCCAATATAACTCTTTATAAATTAATTAATGCATAATAAAGAGGTGTTAATGTAGTTTTATTTGTGGATGATCTTTAAGGACATTATAATAACAAATTAACTAAATTATTTTAATCTTATGGAGGAGTGTTTTTGAATTTGAATCCTTTAAGTGCTTTTAAGATATATGGATAAGAGTTCTTTCGTAGACATCATGAGAAAATGGCAGTAGCTGATCATAAAGCAATATTTGGTACATCTAACATAGAATCTCATTATGGTGGTGTTAAATGGGGCAAATAGACATTTCATGATATTAACACTTATACAGAAGGTAGACATTTATCATATAATCTTTAAAAACATTTTATGTATTTAGCTAGTTTATATAAAATTTAATTGAATCCTCATAAACCTACACCTAATGAGGATTTACTTTATACATTTAATGCATTCCCTCCTTATTATGAATTCTTTAAAACACATCCTCCATTTAATAGGTAAATTTAAACTTAAATTATTGAATCAATAAAAAATGCTAAAGATAATATTAAAATAGTTTAAGCCTATTATTATTCTGTTAGAATATTTGAAAAGCATTTACGTGAAGCAATGGATAGAGGAGTAAAGGTAGAAATTATAACAGCAGACAAAAGAGATTAGCCTGTATATAGATATGCATTCAATCGAATATTATTTTAGGGTGTTATTCACAGAAATCTTAAAGTTTATGAATTCCCTGAATAATTATTACATATGAAAGGATATGTATTTGATAATAATTAACTATTTTATGGTTCATTTAATAATGATAGATGGAGTTGGAAATTAAATCATGAATTTAACATACTTACAGAGGATGAGAATGAAATAAAAATGTTTATGGATATATATAATGAAACTAAACTAAGGACTAGATAAATTGATTACAAGAAAACAGGAACTCCTTTAAGATGGATAAAGATGAAATTTTGGGAATGGTTCATATATTAGAGTGAAATATTAATGAGTAAAAATTAAGGTTATCATCCTAATAAATATAAATATAACAATTTACTAAATACTTGGGATGATGGAATTGGTAATTATTTTTGAGTATATATTTTTATATTTTTAATATAAATCAAAATTTAAATGAATTTATTTCATAAATTTATTACATTAATAAGAGTATTTCATTTAAAATAAAAATAAACTAAATTAATTAAACAAAATAAAAATAAATAAAAAATATATGAAATTAAGTAACACTCATTAACTTAAAACTTCAAGACTTGATGATTCAACATCTACAGATATTCATAATATGTGTTATAGTAGAGTTAATATACTTACAAATGAAGTAGAAAAACTTACTGATGTTCTTGGAACAGCTTCATAGGAAATGGAAGTTCTTAAGGAACATAATAGAGATTTATAAAATTAATTATAAGAAATGGAATAATCTAATTAAATTGTAAAGTTTATATAATATATTTAGTTAAATTAAGAATATGATAATTTATGTGATAGATTAAAGTAGAAAAGTATTGAATCTGAAGAATATGCATTTTAAGTTTAAAAATTAACACTTTAGAAATAAGTATTTAATTTTAATATTATTGTAGGAACTAAGTCAAAATCTAAATAAAATCTTAAATGAATTAGAGTAAACTAATTAAATTATTGAAATTAAAGATCAAGAAATTTAAGCAGGCAAACAATAATTTATAACTAAAACAGAAGAATTATAGAAAAGTTTATAATAAACTTACCATTTGGATTAAGCCTTAAGAGTTGTTAAAGAAGAAAAATTAAAATATATTTATGAGTATTAATAACTCTAGAAAGTTGTTAAAGAACAATCAGATTAAATAAATGAATTATTAGAAATCAAAAATGCTTATGAAGTATTGAAAATAGATTTAGATGTACTTAGAGTTAATTACTCTAATTTATTGGATTAAAAATTATAAGAAAAAAAAGAATTAGAAGCTTAAATTGATGTATTACGTGATATGCATGGTTATACAATAGAAGATGCTGAATTAAAATTTTCTGTAAAATCAATAAAATATTATTTAGAATTAAATCAAATAAGAAATTGACAATTTTAAATAATTATATGACGAATAATATAAAGCTGAAAGAATGAATTATGAATCTATTATTGATTAATTGAAAAATTAAGTTAATACTTTATAATTGCAATTATAAAATGCAGAATTATTGATAACTACTCATAAATAGAATCTAATGAATTAAACTTAATTAACTATGTTTGAAAAGAATAACCAAGTTAGTGAATTGAGAGCTTAAAATTTTGTTTTGTAAGAATCATTAAAAAACATGAACAGAGAATTAAATGAACTTAAATTATAGATGGAAAATGGAAATATTATAAGATTTGATGATGATATAAGAAAATAAATAGAATATAAATTAGATTTATGTTAACAAATGCAAAAAGAAAGGGATGAGTTAAAAAAAGAAAATGAATAATTAAAAAGAGAGAATAAATTATTAAAAGAAAACAATGAATTAATGTCTTAATAAATGCAATAATAATCAAATATTAGTTAATTACCTTAATCAGTATTGATAAGTTAAATTTAACCATAAGGTACATATATTCAATTAAAAATTTAAGGTAATCCTCCTGGATAAAAGATAAGTGATAGTGAAAAGATTAAATATCTACTTAAAGCAGTTGATCAACTATAAATTGCTATAAAAGATAGAGATTTTGAAATTAATAAATTATCATAACTTGCTAGTACTAATGCAGGATTATCATAATTGGTGAACAAACCAAAATCATAAATTAGATTTTATCATCTAAACTCAGGGGATATGAGTTTAGAAGATAAATATTAATGATTTATTTAATCTATAATTAATGAAAAAAAATAATAAAAAATCTTCAAGCACAAAAGTCAAAGTGACTCCTTGTTCTAATGATCGTTATTATATGGATTAGTCAATAGATGAGGAGGTCTACCTTAAGTAAAATTATAAAGTTGTAAGGGAAATGGGAAGAGGTGGTTATGGAGTTGTATATAAAGCGTATGAAAATGATCATAAAATATAGTCTAGGATTGAATTAGGGTCAAGTTGATAAAACAAAAAAATATGCTATAAAGGTTAATTTTTCAACTGTGTCTCCAGAATTGATTTTTGCAGAGATTGGATTTTTAAAATTAGTTTATGGTAAAGAGAATATGCCTCAGTTAGTGAATTTATTTTTGAAGGATCAAAAAATATACATTGTAATAGAATATTTTACATTTAAACCATTCATAGTAAATATTTAAGTTAAATAAGACATTTTTTGCTACTTTTGATATGATGCAAATAAGAAAATATCTTTATGAATTATTAAAGGCATTGAATCTTTTAAAATAAAATGGCATCTATCATCGAGATGTAAAACCTGGTAACTTTCTTTACAACCCTAAAACCTGTAAGGGAATTTTGATAGATTATGGTCTTAGTGAGATAGATAGATCATTTGTAGCAAAATTAATAGAAAAAGAAAAAGATTTGTCTAAGAAAGTAAGAATTTATTAAAATATATTCATAAGAATCCTTAATCAGATGAAGTATAAGAAATTAGAAGGAAAATTAATTTATATAATGAAATATAGAAAACAATAGATTAAATTGGATAAAATAAGATTGGAACAGAAAGTTTTATGCCATTAGAAAGTATATTACATTATCATGTATAATATAAATTTAAGTATAAATAGGATCAATCTTATGAAGTTGATATGTGGGCAGTAGGAGTTATATTTTTATAATTCTTAACTAAGAAATATAATTTATTTAGTAATGTTAGAATGATAAATAAACCAGTTGCAACTAAGAATTTTTTTTATGTTAACTTTATATTGGAATTAGCAAGTTTATTTGGTTCTGAATAAGTGAGATAAATTTGTGATTTATTTGGTACTATTTTATAATAAATAAAGAATATGATTTAAAATTACCATCAGTGACAGCAACTAAACCAATTAAATGGAAATAGATAATAAATATGGAAGGTTTTGATGATAATGCAGAAGATTTATTATCAAAATTGCTTTGTTTACATCCTAAATAAAGAATTAAAGTTGAAGATGCATTAAAACATCCATTTTTTTAAACTGTAATGTCTTAAGAATAGTAAGCAGAAACTAATTTTTAATTAGAATAGGAATTTAACATTATTAAATAAACTGAAATATGAATTAAATTTATCTATATTGTATTAAAGAATTCTCAATCTTATTATTATTCAGTATTAGATATTTCATTTGTATTATCATAAATACTACGTTTTTGTTATGGTTATTCTTATTCATTTTCTTTAAATTATTATTCTTCTTTTTAATCATCTTATTATTTTTATTACTCTTCTTATTTTTATTATTCATCTTATTTCCTAAAAGAATAGCTACTTTCAATACTTAACAACTGTGATTTTTAATGCTTTCTCTTTTGGTTTGGTTGATTAAAGAGGTATTTTTTATTGTGTTTTAGAAGCATCAGAAGATTTGGCTAGAATCTCATCTACTTTTTATCTCAATTCTGTCATATCTTTTGGAACTTCTCTTGCATCTCGAACACTAAATTAATATATCAATATATTAAAATACATTATAAAAAAAGAATCCTTTAAAAGGAACCATGGACCTTTGCTTACAACATTTTCATTGAATTTAAGTAATTACCAATCAAAACTTGCAGTTACTAAATCAGTAATTGTAAAACTGAAAATATTATTAATTTTAATTGCCTCTATTGCATCTTAATTAATATTAAACAAATTTGAAACTATAGTTGATACATCATGCATAGTATCAGTGCTATTTAAAAATATCTCTTGTGGAGGAAATGAAAGAGTAAAATCTTTTGGATTATAAAATCTCACATAACCTAATAATTAATTTTCTTTTATTTCATCTTCCTTATCCAATTTTTCAATAATCATAGTTTAATTATCAAAAAGTCTTATATTTTTTAATAATTAATCATTATGATAAACTTAACTTAATTTTGTATTTAATTTATATCTTAATCTAATAAGATTTGGTTATAATATAATTTAATTTGATTCCTCTAATTTTTAACAAAGTTTTTCTTTAAGTTCCTTAACATACCATTCTGAATTGATTTCCATTTCAAATAAATCTTAATATTCAAATTCAATAGTATCAGAGTATTTTGGAGAAAGACCTCCCATTCCAACTTTAATTTTGTATATTCCTTTACTTGAAGGTTTACCCATCATTAAACAAAAGGCAGCACGACCAATAGCTTAATTATTTTTTATTGTAGTAGTCAAATCTTTAATTTCTTCACCATATCTATTACTCTTTTTAACAATGAATGAATCAATATCCAAACCTAAAAAATCACTCATTCTTTCTTTCAATTCTTACATAGTTTTTCTATTATCAATTTACAATTCAAAACAATAATCAGGTGATTCTAAAGGTATCAATTGTTTTCTTGGATCATTAAAAGTAATTCGGCATTTATGTTTCTCTAATTCAAATTTTTAATCCCAATTTAATGGAAGATCATCATTATCTTATTTTTCTTCCAAATATAATGTAACATTTCTTCCAATTTTAAGATCATAAAGTGTATATTCTAATTAATATTACTAGTTTATTCTAATTGAATAATTAGTAGCTCCATTAATCCAATTCTTTTGTAAAATTATTTATTTATCTTTTGGTACTCCCAATCTTTGAGTTATTGCATCCATAAATTATTCAACAGTTTTATCATCTCTAATAAAAAACTTAATAGGTTTCAATTCCTATTCATCTAATGATTCAATATCATTTCTCCAAATACATAATTTTATTAACATTAAATGAGGATCATATTCTGTAAATTATTCATGTGGAGCTTTTGTTTCTAAAAGAACAGATTTGAAATCATTAAAATATAAACCTTACAGAGTTTCATTCTCTTTATTTGTGAATGTATCTTATGGAATTTTATCCATATGATTATAAAATCTTATTCTTGTATTCTCTTCATCTTCTTATACATTCAATTCTTATCTTACTTATTTTTTAAAATCTTTCAAAAGTGTGTCTTTTCTTGTTTTTATAACAGCATCATTACTTTTATAAAAACATCTTATTTTTAATTCCATTTCTCTTTCTTTTTTTTCTCTTTCCCACTTCTCCTCTCTTTCTTTTTGTTCTTATAATTCTTTTGCTAATGCTTCTTTTAAATGTTCTTAAATAGCAGGCTTTTAAGTACTGAGTTCTTCACCAGCTCTTCTATACATTAAAAAATAAGCACTACTTCCCATATTATATTTTGGATATTTATCTCCAAACATAGTTAATATTGTTTTCCAAGATATTCTTGAGACTGTAGAATCATTAAAACAATACCAATCTCCATTTTCAAAAGATTTAATATATGCATAATAATGTCCTCCTAATGCTCCTCCAGAATGAATCATAACTGAATATAATTCATAAACATTTGGTCCATTTTGTAATAATTCTTAGATTTTTTATTTGATTGATAAATTATGTGATTCATTTTCAATTCTTTCTTAAATTTCTTTTTCATCATAATTTTAAGTCTTAGCACTTCCTTAAACTTCTTTAATAGTTTTAACTGTATTAGCAGTAGTACCTTCTCCTAAATCACCTAGATTATCTAAATTGCCTCCAAATAATAAATCATTATCAAAATCATAAGCTTCATCAGCTGTTAAAATTAGATTAGGATTATTTGGTATGGTTTAAGAAGTAAATTAAGTTTGAGAAGTATTAGTTGATTTTAAACTTTAAAACTTTTATTAGAATTCTTAATGTGCTTCTAATAATTACTATTTAAATTAGTCTTTATCATTAGGTTGAATTATTTATGGAGTATCATTAAAATGAACCTTTTAGCCTCTTTCATCTGGAGAAGGTTTTCTATTCTTTCTTCTTAAAGGATCACTGAAACAACTCTGTAATTTCTCTTATTCATATTATAACTTTAATTTTTCTCTCTCTTCTAATAAATCTGGATGATCTTCAATAATAATTTAATCATATGGTTTCAGAAAATTGTTCATATCTAAAACAAAAGGAAATGAGACATAATCATTTACCTTCTTTCTTTCAAATGTATTCATATCTAACTCAAAACGATTTAATTGAATTGTAAGAATATCTGATAATGCTTTTAATCTAAATCCTTTAAGAGCATCTGTTTTATCATCACAATTTTAGCAGTAATATTTGTTTTCACCTTCCAACTTCTCAGGTTTTATATAATAGTATAGTGCTCTTTCCAAAGATTCATTGTAAACATTTAAAAAATCACTTTTGACAGTAAGTGAAAGATCTAAGAAAACTTCATTAGATACACTCTCCTATTAACACTTAAGACATTGCACATAGGATTATGAATGAGATTGATATAATCGTGTGATGAAATCTTAATCATCTGATTATTAAATTGCATCAAAAAGTACTCTGCAAAATTCTTAAACATCATGTTATGCAAATGATTCTTATGGATCCCATTAAAATGATCTCACTAAACCTCTAGCATCTGTTGCTCCATTCTCATAGCCTTCTTGCATCTTAGTGAAAAGATACTATAATTGATAAGGGATGCAATCTTCTCTTTTTGGATGCTTGGTTTCATCATACTTCCACTTAAAAAGAGCCTCTCTAAATTAACGAGTCATAAAGAGAGTTTGAAGGAGAGAATTCATGTAACATGTGTTACCCAAATTATTTAAACCGCAATACATAATTATTTTAATATCATTCATAAAGTGATGCTATATCACAAAGTGCCTACTTTTAACTATTATAAAATACTAATTGATATTTAGATGAGTTGAGCAACCTCTTTCCAATCAGGATGCCTTTTCCCATCAAAGATAAAGGAGTGGGTGGATTGGGAATCTATCCTATAATAGTAGAGAATAAATAATCAAAAACTGGAGCAATTGAAGTATCTCCAATCGAACTATTGTAAATTTATATAATTTTTACCAAACTTCAAAATATTCCATACCGTATTTACGAGCCATTCCTATGGCTTCAGACTTTGATACACCTCCTTTGTTACTGGCATATAGATCGATTTTATTTCCTATTAGAACTTTAACAGGAATCTCAGTTTTCTCATTTTCAGTTATCCAATGTTCAATCTTTTCAAATGTCTATCTCTTTGAGACTATTTATATAAATATTTGAATTACCATCAAACATATAGATGGCTGCTGTAGCTCCAAGACAAAAGCGAAAGAATGTATCAGGACTACGATGTTTTCCAGGTATTTCCCAATATGCTATCTTATATAGAGTGTCATCATCCATATAACCAACAGTCTTAATCATTCAAAATTTAATTATACCTTTAAATTTAATTCATCTGATGCTTCCTATTCTATTATCTTACCAAAGGTTATTGCCAATACTTTAAATTTTATGATTTAATTTACCATCTAAAAAGGTTGATTTTCCAACTGATTTCTCACCTTAACATACATTAGAATGATACCTAAAATGACGATGCGGAACTTGAAATGATAGTCTTCAGAATCCATTTATTTTATTTATAAATATTTATAATGGCTTCCATGTGTGAGGATTGAATAAAAAAATTAAAAATTAATGACTGACCAAGAAAAGAGTTGTGATGTCAAACTGACCTCTGACACCTAAAAAAATGTTCAAAAACAAATGACAGGATTAAAGTAGATCAATCTTGATAATTTGGTGTATAATAAAAGAGAGAGAAAGTAAACTGGTACACAAGGTAACTAGATCTTATACACTTAGCACCTTAACCCATACCAGTAATTCAGTAACGCAAAATTACTCATCATAAGTAAGATCACAAAAAGAAGAATACTGAATTGCATACTCCACCAAGAGAAGAGTTATAACAGAACTAAGAACCAACTTTAATCAAATAATTACCAATATCCTATGAATAATTGGTTCTCTAATCTGATAATTCTTCTGAATTCAATCCCAAGATCAAACCCAAGAAATCCAAAAAGTTTCGTAGGACTCAAAAACATATAGAATTAGAAGACTCTTCTGATGAAGCTTAATACAAAAGTAAACTCATCCTTAAGAGAGTTAACAAGATCTTTAAAAAATCCTATGAATAAAAATAAATCCTATCTTCAGGTAGTGAATAAGAGAACTTAGTTAAGGAACTATTCAGAAACATTTATGTAAAGATATTTTAAGGTATAATAACCAATTTTTATACAAGATATTCCTGTGACTGCTGCAGACTTGAAATAATTGGCCTAACCAGAATGTTCTACAGGACAAGAAGGTGATGGCAAATTATAAGAAGAAGAACCAAAATAAGAAGAGGAACCTTTAAGAATCTTAACTGAAGATGGTACAGATTTTGAAACCAAACGTAATTTGAAACTCTTAGGAATTGAAAATTAAAAAATATTATCATAATTAGGGGAAATTAAATCTTATATTAATTGTGATATAAGATACTTTAATATTGACTTCCTTGTTGAGAAAGTAGGTGGCTTTGATGGTATATTTTATATAAATATAATTTTTAGTTGTTTTAATGGATCCTCCCTGGAGAATTAAGGGAGGATAATAGAATGATTCTTCTTTTATGTTCACTAATAGTAAATTCTCTTTAGATTATAATACTATGAGTAATCAAGAAATAATGGATATTAAAATAGAGAAATTGAGTAAGAAAGGATTTCTATTTCTTTGGATCCTCAACACTCAACTCAATATTGCTTATGAAATGGCTAGTAAATGGGGATATGAAATAGTTGATTAAATTATTTGGGTGAAATTAAATCCATAAGGCAATAACGTTTATCTTTCTACAGGATATTACTTTATGCACTCATTTGAAATATGTCTAATTGGGTATATATATATATAATGATTATATTAAAATAGTTATAAATGTCCTCCAGGTGAACATGTTGAATATCATTCAAAAATATCAAACAATATCATTTTTAGTTCAGTAAGAAATAAATCATAGAAACCAATTGAATTATATGAAATAATTGAATTGATGATGCCAGGTTCTAAGAAAGTTGAAATATTTGCTAGAAATCATAATTTAAGACATGGATGGTTTTCTATTGGAAATTAATTAGGAGAAACCTTTTAAAAATGGTTAGTATAGATAAGTTGTAATATATGTGGGATTTCATTACAACCAGGTATATGTAGATATAAATCTAAAAAAATTGCTAATTTTGATATTTGTTAAAATTGTTACAATAAAAAGATTAAGTATTGATTGATTATTTAATTTAGTGATGGAGAACTCACTGAAAATGATATGTTCTTTTTAGCTAATAAAGCAGATGAAGAAGTATTACATCAATATCATTAATGTAATGGTTGTGATTAGAATCCTATATGGGGAGCTAGATTTGAATGTGTCACTTGTGATAATTATGATTTTTGTGAAGCTTGTTTTGATAATCTATTGATAAATGGAGACCCTATTCATAAAGATCATGAATTCAAAGTGATAGAATTACCTACTTTTGCTGAAGGTATACCCTGTCATGATTCTAAATGTAATGGTTGTTTTCAAAAACCAATTCTTGGTGTTTAGTTCATTTGTAAATAATGTACAAATTTTAGTTTATGTAATTGTTATTATTTAATAATAGGCTAAAATTGTTTCTTTACTAGAACTTCGTCTGAATTAAATGGACCTAGACATAAAGCTGATCATCGTTTCGAACCTATATATGAAGTTTAGAATTATTAAAAAAAAACTTATAAATGCTAAGGTTGCGAATTAGAAAAATCTGGAAGTGTTTATAAATGTGAAAACTGTTTTGGATTTTATTTTTGTGAAGAATGCTATACACTTAAAAAAGATGATTGGAAATGTTATGTAGCAACTAGTCATAAAAATTATCATACATTTATCAAGATATGATATATTATAAATATATATAATAAATTTCAAAATATGCATTCAATATCTAATTAATTTGTAATTATTTTATATTACATGTATATTAATGAATTAAATAAAACATTCTTAATGAAAATTTAGCTATTATTATTAATATTTGTGGAGATATTAAATTATTCCACAATAATATATCTTAAACTAGAAATGAATCATTCCCTATTGTTGTTTTATCTAATTAACAATTTTAGTTCTTTTCTAAGAATAATTAACAAATTAAATTCCTTAAGGCTAATTAATAATATTTAAGAGAGTGACTATCATTTAGAATAATACATGAAATTATTCATTTATTTTTATAAGAATTCAATTTAGGAAGAAAATGAGACATAAATAAAGATAATTTAAAAAAATTACTCGTTTTAATTATTGGAAAATGGAATCTCTAAGTTTTGGAGTGTATTAATTCATAAATATTTATAAAAACTGTTTTATGATATTGATTTGAGATTATGAATTGTAAAATTACCTAATTTCCAATTAATCAAATACTTAATATTAATTATTTTAATATATGCCACCAAAAGGAAATCAGATTCACGTAAGCAATATTCAGAGTTTGGCTAAAAATGAAGAAGTAGAATAGTTGCTATCAAGTATTGGACCCTTAGTAGAATGGACACCTAAGTATTTTAATGATTTATATTAATAGACGAGAGGGGGAAGTGAAATTCTCATGTACAGCTGAGTATTATGATGAATTTACAGCAAATATTGCAGTAGAGACATTAAATGGATATAAATTTTAGGGGAGAGAATTGAAAGTGAAATTACATGCAAATCTAAGCACGTACAAAATATGTATGATTTCTTTATTTTATGTTTTTTTATTACAGTACCTTATGCTATCGAGAAAGTGAATTATAAAACATCGAATACATATAGTATGAGTTTGCCTTTAGAAGAATTTTATGCCAGTCTTACAACTAATAAAAAATTGGCTATTGTTATAGATTTGAAACAAACATTTTAAAATAGAGAGGAATTGTTAGAGAGACTTCTTTTAGAGAATCCACGAATGAGTGAATTCATCTTAAAAATTTAGAAAGATGTTATAAAAGAATTTAAAGCAAGTAATAGTAAATATTGAATAATAAGATAATACTAATAACGATGACATTTAGCATAATAATAATCACTATCAACAATTTCAGGTATATTCTAATTTATTTTTAGAATCACCAAAGATATTGATGAATCATATATTGAAAAACTTTATTTGTTGTTGGATAACATTCATTTATAAAATAATACTAAAAACTCAACATAAAGCAAGAGATGGCAATGATATGTGTATTAAAATCCGCTTTTTAATATTTTCTTTTTTCCTTCTCTTTTAAATTATATATAAATTTATATAAAATATTCTCCTTATATATAAATATATACATTTATAGTAATATCTAAACATTCACATTCATTCATCATTTTTGTCTATTCTTTAAACTAGGCATCAATTAGGTCTTCTAAGCTACAACGATATACAATCAATTACTTGTTTTTTTTTAACTTCTTTCACTAATACTAACCTTTTTATCTAGAGTTTAATTATTACTTGTTTAACAACTAGAATCTGGTTTAGATTTCATCATATTTGATAATTATCTAGCTGATTATTTTTATTCTACTTATTATTATTATTATTATTATTTATATTATGGAGTTGAAAATTAATTCTTTTAAGGCTATTCATTAAATTTTTAACAATAATCTGTTTATGTATGATTAACTTAAAATTAATATTCTTAATTAATTGTTTCAATATCTAAATCACTTGAATATCTTTTATTATTTTTATCTCCATTTGAAAATGGATCATAGGATTTAAATTATAAAGTATCCAATTTTATTGAATTTAGTTTCTCTATTATTTCAATCAATAATTTTAATGTATTATCTAATAATAAAGGTAATAAATTATTCTATAAATCCAATTAAATTGAATGGTATGAATTGAAATATTATCTTATCATCCAATTTAATTTATCATTTACATCACTTATTTAAAATAATTGTTTAAATCTATTCTCTATTGTTTCAAAACTAAATATATATATATTATCTTATACCTATCTATTTTTATTTAATCTTTTTATATAGGTTCATAATGTTTAAACTTTATTGGACATTTGACATAACTATTATCACTACTACTACTGCTACTTCTATCTGAAGACTATTCACTATCGATTGATTAAGATCGTTTGCGTTTTGTGTTAACCTTTGCAATTGGAGATTGTAATTGACTTTTCATAAAATCAATGTCTGATTTTATTGAAGATAATTGAAACTTTAATCTATTTGATTCAGCCTCTTTTCTTCTTTGACCATGTTACATTTCCAACATAAATAAGTCATTTTAAAATTCAAGATTTTTCAACTTTTTAAAGGCCTATTGACTTCTATGTGTATCATTATCACACTCTTCAGTATTCAAAGAGTTGAATTGAAATGGAATTTTTTATTATTTCTAATGCTATTAAACTTTTAATGTACTCTAGTTGTACTTTAATTCCCGATTTCAAAAGTGAATCCCTTATTTTTTGATGTTGTACTCAATGGTTCTTCAGACCTGAAACTTTTCATTGACAGAATAATTGATAATTATATTTATAAATTTTATTTCCCTATTTAATTAATGGTGACTTTTATGTGTTATCATTGTGATCGTACTTTAACAAAACCTTAAGTCGACAAACATGTACGAACATAATGTAGAAAACCTCCTTCCTTAATTTGTATCGATTGTAAGAAGATGTTCAGTGATAACCATGTTGATCATGTTTCATGTTTGACTGAAAAATAATTATATTGGGGACCTTATGCTAATGTATTAATGTTATAAATATCTTAGGGTAAAAAGCCTCAATAACAGGAAAATACATAAAAGACATAAAAGGACAATAATAAATAAAAGGAATAAGAAACTTAAAAAGAAAGTGAATCAAAATAAGATTGGAAAGGATGGAGAAAATCAATTGATGAATTTATCAAATAAAATTAATTGGAAGAAGTTAGATTAAATGAAGTAAAGGAAAACATCGTTTAAAGATTTATATCTATTTTTCCAGAATATGAAAAAGAATAAGCTGAATAATTATTTGATGAAGCAGTAATTAATATTTTAAATTATATATTAGATGAAATAAAGTAATAAATATTAAGTTGAGTATGTTGGATTTATTGTTAAGAAAGTAAAATAAGAATGATATATTATGTTTATTGTTTGTGTTATTAGTTTCGAATAGTTTTCTGATAAATATTATAAAAGAATTATATATATAATTGATGTTAAAAAAGAAAGGATCAGAATAATTAGACATTATATTTGAAGCAGGAGAGGATCTATTGAACATTTCTAAAAATCAAGTAATCATGATTAAAAATAATTCAATCAAATTACCAATTATTAGACCTAGAACATTTTTATCTTACAGTCTTGAATTTTGTGGCATAACTAATCTAAATTACAAGATGTTGAGATTTCAATCTTTAGGCAGAGATATTAGAGTAAAATATTCAAATTTTATTTTAAGCCTGAAACAAGTATAATGACTTCTTGTTTAGTTAAAGTCATTCATACTACAGAATTTTCTTAGATGGCTTAAAATCCTCTTAAAACATCTTTTTAGACTCTCTTCAATCATGGTGCTCATAGTGATGTACTACTTTAAATAAATGATGAATAAGTACAATATATATGTTTATATATAATATAGCCTTTACTTTTACATAAATGTATTTTAGCCTGTAGATCACCTAAATTTAATGGAATGTTTTCTTCTAATATGCTTGAATGCAATTAATGTTTAGTTAAGGTTGAATATAAAAAGCCAGATTTATTTAAAGTAATGTTATAATGGATATATTGTGGTTATTGGAAGGAAGTATATTGTAGATTTATATAATTTAGTTTCCAGTAGAAATTGAAGATACTTGTGATTTAATGTTATTAGCTGATGAATATTTGATATGTGATTTAAAATAAAAATGTGAAGAGGATATAATATCAAAACTAAATAGCAATAATATTTTGTAAATTTTGTTATTTGTTGAAAAACATTCAAATATTATTTCATCAATGTTACTAGAAAAAACAAATTCTATGTTCATTGATGATTTTGATAAAATACACAAATTAAATTCTGATCTAGAAAAAGAGATTAATAAAGTACCAGGTTTAATGACAAAGTTATTCTAGAATTTACATCAAAAGAAAATCAGAAAAGGTAGAAAGGTGCATTTTGTAGTTGATGATTTTGAAAATTAGGAATCTGATTCTGATGATTATGTTAGAAATTATACATAACATTTTTACTAATGATTATGAAATTATACAAATTTAGTACTTCCCATATTATATTTGGTAATAAGGCTAGACAAAGATTGTTATTAGGAGTAAGTGAAGTAAAAAAAGCTGGTGTTCTTACTTTAGGTCCTTAAGGTAGGAATGTCATTATAGAATCTGAGACAGGAAATCATAGAAGTACAAAAGATGGTGTTACAGTGGTGAAGAATGTGATGATGAAGGATAGATTATCAGAAATGGGTGCAGCTATGATTAGATAAAGTAGTAGTTAAACAAACAAATTTGCAGGTGATGGTACAACTACATCAGCTTTAATTGCTGCTAATATTTTTGAGATTGGATAGAAATATGTATAAGCTGGTCATAATCCAATATATATTACAAGAGGATTAAAAGAGGCTAAGAATAAAGTATTGGAATATTTAGAGGAAATAAAAACAATTGAAATTGATGATTAATTACTCTATAATGTTGCAAAGGTTTCTAGTAATTATGATGATAATCTTACAAATATTGTATTTAAAGCAATAAAAGAAATAGGTGTCAATGGAATAGTAACAATTGAACCTGGAGGTACAGATTCTGTTATACAAATATAATAAGGAATATAAATACTAAGAGGATTTATGCATGAAAAATTTGCAGATAATGGAACAATCAAATGTATTTTACATTATCCATTTATTTTAACTTCAAAAGAACCTATTTTATAAATTAAACAAATTCTACCCATACTAGAATTAGTTAAAAATACAAATTCACCTTTATTCATTATTGCTAGTGATATAAGTGAAGAAGTAATGTCATAATTGTTATACAATCATACTAAAGATATTATTAAAGTATGTGCAATTACAATACCAGGTATGGGTTAATAATTTAGTAATGATTTAATTGATGATTTTTCTATTCTTTGTAATTCTTAATCTGTTGAAAATGTTTAATCAGTTAAATAATTATCTCAATTAGGAAGAGCAGTAAAAATTGAAGTTAGTAATACTGAAACTATGATTATTGGAACATCACCAGATGAATAAGAAATAGAAAATAGAAAGAATTTAATAAAAAATTAATTAGAAAATTCAAATAATTATAGTGCATAAACTCTTAAGGATAGATTAATTAGATTTGATGGAAGAACAGCTATAGTTTATATAGGAGGGAAATCAGAAATAGAGATGCATGAAAATAGAGATAAATTAGTAGATTCTTTAAATGCTACAAAATCAACTTTAAAGAATGGAATATTACCAGGAGGTGGAACAGCATTATTACATGCTTCTAAATTATTAGATTATTTGTAAATAGATCCTGAATATTAATTAGGAGTTTAATTACTATAAAAGACTCTTAGATAACCAATTAAATAATTATGTAGAAATGCTGGAATTAATGAAGGATAAATTATTTAAGCATTATTAGAAGAAACTGATTATAATATTGGATTCGATTAGAAGAGATGTAAAATATATATATATATGAATAAGCATGTTTTGGAAATATGATTGATTTAGGAGTGATTGATAGTTTTGCTGTTGTAAAACATTCATTGTTAGATGGAGTTAGTCTTGGTTCCATGCTTCTTAGTACAGAGGCTGCCATCGTTTTAGATAAGAATTATACTCCTACGGCGTTGAATAAATATAAAAAAGAGGCATTTTGATTATAAATTTGCTATGGGTTATTTTGCATATCTTTTATTAATTATTTTTAATGAGTAGAAGAGATCAGATAGAGAAAGGTAAATAAACAAATTATTCCAAGATAAATAAGCATTACTTTCTAAACCATGGGTTAAGAATCATCCCATCTTTACTTATGATCATATTGCAGAATTTTATGAAATGTTCATTCTTTATGCTGAACCCAGAACAAAGAAAGCAGATGTGAGAGATATTCTTGTCACAGCTAAGACACTTGGTCTTACTGACAAATTCCCTATTATTGCACATGCTCTTGATGATTTAGCTTCTAGTTATGATGATGCAGTTGATTTTGAAACATTCATTTCAGATTTGACAGCTAAATTAGTAATATTAATAAGCTATATTTCTTAGGGTAACCCATTTGATTAGAAGGGAAGAGTCTAATTATTCAAACTTATCGATGTAGATGGTAAAGGAACTTTAGATAAAGGAGATTTATAGAAAATATCCGAAGAATTAAGATTCAATTTGAATGAAGAAGATATTCAAGAAATCATTCATAATGTTGCAGGATATGAAGCTGAAGATGTCTCAGAAGAGAAATTTGAAAAATATTTAGGCAAAAGAGTTTAAAGAAGATAAGTTGAATAAGAGATCTATAGAAACAAATGAAAATAAATAAAAATAAAAAATATTATCAATATGACATATTTTTATTATATAATTTATATATCATTCCTACTTGTTTACAAGGTATTTTAATAGCACTTATGTACCAAAACCAGTGGCTCCTGGTGGATAAATACCTTTATCTGCTTTACTATCCATTGGTCCTGCAATATCAAGATGAGCAAATGGTGTCTATTTTACTTATATTTAATACATTTTCATCCACAAAATTAAATAAAAATGCTGCAGCCTTACTAGCTCCACATACTTTTGATTTTCCAATATTACATAAATCTGCAAATTAACCCTTCATCATATCCTTATGTTCATCAGTTACAGGCATTCTCCAAAATGGCTCTTACAATTCTTTTCCTATTTCTAAAAGTTCTGATGACAATTCATCATTGTTGCTGAATAATCCTCCTGTATTCTCTCCTAAAGCAGCTGCACAAGCACCTGTTAATGTTGATATTTCCACTATTGTAGTTGGATTATAAGTAGCCTATGTCCAACTTAAACAATCAGCCAATACTAAACGTCCTTCGGCATCTGTATTATTGATCTCTACTGTTAATCCCTTATGACTTTTGAAAATATTGGATGGCTTATATGATGTATTTGAGATCGCATTTTCAGCCATACCCAAAGTTACTGTAACATTTACTTTTAATTTCATATCTACAGCTCCTTTAAAAGCAGCCAATACATTACAGGCTCCAGATTTATCAAGATGCATAGTTTCCATATTACCATATGATTTTAAATGTAAACCACCGGTATCAAATGTAATTCCTTTACCAACTAAAGCATGCAAATGTTGAGAATCCTTATTACCTCTATATGTCAAATTTATTAATGTAGGTGGATGTATGGATCCTTATCCGACTGCATAAAAGAGATTCAATTAACTTTCTAATAATTATTTACCTTATAAGATTTATATCTCAACATTAGGATTATCTTTAAATAGCGTTTTTACTTCATCCACAAAATATTATGGTGTTCCTTCTTGCCTTGTATTTGCCAAATCTCTTGCATACAATTTTATTTAAGCCATTTAAACCAATTGTTAAAAGTAAGAATCTTCAAATATATTTTCTTAAACATGCAAATCAGATATATAACTATATTGATCATTATTTTCATCACTTTGTTATTTTTCTTATGCAACATCTCCTAATAACTTATATTTATAATTGGCTTGTATCAATCCAGAAATTACTTAAGATGTTTCTTTTATATTTAATTCATTCTGGGTTAATACAACTGTGCCAAAACCATATAGTCTTGCTTTTCTTGCTACTTCTCCTCCTGCATTGTAACAGGAACCCTTAACTCCAACTGCTAATCCAACTTTCTCCTCTCCAAAGATAAAGCTCTAGCCACCTTTCACTACATTATTGACTTTAAGTCGATGTAAATGGCGAGATATCTATTAGGAATTACATCTATAGAGGTTCAAAAATAAGCTAGAAGCCCAATTTTAAGATTAAACTGGAGGCTTATATGAGTTAATACAAAGCTATTTTACTTTCATTAATTAAATTCTTAGAAAATATATAACAAAGTTGATGTGCCTTAGTTGGTCTAGGGCGTTTGGTTTAGGCTCTAAACAGAAAGAATATGAATTAAAATTTTGCAGTCAATATAAATTTACTATTTTATAGGCCATTTATTCCATAATATTAACAATAACTCAAAATATATATAAAAAATGGAAGAATAGATATTAGTTGAATGTTAAAAAAATAGGAATTATATTCAATAGATTCTATCAATATATTTCACATATATTATTTTTTAATCATTATGAATTAAGATTGTGAATATAATTTGTATTAGAATAAAGATCTTAAAGAAAGATATTAAGAACTAATTGATTAATTTTAATTCATATTATACAGTCAAAGCCCTTTAAGTTTTAAAGCATTGGCTCTATTAACTATCTATTAATATTTATCTTGAATTCTGTTTAAGTAAGCTAATATATTTATTTATTATATGAATTACAATTGATATCATTATTATTGTTAATTGTTTATGTTATAGTTGTACTATTAATTTAATCTTATGATTGAGAACGAGATAATCTTTTCGAAGTTATTTAACCATCTCTGTTACTCTAACATTTAATTTATTATTTAGATTCATTTTATTGTTATCTTGACTCTATTTATCGAGATTGATTTTTCATTCTCTTTAACTAACTTATTTGTGGTTTGAATGTACATTCTTACATCTCTTTTTATTGTTTTTCTCTTTCATGTAGTTTTTTTTTAAACTATCTTGAATAATTAATTAATTTAGGTACTTTCTATCTTCAATTAATAACCCTTATTAATATAAATCATGACCTTTATTCTTAATTTCAAAAAGACAAGTCTAATGTTCACCTTAGATTTCTTTATCAAGTTTAGCTATATCTGATTTTAATTTTTTTTGCATAACTTTAATCTGTTCATGTTAAATGTATTTAGGCTGTGGTGTAATGCTTTATATTTTAGAAACAGGTTCTTATTATTATTTTTTATTAGAATTTTTAGAGAGATCAATTTTTTGAATTTACTTTTCAACAGTCTTCTTTTAACTTGATTTAGGTTTCTAAATTATTTTACTGTTTGATTTAGTTCTATCTATTTATTCTTTTATTTATTTTTTCCTTTCTTCATACTTTAATTCAGCTTCTTAATCATTCATTTAATTGTAAGTCTTCGGTTAACAGATTTATGGTGATTCAATATCCTTAAATAAAGATTTATATTAAATTTGTATAGGTTCTGAATCTTCAGTATGTTTATTTTTTTAAGGACTGCTAACTGGATTTGCTATAGCTCATATCAGAAGTTACTTATTGATTAAACTACAATATTAGAATTTGAAAGTTGTTTTTTTTATTTTGCTTCTTTGAGTTTATTCAAGGTGTTCTACAATTCTATGGCTTATTTAGACAGTGCCTAAGGTATTTATTCTTATTTCCTAACAGACAATGCCTAAACAGGAGAGAATGCTGAAGTTGGTACTTTTGTAAGTGGGGAATTAGACATAATATTAATTAAAAATAACAGAATGAGTATTAAACATTTCGCTGCATCATTTATAGGAGTTGGAATAGGAGTTTTTGGAATGCACTTCTTGATAAGATCGATTTTTGGAGGTCCATAACAATAATTTGAATAGCAATATCAATAACCAGTATAGAATTAGTAATAGTCCTAAAATCCATTTGATCAAGTAGTATCGAATATAAAGAAAAAATAATGAAAATCTGTTGATTTTATATTAAAACAAAACATGAATATTGATACATGTTGTCATGAATTGAAATTATGAAGAATCTAGAATATTTTAATATTACTTATCAACACAAAATAAATGTGAAAAATACAATATAGAGATCCATGATAAAGATTCCAATTAGAATTACAAATACTAATTTAAATTTATAATTAATTTCTGTAATTTTATGCAAGTTCCATGTCGAACCAAAAATGTTAATAAATATTATAAAGTGATTACTGAAGTAGGTTCAGGGACATATGGAAAGGTATATAAGGCAAAATGTTTAAAAACAAATGATTTTGTTGCATTAAAGAAAATTGATACCAAAGATTAAAAAATTATGGCAGAAGGTATACATTATTTATCATATAATTTTTAGGATTCCCAATAACAGCAATAAGAGAAATCAAATTGTTAAAAATAATGAATCATAAAAATATTTTGAGATTAAGAGAAATTATTGTGAGTAAAGCATCTCATAGAAATAATTTCAGAGGATCAACATTCTTAGTTTTTGATTATTATGATCATGATTTTGCAGGTCTTCAGAGATAACGAAATATATTCACATTACCATAATTAAAATGCATTTTTAAACAACTATTAGAAGGTGTTAAATATCTACATGAAAGTAAAATTATACATAGAGATTTGAAATGTGCAAATATACTCATGAATAATAAGGGGTAAGTAACATTGGCTGATTTTGGTTTGGCTAGAACTTTATCTAATGTGAGTAATCCTAAATATACATACAAAGTAGTTACACTTTGGTATAGAGCACCAGAACTTTTATTGGGATAGACTAATTATAATACATAAATTGATATGTGGAGTTTAGGTTGTATATTTACAGAATTAATAACAGGAGATATACTTTTTAAAGGTGATATTGAATATCGTTAAATGGAAAAGATTTATGAATTATGTGGTAGTGCTAATGAATTAAATTGGCCTAATTGTATTAATTTAAGATTATGGGAAGAATTCAAACCTAGAAGAAATTATGAGAGATTACTTACTAAACATATCAAGGAAGTTTGTGAAATATAAAATAAATAGATTGATCAAGTTACTTTAGATTTAATTGAATAATTATTAACACTTGATCCAAATAAAAGATTAAATGCAACTTAAGCTTTAAATCATGAATTTTTTAAATAAGATCCAAAACCTTGTTTATAAAATGAGATGCCTTAATTTGACAAAGAATTTCATGAAACACTTATGAAAAATGATATTAGATTATAATAACTTAGAAATGATAAAGTTTAATCTAGACCTCAATAGATTACTAATTAAAAGTTTTAAAAATTAATAAAAGATGAAAGAAACTAATCTAGACCATAAGTTTAATAATAATCTCCTTAAAGAGATATCAAAAATAATTAAGAAGTAGATTATTATGATTTATTAAAAATTGAAATAGAGGAAAAGAAGAGAGTAAAATTAAATTGACATTGGGTTTTATATATCAAAATTAACATTGTTTGTAATATTGTTTACCCATTTCTATACAATTTTACGCTTCTTATGTATTTAACATTTCAAGTGTTATTTTATATTCTGTCTTAATCATTCTTTTAGCTTCATTAATGTAATCATTGTCTACATTCATATGAAATTCTTTAAATAAATTAAAAAATTGATGGTTTATATTTTACTATGACTAAAATAACTATAATATTATACATTTAACATTGGTTATTTAAAATAAAATGAGATAACATTACTATTTAATCTTTTGCTGCTGATTCTTTTTAAAAATATCATGTAATATAAATATTAAATAGAAATTTATTGAATTTATTGTTCTGTTTTTTAAGATTATTTTTATTTTTATTATTAGATTCCTTATAATTTGGAATAATTTGATTTATCTTCTTTTATTAAACATATGAATCCTTAATTTATAATAAGTATTCTTTGTTTTTAAGTTCCAATAATTTTACATCTAAAAATGTGAAACTTGATATTATTAAGTTAATTTATTTCTAAATTCAATTTCTTAAACAATCCTTTATTTTCATATCTTTTTATTGGATCTTATTTTAAAGAATTAGTTCTTGAATCTTTTTTTAGAATAAGTGGTTAGATTTCAAATGGTGAAGTATTATTTAAATGTATATTTTACAAAATGTTGGATTCAATAATGGATGATTATCTATATGATGAAGATTATTATATGTTTGATTGGTCTTAAGATCGTATAGAATCAAATTAATCATCTGGTTACTTTTATAATTATTATTACAATTATAATTTATTGAACTTAAATGGAACTATAATTTAAGAGTTATAAAAACTATTCTAAGATCTTGTACTTATAGTATCCTCTTCAGTATTTTAATACTATTATTATTATTATTGAAAACAAATATAACTCTGTTTAATTTATTATTCAGATTAAAACTTAGAATATTTAATTATCTAAATTTAATTTTATAAATTTTAGACTTTATCTACAACCTTATATTATTTAATAGGTCCTCCAATATATTGAACTAATTCTTGTAAATGTTTGTTTGTCTAGATGAAGCATTTCATTTCAGGAGGCATTCGTATAACTCTACATTAAACACATCCATTATTAGAACATAATCGACATTAATTAGTTTCAAGTTTAAGAGATTCTGTGTAATTAAGAGACAAACAATCAAGTTGTTAATAATAATTCATAAGTATTATTATTTCATCTTTTGGTAAATCAAATATTTTTGAAGGTATACATGCAGAAGATGGAGTATTTAGTTTTAAATCAACTGCTCTATTTATAATTATAATGCTTACTTTTTATAAATATTCTTAACTATTTCAACATTATCTATGTAAATACCACTTAAAGTTTATGGTAATAATGAAGAATCAATTGATAGTAATTTCTATCTAAAGTAAATGATAACAGCAATCACAAAAAAATATATCATTAATTAATCTTTTTTAATATAAAGCATTTCCCAAAATAGATAAGTACATTCTAAAGACATTTTATTTGCAAATAGTGTCAATAACCAAGGTGTTGCATATAGTTCTGGTGAAAGTAAATTTTTATCCAAATAATCATATAATTAGAAGTCATGAAATTTAAGTAACAAATTTATCCATTAAAAAGCCACTTGTAATGACAAGAACTCTTCATCTTTAAAGAAATTGTTATCAAGAATGATTTTACGAGAATATTCATAAACTTTTTCCCATGAAAGTCCACTTTCATTAAAGACTGCTACAACAGCAAATATTTCATTCATCCCTTATTTGTAACTAATATTTTCCTATTAACAAAAGAAAATAATTATTTTTTCAAGAATGTTATGCATTTGAGGTTAAAGTAATTGAGAACGAGTTCTTGGGATATCCATTTTTAAAGTTCGATATTGTGGTTGGTCAACTGATGTTTTATTTATTTCATTGAATGAAGGATGTGGTAGTTAAGGCGAATAAGTGCCTAATAGAATCTAAGTTTGAAATCATTTGTATACATCCCAAAAGAATGCTGTTTTTGATTACTCTATTTTATTTTGAAACATATAACTGAATATAAATTAAAAAAATTATCATTAAAGAAATTCTGAACCTATCAAAGTCCTTAATTAGCTATTTACATTTAACATTCCTTAAAGTAATGCTTTTGAACTTGTATTCATGAATGATGGAAATTCTAATTTACCAGCAATAATCTTTTTATTTAGTTCACTTTCATTATTTCCTTTAAATGGAAACAATCCAGTTAATAATCTAAATAGAATAACTCCACATGCCCAAACATCAACTTTATTGTCATAATTTTATTACTTAATTAATTCAGGAGCCATATATTGATGAGTTCCACATTAAATAGATAATTCTTTATCAGTTTAAATGGAATAACCAAAATCAATCAATTTAATTTTCATTGTTTATGGATCTATTAATATATTTTCTAATTTTAAATCTCTATGTATTATCTTTAAATTATGTAAATATATTATTGCATTAGTTAATTATTTGCCTATAATTTTTACTTAGTCTTCGCTTAACCTTTTTATTGTTCTGCCTTTCAAATAGGAATCTAAAGTCATTGGTGAAAAGTATTCTTAGATCAAATAAATATTTTATTCTGTTTTCAACTAATAATACAACTTTATTATATTTGGATGAGATAAAAGTTATAATATAACAACTTCTTATTCTAATAAATTAGTATTTGCATGACTTCCATATACTTTAATAGCAACAACAATATCTAACATTTTATGCCTTGCCATTTTAACTTCTGCCGTTGCACCATGTCCAAGAACCTTTAAAATTTGATACATTTTTATATCTTGTAATTCAAATGGTACTTCTTACAATTATGTTTCTTGTGTTCTTATTATTTCATTTTGCATATTATTAGTGGAAGTAGTGGGAATAAATTATTATTTCATAATTTGTCTAAGATGACTCCCTATTGATGGTTATGCAGTAATTTTATTTGTACTCTATTATCTCTTAATTTAAAGTGGAGGCACTACATTAGAATTTGCAGTAGCAGATCCTCTTTATTATCTAAAATAATTTTATCTCATGTTATTAAATTAATTATTAAATAACAAAAAATAACATAATAATTATGAATAAATACTACTCTTATTATAGATCAAAGGAATGAATTAATGATGTTTTCAATATTATATTAATATTATTATAACAAATTTCAATTTATATTGAATTATAAAAAAACAATATAAAGAAGTTATAGATTTATTTAATAACATGATTAAAATATAAAAGAGATAAATGAGATTCACTATTAAAAATTTAAAGAATCAAATAGATTTTTACTAATAAAATATATGTAGTAGAACAAATAGTAAATTTAGAAAATAAATTCAAGAAATTTTGAAAGTATTTGAAAAAAAAGTTTATTAATTAAATCTAAATTCAATACATATATCATAATTGAAAAGGATAAGATAATAATTATTGAATTAAAAAATACTTTAGATTAATTAAACTTTATAAATAATAAATTTAATACTTAAAATTGTTATAATTGAATCTAATATATCAAGGTTCATGTTTAGTAGATTAATGATTAGCTTTATCTTATAAATAATTGCTATGATGAATATCGATAATCTTCTTTTAAAGATTAGATATCTAAGATATCTTTTCTGCCAATTAATTATTTTGATTGTCTATCTTCTTTTATGAAAACTCAATCTTTTATGCTAAATCTCTCTCTATTATGTTTTTTTCAATTTACAACTATTTTACTTCTTATTCTAATTCTTATATTATTTTTTCCTTTGCTCTTTAATCCAATTAAAATGATTATTTAAGATATTATTCTTTCTATTTAACAGTATGATCATATTCTTATTTAATTTTTTATTTCTCCTTATTTTATTTTTCAGCTAAATGACCCATTTTATGTTCTAAAACTTATACAGAAATTAATTGTTATTTTTATGAAGTAATTAGTTCAGTCTATCTCTTGATTTCATCTTTAAGAATATTAAGACTACTCTCTCTTTCTGAAAGTAAATCTATTGCAAATGTAAATTCACTTTTCATTTCTTCCATAGCTTTTTATGTATATGTAGTAAGTAATTCAATTTATTTCTCATTATTACTAATTTTGATTTCCAAATTTTATATCAATAATTTCAATTACTAATTTTCTCTTATCATTTTTCTCATGTCCATTTCACTTTTATGTAATAACCAAATATAATCTTATTATTCATCATCATTGCATAACTTATATGATTGAACTTCTTCCTCTGTCTAAATAATACCCCTATCATAATTAGCAATCATTTAAGATACTTAATATAAGTAGCAAGCATCTCTTTAATTAAATCAATCAATCGATAAGGATCTAATCTAGTATATCCAAATTCATTTGATTTTCTATTTAATTTTTCATTAATGTCATTAAAATCCTGTTTAATACTTAAATACTTACATAATATCTATTGTTGATCTCCAAAAATAATGCTTGAACTCTTTATACTAATTCATTATATTTCTTTTCCATCTTCAAATAATCTTCCCTTTCAACATACTTTTCAGGATCAAAAGACATTTTATAGTGTTTAGGAGATTTCTATTATTTCATTATTGATGGCTTTTCAGTTAAACTGACTGATGATAAATTAGGTTTTTTTGTTTTCTTTTAATCTGACATTGTTATTATATTAATTAATTATTTACAAAATGAAACTAATAAAGGAACAAATGACTTATAAAAGTTGAATGATCCAACAATCATTATTTAAGACAATCAGACTGATATCCTTATTTAGTAATTCTATCTATTTGGTCTTGAAGAAACTCCATTAGAAAATGGAATCTTTAAAGTATAAGATGGCCCATTGAATTATGATGCAGCTAATATATTTAGAGCCAATAATTTAATTGATTACAAACCAATTGATCTATAGATATGAATAAAGTGAAAGTTAAAGATAAGAAAACTTAATGAATATATAATGATGTAGTAATTTATATTAAAATTTTATATTTAAAAATATATAAAGAATGTACTTACAAATATGTTACTCTTTTTATTATTGTGTATATATTTTTAAATATTCAGTGAAGATCTTTGAGTTCAGAATATATAAAATAGAAATTCATTTGAAAATATTAATTAGTTGTGTAAATATTCTAAAATTAGATTAAATTAATGATTGCAAACGTTTAAAAAGGAAGAATTTCAAATGAGAATTAACAATAATATATAATAAATATAAATTATAGTATGAATTTACTATTAATTATTATGTTCATTTCAAGGGAGTATAATTATTCAGTGATTAATGAGGCATAAATTTGATTCATTATAATATTATATACATGAAAGAAATGAATGATAATTCTTAGATAGTTGATGGAAAGCGAAAACGTGTAATGTCTGCTAATGGAGTGATGTATGTTGTAACAAAGGAACTAATACGGGAATAGAAAACTTCAGTTCCTTAAGTTAAAAAGACATTAGTTAAGAAACAAGAAAAAAGTAGGAAGGTCATAGAAAAGCAATAATGCAAGAATGATAAAAGAGTAAGAATAACCAAATCAGCTTTGAAAGAATTGATAAATAATCATTTTATAGTAGTAGATGATAATGAAGAGGCAATGATCCAAAGCAGCAAGTATTTAATTATACGATTTTAATAGATAATTTTAGAACTCACTGGTTGGAAATAAAAAAAGACATAGTTCATCATCAGATTCTCAATTTGATTCTTCATCATCATCTAGGTATATATCCATTCATATTATTTTAAGTTTTTGAAGAAGGGATTTTTGATGTTTAAATTATATATATATATATATAAATATAGATTATTATGAATCAAAAACTAATGATATTAACTCTTAATCCTAATAGGATTATTGTACAAATTTAAAGAGACCATATTTAGATAATGTGATTCAATCAACTAGAATTTCTAAAAATTGATCATATATAATTTAAGAAATTAAAAAATGTAAGGAAGTAAAGAGAAAGTCGATTAAGGATGCTAGAATAACATCATATTAATATTTTGGGTATTTCAATAGTATACTGAAAGTCTGTTCTTTAAGATGAAAAATTTATTGAAGTATTTGAATGATATCCAATAATCAGATTAAAAAAGAGGGATATACAGATAAATTAGCTAAGTTAATTTCATAAAGAAACATTTAGAACCAGAACACTATATTTTTGAGAAAGAATTAATTTCTAAATAAATATTGTAAAATACTAATGACTAATTATATCAAAAATATATTTTATCAATTTAGAGATGATGGTTCATAATTCTTTAATCATTTATATATATACTAATCAGAATAATTGATTATCTATTTCAAATCGAGATTATTTATTATCAATTAATTAAATCTTTTAATAGAATAGTCAATAAATTTAATAAAAGTATGGTAAAGGAAAAACAATAGATAAATTTCATTCTAAGAGTTCTGCAATTCCCTGTTTGTCTCTGAAAGTTAATAGAAATGAAATTATTATGATGCTATATAAAGAACAATAAAAAAATATAGAAAATGAATTTATATGGTATTTTTGTTTAAGAATGTTTATGATATTACTTAGAAACTAATGTTTTATGATAGTATTATCTGTTTTATTCTTGACCAACAAAGGAAAAATTTAATTATGATATGATAGTTGCTTTTGAATATATTCATAATAAAGATAAATTAGTTATTTTCATAAGGCTATAATGATGAGATATATGAAATTTATAATCCACAAAATATAATAGTATCTAAAGGTATTATAATATTTCATATTCATTTTTATTATGATTAATTGAATCTCGGAAATTTATGGTCTAAATTTTAAATGTTTATAATTACAAAAACAAAAAAATAGTTTAGAGTATAAAGACTTGAACAATTTAGATAAGAATATTTTCCAAAAATTTAATATATTAAAAATTTGGAATTCAGAATAACTTCATTAAATAAAGTTTCATTAAAAGATGAAGAATTTATTAATGAGATTATGCTATTCTGAATGTAGACAAATTAATATCTATATTCTCAATTAATTTTTGAGAAAATAAATTAAATTAGTATTTTAGATAACTAGATATTTAATATAGATTAATAATCAATACTTTCAATCAACAGACAAATATTTTTATAAATTGTTATTTTTAATTAATTTTTTAATGATGTCATTTCTGACAACTTGAATATTAAATTCAATTTAAGTTAATTGGAATAATTATGTAATAAATAATGATCATAAACACTATAATATTCATTTATTTATAACAACATATATATTTAATCAATCTTTTGGAATAGGTCCATCATAATCAGCAATTAAATACATGATACTAGCTATAGCAACAACATTATCATCCATATCTTCTGGATTCATCATCCACATAGAATCACCAGCAGTATGATGATAAGTGAAATAGAAATCATGATTTTCATTATCTGCAATTCTATTATTTAACATAGGAGTTCCAGTAAAATCAGCCAATATACCACTGTCAACAGATTCACCATCATTTGGGTAAATGCGTTCAGCTCCAATACCAGTTAAATATTCTTAAGCCAAATATGTAACTAATTAACTATGAATATAATTAGAAATTACGTAAATTATTATCCAGCTGTAATTCCAAATCCATATGGTTTTGTTGATCCTAAATCTGATTCGAATGCAATGATGTGATTATCTTTACCATGATTACGAGCATAATGAAATGCTCCATTATTGTTTTAACCCATCTCTTCACCACTCCAAGCAATAAATCTTATAGTTCTCTTTGGTTTAATTCCTAATGAATTTAAGATTCTCAATGCTTCTAAACAAACAATAACACCACCTCCATCATCATTAGCTCCTGTCTATGATCCAACATCCCATGAATCCCAATGGCCACCCATTAATAAAATTTCATCTGGATATTTATATCCTTTGATTTCTGCAAAGACATTGTCACTTGTTGTTTTATATTACTATCCTCCTGTTTTGATCTCCACAACAACCTTTTAACCTCTTTTTTTCATTCTGTCTAACATATCAGCATCTTCAACAGTAATTGCAACTGCAGGGTATTTAATATTTTCATAATCCGTCATTCCCTTTTAAAATTAAAAAAAATATATATACCGTATGTGGTGATGCAATTGAAACGCTGGCCACACTTCTAATCATTGTACCAATGGCTCCTGCTTTTTCTGCTAATACAGGTCCTGCAAATCTGAATGCTATAGCTGATCCATATCCATTCCATTCAAAATTGAAACATACAATCTTTCCTTTCACATCCTTCTCTTTCAATTCTTCAAATGAATGAACAACTTCAACTTCACCCTTCACAACTCCAGCAGGTGTCCATCCAAGACCAATCATGTTCAATTTCTAAGGAATTTATCTTGGCTCGAATAATGTAACACTTTCTTCTCCTCTCATCCAAGATGTGATCTCACCCAAATTCTCTTTCCATACTCTATCAAATCCCATTTTCTCAATATCTTTATAGAGTGCATCTACTGCATCAGCCATATTCTCAGATCCCCATAATCTTGGACCAAATGTATCTACATAATATGCTAATCTATTATAAGCTGAATGGTAATATTAGCTTTAGGGATTCTTTATTTATTCTCTTATTTACTTGTATATATATAATCATTAAATTACCTAAATTACTCCTTCTGTAATTTTGTCTTTTACACTTCTCAACATTAAAGCATTCACACAAAATGTGAATACTAGTAATATAATAAATTTCATATTAAAATAATTAATTCTTAGAATTAAAAGCATTAATTCAATACTTTTATTCAAGGAAATTCCAAATGGAACATTTAAGTATTCTTAAGATCCAATTTTTTTAAGAAATTATTGATAATAATACAAATTATGATTCACAGCTCATCAAAAGCATAACGCTTAATAGAGGAAGGATAATAAAATATCACTCTCAAAAAGTTAGTCAAATTTTCACATTATGAAACCATTTTCAAGTTTGTTTTCTTTCTTGTTTTAAGTAAATTTATATCAATAAGCATTTCTTAGTTGTTATCTCTTTCTATAGTTTCGATATAATCTAGTTTTAACAATTCCTTTAAGAAAAGAATTTTCGAAGATTCGATTGGAAGAATATCAAATGGCTTTTCATTGGACTAATTCTGATACATGTAAATATGTATTCTTAATAAAAGATTACTAAAGAGTTGAATAAGATGTTTGTGACAGGTTATGTAGAAAGAAAGCTAGATTCAAAATATATAGGAATTGATAGATAATTAAGAGTATAAAAAATTGTGAAATGGATATATGACACTGTATATTATAGTAGTGCAACACTCTTCGCATTTTTCACATTTAGAAATGAAAAATGGTTCCCTTCAGAATTGGGTGGCACTGATTTTAAAGAGACACTATATGATTTTCCTAACATCCCAGATGTACAATTATACGTTAGCATTTTATTAGAATCCTTGGGTTCCTGTATATTATATGGTTTAAGCATCAAGTCATGTACATGCTTTATTGTTACTAATGGTTTATGGTACAAAGATAGAACTGAAGTATTGGGAATATTTATTACATCATTCACTTGCTGTTAGTTTACTTTACTTTTCAACAATGTATAACTGTGAAAATATTGGAATTGTGGTTTTGTTACTCCATGATATTAGTGATATATTCTTAGCCTTAGGAAGAGCATATGGAGATCTTGGTAAGACTAAGATATTGGTTTATCTTGGATTTATTTCAATCTAAGTATCTTGGTTGTACACAAGAGTCTATGTGTTCCCAATCAAGATATATGATTGCATGATAAATCATCCACAATTCCTACCTTATTGGTAATATATATCATATAAACATTTTATAGGGAACGAACTAAACATGCTTATTATAATCAAATTGGACTTATGGTTTTACTGTTCGGTATGCATGTTTATTGGACAATATTTATGGTTAAAGTAGGATTGGGTATTTTCTCATCTGGTCGATATAAGAATATTTATGATAATAGAGAAAATAAATTAGATCATAAGAAAGAGAATTGAAAATATTTTAATAAATTAATATCAATTTTCAGTTATTTAATAAAATTAACTTAATATAATTTAAAAATTCATAATCTAAAATAAAAGATTTTCACTATTATTTTACTAATTAATAGTTAAGTATGTTTAGTATAAAAGGTTACTAAATTTGAGAAAAAAGATGATATTCTAAAATACAATAGTTTAATTTTTTGCATATTTAAATAAAACAAATAGAAAATACATTCTTATAGTGATATCATTATTGAAACTCAATTAATATAGTTAATTAATATTTCAACTATAGATATTATTCATTGTGTTTATCAACAATTACAATTTATAGATAATTATTTAGTTAATACACATTTCTTCTATTATATAAAGTCTAATAGGTCTTTTTGATGATATGTATTTCATATATCTTATGAAATTTTATTATCAATATTACTTAAATGAATAAAAACTTTTGCCTTCTGGGATGAATGTATTTAGAAAAAAATATATAAAAATATTAATTAAATGAGCAGTACAAATCGTGCCTTTCGAATGAAATAAATGTAGAGTCCAAGATTGTTTTCTGATCACCCACTTAAAACATTACCTGATGAAAGAACAACTACAGTTTTCAATCAATCTCGAAAAATGGAATCACAATCTAGTTATGATAATGTTAACAATATTCACTTATGAAAAAGGCTATTGAAAATAGACTATACCACATTGAATAATTAGCTGAATCATTGAAGTCTAACACTTCAATAGAATAGACTAGAATTATGAGTAGTTTACAAGAGATAGCCAAAACACTTAAAAGTATTTCCAAAACTGAGATTGAATTAAATTAAAAGAACAAATAACTTGATCATGTTACTATGGAAAGTGTAATGTAAAAATAAACAATACAAAAATTAAAAGACTAATAAGTATATTAATAGGGAATGTATATTTAGAATCATTATAAAGTGGACAATGAGGGATATTTAAAACAGTTAAGTCTCTCTTAATAAGATTAACATAAATTATGTAGAGATTTATTGCAATAGAAAAAAGTAGTAGAAGAATAGTATAAAAAAATTAAGTTCTTAGAGAAAAGGATAGAAATGATGTTGGAGAAAAATCTATATGTAAAAATTGTTATATATATTATACAATAGTCTCACTCTGAAGAACTAAGAAATACATTGTCAGAATTAATCAGAGATAATGAATAACTCAAACGGGATTTAGTTAAAAAAGAAAAAGAAAATGAAAGACTTAAAGATTTAAATTCTAAATTACTATAATAAAATAATAGATTAACAAAAAAATTAGATTCCTTAAAAACTAAGAAAGTAGGAGTAAAAGAAACTATAACTGAAAATTAATAGATATCTAATTATGCTTTTAATCCAAATTCATTACCAAGTAATTTAGAATTTCGATTGAATGATCTTGATAATGATGATTGTGATTTTTTATTAGATTTAATTGAACATGGACCAGAAGTATTTACAAATTAAGTTGTTACACTTGATTCTATACAACAAAAAAAGGATCTCATTAATTTAGTGGCATGTATGTATCTCTCTTTTATTTAATTAAATAGCTTAATTTATAAGTGCAAGAGATTTCTCTGAAAAAATAAATTAAATTATGAATGAATTTATAACAATGATTAGTTATAAAAGTATACAAGATTTTTAAATTCATGTAAGTAAAGCATTTCGATCTATTTTTGGAACTGAAATAGTACATTTATGGATAATTGATGGAATGACATGTAGAGCATAAACTTATGATTGTAATGGTGTTTAACATGTTGCCTTATTAACTGATGGAGTTTTTAGTTAATTAGTATTTGAAGATTATGGTATAAGAAGTCCATCAAAAAAATAAGAATTACTTTATATAACAGAGAATAATGAAGTCTTTGGTAAAAACTTTCTTTTACTTCCTATTATGGGAAATAGTTTTAAACCTTGTGGAATATTAGAAGTATTCTACAATAATATTCATAGATTCAAAATATCTAAGAAAATTTATTTTTAGATTCATAATATTATGGATTATTAATTAATATGTTAAGTAAATCAGTTGTTTAGAGTATTTTGGATTTTGAAGCTTTAATTAAAGAACTTAATTATAGAGATCTCTTTTATAGATGTTTCAATAGGTTGATTTAATGTAAGGATAAAGAACATTTTTGTACAGCATTATAAGAATCTGCTATGTAAATTTTTCAAATTGCTTAAACTAAATTATTATTTATTGAAAATAATTAATTTTGGATTTAAGGTAGAATTTATCAATTATAAGCTGGATGTGCTTATTAAATTTATTTAAAAGGTAAACCTCAAATATTTACTTAAATTACAAGATAAGATCATTTTGATGAAAATACAGATATATCTTCAATATTACCTGTTTTTATTGCACCAATTTATTTGAATGAACAAATTAAAGCCATTTTATAATTTATATTAAAAAAGAAATAAATGATTGATAAACATCCATTTGGAAATTAGGCAAATATTGGATTTAGATTAGATACAATTGATTAAGATGCTTAAAAATTTTATGAAATAGTATAGAATGCTTTTTAGATTGTATTTAGATGAATTTATATATATATATATATTTATTTATATAAGTATTTAAATCAAATTAAAGATTATCACTTTTATTATTCTTGAAATTATTCAATCTATGATAATGAATCAAATTTAGATGGTTATCTAATACTTCTATCTAAATTCTTTTAACTTTATTCAATTTGTAATCTAGAATATTCTGATTATGGATTTGATAAATCTAAATTTCTTTTACTATTTGGATCATATTTAGATTATTATTTAGATATGGGATCATTATTTTTAAGATTTCTTTGTGATGTTGGATCTTTATTAGAAAATACTTAATTTGAATATGCTTAAGATTATATTTAAGGATATGATTAAAGTGAAGGTACTCTATTTGATTATCTATTAGATTGATAAGGTTCAGGTTTATTTTAATACATCTTTTATAATTTTTCAAGTTCCTCATCATAATTATAAACAGATGATCTAGAAAGATTACTTTTAGAAGTTTCAAATTTCCAAGCATTTTACATTTCTTTAATTTCAGTTCTAGATAAATCTTATTCATCTAATATAGTTTTTTATTTTCTAATTTCATCTACTTATTAATCTGTTTTGAATTCAAAAGGATCAATAGTCAAATTAACATTTGCAAATTAAAATTTGTATTCATGTTTATTTTATTATATTTAAAATCTTTAATAATCATCTTTTCTTTCTTGTAATTTATTTTTAATTGGTATAATATCTTATAACTCTTTCTTTTAATTATATAATGCAATTTCTAATTATTGATTTTATTCTAAAATCTTCTTTTTTGTAATAGCTTATAATTTTAAGATTTCTTGTTTTTATACTTCTACCATTCCATTTAGAGCTGTGTCTTTTAATCTTTAATTGTATTCATCTATTAATTTATAATATTCTTATTTATCATTATTGTAATAATATTCCATTAAATAATCTAAATAATCTTTATATCTTTGGAATTTAACTTAAGTTAGATATTCTTGGGCTATTTATTCATCAAGAGGATTATATTTAGTTTATAATTTCAATTCATATTATTACATTTTTTCATCTTATTCTCTCTTTAATTCTTCTAAGACTTCTTGTCTAATTTATTATTTTGCATCTCTCAATAAATTTTCAAATTCTTATTTAGTTATTACATCTTCATTAATTTTATGATCTCTTCTTGGAATTTCTTGATTATAAAGTTGTTATTTCAAAAAGGATTAAGCATTCAAAGAAATACCTGATTAAGAACTACTTAATGATTAATTCAATTAATTTTATCCCATTAATGATAGAATACTAATAGAACTATCAGGACTTGTTGGTTGATTAAATTTAATGATTGATTCATTTCTAGATTTGAATTCATCTTTTATTTTATTTACTTTTTCAAATGAATCTGAATTCATCTATTATTTCCATTCATCATAACTTAATAATTTATCCATTAATTTTGGTTATTATCTCTATTCTTTAGTAATATAAATATTTTCATTATAACATTTATTGATGAACCATTTAATTTTTTCTAATAATTATTTAGCATCTGATGATCTAATTTTAATATTTTCAATTTTTTCTACATTATTACTTTCATCCATATATTTAAATATAAAATCCAATAATAATGCAGATCTAATTAAAGCTGTAGTATCCTATTTAATTTCTTTTAATAGACAACACTCTACAGAGAAAGTCTATTGAAAATAGTTTAATATAGTTTTTGAAACTATTTCATGATCACTAAACCTACTTTAAGGATGAGTCTAAGGATCTAATATATAGCATTTTCTCGTTGAAAAATGTATAATATATAAAAAGTACATTTCTTTATAGGAAGTGATAGCTATTACTTAATCAATTATTTGTTTGATATTGAAATTTTCCTTTAAATTCTTCAACTTATAACCTCTTTGTATTGGAATATTCTTTATTCTATCAAATTGGGGCAACAATTCAAAATAGCACATTTAAAACTCAAGATGATAACTATTGTCCTTAGTATAGAATGCTTCATAGTAATTAAGTAGAAAATTAATGTAGTAATGTTAACAATCTTCACTGTATTTTAAGGCACTTTCATAAACTAAATAATCAAACTTACAAGGACTTGAATGTAACATAATTTGTTCCTAATTGTAAACAGATAACTATATTGCCAGGTATTGGTTTATCTTCTTTGGAAAGTGGCTGAAATTGATTAAGTTTTAATAATTACATTATATAATGGACAATCCAATTAATAACTTCAAAGGTGTGATGTTATGCAACAGACCAAATGAAAATGTAATGGTTATAAAAGAAAAGTATTTCTTTTAAATAAATAATAAGACCTTTCTGTTCTAGTGTTAAACCTTAAGATTAATGGGGATTAACAAAAAAATATGAAGAACCAAAAGTAATGGTTTTTACCATGAATCCAGTAATGGAGAGACATAAATAATGGTTGGAAGAATTCAAATTACAAAATTAACTTAAGAAACATGCAAAAGAAGAGGAATAAATTCGAGAAGATGAAAAATTTAAGAGAGTGAGAGATTTAGCCAAGAAAGATAGAGAGATGACAAAATAAATGAAGGAAGAATACAAATAAATTAATGAATTAATTTAAAAAGAATTGAAAGATGATGGGCCTAAAAGCAAAACGTGAGGCTGTTATCTTAATTTCAAGAGTATAATTGACAGCCGAAAATCTAAAGAAATTAGAAGATAGAGATACCATAAAAGAATAAAATGATAATAAATTAGATACAAAATAAGGTGATCAAAAGAAAAGATACAAAAACAAACCTGTTTGGGCAATGACAAAAGAAGTTATTCATTACATAATATTAAAAGGAAGAAGAATAACATATTAAATAAGAAGAAGATGAATTACTAAATTTTGTTGAAAATCTAGATTATGATTCTTATATTAATGATTTAGAAGTATAATATTGATTTGAATAAAAAGGTAAATGTAATGTTGAAAGCATTATAATCAAGAGTTACTAATATTAAGAAAGAAGATAATTGGAAAGAGAAATTAGAATAAGGAGAAAAGAAATAAGAATAAAGATAAAGCGATATGTATGATCAAATTAGTCAGTCTCTAGGAAAGAATGATGAAGCAAAATCAGTACATTCTGAAAAAACTTAAAGTATAATTTCTAATTGATTAGATTCAATAAATTAATTAAGAAAGAGATAAGAATTAATTGAATAAGGTAAATAGGATTGGGAGAAGACTACTTCTAATGGAGATCAAAAAGCTTCATTAGAAGATCGTATTGCTAAACATGTAGCTGATGAGATTCTTAATCAATATAAAGTAAAATATATTTATTATTATTTATAGAATATATCTAATGTACATTCTAATTCTTCTATTAGAAAAATATTGGAGAGAGAAGCTAAAAAAACTTTGTAAGAGTAATGTATACCAGGACCTTTGATTTCAATTATTAAAAATGAAAAAATGCCTAAAGATCCTAATACTTTACCATATTTGCATCGTAATCCAGCTATTTGATAAATTTGATTTAATTATATATAAATTAATGGAGTTTTTTGAGTAATTCAACAATAAGGAAATTACAGAAGAGCAATTTGTAGAATAGTTGTAGACACTAACTACAAAAATATAAAAGAAAAGCACATTGTCTCTAGAATAAATTCTTTAAGTAAATTAATAAATAGATAAAATCGATGATTCATGTTTCAATTCTAATGTTGAATTATTTATTAAATTTGCACTCTATTTATCTAATAGAGGAGTATATGAACTTTTGTATCAATTAAGTTGGGATAAGATAATATATTAAAAAGATAATACAGATGCAAATCTATTAGGATTATACATTATTAAACGTGTATATCATTCTGAAAATCATAAAGTCCTTATTATCTTTTTAAATGAGTAATATTATTATTGATATTTATTAGTATATTACGATAACAAAAAACAGTTGAAAAGAAATTTGTTCTTCTAGAAATATTTGTATAAATACTTCCCAAAATAGAAAAAAGAGAAATTCATTTAGCAGTTATATTTCCTGTTATATTAATTGTTATCAATGAAGGATTACAAAAATACTTAAAATATAAATAATAAAAAATTCAAAATGATTTGAATGAAGACAATAAATTCACTAAATTGTACATGAATCATTTTCAAAATTGGACTGTCTCATTTTTCAAAAGAATATTTGAATCAATTAAAAAATTTCCAGAAATCAAAATCTAATCTGTTGCCATACGTGAATTATATGGAATTGATACTAAATATGATTACTTTGATAATTAATTAAGTAGAAAACCTGAAGATCCAAAATTAATAGTAAAACATTATGTTTTATTATTTTTATCTGATTTAATTTAAGGAATTTTAGAATCTGAATAATCTATGAAGGATTCATAATTAGATCCAGAAGTTATTTAGACATTACTTAATCTAACAAATTAAATGATTTATGATATTCATGATAATAAATTGGAGATTATAGAAAATTATATAAATTGGATAAGATTTAGTATATAATTTGATTAAGAATTACCATAATAATATTAACATTATTCAAATGAATAAACATACAATCCTGCATTTGTATGCTATTTAACAAGAGAATTATTAACAAATAGTAGTTTGGAATAAATATTAACAGTAGATTATAAATTGAAAATTTTAATTGGAGTACTTTATGAATAAAAAAAATTAACAAGTTTGAAATGTGATATTTAGAGCAAATTAATAGAATTAATAGTTAAGTATTTAAATTTAAGAGATGTTTCTAATAAATTTAGAGCAGCTAATCATTTTACTACTCCATTTGATATTATTATTATGTTAATAATGGAAAAGGCAGGATCAGGATTGGCAGATGAAACACCTTACATTTCAGCTTGGAAATAAGCATAATCTTCATTCATTCCTGAAGTATGGACAAGAATATTAGAATAATGTATAAATAAATCTCAAAATTATGTTTTGCTTTCACATTTAGTAAATCATTTTAGAAGTGCTAATTCAAAATTAGACAATCAAGTATTATTGAAAATATATGATATTCTAATTTAAGCAATATACAAAAAAGAATCAGGAAATATTGATGCTAAAGTTTTATTATTTGATTCAGCCACACTTTTAATTTAATAATTGGTAAAATATTTATATAATTATTATATTATAGAATTTGAAAAAGGCAGATTTGTAAAAGATATTTGAATTAAAATGGAAACCTTTATTAAAGAAATACGAAAAAGATTTACAATAATCTATTGATTATTTAGAAACAAGAAAGAAAGAAGGAGATGAATAAAAATTAAAGGATGATTAAGTATTTTAGGCAATTTTGGGATAAGAGAGAAATTTAAAAATTGCTTATTATAATTTGAGTAAGGTATTGGAGTGAAAAAAAGATGAATATATATATATATTAATCATTAATTCAAATAATTTCTATGAGAAATTTAGACTCCATGAAGATGAAAATCTTTAGTGATTATAGCTAATTCTATATGAATATTTCCAGTTGATTCAACTTTAAAACCAAATCTACTTTCTCCTGAAAATAATAAATCTCTATGAACTAATTCAGGGTAAGCTCCAATTAATTTATCAAAGAAACTAGCCTCTGGTCTCCAACATTCTAAAGATATATAAATTGATTACAAATATCAAATTAGTATTCTCCAGGTTCTATAGGAAGAGAACTAAGACCATAACCACCTAGAGAATTTCTTCCTTGATCATCAACTTCCCAGACTTCCACAAGTAATTTTGGCCATCCTCTTACTGCTTTAGTCACATAATTTAAATCTATAGGATGTTCAAGAGGTATAAATTTTGAATTTTATGAAGTTGATTAAAATGTTTCTCCTTCTTCTTATCCTGATATCTTTTTCCAGTGATCTCCAACTCTAAAAAAATATTTGACATAAAGAGAAGTATGTGTAAAATTTGTAGCCCCAGCTATTTTACCAACAATAAAAACTTGTGGACTATCTGCAGACATTTTAACAAATTGTATAATTTATATTAATCAATAATGAAATATATATGAGATATGGTATTCAAACTTGATATATGACAATTCTCATTCTTATTCTCTATTGCCTTCATATTCATAATTTGGTATTTGATCATCAATATGTTAAGCCAATGAGACACTCAATGGCATATCACCATATTGAAGTACTCTATCTGTAATATTAAAATTCTCTTAATCTTCAAGAACTGATTCTGTTCTATTTATAGTTGCAGTTGGATTCTTCTTTCTATTGTTTATTTCTTATTTCTTGAAGTAAACTGCAATCAACATAAACAGTAATCCAGCAAAAGAGTAATACATCAATGCGAAAATAGCTACTTTTGCGTTATATCTTTCCATTAAAAATCCATATATTGAAGGTGCTGGTAGAAAACCAAATAAATTCTAAAACATTGTAGTATTTGAATTTGCGAATGCCTTTAAATGTTTAGGAACTGATGAAAGCATGATTCCAATCAATGGTGGAACTATTGCTCCACCAAAAAACAATAGAAACCAAACACATAATGCTCCAAACCAAAATATATCTGTAAATGGAACTGGAGCAGCACTCAAACAACAAATAAAACAGTATATTACACATATATAAAGTGATTTAGTTCTTTCATAACCTCCTAATTTTTAAGCTATTAATCCACCTGTAATACATCCAAAAACAGGGGCTGTAATTGAAACTACTGCAAATACTATATTAACTGTTTTCTAATTTTGATGCATCTCTGATATCATATAATCAGTCATCCAAAATTATATACCTGTAACTATAAAATATAATATGCTGATCACTATTGTACAGCATAACCATAATTTTATAGAATATAATTCTCCCATCATATGCCAATATGATTTATGAGAACCTACACTCAACATTGAAGATCCTAAATCATCAGGGTTTACTGACTTTTTATCTAATTTACTCCTTCTAGCTTTCTTTATTTCGAAATCCTTTGTTCTTACAAAAAAAATAAAACTAATTGCACATGGAATCAACAATGCAACTTAAGCATAAAATGCTAATTGCCAATTCCATATATTCGAAATCACACTTGATAACACGTATCCAACAAATATACCCAAAGGAATCACTCCTTATAATATTGTTATCCAAATTGTCTTTGATTCTCCTCCAAAGTTGTCTACCCATACTGGAAAATAAATCATCATAGGTGCCTAATCAATATATCTCCTATTCTTACTTATGCACAACCAGTTAAAAATCTACTCAAATAAAATAACCAACTACTCTTATAATGTTGTGGAAACATTAACAAAGAACCCAGCATTCCTAAGTAACTAATTGAAACTATCAACTTAGCATTAAAATGTATAAATAGCTTCCCACCAAATAACCCAACTAATGAAATACCTGCATAAACTAATGACCCTAAATATCCCAATTCTTCAGCACTCAAATCAAGTGATGTCTCTATTTATTTAGTTGCTAAGAAAATAAATTATTATTATCTATTTACCTGCAGGAATGATTCCATGGTCTAGATTTATAAGAACATTTGTACTAAGAATTAGAGAATAAATCCATTTATACTTAATTTCCATTATTTATATTAACTAATTTTAAAATCACGTTATGAATAGCCTAAATTTCATTCTATAAGCTTATTGCGTCTTAATTGCTTTATTTAGATACATATTATAACACTATTATATATATATATATAAGAAAAAAAAATTGTAAATCATTGTTATTAATTAAATCTTATTATTTTTTTTAATTAAATAATATTATTAATGATAAACATATCTAAAAGTTTAATTAAAAACAAAATCAAGAAGTTTTATTGTTCTCTTCATTTAAGGTTTTATTATTATTAATTATAAAATATTTTAGAGAACCTTTATTAAATTTAATTAATGATTATTTAAAATTAATCAATGTAGATAGTAATATAGAAATTACATTATAAAATTATTATCCAAATTTCTAATAAATATAATTCATTTTTTAACACTTTAATTATTATTTAGATATATTTATGATATTTTGAATTTACAATAATTTGAGAAGAGTAAAGAAAATTATAATAATTAGAAAAAAATAATTAGTATTAATATTTATATTATATGGGAGATAAAAAGAAAAAGGGAGATCAAGTAGAAGATTTCTCAACAGAATAATTAAATAAATTATATCGGAAACGATGTGAAATTAATGGAGTTCCTTTGTGCAAAATATTTAAGGAAAGATTAGAAGCTGTATGTTCAGAAGGAGAACATTTATAAAATGTAAAACTGTGGGAAGAAATGGGACCTGTTGGTGTTAGAGCAATGATGGAATCATTTACTGAAATAGGCTATAAACATCTAAAACAATTAAGATTATGGAGAGTTAAATGTTAAGATGAAGGAGTCAGAACAATATGCATATATATAGATAAAGTTCGATTACTTGAAGTTTTAGATCTTTTAGATAATTAAATTGGAGTTTTAGGTATTAAATATATCTATTTTAGGATGTAAATTCTTAGCAGACATTCTACATCCTAAATGTGAAAATAAATTAGTAAAATTAAAATTGGATCATAATTAAATAGGTTCAGAAGGTTTGGCTGAATTGGCTAAAGGATTAGCTATGAATAATACTTTAGAAAGTTTGGCATTGAATTATTGTGGCATAGAAGCTGATGGAGCAAGATATCTTTAAGATATATTGGCTAATGTTAATAGCAAATTATATAAATTAAAATTAAGCGGAAATCGTTTAAAAAATGAAGGAGCATATGAATTATTTAGAGCATTGGAAATTAATAATACTCTAGAAAGAATTAAATTAGCAGATAATCAATTTCATTCTGATCCAAGTGATTAAACTTTGATAAATAAAATACTATCTACTTTTGAATTAAACAAAACACTTGGATATTATGATCTCAAATTTAATTTACTTAGTGATGAAGGTATATTTATATATTTATATATTTAAATAATTAGATGCTACTAGAATAATTCCATTAATTGAAAAAAATAAGTCTATCTTTTTTATTGAGATTTCAGATTAAATATCCAAACCTTTGACTGATAAATTGAAATCATTAACAAAGAAAAGAAAGCCAAAAAAAAAGAAGAAGAGTAAAAAGAAGAAGTGAATAAATTATTAAACAATTTATATGGATCATATTATTTTTTTGTATCTGATAAAATATATCTCTTCCAAAGTTTCATATTACAAACGACGTGGTGATACCTTCTTTATTTACTCAGATACCCTTTTTAACTGTAATTTCAGCATCTAGTTTTTTCTTTCTATATTTCTCATATGCTAAGGTTTCTTTTAATATCTATCAGACGGTGTTTGATTTGAATATATAAAAGAAAAGTACTTTTTGCAGTTATCCTCTGTAGAGCATGTAATCTCTTTATTTAGACTTAATGATCTATAATCCTAAATTTAAGGTAGAGATAAATGTTCATCATTTTATACGGCTAACTTTTTTTTATAATAATTCATAAAAAGTATGAATATATAAAATATCATATAAAGACAGCTTATTTTTTCAAAGGAGCTTCTGATTAAGATTATTATTATTATTATTATTATTATTATTATTGTTATTACTGTTTTGGTTATTTCTACTTTTCAGCTTTCTCTATATCTATTTTCATACAACAATCTTTATAGGTTTTATTGGAACCACAATTACATTTTTTATTCTTTTTCTATTTTAATTAATATTTTTGAAGCTCTGCTTTTTTCATAGCCTCTTTTGCAGCCTTTTCAGCTTCTTCTTATTCTCTTAAGGCCTATAAATATTCTCTTTCTTCAGGATCCTCTATTTATTCTAAGTCCTCATATTAATCAAAATTATCCTCATTTCCTAAAGGGGCTTATTAAAAAGTATCCAATAATCCTTCAAAAATATCTAATGGTATTGATTCTGCTCTTTTATTACTGTCATCTCCTAACATTCTTACAGAACTATAATGTTCTGCAACATTTTCAATTAGATGATATGCTAAATGAAGTGAATCTTTCTAATATTGCTATTAATCAACACTTTACTTCATTTAAAGGTCTTTCATCAGTCATTGATTTAATTATCATACATGGTCTTCCTTTCATGTGAATAAAAAAATTCACATCTAAAGCTTATGACAAAGCTTGTAATTCTAAATTACCTCCCCATTCTCCATCAGATGACATCTCTTTCAAATATTAATCAAATGTCATATCATCTTCAATGAAAAGTGCAAAGAATTCTTAATTCTCTTACATTGTTTAAACAGCTAATCTTCTTAATTATTTATGATATTTTTCATCTCCATGTAATACATCTGCTATTGATCTAAAAAGACAATTTCCATCTCCTTCAACATCTCTAATTTAAAGTCCTAATTAATTCATTTCATCTTAAAACTCTTAAAAATGTTTAGCATATCCTATAAGGAAAATGTTATATTTATAATACCTTTAAGTGAACGAGCTTATCCTCTCTATTTTTTTAGTTACTTTTTTGTTTATCTTTATTATTATTTATCCTTCATCCCTTATTAATGTTTTTCATATTTTTACTTGTTTTTCTTTTTTTACATCATTCTTTATTAATTAATTTAATGAGTAATATTTATAAAGGGACTTAGCTTTTTTATAGAAGAATGCTTAAAACTATGATGAAAACTTTTAATGGGGATCCAGAAATGTTTCATAGAGTAAGAATTGAATGTCGAAATAAAATAAAAGAAAATGCAAATGAGACTGATTAAATCAAAATATAAAATCATATATTTTTTGGAGAAGAAGCTCGAGAATTCTTAGAAAATCATTTGATATCAGGAAAATTAATGCCAAATGGAAGATATCGATTTAAAGCTTAACCTTAACATAGTATGAATGATCCAATAAAGTAATGAGTATTAATTTAATTGATTAACACAATTAAGAACTTATACAAGTAGAATTACTTATCAAATATTTTTATAAAAATAATTAGTTTATAGAAATTATCATATACTTTATTATTTTTAATTAATAATTAATCTCAAAAAAAAGTTGCTGATGAAAAAAGGATTCCCAAAAATAAATGAATATTATAATTTAAATAAATGCAACAGTTGAGGGGTAGCCATTTTTAATTAGGATAGACAAATTAAAGTAAATGGTTTATATATTTTCTTTAGAGAATCAATTCACATCAATAATGAAAATGAATTTTCAAGGTGATTAAGTATATAATCAAAATGGAGTTGGTGACAAATTAAATTTGAAAGGAGTTCATTTTCAATTAGGAGAATCAAAACGTAATTTTTATGTCAAACAACATGACAGCATTATATAGAACAACATTTAAAACTGATTTTTAGGGAAAGTAAATTGTAGAACCTGCTACATTAAATTAAGAAAAAAAAAATGATTTAAGAACAAACCATTTTGTTCTTGGTCATCAATAAGCTCAATAAGTCTCTGTCACTAGGTCAACTTATAATGAAAAACCATTATAACCAGGTTTATAAAATGAATAAGAAAGTATTCTCAATTTATTATAATTAGTTCAAAAGAATAAAATGAGATCTCATCATCATAATTTTGTAGAAACTACTTAAAAAATGATGTTGACCAATTATAATGAATAATATTAACCTTAATAATTAGAACCAAAATTAGATGTGGCTGAAAGAGCAAGATAATTAAGAGTATCAAATATTTTTCTTGGGAAAGAAGTAAAAATTATATCTATTTCTTATTAGTAATTGCCTATGATTACTGCTTAATAAGAATATCACAATAAGAAAGAAGGTGGAATTTAAGCATCTTATAAACCAGGATTATAATCAACCAATATTAATTTAGGTACAACTATTCCTAATTACCAAACTATCAATTAAGAATATTTTTAGAGATATTAGGTAACATCAAATCCATTTGCTGAAGAGAATAGATAAAATTTGAGAGGTAATCAATATTAAATATATCTATAAGCAACTCATTTTATTTTGGGTAAAGATAATCAACCCTATTCTTCAGAGACTAAGTCTCATTATAGAATTTATTCAGAAAATAATGTCAAATTTACTAATAATACAACTGCATTATAAGGAAGTCATTTTACAATAGGAGATCCTAGATATATGAATCATAAAACTTAAACTTTATATACAAGTACAATGAAACCACCAGAATAATAATTAAATAATCAAGCTCGTGATTAATAAATGGATAGAGGTTCCAATTTCTAAATAGGCAGTGAGAATATAAGATATAAATCAGAAATGCAATCTAAGTATTTTAATATATAATTATTTAGTTTCTAAAATCCATCTGGATAAGCTGCTCAATTATCAGATAAATAATTAAAAGATTTGAGATCATCTCATTTTGGTTTTAATGATCATAGTGGTAAGAATACATTTGTAACAACTAAATAAATGGAAGCTCTTAATTATCAATAAGGATATCCTAATAAACTAGATCCTCTTGCTAGTGCTAATTTGAGGTATTTTTTATTAATTATTAATATAGATCACATCATTTTACATTAGGACATAATAGAGAAGATTTAATATCATAAACACATGATATTCATAGACATTTAGATGGAAAACCAAATACATTAAATTAATAGTAAGCTAATAATTTAAGAAAACATCATTTTGTATTGTCATGAAATCATTATTTAAATAGAACTATATTCATCTATTACTAGGTTTTGGTGTAAGTTATTATAATGTTGAATCAAAATGATATCTTAAATTTTCAAGAGCATCATTTCTTTACAAAGCAAATTACTCTTGAAATTTTTTCTATTCTTACAAAGTTCTATCTTATTATTTCTTCACTTTAAATCTCTTTAATTGATCTTAAGAATCTTAAGCTAATTTCTTTTAATCCAATAATTCCTACTTTAATAATATAATTCTTTTTTAATATACTTCTAATTCATCTAATAGTTCAGTTATTGTTTATTTCTATATTCAAATATTAAATACATTATTTAAGTTATCTTATTTCAATTTTAAAACATATTCATCTGTTTCATTAATATCATTTCTATATTATTTAACTTTCTTTTTATAATCTTCATTACTATCTTCATCTGAACTACTATAATAATTTATAAGTGCTTTAGCATGATTCTCTAAATACATTACAATTATTAGTTAATTAAACAATAATAAATAAATATATTTAATGTATATATATGTCAATAACCCTTTCAAAGATCTAAATCTTATTTCTTATTCTTTTTAGACTTTTAGTTTCTCTTTTCAATTTCTGATTTAACTCTCTCTAAATCCTAGAATATTATATTCAATATACTTTATCAACTTAATGTGTACCAGTTTGATGTTTTTTAGCCTTTTCTGCTAAAACCTTTTTAATATCAACTTTTTCATTGTTGTTAGTTGTTTATTCACTTTATTATTAAACTTATTATTGTTATTACTAAGTTTATTCTGGTTATTTTTCTGCAGGTGTAATTTCTTTATTTTTATTTTTCTTTTTTTTCTTCTTTTCTTAAGCACCATCATCTTTAACATCTTCTTTTTAAGTAAATCCTAATTCATTTAATATTGCATCTAAATCTTCAGTTTCTTTCTTTTTTTATTCCTTTTTCTTTGGTTATTGTTATTTTTCTTCTTATTGTTGTTTTTATTTTAATACTTCATAATTAAATACAAATTATTACTTTGATATTAGTCTACTTATTCTTATTTTTACTCTGTTTACTATTCTGATGTTTATTCTGTAACAACTTCCTCTTAAGGTTTTTATCCCTCTTATTCCTATTATTCGTTTTCATCATCACTATTATACATCAAACCTTAGAAATTGTTTTTCTAAGAATATCAATTCATTATTACACTTGGTTTAATTCTTCTTGCCTCTAATGCTGCTTATTACTCTTTTTGTATTTATTCTGCTTATTTCTTTTGCAATTCCTTTAATCTCATCCATTCTGGCTTATTATTTTTGTGATAAGGCTTTTTTGTTTATTTCTTGAATTCCTTATTTTATTCGGATGGTTGAGCAGCTGGCTTAATTTCTTATTCTGGAGCTTTCTCAACAATAGGTTAAACTTAATCTTCATCATCTGATATTTCTGCCCAATTTACATTTGTTGTTGTAGTATTCTCAGTCATTTTAAGATATCAATTTTTAAATATTTATAATACTCAAACAAATTCAATTTTAAATCATTTTATCAAACAATATACCCAATTATGTAATTTTTTTATTATTAATTGCATCTCTATAGTTAAACTTATTCTTCTATATTCGAAGTTTGGTATTTCATTTATTCTATTCATAATATTTTTTATCTGTAAACAAGAATTCAAGTAAAATTAGAAATGGATAATTAATACAAAAATATTTAGAATATGAAGTCTTATTAATTTAATATCTATTTATTTGCAAATTTATTGATAACTTTATTTAATTATATCATTATGCTAATTTAAGTATATAATTATCAATATACTTATATATTAAGTTTTTATTGCTTATCATAATATAAATGATGCTATCATAAATATTAAAGTCTAAAGCCATATAAATAAATATTTAAATTTAACTGAAATATTTTTTTACTTTAGTATTGTAATTATATATAGAGTTGATAATATAATCTCTTAACATCAAAAATATACCTATTTTTATAGTGAGAATACCGAAAAACAGTATCAAGCACTGTTAGTATAAGGGTATTATGCAAGGTTGCCATCCTTGTGACACGAGTTCGAGTCTCGTACAGCGCAATTTTTTTATTAATTTTTATAACTATTCTTAATGTTTTAAATTTATTATCTTATAAATTAATTACAATATATTTCAATTTATGTCTTTTATTTTTTATTTGGTCTATTAATTAACTTTTAACTTAGATATTCAAAAATAGAGAGCAATTAAATAATTCAACATCTGAATTTTTTTAAGTTGAATTATAATATGTATTTTGTATTTTTATTTAGTAAAAACATGTTAAATCATTCATAGCATTATTTAATATAGAGAATAATAAACAATAACAACAAGATGGATAGTTATTTACAGATTTTTAAAGAACAACAATGAGTTTTTTTGTATTTCAATATAGCATACAATATATATTATTCAGAAATTCATGTTTGAAGATAAAATAGCCTTTTAGTAATTTCCATTTAATTTTGATAAATCATTTGATAATTTGAATTAAGGTTAAATCAGTTTTGAAATTTATAATAAGTTTTGAATTGGTTAGTAAGAATATTATTAGCTTTCTTCAAATATATTTTATAATTAATAGTTTTAATATTAAAAATTATTACATTAATTTAATAATTATTATAATTTTTATAATAATTATTATATATATTATAAAAAGATATTTTGCCATAAATATATTACGTATTATAATGATTATTCATATCCTCTCGAAAATATCTTGAAATTATTATAATAAATAATTCAAATTCATGTACATAAAGCCAATATCCTCTCTCACTCATATAGGCAGATACTATGTTCACATCATCAAGGACTTAAATGTCATCAAATAGATTCCAGCTGGATCTACTGTGCTTGTTGGTGGATTCGGATTATGTGGTATACCTGAATGCAGCATCAATGCTTTAAAGGAAGCTGGAACAAAAAATCTGACTGTTGTTAGTAATAATTGTGGAACAACTGATTTGGGATTAGGATTACTTTTGAACAATGGATAATTGAAAAGAGTGATTGCTTCATATGCAGGAGAGAATCATAACTTAGCCAAGTAACATATAATAAATTTACAATAGGTAATACTTTGATGGCACATTGGAATTGGAATTAGTACCTTAAGGTACTTTGGCTGAAAAGTTAAGAGCAGCTGGTGCTGGTATCCCTGCTTTTTACACTCATACAGGTACAGACACTGTTGTTGAAAAGGGAGGTATTCCTATCAAATACCGCAAAGGGGGTGATGGTGTAGAAATAGAATCTAAGCCAAAACCAGTATGATAATGTTATTATAATTAGGTTGAATACTTTAATGGAAAGAAATACATAAGAGAAGACTCTATTTGGGGAGACTATGCAATTATCAAAGCAAACATGGCAGATACAAATGGTAATCTCAAATTTGTTGGAACAGCTAGAAACTTTAATCAAGATATGGTTAAAGCAGCTAAAGTTGTTATTGCTGAAGTTGATACAATTGTGCCTGTAGGTAGCTTTGGTTTCGATGAGGCTCATATCAATGGAATTTATGTTGATTATCTCTATTAAGGAAATAATTACTTAAAGACTGTTGAAAGACTTGTTTATGACTAAAGTGTATATGACAAACATAAGGGTATAATATTAATAATATTTTATAGATATCAAACCATAAGGGAAATTGAATCAAACTAGAAATAGAATTGCCAAAAGAGCAGCCTAAGAATTTAAAGATGGAATGTATGTTAATTTGGGCATTGGAATTCCAACTCTTATTCCTGCCTTCCTTGATAAGAGCATGACTATTCATTTTCATACAGAAATTGGAGCTATTGGAGTAGGACCTTATCCAAAATTAGGTCAAGAATTAGGAGATCTTTAAAATGCAGGAAAAGAATCATGCACTCTCAATCCAGGAGCCACTACTTTTGAAAGCAGTGAATCCTTTGGTATCATTAGAGGAGGACACTTGGATATGACTGTTCTTGGAGCTATGCAAATAACTAAATAAGGTGATATTGCTAATTGGGTAATTCCTGGAAAAATGGTTAAAGGAATGGGAGGAGCCATGGATTTGGTTGCCTCAGGATCTAAAGTACTTGTTGTGATGGAACACACTGCCAAAGGAGAAGTCAAATTTGTTAAAGACTTATAATATCCAGCCACAGGAATGAATAAAGTTAGCTAAGTTATTACAGACAAGGCTGTCCTTGTTAAAAGAGATGGACAATTAGTATTAACTGAAATTGCAAGTGATACAACACTCGAATGGGTCAGAGCTAATACAGGGTTTGAATTAACAGTCGCAGATGACTTAAAATTCTTCAAAGTTTGATTTAATATTAAGTTATTAATATATTGATAATCTCAAATTATTTCTTTAATAAAATTAAATATATTAAACAATTAATCATTCATATAAAAATCTTAAATATTATAAAAAGTCTGTTTGAATTAAGATTTACTATATGTGAACTCCATAATCATTATGTCCTTTAATTAAATTGCTCATATTATAATTCTCAACTTTTCTGTATCCTTATTTCACTTCATTTAATCCTAAATAAAATAATATTATTATTAAATTACCACAAAATTAATCTAATAATCTAAATGAATTGTACATCAATTTTATTACCAAATCATTTTTGCTAAACACATTACATATCCTACCTTAAACACAATTCCATCTCCTTTTTTGAAGTTTTCTAGTGTCAACTATTCCTCCTAATATCAATATATTATTTATAGTATGTGTATTATTAGAGATATTATCTAGTTCTTTCATCATTTCATACATAACAGTAGAACCTACTGAATGAGCAATAATGTTTATTTAATAATCACCAAAAATCTTTTTATCAATTAATAAATGTGCCAAATATCTTCCAACATGTTTAGCTTCTTATTAAGATTATTCAAATGGGGCACTAGTAAAGGCTTTTAATCCACTTACAACTGCTTCCAATGGAGATTTTAATATCATTTATTTAACTGCCTCCATCAATTTCTCTTTTACATTATTTTCTTCTTTTGGATTATTCCAATTCAATACTATAAGGTTTTAGTCTTTTAATCCTTCTAATATACTATTCTATACCGCTGAATCTGTAAACCCTGAAATGAATAGAGTAATTACAGATGATTGCATCAAATCAGGAGAGCGTTTTTCGAATTACATTCTATCTGGAATAGTAATATTCCTTAAATAATCTTTTTGTATCTCACTCAATAAAATCTTTATTTAGTTTATTTAATTTTCAGTTTATGAAATATTTATCATATGATAAATCTAATTTCTTTTATAAAATTATTCCTAACTAAATTATTAAGAAACATCTTTATCATAAAGTTATATGCAAATGTGATGTTCTTGAATTTTTACATATAGCTTTATTTCTTAATTTTATTTTTCTAATTATTTAATTATTTAATTCCTAATATCTCCTATTATGTTTTCAAAATTATTAATTAGACGACAATTAAAATATCCATAAAATCCTTCTTTCATTAGATTAATTATATTCATTAATATATTTTTTTTTACTGATTAGTATTATGAAATAAGTAATTAATCATTCACAAAATGAGTACCATTTAAAAGAATGAATAAATCAAAAATTAAAGATAAATTTTATTATTCTGTGATAACATTTTTCCAAAATTGATTAGCCTATTCTATTTCTTATTTATAAGTATTTCTCAATTTAATTAAAGTTTATGTAACATCTTATTAAGAATCTATTTTTGTAATTTCAGTATATTAAGATAGTATATCTAATATATATAATATTTCTTTTGATTCTACATCAACTTATAATAATAAGTAAAATAATTAGGAAGCAAATTCTTTTTCTTTAATTAAGAGGAACTCCTTTTTCTAAAAATATTAATAAAATAACTATTAAGATTTTAATTATACTTCTTCATATACTTTTTCATGTCTCATGAAGATTTGAAGAGAAGATCTTATTTTAAATAATTAATGATCGAGTATTTTTTAAGCATATCTTGATATCACAACATTAGATAATTAAAAATTATAAAAATTTTGTAATTCATCATGTAAATATTTATGATTTTGTATTAAAAAATTATGTATTAGATTCTTAACTTAAAATAAAGGTATTTTATTTTCCTTAATTATTGTACAAGTTTCATCTAAAATTAAATTATTTAATTCTTATTTGTAAAATTATTTAATTTATTTGATTAATCTATTATAAATTTCTTTATTTTTTTTTTTGGCAGCTTGAATTATGTATTCATACACTGTTGTAGATATATCTTCAAAATTTTCACAAAACTCTTCAATAATAGATTCCTAATTAAATTATCCCTTAATATATTCAATAAATAACAAAGAAAGTTCATCAATAGATTAATTTAAATGTTCAACATTGAATTATTTTATATCTTCATTTTATAGATAATTAATCAAATTGTTTGAAATCATTTTTAAATTTATAATGCAACATCCAAATTTTTCTGAATAGAATTCTTTACATATTTTTATTATATTTAGTTATTGAGGGAAATGATAATTAGATAAGAAATCTTAAATATCCTTTAAACAAGATTGATTTAATGATATTGATTTTCGTTTGATAGTTTCTAAATTAAATGATCCTTAAAATAATTGTGAGTATAAAGTAGGATCATTAGTTTAATAATTTTCAGCATTTTTAACTGATGCAAATTCAGGCCGAAATTTAGATGAAGCAATATTATAAATTTCATATGCTGACTTTGTAATAGAAATGTAATTTGTAAATTTTGCAGGTAAGAATAGTGATGCAATTTCAAAGTATGGGTTCATATTATTTTATAAAATATTATATTTTCTAATTTATTAATCATGAATTATAATGTATTTTTACATTGCTATTTGAACATTAGAAAATTAATGTCTCTTTAGGATTTAAATAAAAAAAATCAGGATATTTATCAACTTTTTTGTAAAAACTATAATCATTATTTTACAAATTTAATATCCATTCATTATTTTCATATTTTAATTACTCCAATATAACATCATATAAATTAATAAATACTTATAATTAAACAAAATCAGATTGATTATTATAATATTATGTTTAATTGTTTGTAAAAACTATTACTACAAAATCGCATAATTCTATTTAAATTCTACACTCCTAGTTTATAATTGTTACAGAAAAAAATCTAATTTATTTTTCTTAATTTTATTCAAAAGCAAATAGATTAGACTAAGTTTAATTTAATTTAATTATATTATTGCTTATTTCCTAAATAATTTAAATTGATTACATATAAAGATAAAGTTGAGTTTGATATATCTCTCATAAGGATGCTATTATTATTTATTATTTCTATTTTATTTGTTAATTTTTTAAAAAGGAATGCATTAGAAATTTATGAATGTAATTTTTCTAAATTCTTAATATTCAATCCACAAGGTAAACTGACTTCAAAATGAAATTCAAATAAGTATCTGTTTATTATATCACAAATTTTTGCTCTTTTTTTTCCTAATTTTCATTTATAAATGGAATAATATCAAGAGATCCCATCAAATAATCTAAATTTTCATAAGTAGATATAATACAATAATTTTCATTTTCATAAAAGGTGTATTAGATTTTAATTTCACTCAAAATATTAGGAGAAAAAAGTTTGTAATTTTCAAATAAAATTTGTTTTATAAAGCCTTATTAAACATTGTTTTCTTATTAGGGTTTTGTTGCAAATATCGAGAAAATTTTTAGGACCAATTACAATACCTTTTTCTCTAACCGAAGTTATCACTATAAATTTTGTTAAAAATTTCTTTAGATAGCTTTTAGATTTCAATAATATTGTTTTATTTTTCTTAATTTTCATCCATTTTTGTTATTTAATTATATAAATTATATTATATTTTCAATTTTTATGATATTGGAATTTAATAATCTATTTTAATTTTACATTTAAAATTTATAAATCATAAGTTTATTTATGATATTAAAATATTTTGAATAAAAATAGATTAAATGAACTCATTTTTTCTATTGTTTTTTTTCATAATTAACTCCCCAAATTTCAATTGATGTTAACTATAGATAGAATTAATAAATTACATTAAGAAATTCTACATGAGGTTCTAATAAATATCCCATTTCATATGTTTAATCACATTAATTATTAATTCTATTTGTAGCATTTCCTTTAATTTTTTCATCAATCCAAATCCTAAAATTACCTTTACCATCACCACCAAATCCAAGTCCATATGGTTATTAAACTTAAAGATTAAATGCTCTATTGTTTATATATGCAAAGCATTATTTAGATTAGATATCAAATGTACTCATAAATAATTGATATTTTGGTAACAATGAGAATAGAAAACTTTTTTCATCTCCAAAATAAAGAGATATTTAATCTTTTGGATTGTACAAGATTCCTATTTATAATTAATTACATATTTACCCATAGGATCCTTCTACTTCTTCCTTATGAAATGAGTTTCTATTGTTTCATCAATACTAATATATGCTCCAAATACTTATTATTAAAATGTATCATTTTATGATTCATCTTCTCTATTTTTAAACAGAAATAATAATGGCTATTATGTATCTATAATGATTTCAGTTATATATTCTAAATCATCATTTGTGACTGAGGATGAGAATTTCAAATCCAATTAACTAATCCTATTAAAATCAGGAGAACTCATTTGTAATAAAGCAAGCACTTAATCATTTAAAATAAAACTAGATGATGTTAATTTTGGAATTCCATATTTAAAATAAGGATTAATGAATTTCTTAGTAAAATATGACTTGCACATCTTATTTGCATATATCAATTATTATTTTGCTTAACCTATAAATTAATTAAATGGTAAAGTTGATTTTTATCCAAATATAGAATTAGCAACACTTCTTGCTGCTAAATCATTTCTTGTACTGTTTTTAATTTCTTGATTGTAATAATACATATTTAATAATTCCTTAATTATAAGACTTCCTTAAGAGTAACTTACTGAAAATCTATAATAAAGAATAGTTAAAATACCTATTGATTGATTCTTTCTGATTTTCAAGACAACCTAAACTAATCAAAGCAAATAACTCAAATTTCTCAAGAACTCTAAATTTGTAATCACTTAGATAATATTCTTATTATTCTTTAAGTAAGAGTTCCACTAAAAATATAAATTATAATGTTTACATGTAATGACAAAATTAGTATAATCAATTTATTAATTGTTACATCTTTCTCTCATCCAATTATACAATTTAACAGAAAAATCTGGATTCTCAGGGAATTCTGGAAGCATTGATTTCTATGTTAGAAATCCGTTTCTATGTAATTAGGATAGTTTATTCACATAGAATCATGGCATTTTAATAATTCAAAGTATACTTCAAGGACTTCAAGTTCTTAATCTGTAAATGCTACTTTTGCATGTTTCTTGATTGATTTAGATTTAGATCCTCCCATAAATAATAAAAATTAATTATTTATATTAAATATGAATTCTCAATCATCGTCTGATCCACTTTCATCTTCATCTGATTCCTATTTCTTTTATTTCTTTTAAGCTTTTTTGGATCCCTTACCATCTTCCTTCTTCTTCTTTCTTTCATTTTTAATCTTTCCATATTTATCTTCATAAGTTCTATTAAAATATATATAGAAAGGAGAACTTCTTTTCTTTTTCAAATATAGCCTTGCTGTCTTTGTATTTTTATTCATATTAATCAATTTTATCTTTTGGAAGTTGTTTGTACTATTCAGAAATGATTTTGGTGATATCGGTCATTTTCTTGCCAGGATGAGCATCTTTGACTTATGAGTACACCTCCTATTTGTAAATAAAGAATGCACATTAGGGTCTTTTTGGTGGAGCTTCCTAAACAAATTATTAATTTATATATATATACCTTTTTAGTATTATCTGTCATTTGTTTTATGCTAATGTATTTTCTTATTTAATTTGAGATCCAATACTTTTGTTTTAATTAAAATTTCAATAAAAAAAAATCCCATAATTTTGAGAATCAACCAATGAAAATGCAACATATTAATTTCTTAACAGATGAACTTCTAAGTTTAGCTTCTTAATATCATTTGGAATAATATTATCATAATTATTAATCTAAATAATTTAGGATGAAGTACAGAATCATATCATAAAATTGGACATTGATTACTTTGTCTTGTAATCAGAAATACTATTGAATCAATAATAAAGTAAATCAATTATGAATTCCTATAACTTTCACAATAATACTTAAAGCAATTTTGAACATAATAATAATAATACACTTTGTATGAAATTTTATAAAATTGATTAAGATTTTAGATGGTGTCCAATTAATATATTTAATTTGAAAAATCGATAAAATAATTTCTTTTATAAAATTTTAACCTTTTCTAAAGTATTATACTATTCCTGAAACTAAAGAAGTTAGACAATTTTAATTTAATACATCAATCTACTAAGATTTATTAATCATTAAGATAGTACCTATTTGATCTTATTCTTATTTCTACAATTAAAAACATTAATTTATATATAAAATGAAAAGAAAAGAGTGTGTAAAAGTTGTTGTCAGAGCTAGACCATTATAAAATAAAGAAGTAATGTAAATCTACTATTTAAGATTGAAGAAGGCAGAAAAAGAATAGTAGAAGTTGATACAACTAGAAAAGAAATCATTATTTAAAATATAAAAGGAGATGGCAATGAAGCATTGAGAACATTTGTTTTTGATGAAGTTTTTGATATGAATTCATAACAAGAATAAGTTTATCATAATACAGCCTTACCTATTGTAGAAAGTGTCATGGATGGGTAAATAATATTCATTATCCTAGTTATAATGGAACAGTATTTGCCTATGGTTAAACTGGTACAGGTAAAACACATACAATGGAAGGTAAGAATGATCCACCTCATGAAAGAGGTATTACTCCAAGAACTTTTGATCATATTATCAAAGTTATTGAAGGAACTCCAAATATTCAATTCTTAGTTAGATGTTCTTTTTTAGAATTATATAATGAAGAAGTCAGAGATTTATTGAGTCCTAATCATCTTACAAAATTAGAATTAAGAGAAAAACCTGAATAGGGTGTTTTTGTTAAGGATCTTTCTAAAATTGTTGTAAAATCTGTGGCTGAATTAAATGAATGGTTAAAAGCTGGTAGAGCCAATAGAAAAGTTGGTGAAACTAAAATGAATTAAGAATCATCTAGATCTCATTCAATATTTACACTTACTATAGAATCAAGTGAATTTGGAGCAGATTAATAATAACATATTAAGTCTGGCAAATTAAATCTAGTTGATTTAGCTGGTAGTGAAAGATAATCAAAAACATAAGCTGTTGGTGTAAGATTTGAAGAAGCTATTAATATTAATTTAAGTTTAACAACACTTGGTAATGTTATAACATCATTGGTTGATGGAAAAAGTCAACATATTCCATATAGAGATTCTAAATTGACTCGTCTTTTATAGGATTCTTTGGGAGGTAATACAAAGACTGTTATGGTTGCAAATATTGGACCAGCTGATTATAATTTTGATGAAACAATGTCAACATTAAGATATGCTAGTAGAGCTAAGAAAATTCAAAATAATCCAAAAATTAATGAAGATCCAAAAGATACTATGATAAGAGAATTTTAAGAATAAATTAATAAATTAAAGGATGAATTAGCAAGAAAAGCAGGAGGTGTTATTGGACCAAATGGATAAATTTAAAAAATTAAGGAATAAGTTATTGAAGTAGAGGATGAAGATGAATTAACTGAATTATAATAAAAGGCTTAAAAGGAAAAAGCTGATTTAGAATAATAAATTATGTAATAAAGAAGATAAAGTACATTATAAGAAGAAGAAAAGAAATAATTATAATTGAAATTAAAAGAAAAATAAAAATTAGAACATAATCTAAAAAAAGAATAAGATAATATGTAAAAAAAGCTTTAGGAACTTTAGGAATAATTATTACATGGAGATAAAATGAAAGAAGAATCAAGATAGAAAGAAAAAGATTTATTAAAAGCAAGAATGGAATTAGAAGAGAGATCATAATAAGCTAGAAGATAAGCTGAAGAATTAGCAAAAAAAGAAGCTATGTAAATGGAATAAGAATAGAAATATAATTCAACCAAAGAAGAAATTGAGGCAAAAACATAAAAATTAAATAATTTAATCTAAAAAATTAAAGAATTAAAAAGTTAATCTTAAGAATAAACTTAATTTAGATAGAGATAAAAAGAAGAATTAATAGAAGATAATAGAGAATCTTTGAGATAATTAAATCTTATGAATCTTATAATTGAACATTTTATTCCTGAAGATGAAGGTATTTGATTAAATATTATTAATATAGAAAAGAGATTAAAAGAAAAATTAGAATTTTCTGAAGAGTAAGATGATTGGGTTATTAAAGAGTATGAAGCAAATCCATTAAAAAAACCAGCATCTGCTTTTTTCTTTAGAAGAGCTATTTGTAATTTTTCAAAAATGGCAATTAATTTTGGAGATGCTAATCCTAGATATAGACCAGAAAACATATTACAAACAGATTTAGATTTACCTTAAAGAATGACTGAAGATTTTTCTCATGAACCTTCGTAAAAAATATAAGAAGTCTTAAATGTGGCTTTGAATGAAGATGAAGTAAAAATTCTAATAAAAAATATTAGGAAGAATAACTTATGATTTAAAATGAAAAACAAGCTAATGTATATATTGAAGATCCTTCAATAATCAATAAGGAAGCCATATTAAATCCTCCATCTAATCCTAATAAAGTTCGTTTATAATCTGCAATTAAGAAAAATGCTAGAAGACCTTAAAGTGGATTTAAGAAATGAATTATAATGCACATATTAATTATGATAATTCAAATAATATTATAAGTATTTATCAAAATAATTTAATTAAACATTTATAAGTATTCTAAAAATTATAAATCAATTTCATGGATTAAGCTATTCTAATTAATATTGAAAATGAAGATAATAAATAATATGAAACTGAACTATCTATATAAATCAAACAAGAAAAATAGGAATAATAAAATTCAAATTAAATTTGTAATTTGTGCAATGAATAAAATTTACATTTCTTTAATTACTCTACTATTGAAAGAGAACTAAGTATTTGTTAGGTTTGTAGTGATAACATTCATTCTTTTTAAATAATTAATAAAGAGGGATAGGAAAAGTTTAAGGATTGTAAATTTAGTAATGAAATTGAAATTATTGTATTAAATTAAGGGAAATTTTATAATTTAGATTATGGAGAATGTATTATTTGTTCATCTCCAAATTCTATTTTAATAAAATTAAACTATTGTAATCATTATTGTTGTGATTCGTGTTTAAGTTTTTATATAACCATAAATAATGATAATCGTAGAAATTTGATGTGTCCTTTTTCAAATTGTAAATATGAGATAAATGACTATTTGATTTTTTAGTATTTACAATACAATGATATTAAATAGTGGAATAAATTTTAATACAATTAATTTTGTTATCAAAAAAAATGTAAATCTAAATTTATTTTGTAACCTTATAACAATTTATAGTAATTGAATATATTTTCATATAATAATCTAAATCAATGTGGAATATGTAAATAATAATTTTGTGGTATTTGTTGGACAAAGCATGTTGGAGCATGTGATTTTGATAAGTTGTTTTAAAAATACATTAAAGAATAAAAGCTTATATAATGTCCCTATTGTCATTCATTATCAGAACCAAATAAATGTTCAGTAAGTGATGATCCTTGTAGATAATATAAAGTAAATTGGTAATAATGTTATGTTTGTAATCATTTATTTTGTTTGGATTGCAAAGGACCTTTAGAATTATTTGAATCAATATCAAACTAAGAAACACTGACATGTATACCTTGTAAAAAAAGAGAGAAAAATTTGTTACATATATTATTCAGAGTTATTAAATAGCTATCTTTTAAAATGATATTTGTTTTATTATTTTACCTATCTGTTTTGTTTATAGTTGCATTTTTAGCTTGTGGATTCATTATAGTATTAGGAATATATATTGCCTTACATTAATTAATATAAGTTTCAAAATGGGTTTATAATTTTGTTAAAGATCGAATGAATAGTTTTAATAATGGTATTTTGATAGCATTTTCTCCATTAATAATTATATTAATGATGGTGGCCATAATAGTAATATATATTTTTGGATTTATACCTCTATTAATATATAACATTAAATAATATTTTTATTTAGATGGTTGAGTTATATAGATATGAATATATATTTTATATTTTTTAATGATTTAATTTTATCGATATTAATAAACTATATTTATATAATAATTAAAACAAATAGTTAAAGTTTTAAACAATAATAGTTTAAATATAATCATCCTTTAGTTGTTAAATATTTAGTTTTCAACTAATCTATTTCACTTTAAACATAAAAATGTTTTTTATTTGTTTCATTCTGCATCAATCTTTTATGTAGTTCAACATTTTCTTATCTCAAAACATCAAGCTCTTTATTCATTTATTGAATTCTCAATTCATATTTATTTTCTGCATCAGCAATAGCTTATTTAACTGATTAATCAAGTTTCTTTTAGTATTTGTATTCTAATTCTTCTTTTTATCTTTATTTTACTATGTCTTCCATTTATTATTATTATAAAAAGTTTTATTTGCTCTACTCTAAACTAGATTAAGCATCATTTGCTTATTTTAATGCTTATTTAGTAAGATCCATTTATTCATTCAATTATTAGTGAAGTCTCTTTTCATTTCCTATACTTTACTCTAACTTTGTTTTATATGTATTAATCGTTAGAAGCTATTTTGTATAAATAATATAAATACATATTGAGTCTTCTCTTCTTTTAAATATTTCTTTTGATCCTTTAATCTTTAGTACTCTTCTTGATACCATTTTAGTTATTTAGCTTATTCCTCAAATTACTCTTTCATTTCTTTATTTTTATCCTTAGTTGACTTAATTCCACTTGATTCTTAAATCATATTAATATATCATACTTTTAGTTGTTTTTGAAGTAGTAGATTTTGGTTATCCTTTGACAGAAGTTGCTATTGATTTTTTTGCAGAAGGTTAACCTTAGGTAACAACTTACTGAAAATTTGATTATCTTATAGGTGAATAATTGATTATATCTTCCTCATCTGATATCGAGATATTCACTAATTATTAAGCATAGTCCTATAGATTTTAACTCATAAATAAGCTGTTATTTTTATTTAAATAATAATTATAATCATTCCAAACACTTTTTTTTTCATATCTAGAAAAACCTTACCTTCTCAAGCCATAAAAGTAATTTATATTAAGTAGTTTAAATCATAAATTTATAGGTAGCAAAACAAAATTTCTTTAGATATACAATTAATTATAAATATGATTTCATTAATGATTGTATCTATTAACTTGTTTTTAAGATGTTTACATGTAATTTAAAACAAATAATTGAGGTAATGTAAAATTAGCAAAACTAAATTAACCAATATAACTATTTATTGATTATATCTTAATCATATATAGTTTAAAAAAGAATTTAAAGTAATATCTTAATAAATATGAGGGTAAATTATATATTTAAATGAAAAAATAATCTAATATGTTTGAATAATTATTTCACAAAATAAAATATTGAATTAATTTCAATCAAAATCTTATATAGACCTTATAGAAGAAATTTTAGATATTATTTCTGAATTATCAAGAGAAAATTTTAATTACAAATTTTCAGAATCCATAACTTCTAATTCTTTTATTTAAGAAATGTAAGATGGTACTAATTTTTTCCATTTCTCTTATTTAAAGAATTAGATTATTTAATTTGCACATTTTTGATTCATTAGGTTTTTAAATAGATTTATTAACTAATTTAAGGCTCCTTTGATTATTTTTTCAATTTAGCCAGCCCCTTATTTGAGTCTCATTGATTTTATTGAAAAGTTATCCAATTTTTCATTTTATAAAGATATCTAATTTTTTTGTAGTAATAAAGTTGCTTCTAATTATAATCCTTATACTTCTAAATTAAGTTAGGTCTAATAATGTAATCCTACTTTTGTATCAATATCAACATCTAATTTTAAAGCAAAAGAATCTAACCAGATAAAAACTTTCATTGATTTTGGATCCTATATTAAATCAATTTTAATTAAGTCTTCATTAAAAGTTAAATCAGAGATTGCTAAATTTTTTGTCAATAAATTTCCAAATACCAAACTCATTTCCTGATGCTATAATAATTATTATTACTTGATTGATTTATATTGATAAATTTTATATGCTAATTTTCATTAGATAAGCTTTAAGGATTTCTTAAATTTCCAATTTAGAAACCAACACTTCAATATTCATAGAGCTATAAGATGAGAATATAAGGAAGAGAATGAATAATTTCATTAATTATCTAAAAAATTTATATTTGATAAATTAATAGAATACCATAAAATATAATAATTCTGATTAATTACATTATTAAAATAGAATTAAACATTAGAATAATAAATTATTTATTATAATTGATATTCATTATGGCATACGATTATTTTAAAATGATCTAGAATTTTATGCTTATTACACATTATTTGGACCAACAAGAGTTTGAACTTTATTTTTCATATCAGTTAATTTTTACATTAAATATTCTGGAGTTTTTACATTTTATTATTGTTATTATCCTATTTAATTTGAATTCATTTGATATTAATTAACAGACATATATTGATTGAATTATTAACTATTCAGAGAATCATTATATTATTATTAATCAACTGCTCTTGTTGTTCTTGGATAGGAAGGTAATTGTTGCAACATTTATTATTGTTATTATTATTATTATTATTATTGTTATTATTATATTGGTTATTATTATTATTATATTGGTTATTATTATTATTATATTGGTTATTATATTTATTATTATTATTATTATGGTTATTATAACTAAGGTCTAACAGATAGTTAGGATTATTGTAATTATGATTATTATAATTAGTTCTATTATAATTATGATTATTGTAAGGGTAATTGTTATAACTAAGATTACTATAATGAAGATTAATTACTAATATAACCTCCTAAAATAGGTGCTTATCCATTAGTCAATTACTATTATATTAGTAATTGAATCTATTGATCTTAAACATATTTTTACCATTAGATTGCTAAATTATATTAAATATAATACTTGGATTTCTTTTAATTTTATCCACCATCTTTTAAATACCACTATCTAATAAAGAAGGTGATCTTAACATTTCAGCTATTTATACTAATTCTTGATCAGAAAGATTATTTTCTTGTTATGCATTTTACAAAGATGGATTACCAAGATATGCTTGAATCCATTTATTTAGATAGTGATCTTATTATGTACTTCTGCTTACAAGATGATAATTTTCCCAAATGGCTTCACCCCTCATTTTAACTAATTATTAAAGGACAACTTTAATAGTTTTAACTCCTTATTCATCTACAGCAAAGTTAGGATAGAGTTAAAATTCATTTAAATAATTATGAAATTTAAGAAGAAGTAATTCAATCTTAATATTACTATTCTATTCTACTTTAGCTGTTAATCTAGCTATGCATTTAACAAGCAAACCTATCATTTTAGATGCATTATTTCTACGTCTATGTTTAGTTAAAATGTCAAATAAAATAGAAAACATAATATCTTAACTTGTATTTTCTAAGATTCGAAGAGTAGTAGAGTTAAGTTACCTAACTGTAGCATCTCCATTTTCATGTTGTGCTTTAATTTCATCTTCTGTTAATAATCTTTACATAATTTCTTCAGTAAATCCACATAATAATTCATATGGTAATTAATTTACATAAGGTTTTAATTAATATAATTTATTTAATGCTTATAAGAAGAATTGTATAAATTAGGCAGGATAAGTTTCTCTTTATGTAAAAGTATTCTATAATAAAGTCTAAAAACATTTGCAAATTGCCTCTGCATTATCAACAAATAACTATTAATTTTGTTATATATTTTGAGTAAGTAAATCACTGATTTACATTAATGATTCAATTTTTTGAGAAGTTTATTAACTGAGAAGGGAATCTAAAATTTATAAGAAATATTATGATCTTGGATCCTTAGATGATTATAATTAAATAGTACCTTAAACAATTGGTTATTTACCTGTTTAGTATTATGATTATGATTATGATTATTATTATGTTTATAAAATTACTTATTATGGTTATTATTATTATTATTATTAATATTATTATTATTACGAATATGATTACTATTATTAAGTATATCTTTTAATAGTATTATCTCCAAATAGAGCAATGAGTTCATTTTGTAATTCTTTAGTGAAATATTATGAATACTCTGGAAAGAGATCTAAAGGAAAGAATTTAGCTAATTAACCTTGAATAATTAAAAGACATAATTATGTATCAATTCTCTCTTTTTAATCAATCAAGAAGGGATGTAAATTTTAAGGATTGATGCTAAATAATTGTAGTAATCTTTTAATCATTATTTCACCAGGAAATACAAATTACAGATTTTATATCAATTCTGAATGAATATCAACTCCAGCATAAATAAGTTCTCTTATTAAAGATATTGTTACAATTTATTCAACTTCTGTTAAGATATACTTTGATTTTGAGATTGTTTAAAAGAATGCATCTAAGAAACTAATCAAAGCATTAATTAATAGTTGATTAGCAGAACATCCATATATTTTAACAAGTACAAATTTTAATAGTAAGTCACTTAATTCAATTATGTCTAATTTTTATTCAGGATCATTCCATACAGTCATTAATTATTATAATCCTTTCATAACATCCTTATAATTGTATGACATTAATTGATTATAGAGATCCTCTCTTAGACATACATAGAGATCACTAAATGCACCATTTGGAAAACAATCATTAGCCCACCATTATACTTAATCTGATTATAATCTTAATAATTTCATTTCCTTAATACTAGCACTTTTTGCAATCAAACTATTGCTATCTTGAAAGATAGCTTTTTCTTTTTATTGTCTTAATGGTGTATTGTCTTATGGTAAAGTTTTGTGAGATTTTTAATGCAATGATTTTTTTGGAGTTCTTTCATTTCTTTATTTTGGTTCTTGAGAAGTATTCAAATCACTTTATAAATCTTTTGTAGTTAAATTTCTCTTCATATTTCTAATATCTTGTTATTAACTTTATTATTATTATTATTATTTTCCTTTTGGTGTTTTACCTGTTCTTTTTGAAGTTTCTTCTATTTCTGTCATTCCAAATTTAGCAAAGAATTATTTTACTTATTAAACAACAGCTGGTTTTAAATCTTTCATTTAATTTATAAATGGATCTATTCCTACATCTTCAACCATTCTTTCACAAACTTATTCTGCTGCCTATCTCACTTCTTTAACTCTATCACAAAGACAATTAATTAATGGTAAAATAAATGGTTTGTAATCCATTTTAAGTAAAGCCTCAATATATTTCATTATAAATAATAAAACTTCTTATTTCAATTCAATAGATTCCATCTATAAATAAGGAGGCATTTACAAAATCACTTAATCTATACCTATGGCTAAACAAAATTTATCTAAACTAGCAACAACATCTTATCTAACTAATACTTATTTATCACTTAGAATAGAAATTAATGGTGAAATTAATTATTTACCTGATGATTTAAAATCTTTACCACAAGCTTCAGCAACTCTACCCACTATTTGAACAATAGGTCTAACCAATTATTTATTATTATCACTCAATCTTTATTTTAACATATTGATTAAATCATTTAATCCATTTATCTATATTCTATTATTGTTATGTGTTAATAATTTATCTAATTCTTCAATTCCTTCTTTCCTCTTATTCCATTAAACATCAGCCATTTTCTTTAAAACAGATTATAATTAATTTGAAATATCAGCTCTTGGTAAATTATCATTAATGGATGAAATTGTTGATTACATAATTGATTATGATAGTGGTTGAGATTGTATTACTCCACATTCTTTAGCTGCTTCTCCTGTAAAAGTTATTGTTGGTTCATAAGAAGTTAAGACTGATATTTTTTCGAATTCAGAATTAAGTGTCTTCATAATTGGAGGTTAGACATCTTATAAAAATTATAGTAATTCTTAACCAATATATTTATATATAGTCTTGAACAACTCTACACAAGATGTCTTTATAATAGCATTAGTTGATTATAATTATTCTTTACCAAAATCAATAATTTCTTTAGTGGGAACATTTCGAATAGTAACAATATCAATAATTTTAGAAATGTTGTTAATTACTTCTCCAATCTTTTAAGGAGGTACAATTGAAAGTTTACCACTTTCCTTATCTTCTTTTGGCACAGCTTAAGTCATTAAATACAATACAATATATTTTGGATTTACACATTCACAACATCCCTTCAAAATTATATAGATGTCTTCTCTGAATTTAGAATCTGTCATTTTTTCAACCAACAATTTGCATAAAGGTTAAAATGATTTTTAAGTAAAAGGTTTAGGATCTAAATTATTAGCATATATTAATAAAGCAAAAAGTTCTTTATTTATTGAAAGATTGGCTTCTTTCCAATCCTTTAATTTTATTCTCAAAAAATTTAAAATATCTTCAAAATGATGTTACATAGTATCAGTTTCATTTTCAAGCATTTTAATAGCTTCAGCTTTCAATTTAGCCATACCATTTATATTTTCAAAAAATTAATCATCAACTCCATAACTTCTTAATAAACCTTCTAATTAATCTATACTTTATTCAGGTTGTTCAGTAATTACAATATTACTCTTTTATGAAAGTGGAGGTTTCTTTGCAGTTCCTTATTATATTGAATTATTTTATATATTAGATTACTAAATTTATGAAGTTGATTATTATTATTCTTTAGTTTATTAAGGTTATTTTTTTATTTATTCTTTCTTTTTCTCCTCTTCAATTTAACCAGAGATTTCATTAATTTTACTTAATTTTTATTATCCAATGTCTGAATAAAATTAATTAATTAATTAATCTGATAAATAAGGTTTAAGAGTTCCTAAACTTTATACTGATGCCTCTCTTACATCTGGAACACTATCTTCAATTAATTTTTTTGCTAATGGTAATAATTGTTTGACACAATCTACAAATTTAGGTTTAGGTGCTCCTTAAGGGAATCCTTTCAATTAAACAAGTTTAGCAAATAATAAAAGACATTATGCTCTCATTTGAGGATTTTTATCTGCAAGTCCTTCCTTGAAATCTTCAACAACATCTTCTACTTATAAAGAGTAATGAAATAATTCCATAGCAGCTCTAGCTTCCTAACAAATATTTTTTTTTTCTCTTAATTTAACAATTAAAAGAGGAAATAATAGTTTTGCTTAAGCAGTAAAGTTTTTTCTAAGACCTTTAACAAATGCTCCACATAATTTAATAGCACATACATTAATAACCTAATTAGAATCTACTAATAGCTTTTTAATCATAGCAATCATTGGTACATAATTACCAGGAGCTATTTTAGGAGTAGCTGCTTCTTTTAACAATTACTCTAATAAAGCTTATTTCTCATTCCATTTAGTTTAGGCTAAAACTTTATCACACCATTTTTCATTATATTTATTGAAAATATCAACTGCATCAACTAAATCATAAGCATCTAATCCATTATTGGCTCCACCTCCTTATCCAACAGTTACAGCATCTCCACCTCTTGTTGGTACCATTGGAACAGGTTACCATTCTTTTTGAAATTTCTCTAATTCTTCTAATTACAATTTTTTTAACCCTTTAATAAAAGGTGCTAAAATTGGTTCTCCTAACCATTTATGAGCTTCCTTGTAAAAGTTCATACATTCTGTTTTAATTGATGAAACTGTTGATTAAGATAATTTCTCAATTTCTGGAAAGAATGGTTTCAAATAATCAAATCTCTTAGGACCAAATGTAATCAACAATTCTATTAAACTTTATATTGCAGCACATTAAACTTTTTAAACTTTATTTTTTAACATTTCTATAACAACATCAAACATTTCTTATTTATCTCTTCTTTCAAATATATCAAAAAAGATTTCATAACTTAGTTTGACTATTTATTTTTTTCCTGGAGCAATACATTTATCTATTAACACTCTAATAGTCTCTTTTGCATCAAATCTTGCTGCAAATTAACCTTTATTACACTTTTAAATAAATATTTATAAGGCTATCAATGCTTTTTCTTAACTTCCAGGATTATTGTCATTGATTAATTTAGGCCACTCTTCATAATATTCATCAAGAGATTCATCTTTTTGAAAGAGTTCTGCCATTTCTTCGAAAGCACTCTGTCTCAATTTCCATGCTTTTGACTTCAAACGCTAGGCAAGTGGTAAGACTGTCTATTAAACATCTTCTCCTCCTCCTTCCATTCCTTCAGGGTATTCACTAATAGCAAACTTCTTGCCTCCTCCAACAGGTTAATCATCTAGTACATTTGCTCCAGCAGGTTTAATAGGAATTTCATCAGGGTTAGCAACAACTTTAGGTTCATCATTTTCAACAGGAGGAGGTACAGGTTTTTTGGGTGCCTTTTTGGGTGCAGCCTTTTTTGGGACAAAACCTTCAGGTGGAAATTCATCAAGCATTTATTTATTTGAAGATTTTCCAATAGGTACATCATCATTTCCATAAGTAGATTGAGCTACTTTTAATTCAGTATGCTGTGGATCGCCCTTAAAATCGACAGGTTTGTAAGGCTCAGCTGCTTCTTTAGTTTCGCTAAATTGTTCTTCTGACATATTTTTTTTGTAATTTAAATTTTAGAAAAGAAATTATTATGTTAGATAGATGTCTCCGATACTATCACAATTACATACTATCAATGTTCATTTCTCCTACCAGTAAATTAGATTATGATAAATTTAGTGCCATATGAACCATGCTTCATATTTTCAATCATATTTGCAGTGCTTCAAATATTATTTGCTCATAAAGCCTTTTTGACTTTAAGCTTTTAAACTTGGATAGCAGGAAGAATACTTAGTTGTATCGGAGCAACACATATATCTGCTAAGAGAACATAAATCATAGCTGATTAATTGGCATATTTAGCATTCCCAATAATAGTGTTTTAACATGGATTTCTTACAGCCTTATTGCTTAGTGTGAACAATTATATGGAAATGTATTCAGAAAAATATAAAGATGTAATATATAGATATTCAAAGTATCTAGCTCTGCATAGTGGGACACACTGAAATATTCTTGACCTACACAGCATGTTATTTATTTCCAGAATTTTTTGTAATTAATATTCATATATGAAAGGATATCATCATGCTTAATTTTATGGGCTTAGTTGTTTTATCAATTATAAGTGGTGTTTTAATTGGTTTTTAATGTAAGATGTGATTCTTGTTATATTGATATTTTTGCTATTTCATTACATATTAAATAATATATAATTAGACAATATTATATAACAAAAAATACAATCATTATATATAATAACAAGATAAATAATTCAATTCAGAAGTAAGAGTCAGTTTATAAAATTTAAATTTTATTTCTAGTTATTATCATTAATAATAGTGAAAAATATAAATCAAAATGTTAGATGTTAAATCAATCTCAAATGGAATAAAGAATTCTTGCTATTAGCAATAAGGAGAATTAAAAAAAATGAAATAAAATATAATTTCAAATATATTGAAATATATAGTAAAATTCATTTCTTTTTTTATTTTTATTTTTCTTCTTCTTCTTTTTCTTTTTACATTTCTATCATCTTTTATTCAGCCTCTAGTTTAGTGTTATGTACCTATTGTGTCATCAATGAAATGAATATTGGAACCATGATAAAAGATATAACTAAAATTATCAAATATTATAGCTTAATCTTAAAGATCTTAATTACATATCTAGTTTCAAAAGCATAACTTATTTATTTTTAATAGTTATTTTCCAATCCTAAATCTCCTAAATCATTATGCATTCCATATTTTAAAGAACAACGTAATAAACCAAGGAAATCATAAAAGAAATTATCTTAATATAGAAGCTTACCTTAAATTGTAATGGACCAAGACATTGCACTTATGCTAATAATAAATACGAGGACTAATAATAAAAATGAAGATTATTTATTGAACTAGTAATATAGTTTATATGATTTACTCTTATCATTACTAATCCATAACATTTTAGATAAGGACTCCAATTACCTAAGAATCTAATTATTGAACCCATTAAAAGTAAAATCTAAACTCCAGTAAATATTTTCAAAATAAATGCTGGAACAATTAATTTTGATGCATCTTAAAATACATTTGAGTTTATTTAAATTTCATCTAAAGCATTAGTATAAATCTCTTATATTGTTCCCCTTATTAATATTGTTATATTTGATAGAATATCTATATTAATTATTATGATTACAAACAAAGTCAAAAATTAAAGGAATTTTAATAACAACATAAACAACAGATATTTAAAAAATAAAATAATCTCCAATGATTAATTCTTTTTATTATAATTCTTGTTATTCTACACTTGATAATTCTTTTTTTTTGGATTATAATTTTTTTTATTTGTTTATTAGTTCAGAATAGGAATTATATAAAAAAATAAAAGGGTTATCAGAATTATTTTTGTATATGGCAAAGAAATCTAGAATAAATTTGATTAATCTCACCTAAAAATGATAAAGACAAGAGTAGGATAGATAAATAGAATATAATTTCATCATAGAAATCATCAGTTTCAGTAGATTTATTAAAATCAAATGATTCTAGGTTAATGCTGTTATAATTTAGTAAAATCTAAATTAAAATAAGTATCTACATCATTAAATAAGTATATAGTTGTAATAACAACTTAGATTAGTCTTTTAGTAGGAGTATTAAAATAATTTAAAATGAATTTTGATGATTTTATATTATATTAAATCCAATTTTTTTCAAATAGTAATTAAATATTTTCACTAAATTCTTATTGGGATGTTAAATTCAATTCCCAAACATATCCTCCAAATTATTGATTGTATATTGATGGATTAAAGTTATTGAATTCATATTCATCAGTTAAATTGTCTGTTAGAAGAATAGAGAAATCTAAACAACTTTAATTATTATCAATAAACATTTATTTTTAATGTTAATTTAGAATAGAACAATCTTATAATTTTTCCTAGATTAAAATAAAATATACCTATTTAACTAATGTTTATATTAATAATCCAGATACTAAAGGATATGTAGGATATTTATGAGTATCATCAGTATAGGTGAGTGTTTAATTTATAATCTATGAAATATTATTGATTGGTGATAAAAATGATTTAGAAATTTGCATTTATTTTTAAAATGAAGTAATCATTGAGGAACTAGTAGTAAATTTAATTGAATCTATTTAAACAACTAAAAATAAACCAAGAACCATAAGAAACAAAACTGTTTCAATAAAATATTTAAAATTGTTTAAGTAGCTTAGATATAAATTCCAATTAATTTTTTTTTAAACAGGTTTGGTTGTTCTTAATCTTTTAATGAAATATCGAGCTCCATCATCAGATAACAAACTTTCATCTCCACTTTAAACAATTTCCTTAAGTTTAACTTATTTCACAACTTATACTCCAATAATAGGTTGATAGTTTTTCATTAAATCATAAAGAGGAGGATAAATTTCATCTAACAAAACCATATTATCTTAAAATAGATTGCCCATAAGATCTGTGCAAAATATTTCATTTTCTTCTAACATGAAACAAGATTTAATGATTTATTTCAACTCCTTAAATGTTTTAATAGTTGCAGGTATTTTTACATCAATAGAAGTATCATCAGATTTCAATGTTACAAAATAACCATATTCATTTTCATTTAATTAGTTGTCATCATCAATTATTTTTTATTGATCAATTTGATTTTTACCAAGAGTTAGATTTATAGAAGATAATCTTTTAGCTATTTCTCTTTCTTATAATGCTTCCAATTATTCTTTTTTACTATTACCAAGTAAGTATAAACTTAATGTCTCAATAACAGCTTTTTCAATTCGAGAATCTAAATTTTATGCTTAATCTGTATCTCCATTTTATTTAACAGTAGTCCTCTTACCATACTCTTCTAAAATGTGAACAAGTGTTTCATATTCCTTAAATGATATTCATTATTACTTTTTCTACTTTTCCCAATTGATCAAAGTATTAATCACTCAAATTTTCCTCTTCCTTTTAATCTTTCTCTAGTTTTTCAAGTTGTTGAGTTAGTTCTAATTTTGAAGTTATAAATGGTTGAAGTTTCTTTGATATGTATCTACTTGCACTCATTAATTATAATTAAGCTTATTTGATTGATTTAATGTTGAAAAGTGTAAAAGTTTATGTAAATATTGCATATAATAGTTAAGAATAGAACTATGAGAGTTGTTATGATGAGAAATGAATAAATTAAGTGTATTTATATTTTTATATACTTTGATTTATCAATAATATTCATTTACAACTAAATGCTAGTTTAATATCAACTCAAAACCTCTAATATACCTAAAGATGTGAATTTAAGTTCAAATAATCATTCACTTCAATTAAATAAAGTGAACAAGAATAAATTTACATCTTAATTCATTATCTAAAATAATGACATTATTACATACACTTTTGATAATAACAACAAATTTGAGAGGAAAATAAGTTTTGAAAAAGATTCTTACATAATTATTAGTATTAATCTAATCATTAAATTAGATGACAATCTAGAGAAGATTTAAGTTACCTCTGGTTAAAAGTAAATCACTTTTGCTTTAAATAAACTAGTTATTTGGCCATATGTTCCATGTGTTTTAGGTAGTATTCCAGAATTAGGGGAATGGAATCCTTTGAATGCTAAGATAATGAGTTTAAATGGAAATACTTGGTATCTTACGATTTCTGTTTCTAAATCATTTGAATACAAATTTGTAATCACAAAAATGTTTAGTAATGAAATATGTTGGGAATAGACACCAAACAGAAATTATAATATATTAAGTTCTCCATAATCAGTTGAATTGAAAGCAGAATGGGAAAGGAACACTGATTAAAAGGTACTTGGAAAAGTTCCTAGATTTATTCATTTATCAATCAACTATAAAACCAATTCATATAATGATTATTTAGTGGTTGTGGGTAGTACAGAATAATTTGGTAAATGGAATCCTAAAAAAGGTAGATTAATGAAAAGATATCTTGATTATAATTGGAAATTAGGTATTATGATTTAAGATGATGAATTGGAATATAAATTTGTTGTTGTAAGTGGTGATAATTGTATTTGGGAAGATGGTTGTAATAGAGAATTGGAATTAGATGAAAGAACATATTCTGATATAAGTTTAAATTTTAGTATATTATCTAGCGGCATTTTGGAATTATTAATAAAATAGTAAAATAAATTTGAGAGAATACAATACGGAATGTCCTGTTTGTAGTTAAGAAATGAATGAAGCTAATGTTGTAATTGGATAATTATGTGGACATCTAATATGCAGTCATTGCAATAGTTCAATGTCTCAAAGGTAGTACATATAAGTAAAGTGTCCATTATGTCGTAAAGCATTTTTGATTTGATTTTATATATTTTTATATATAATATATATATATATTTATTATTTAAAACTAAAATAGCGGAAAGATAATATGAATTGTTCATCAAATGAGATGCCTAATTTCTTGCCTCTATTTAAGACGTGTGCTTCATTAAGTTCTTTTGACTGTGATTCAAATCATTCTACAAAGAGATTTGGAGATGAGTTGTTATTGTTGAGTCCAACAAGAAGCCAGCAATTATCAAATCCAAACAAAAAAATTGTAATAGGAGATGATTCTTGGTTGAGAAGAGGAATTTCAATTTCAAGTGAAACAAGCAGTCCTGATAGATAATTTGAAAGATAAGAATTTTTTAGTTCATTCAGAGTTCCAGTTAATTTCTGTGAAGAGAATGATGGATTGAATAGATTATAGCATTTTGAAAAGGATGCTGTTAATTATATCACTTCTGAAACTTTAGTAAAATTGAGTAATTAATAATTTAGTATAAAAATGCAAATGATATAACATTGTTTGATTGTCGTTACAAATTTGAGTTTGATGGTGGTCACATCCATGGTGCAACTCATCTTTGCAATCCTTTCGAAATAGAATCTATATTTTTTAAATAAATTCCTACTGTAAAACCAGTTATTGTATTATACTGTGAATTTTCAGAGAAAAGAAGTGTTCAAATGTAAGTATTCTCAAATAATAGTTTTAGTTATAAATAAATAAGAAATACTGATCGAAACTTAAATCAATATCCAAATCTACATTATCCTGATTTATATATTCTGAATAAGGGATTTTCAAATTACAGTTTAGAATACCCTTCGTAAATTTAGGGTAAATACATTCGAATGGATTCAAAGGAATATTCTACATAATATAAAGAATAAAAATGTTAGACTGACAATCAATGGAATTCATTAAAATTGAAAAAAAGACTATAAAAAATAAATATATGATTTCTTGTTATTAGATGTTGAATCACTCAGAATTCTCAAAATACAATTTGGGATCTGGGAATCTAACTTGTAATGATCTCTTAAACAAGAATTCAGACAAAAAGTCAATCACATTTTCTGGATTCTATTTTACAATCTCTACTAATCCTTCTGTAATGAATGGTACTACATTATCATTCAAATATTATCTATTATTTAAATATCTTATACCTTAATGGAAGAGATCTTGACTCTAGTAATTCTTTTTCATAATTAACACTATGTTCCTATTTAATCTTATATTCTTCTTCTTAAATCTTCCACAATTCATCTTCTTTTTTATCTCTTAACTCTTTCAATTTTTAGTTTTATTCTTATTACTTCAATAATTATTCTTTCTTCTCTTTCAACCTATTCTCTTCTAAATCCTATTCAATATGTTTATAATTCTTATACTTTCCATTCTAAAATAAAAAATTTAAAAATACCCTTTCAATAAAACTTCTACATGTATCTTAAATATTAGTTTACTTATTGAATACTGAAATCTCACATATATCAACTTTTAATTCCTTATAAAAATCAATCAAAATAGTATATCCCTTTTTTGTATTGAGTATTTTATAATTCTTTAATCTTTTAAGAAGTACTTCTTCATCATATTTATGAATTTTTGAGAACTTAATCCTGTCAATTATTTATTCATCACTACCACCAAGTACAATAAAATGTTCAGGTAATATTAATTTATTCAAAGTCACTTTTTATTCTTCACCTTCTCCTTCAATATTATAGAATAGTTATTTAGCTTATGCATATGTCTTTGGATAATTATCTAAAATAAAACCTCTATTCTAACAATCATTCTACATCAATCTCCATTTATATATAGTAATCAATTATTCATCTGTTAATCTTGCTTCAATTTTACTATCATCAAATGGAATATAAGGTTGTTTCAATTATTTTCTTTTCTCTCTTTAAATATCATATTGTGCTTTAGCTTCTTCAACAAGTTAATTTCTATTCTCTTCTAAATTTGCCTTTAATGATTCAACTTCTTCACTTGTTTAATTTAAATATTCCTATATCAATTCTTTGATGGTGATATGAGGAATACTAAAATAAGTAGATATTTAGTTTGCAATAGTGCTCTTCCCAATTCCAGGAGGACCTGTAATTGCAATACGGATTGGTTTTAAGTTATGATAATCAACAAATTCTTATCTTATTTTTGCAATATTAGCTCTTATACCTTCTTTACACCACCAATTAAATGTAAATTTATCAACTGCTTACTCTTCATCCCCTTGATCTCCTTATTCTTCAAGAAAAGCATCAAATACTTTGGTTGGCTTCATTCGAAGATCAATTTAAAACTCTGGAATAGCCAAATCAGATTACTAAATTTTCTGATTTCCCACACCTTTAGATATTGAATCTATAATAGCTTTATGAGATGGATTTTGATTATGATCAATTGCAAATATGTATTTTTAATTAACTGGCTTTTCAACCAACTTTTAAACAAATAAAGCTAAATCCTTAACATGAATGCAAGGTACTTTATTTCTATTATAAAATGTGATAGTATTCTATAACCAAGCTTCTTTAAATTTTGTATAAAAATGATCTTCTCCCATTCCATACAATATACCTGCACAAAGAATAAATGTTTTGAGATTTGGTCTATTAATACTTAAGCATAGACTTTCTAGAGAACATAAACTTTCATATTAAGGTAAAGCTTTTCTCTTAGGATAATCAGTTTCATTAAAACGTGTATATTCTTTTTTTGGAGGAGCATCTTCAGCATCCTCTTATGGTTTGCCTTCTTCTTCTCCTGATTCTGGAGGATAACCACCATCTTCATCTTCTTCTCCAGCTTTCTTTTCTTTTGGATCTGTTGCAGACCATGCCATTACAGATGAAACTAGAATCAAAATTTTTTCTTAATCATAAGATCCTAGTTTTAAAGATTTTATGGCATATTCACATTCACTATGATCACATGTATTAATGTCATAAACTATTACATCACTATCTAAGATGACTTTTTATAAGAATGACATTTTCGATGGCTATTTTGATATTGAATGATAATGATACATCAATCACTTTTCTAACTGCTGGATGTAATGGATATATGCTTTATAAGATTGTGGTGCCTACAATAAGATTTGGATCTTCAGGATGCTCAGTGTCATTACGAAGTTATTAAATCTAAATGAGTACATAGTTGTACTAATTGATAACCAAAGTAAGTATTCAATGAACTTAGGAAGTATCTTTTTGATTTATAGGGTGCTTTCTTTGGTTTAGGAGCTTCGTCAGTTTCCATAAATTATTATTAATAATTAGTTAAAAAAAGGTATATTATAAACATTCTTACATAAAAATATTGAATATTCATAGAATATCATTTATAGAATAAAAGGTAGAGAGAAATGAATAAATATTAAGGAAGCAATTTTTAGATAATGTTATTAATAATTTTTGAATATAGAAATACTTAAACATTATAAAAAATATTGTTAAACTCTTTTAAGTGATTAAATAATTTTTTTCATTGACAAAATTTATCTAGAATGGATTATAACCCATTAAAGATGCCTTGTGATTGGAATGTAGCCAGAAAACATGCCTTGGCCAGACGAACTGCTCCTGATACTAAGGCTCATCATGATGAAGATGATGATGAAGAACCTAAAAAACGTATTTATAATTTTATATTCAGCTGAAACATGTCCTTGTTGTGGTTTTGAAATAGAGAGAAAGGAAATTCCATATTGTGATGATATTAAATCACTCAAATTTTTAGGAGCAGGTTTTCCATTATTTTATAATTTTTTGAAATTCTGCATACTGTTATTATGTTTACAAAGTCTTGTAGCTATTTTCAATGTTTTAAGTAATTATCATGGTGAATTTTGCGAGTAAATCTAATAGTTATTTAGGTAATAATCCTTGAATCCAGTTTCATAATAGATGGAACCTAATTGTCAAGATTCTTTATTCCTTAAATTATCAATAGCTAATAAACTAAAGTGATTATATTCATATTAATTTAGCAATTCAGAAGTTGTGGTATTTATTCAAAAGGCTAATCTTATTATGCTTATTATAATGATCATTCTACTATAATTTTTTAGAAGACATCAAAAAAAATTAGATAATTAAATAGATGAATCATAACTAACTCCTAGTGATTATACTATTATGGTGACTAATATTCCTAAAACTTTGAATGTTAATTATAGATGGGAATTGACAAATTTATTTTAGAATTATGCAGTATCAGATACAAACTTTTAAATAACTGTTACTAAAGTTGTTTTAGTTTATGATATAACAGAAATTACGGCAGAGGAAGCTAAAATTGAAAAATCATTACAAAAGAAAAAGATTGCTTTATAGACATCTAATATGAAATATGATTGTTAAGATGTAAGAGATTGTGAACTAGAAATTGAAACATCACAAAAGAGAATTAAAGATTTATAAGAAGAGTACTTTTGGACTAATAGATAATTCAGTGGCATTGCTTTTGTATCATTTGAAAGTGAAAAAATGAAAGATTTAGTTCTTAGTTAAAATACACATACACTATTAGATAAAGTAAAAACATTTTTATATTCTGGTAAAACTCCAGGGTTAGATGAAATGGAATTGTAATGGTAGGCTTAAAAACTATTTCTTGAATAAGCACCTGAACCAAATGATATCTTGTGGGAAAATCTAGCTACTTTAACTCAGGATAAGATAGTTGCTAGAATTAAAGGATTCTTTATTACTATTATTGTGTAAGGAATTACATTCTTTTTTATTTATTATTTATCTATACGATGTATTAGATTAGTTTACAATGAAGAACTTGAAAAAAGGAGAATTGGAGTTGATGATAAAGAAAAATTAAAGAATGTTTAAACTATTTCATTTGCTATTGCCTCAACTATTGTTTTAGTTAATAAAATATTAATTGAACCTTTAATGAAGTGGATAACTAAAATAGAAAAAATATCTACTAATACTAAATTTTAAATATCATATGCAAATAAATTAACAATTTCCTTATTTGTTAATGCTGCAATTGTTAGTTATGTTATTGATATCTTGATATTTAGTAATGTATATGGATTTGGTGGATTTTTGTATAATGAATCTTTGATATTTATAATGAATGCTGCTATTGCACCATTAATTTGGTTTATTGATCCTTGGACTTTGATAAGAAAATTATAGAGAGACCATTAAGCTTAAAAAGTTAATGATTGTTTACTTACATAAAAGGAAGCAAATGAAATAATGGAAGAAGTTGATTATTAATTAGCAATGAGATATGCAGACATAATTAAAACTATGTGGTTCACCTTTTTTTTTGGTACTGCTATCCCTATAGGTGTATTCAGTTCTTTAATTGGTTTATGTTTATTTTATCTTATTGATAAGTATAACATATTAAGAAGAAGAACAGTAAAAGAGAGTATATCATAAGAATTATCATGGTAAATGATTAATATGCTTGAATTTATTGTCTTATTTAATTCTTTGGGTAATACAGTAGTCTCATTATTTCTTAACTAAAACTTTGATATTTTTTCAACAATTGGAGTAATTATAGGATTAAGTTTTTAAATCTTGCCAATACATCGTTGTGTTGATAGTATGTTTCCAATTAGAAATTTTGAAGAAGTATTAATTATTATATGAGTTTAGCCTGTTTCATATAAAAAAGCTTAGATAGAATTTGATACTGATTATGATAGAGAGAATCCTGTAACAAAATAAAAAGCAATTGCTGAGTATTCTTTATAATTGCAAGGTATCACTCAAGACAGGAAGGTGGAATATTAAATTATGCATGAAGATCATTATTGATTTATTTATATACTTAATAAATGGAATAAAGTTTATTCATTTCATAACAAGAAATAGAACAAGTCAATAAATAAAATACCATTAACATTAATGTTGGTGTCTTAGGACATATTGATTCTGGTAAAACATCTTTGGTTAAGACATTGTCTAAAGTAATTAATTTATCAATATATTAGATAACATCAACAGCCTCATTAGATAAGAACCCTTAGAGTTAGGAGAGGGGAATTACTTTAGATCTTGGGTTTAGTGCATTTTACACTCGTAATCCAAATGAGGAGGGAAAGTATCCACAATAAATCATTTAAGATATTTTCAATTTACATTAGTAGATTGTCCTGGACATGCATCATTAATTAAGACCATTATAGGAGGTGCTTAAATTATAGATATGATGTTTTTAGTAATTGATGTGACTAAAGGCATTTAAACTTAAACAGCTGAATGTTTAGTAATAGGTGAGATTTTGGCTGATAAATTAATTGTGGTCTTGAACAAAATAGACTTAGCAACAGATGAAGTAATAAATAAACAAAAAAAAATAATTTCTAATGTTTTATCTAAAACAAAGTTTGGAAATTAAGTTCCATTAGTTCCAGTTTCAGCTGTCTAAGCACTTGGAATTGAAGATCTATTAAGAATTCTACTTCAAAATATTACTATTCCAAATAGATAAACATAATTAAATAAGGGTCTTTTGTTTATGATTGATCATTGTTTTTAAATAAAAGGATAAGGAACAGTAACAACTGGTACTATAATATAAGGATCTATGAAACCAAATGATGAAGTCTTTTTTCCTATGTTAAATTTGAATAAAAAGATCAAAAGTTTATAGATGTTTAAAAAACCAGTTTTAATGGGAGAACCTGGAGATAGAATAGCTGCTTTATTTACTAATTTAGATGCAAAAGAAATTGAAAGAGGAATTGTATGTTAACCAGGGATAGTATCATTATTAGAAAATATAGTTATTGATTTTAAGAAGATTAGTTATTATAAAGGATAATTGAAGTCTTAGAATAAATTTCATATCACTTCTGGTCATTTGACTGTAATGGGATAATTGAAATTAATAATAAGACCAAAGAATTTATAGTTAGAAATTAATAGCGAAGGAGAATATTTAGAAGATTATGAAGGTATATATTGATTATGAATATTATTATAGATTATGGAAAACTTCAAGAAAAGTATAATTTATATGGTGTGTTATAATTGGAGAAACCATTGATTGCATCTATGAATTCTTTAGTTATTGGTTCAAAATTAGATACTGATTTAGAAGCTAATATATGTAGAATTGCATTTTATGGAAATATTCTGCACTCTTTTACAGGTTAATAAATATTTCAATAGAATTACTTAAGAATTTTTAGAAAGAAAAGTAAAAATGGAAAGGTTGAAAAGGTGATAGATAATTACACTTTACTTATTAAGGATTTATTTAAGAAAGAAACAAATATTGCTAATTATATTGGAAAATTGATTGTTATCAAATAAGGAAATATTTAAGGTAAAATTGAAAGTGCTTTTGGGAAGAGTGGGAAAGTTAAAGTATTTATAGAATCAGGAACTAATTAAGATATGATAAATAGTGATGTTGTTATGATTTATAAAAAATATCTATTTCATAAATGAAACATAATAATATTCATAGATTTGATAACATTTCTTCTATTTCTTGTGTATGTTGTTGGAATTTCTTTTCAAAAAGCTTAGCTTCTACTAACACTATTGAACTGTTAAATTGTTTAGATCGAGGTTAAAGATCATAATTAGAACTTCTATGAGTATGTCTCTGTTCTGGTTTAAGAGATTATAGAAATTTCTCAATTTAGAATGCCTTAGTTGATGCGTCAATATTAGCATTGATTATGGATCTAAAGCATTCATAGTTACTCATTATTTAAACATAATCTGGATTACTGCTATCAATCAAATGAGTTATAAGAGCAGTGAGTAGGTTATCCATTAAATATATAATATATAATCATTTTATGGGTTTTTAATCTGAATAACTAACATTGATGGCTTTAACAATAATTTCTTTGAACTCTTAAAAGCTTATCTAAAGATAGATATATTTAAAATACAGATCCATCTCCATTAGCATCTACTTCTGCTAATAGCTCTTTCCATACTTCATCACTAACTGCAGTTTCATCAGATCCAAAGATTCCTTTAATTTCATCAATTGATATTGATCCACTTCCATCTTTATCAAACAATCGAAATGCCTATTCTAATCGTTTATCTTCTAATAATTTGACTTTATTAAAAGTAGCCAAGACAAATTCTAAAATTATTAATAACTATTTTTAAATACCTGAATAATCTATACTTCCATTCTTATCTTGATCTATTTATTTCATTAATTTTGTTACTTCCAATTCAGCATCTGTATAACTCATAACCTTAGCATAACCTTTAAATATTAATACAGTATATTACCTAAAATAAGTTCATCTTTTGATAATCTTCCATCTCCATTTAAATCAAGTGCTTAAAATTATTATAATAATTCTTATTTCTCTTAACTAGTAGCCATTTAATTAACCATAAAGGTTAATGCTGCTTCTTAAAACTTCTTTTCTACTCTAAAATTTCTGAGATTATTCAAAACTTTTGTTAATTATGGTAAATCCATTTCTGTTTTTTTAACATATGTTGTAATCCAAGGATCCCTCAATGCTTATTCAGCACTAATTCTTCTCTTTGGATCCCTTTCCAACATCTTACTTATCAATAATTTAGCTTCATAAGATATTTGATTCCATTCTTCTCCATCAAATGTTAATTGACCTTCTCTCACAGATTCAAGTATCTCTTCATCCTCTTCTCCATTAAAAGGAGGGATTCCACAAAGTAAAATGTATAAAATTACACCACAAGACCATACATCACATTTTTCATCATATTTCCTTTCCAAAACTTCTGGTGCTATATAATATGGCTAAATTTATAAGAATCATTAATTTACTGTTCCTAGTTTTTAATTCATCTTGTAACCTTATTCAAACATTCTACTAGTTCCAAAATCCACTATCTTTAACAAAGCTTATGGTTTAGTTGATTCATATAGAATATTCTCTGGTTTAAGATCTCTAAATCAAATCACATTAATCTTTTACCTATGTACAATTTTACTCTTGTGTAAGTAATTAACTGCACTCAATATCTATTTAAGAGTTTCAGCAGCTTTTCTTTCAGAAAATGATTATTATTCCTATATCTTATCAAAAAGTTCTCCTCCAGTGCATAATTCAGTCACAATATATATATTTTTACTATCCTAATAGAACTCATAAATCTTAATAATATTAGGATGATCCTATCTTCTAATTATAAATTTACTAATCTTTTAAGAATTTCTATTTCTATTCTTAATCTTTCAACTTCCATCTTGCTTGCTTTTTCCTTTGAAATTACTTTAATAGCTCTAATTTAATTTGTGACTTTATGCACACCTTTTCTAACTTCACCATAAGCACCTTTTTTAATGTTTTAATTATACCTTTTCCGATGGGAGGTTTCAGAAGTGTGTAATCATTAGTGATTAATCCATGTTTTTCTGAAACCATACCTGAAGATGAAATTTTAAAATGTGCAACATCCTTGACTAAATAATACTATATATATGATTACTTTTATTTGGATTATCCACTTCTTCACCTTTACTTGATCCACAACCCATCGGTATAATTATATATATTATATATATTATTATTAGAAATTGTTATATTATTAATTAACACCTTTTTTATATGATTCTTAAGTATAATTCTTCTTTTTATAATAGCACGTAATAAAAATATTTAATTATTTTTGAAAATCGTATATATTAGGTTATTATATCTATAAGCTTTTTAATACTTTAAATGAACATGATATACTTTAAAGAATAATATATAACTAATATCAAAATCATCTTAAAATCATCATTTTTCTGATAATAAGTATTTTTAAGATTTAAATGTTGGACTGTCTTCATCCAAATTTTACTTTTAAATATATTTCCTTTTTTCGTAACAACTACTTTCTTACGATAAAGTAGGTGGCAACTACTATTAAAAAGTAAATATATTTTAGGAGCTTAATACTCTAGCATGATGAGAATTACAATCATTAGAGTTAAAAATATCATCAAGGTTTTCACAAAATTTAACTCCATCTATATTTTAACACCAATCTGTCATTTATTCATTACTTAATTCTATAGTTTGTTTATTGCAACAGCTTTATCCCATGAATAATAATTATTTATAATTTTAGTGAAAAAAGATTAAATCTGCTCTAATAAACTCAATTACATTTGAATGACATTTTATTTGATTCTAATAAAATCCAAATTTGTCATTAATCAAATGTCTCAATTTTAAACTTTATTTAATGAATTCAATATTTTCAGTAATTTTATTCAATCATCATCAAATTCAACTCTAATTTAATTTATTTCTTTAAATTCTTCTCCACTTATTCTATCTCTTATTGTAGATTCTATTTCCTAATCTATAGATCTTAAATTATCTGTAAACACTATTTTCTATTTTATTCTTTTGATCCATGGAGCTTCAGGATAATTTTCAACTATTTATGGCTAATACTATTATATAAAAGATACTGTAATTTCTTCAAGTAACTTTTAATCAAATGCTATTTCTATAGAAGGAAATTCAATCCTAGGTAAACAAAACGACAATTTAGTTCTTACATTGTATTTTTTCAAAGGTAACTGTAATACTGGCAATAGTGAACTAAGTCTATTTTTTTACTGAAATAAATAAAATTCATTTTATATTATTAATTTTATATTTTCTGTTGTATCTAACATATCATCATATATCAATTTTATAAATATCTATAATTAAACTTTCTCTTCCATACTATTTAAATTATCATATAATTTATTTAATAATTCTATAGCTATTGTGTTATTATTCATCATTAAATTAATTAAAGCATTATTATATAGATATTCTTTAAAGTTGTATATTTGATTTCCAAAATCATGACTATTAAAATTTTCTGATTCGCTTTCAAATTCATAAGAAAGATTTAAATATTCTAGTGCCATTGAATATTCTCTTTAAAATACAAGTAATACTCCATAATAAAACCAAATATGACATAATTTGAATATATCACCTTCCTATCTACTCATTTATATCTTATTTAATACAGATATATTATCTTATAAATTTGTGTAAATTTCATTTGAACACATTAACTTAAGAATATTTACTATTTGAAAATCTATATTAGCTTTATGATTATTCTCTGAAATCAATTACAACTCTGAATGAGCTATATTCAACTCTTTGTAGAAAAGTAAAACCTTAATCTTTAGATATTAACTCTCAATACTTGAATCCATATTTAAAGAGAAAATGGCTTCTTCAAAACTTCCAATATAAAAAAAAAGCATTCCAATCATTTAATAATTAAGTTAATCTTCTTTGCAATTCTCAACATACTTCATTAGATCAAGATATGCATTATCTAAATCTCCTATATGAATGTATGCTCTACATCTATTTAAATAAGAATCTAAATGTTCTTATTCTAAATGTAAACAACTTTTAAAATCTAATATTGCCATATCATATAATTTAAGACAATTATGTAAAAGTCCTCTGACATAATAATGTTATGCTTAATTCTCATTGCAGTTTTCGATAGCCAATTCTAAATCCTAATCTGCCTAGTCAAAATTTCCTAATGCAAAATTCAACACTCCTTTATAAAATAGTACATTAGATGATTCTCTGATCAATAACGCCTTCTATAGATTTTCTAATGCTTAATTTAAATAGATTTTTCCATTATCTTCATTAATATTTATACAATATTTTCTTATTAATAGAGTAGCTTAATAAAAGAATGGTTCTTATTTAGATTTAAATAACTCATATGCCTCTTAAAATATCTGATAACTAGAATTCAAATCATTCTCTTCAAATTTTAATAAGGCTTGACACAACAACAAATTATATACGGAACCCTTTATTAATATTGAGAAATTACTTATTCTAATTGGTTTTAATCACAATCTAATAAATCTTTTAGTGCATAACGATAATTTGACTTATAAAAATATCCATATGCTCTAAATTATAGAGCTAAAACTTTTAATGAATCATTTTATATTTATATCATTTCAGAAAGAAATTCTATACCTTAATCAAATTTTTTTTTCATTAAGAATATTGTTCCTTCTACAAAAAGTTCTATTTATATAAATTAATCATTAAAAATATCTAAAAAAATCTTTCTTTCTAAATTATGTGAAGCTGAATAAAAATTGTTTTTATCAATTTCAAATTTAATTATTTCCAATAGTGCCTAAGTTGTAGATTATTTATCATTGTTATATTAAACTGCTTATTCAAATGCTAGATAAGCTTACTAAGTATGATCTAACACAAGATATATATAATTGTACTTTGTTTCTGGTACCATAGACCTTTTAAATATAATTATTCTGAATCTTCTGGATATATCTATTATAAAATATCCAAATAATAATTAGATTATTTGTAATCAAAGACATCAAAAAATAAATAAAATAGTTTTATTATTATTGGTTTAGAATTTGATGCTTATTCTAATTAAAAAGCTTTATTTAAATATTTGAAAGCCAAATGTATTTAGTTTAATTATACAAAACAATCACTTAAACCAATATATGCATTTGATTTTTTTGGGTTAATTTAAATTAATTAATTAAAATCTTAAATAGCTTTGTGTGTAAATTTAAACTTTAAATACAATTCTGCTCTTAATGATAAAGCATCATAAAATCTATTAAAATTTTAGATTGCCAGAGTTAAATAATTGATTGAATCTTGAATTCTATTCTTTTAAATAAGAGAATTAGCCAAAATCAAATAAGCATCTCTTGAAAATGTTGGGAATATAGATATCAATTTTTCTAATTATTATATCAATTTATCATATTGATTTTGTTATCTATAACAAAGTGCTGAGAAATAAAGTGCTTCAGGATTGATTCCATAAGATAATAAATAATTTTCAAAGATAATTAATGCTTCTTAGATTTGATCTTATTTAAATAATGATTTTCCTAATTTTAAATCAAAAGAATCTATATTATTCAAAATTTGATTTGAATCAACTAATAAAATATCTGAATAAAATTACTAAACTGAAAATTAGTAGAGTGATTATATTTTAGTAATTTTGAGTTAGTCTAATTAAAAGAAGAACATAATGAAATTGTAGAGTCTTTATTCTTTTATTTATGAGTAGATAATGAAAATTGAATTTGTTGATCAGTCTTTATTCTACATCTATTTTAACTGGTTGATCTTAAGTTTATCTTATTAGACTACTTTTTTTAAAATACAATTGATTATGATCCTATATAGATGATATATTTATATTACTTTGATTATGTGATGGAGTTCCATTTGGAAATAGAATGATAATAGATTCTTTGAAGTGATTCTTATTTTATTTGAATTTCCTTGATTTTGAAGATTTAAATTACCTAACTTTAGCATTGAATTATACATGTATGTTTATATTTGAAATTGAATGCACAAATATATTGGGATAATTTATTATTTAAAAATAACAAATTCAGATATGCGTAAAAGATTAGGAGCCTTACATGCAGATTCTCTTGAAGAGTATATTCAACTGGCCAAAATGTCCTGGTAATAAGAACTAATATATTATGGAACACAATAAGAGATTGCGGGTTAATAGAGAGGGTTTGATAATTCAGAAAAAGACACAAATGTAAATTTATATTATTAACATTTATAGACTTCTTCTATTGAGGAAGAGTAAGAGAAGAAGGAGCAGAGCAATATTAATGTATTAGTTATAGACAATCTTGATAAAATTGACCAAGTGTTTAAATATTGTGGAACATTTAGAAAGCCAAAGAAAAATTATTATTTGGAATATTGTTCAAAATTGGAGTTATCTGATTCAAAGGAGACTCATTTTCATTTTTGGATAATAAATTCTTCAAGTGTGAAATATTAAGAATTGATTGATGGTATGTGGCTTCATAAATTATATTTAGTTTATTATAGAACAGCTGATTGTTATGTTTATTTGAATAAGAAATCAAAGGAACATTAATTTTTAAGATTTCTTGAGAAGGTGAAATTGGTAAATAAGAACAAAAATAAAAAGATATTTAAAATTGGAAATTGTAGAAGAATTAGTGTAATAAATATATATATATTTTAATAGAGCATCCAAAATTTATAAACTATTAATGAGAACCAAATAGTTAAGCTAAGAAATTTATAAGAGGGATTAAAAAAAGTAAGAGAATAATATTTTTGATTGAGTTTGTATTAGTTAAGGCATTTTATGAAAATGTTGGATGAAAATCTACTTTTTTTAATCAATAACATATTTATATATATATAATTTAATTAATAAATGGATTTCTCAAAAGAATTTGAAGAATATATCAAATTAAAATATGTATCCAAACTATAAATCGGTTAAACAGTTAATACTGTAACAAAAGTGTAAATTACTACATTAGAAGGGGAAGAGTTAGACTTAGAATGTGACATCTATTAAGGAATAAAGGTATTGAAATACAATAAGGTTTATGAAAATATGGAATAATTATTGAACTAACATTCTAAGTTGTACTCTAAAAAGTTTGAATAGGATTTATCAAAACAATTAGATTCATTAGTCTAACAAGTTGATGATGAAGATGATGATGATGAAGAAGATGATGATTGATTTAATTGAGATCTTATAAAAAGATTTAAAAAAAAAATAATTTAATAAATAATTTAATAACATTATGGGTTCTATTCAAAATAATTCTTGTTGTAGCTAATTATCATCTAATAATTAGGAAATAAATTTAAGCAATAAATAAGAAAATTTAATTTCTGCACACAGCTCCCCTAAAAATTTTGAATAAGTCATCTATAATTTTAATTATGAATCATAAAGAAAGAAGGAAATTTAATATTCAGATAAAGCAATTTAGATTCAAAAAAATTGGAAGGGATATAAATAAAGGAAAAATTATTAAAAGAGAAAACCTGGTTTTACTATCAATTAAGAAAATTCGTTACAGTAATAGCCAGTTTAAATTAATTCTTAAGACAGTTTAACCTTTATCGAGCTTGCATAACCTCAATTATCTAGTTGTAAATTTGATGAAATGGAACCACTAGAAAGTTTTGAGATTAAGGATTTTGCAGTTTATTAGTATAGAGATGGATCAATTTATGCTGGCGAAATTGTAGATTGTAGGAGAAATGGAAAGGGTAGATATTACTATAAAAATGGATCTATTTATGAAGGGTATTAATCTTATATATATATTTAATTAGAGATTGGAAATTGAATTAACCACATGGATATGGAAGATTTCTACATTAAAATGGGGATTTTTATGAAGGCAATTTTAATGAAGGTAGATTGGAAGGATATGGAGTTTATAGAAAAAATAATGGAGGTGTCTTTTAAGGAGAATGGAAATGTGATAAATAACATGGAAGAGGTAGTGAAGTATGGGCAGATGGAGCTAAATATGAAGGTGATTATGTATTAGGTAAAAAACATGGGAGAGGAACATTTATATGGGCAGATGGATCACATTATGTTGGAGATTTTATTAATAATTGTATGGATGGATTTGGAGAATATGTTAAATCAAATGGCAAAAAAGTAAATAATAATTAATATAATTAGTATATTGGATAATTTAAAGATGATATGATGCATGGTGAAGGAGAATTTAGTTGGCCAAATGGTAAAAAGTATTCAGGTTGGTATTATAAAAATTAAAAATGCGGTCTTGGAACATTTGAATGGCCTGATGGTAGAAGATATGTTGGTTTTTGGAGTAATGGTTTGATGCATGGAAGAGGAATTATATTTGAATAAAATGGAAAACAAACTCAAGGAGAATGGATTAATGGAGTTCTGTAAAAATGAATTTAAATACTTCACTTATACATTTCTTTTCTTTAACGTTATTTTGTTGGGGATTCTTTTGAAAATATAGTTAGATCAACATTAATAGTTTTTGGTTGGTTTTGTTGTTACTTTATTCTATGACTATTTTTAATAAATGTTCTGTGAAACCAATTTTAATCTCTTTCTTTTTATTCAATTATTTGTGATTAAATTTACTCTCCCATAAAACTTTGTCTAAATTTCTCTATATACATATTAAATTAAATTAATTATTACTTAATTATTGCTAAATGATATAATTTTATAAAAGAGGAAATGAATAAATTTTCCTCATTTTCTTTGTTGATCTTCTCAACATTAGCATATTCAATAGGTAATATTATCAATAATTCTACAGCTATTTCAATAATATTATCATAATGATATTTTCCTGATAAATACTTTAAAATGTCCATTCTAATATTCGGAACTTTTTCCAATTCAAACATGGTTAAAATTCTATTTAAATTTTATATTATAATATTAGAATTGTAATTTTATTTGAACAAAAACTATTTGAAAGTTCTAAATGATACCTAATTTTTACAGCATTATAATTACTTTATTATATTATTATATCCCAAACCAAAATGATTTGAAACATGCATATATATCAATATTCTATTCTATTGGTTTCTCTATTAAAAATAAACTAAAAAATAAAAATAACACTTAATCTTCACAAAGATATCCAATTTTTTCATCATCTAACATTATATAAATCTCCTCATATTATTCCAATTGCTTAATCTTTATATTTATTTATTAATGTATCAATGATAACATATCTATTATCTTTCTAATTTATAATTCAATTTTATCAAAGTTCTTATGAACAACTTCATTATAAACTATATATGAATCTTAAATGGATAATTCATTTTTATATAGATAATCATTATATTCCTTAATGAATTTGAGATCATCAATCTGAGAATTATTGTAATTTTGAATGATCTTTATATATATCAATAATTATGTTTACATCTAAAAATGTTTATGGTTAAATCTTTTTCTCATTATTAACTAATACTTCCAATAATAATGAATGTTTAAATTGATACTTCTGAATTTCGACTTTTAAATCAAAATTTTAAATCATTATATTTAACAAATATTGTATTCTTATTTTATATCAAATAGGATGATTTATTTGAATAGAAATATGCTAGAGAATATATCAATGTTGTATATATATATTGTATATTATTATTTCAATATAATATTCAATAATGTTATTATTGAAGTAATTGAACAAATTATTCGCTGGTAATTTGATTCTATTTTCCTAAATATTTCATAATGAAATTTAATTGATCATCTTTATAACCTAGATTATGAATTTAATTCAAATTTTAGAGATCTTAAACAGTAATATAGCTTTAGTTTTTTTTTTAAATGGAATTGAATATTGCTAAACATATATCTCTCTCTTATATTTATTAATCTCATTACATTTTTTATATCATTTTAAAACAATTGCAATACTTCTTATTTTGTTAATTACTATTTTTTGAATTAAGCTATTCTTTCCTATAAAATCTTTGTGTTTTGAGTCATGTCTAAAATTAATCAGAATTCAAATACCTGCTGATTGCAATGCGGCAATAAATGAGTCGACTGAAAATAGTTTTGTTTTTTTATCTTTAAACAATTCAAATAATTAATCCAGCTATCTATCTATATCTTACATATATTAATTATTATATTAAATAGAAAAAATCTATATTTCAAAATAAACAGAATCGGAAATTAAGTTGATTTATGTATGTGAATGGTTTATAAGATTTATATTCAAAGAGATAGCATAATGCATTTTTTAGTTTCCTTAATCCATAAGTTGAATTAAAAATAATGCTTATATTTTTATGCTATTCATTTTGATTTAAAAATAGTAAGAATTTGAATAATTTAGAGTCACTTCCTTTTATCAATATATTGTTTAATTTGGATATATTAAACTATTTGATTTTTGCAATTAGAAAGAATTTAATAAACATTATCAATCTCCCTAACTAATAAGAAATTAAGAATAATAGGGTAATTTCTAATTAAAACAAAACAATAAACAGTATTACAAAAGATGGATAGAATTTGCTAACAAATTCAATTCTAATTTTAGAAAAATGATTAGGCCTTTGCAGATTTAAGAGAATAGAAATCAACATATTAAAGGAATATATATAATTTGCTCATCTCCAGATAAATTATTTTTTCCATCAATAACTTTATAAGATGATATTTTGATGCAATAGTTTTAAGTTAGAATTAAATAGAAATTGTATAGTACATAATAGAATTGATGAGTTTGTATTTTAGATGTGAGTAATAAATTAGATAATGGCACTATTTGTAACATCTTATGAATAAATTTAAATATGCAATATATTATATGTTAATTACAACCAAAGAGCACTATGTAATGATTAAATCTGCCAAAATGAGGACAGAACGTGAAGCAAAGCAATCAACCAAAGCGAACACTAGCAGCACTAACAAATCATACTACTAAGATGAACGCAGTCGACTTTAATAACTGATTATAATGAGCATGCAAAACCCTAAAAATATAGAAGTAAGAATCAAATGAAATGAAGACTTACTTAACCTAATTTCTAGATCAGAAACATCCAATATCCAATAGTTTCTAGTAAAATAGAGTAAGAGTGTTATCACAACCACATTTGGGCAATAAGCCTACTCGGTTTTAAAAACCTTTACATAATCCTTACATATCAAGACGATAAAGCCACATTCCAAAAGTAGACACATCTCCAAAATCTCCAACACGCACACCTTCAACAAATAGTCGTTATTTACTGTATTCGTTTAATGGAGACTATGATAAAAAAGGAACAAGAAATACTCCGATATCTAAACTATCTACTAGTGCTCTTATAGATTATCACAAATAATTAGTGTTGAAAGCATAAAAATTGATTGGTTCGAATAAGAAGAAATAATGAATTATATGTTAACAATATCATTTTTTCAGTATTGATTTACCCATTTCTTTTATAGATTAATCAATTGATTTTGATTTCACACTACTTATAGGCTTTGGACTCTTAGTTTTCTTCTTTTTCGATTAAGTTACTTTTTTTACTGACTTACTTTTTTTTTTCTTTCTATTTTTTGAATTAGATCTCGATTTTGACTATTCAACATTATCTGCTTCTTTGGCTTCTTCCACTTACTTAGCTTTCATTTATTCAGATTTCTTTGCTTATTTATTCTTTGAGTCAACAATCTTTTTAATACTCTTCAATAATAATAACAATCTTTATTTAATTGATTTTTTAGTTAATGATCTATTAATTAATTTAATATCAATAAATACCTTATATAATTATCAAAGAAGCTTAATTCATGATTCAGAATGTATTTCTGAATTTTGTCCCATCTTCCAAATCCTTCAATATAAGTTGCATAAACTATTAGTTAATCACTTTCTAAAGTGAAATAAGTTTATTTATAAATTTAATTAAAATCCATTTCTAGCAATGGATCATCATATAATTTGATAAACTTAATAAGGAGATCAGAGTATTCTTATTCTTGTTCCAATTATGCCTCTGTTTTCTCAATTCTAACCATATATTTGTTTATATCAGGAATTTCATCATATCTTTAATTAAATACTTTCATATATTATTGAATCTCCTTTTGTGTTTTGCCCATACTATTAGCAATATTCATAATATCACCTCTACCATATTTAATACAGGATTGTAAAAATTAATCGAATTCCTTCGTTCTCCACTCAAAACCACTTTATTTTAATTTCTGTAATTATTTATCTTCCATTGGAGTTAAAGGCAAAATCTCAATATCTAATTGAAAATCAAGCTGTTTTTGTTTGTATAATTCATAAAGTTTGAAGTTTTCATCTCTTTACATCAATTCTTTATATTATTATGGATCTGAGTAAAACTTATGAGCTTCAACATCAACTTCTGTGCATAATTTAGAAAACTATGGTAATATCTCTCCTTTATTTGATTATTCAACTTATTTATTGACTTAATTCAATTTAATCTATTATTCTATTACTTATAGATCCTTTTCATTATTTGGATCTTTAAAAAAATCAAAGACTTTGATTGTTTTTACACCCAACTCTACTTTTTCAATTTTATCTTCAATAATTTTGAATTTTTTATCAATTTATTAATTCAACTATTCAGTTAGTTCTTCTCCTCTTTTTAAAAGTGTCTCAATATCTTCTTCTGTATAAGGTTCATCTTTCAATATTTAACTTGCTCCATAAGTAGTTATACTCTTCAAATCTTCCTTCTTATTCATCATACCAACCATCTAAGAATGTCCTTTGTCAATAATCATCTACTCCCATCTTAACTTGATTTATTGTCTCTCAATAATCTTCTCTTCTACAGTTGATTTACAAATTAATCTATACACCATAACATTCTTGGTCTATCCAATTCTATGAGCTCTATCCATAGCCTATTGATCTAATTAAGGATTAAAGTCACTATCATATATAATAACAGTATCTGCTGCAGTCAAAGTAATACCCAATCCTCCAGCTCTAGTGGATAATAAAAATATGAACAAATCTGAATTAGGTTTTTAAAAATTTCTTATATTTTCATCTCTAACTTCCATTGGTGTTGATCCATCAAGTCTGCAGTATTTATATTTTCTATAATTTAAATAGTCTTCTAAAATATCTAATAAAGTTGAAAATTAAGAGAACAATATGACTTTATGATTCTCATTATATAATTTCTTAAGAAACATATCGAGTACTTTCAGTTTTCCTGAATTTTCAATCAAATGCTCTCCTAATGTTGGTAAGTCTCTATCCTCTAATTCTGGAAACATATACAAATGCTAACAAATTTTTCTCAATTAAATTAGAATGTTCATTAATGATTTTTATGTTGTGACTCCCACAACTTTCTTATTTAATATTATGTTTCTATAATGAGTTTTTTATAATGGAGTCATCTAAACATAAAGATGGATTTCCTTTTTAGGTGGAATATCCAAAGCCACTTCAGATTTTGTTCTTCTTAACATGAAGGTTTAAATTATAGACTTAGCTTTTTCTATCATATTCAAATTTCTCTTTTCATATTTCTCTTACAACATTTCCTTTTCTGAAATCAATTTATTTATGTAAAACCACTAATCAAAAGCCTCACTTGATGTGAATAATTGAGGCATTAAATAATTGAGTAAACTCCATAATTCATGAGGATTATTTTATAAAGGAGTACCTGTTAATAATAACCTAAACCTTGAACTTAGCCTCTTTAATGTTGTAAAAAACAAACTCTCCTCATTCTTTAATTTATGCGCCTCATCTATTATTAAGTATTCAAATTTATATTTGTTTAAAATTCTTTCATTATTTATCACACATTCATATGATGCTACTATAACATCATAATTTTTCTTATTTAGATGCTTATTGAAATCATGTCTCCATTCTTCAGTGGCCATCATTTTTAATACACTACATTTTGGTAGCCATTCTGATAACTCTCTTTCCCAATTAGTAACTGTACTTAAAGGTCCTACTATCAAATGAGGTCCAGAAATATTTTTGAACTATTTCATGAACCCCAAAAGTGCAATTGTTAAAATTGTTTTACCTAAACCCATTTAATCTGCTAATATCCCATTTAATCCTGCTTCCTACATACTAATCAACCAATTCAATCCTTATAGCTGATACCCGGTTAATTATCCTTTTTTTAAAATACTTGGTTGGGTTTTGAGGTATGTATTTGGCAAAGTACTATTTTCTTCACCTTACCTTTTGTTAATGTATTAAACATATTATTTAGCTTTAGAAATCAAATTATCCATTTCTTCCTCTACTTCATCAAATAATATTGATAGTTTATCACTTACTTACTAATCTTTTATTTCTTGTCTTGAACTACTACTAATCTTAACTGGCTTCTCACAACTTAATTTGTAGAGAAACTTTTCTTATTCTCTTTTTAAATCATCAATTCGTAATAGCTATTTATGATCATCAATATATCATACTTCTTTTTTAGCATAAAGTTCTTCTTCGTCTTACTCAACATCTTCAGACTATATATATTATTTTATATTTTACTAAAACACTCTCTTCTTCACTTTCACTCATTTTAGATGCACAACTAATATTAATTATTTAAACTTAAATATTAAGTTAAATTTTAGAATATTGTTTTTTATTCAGAATTTATAAATCTCCAAAATTAAACTATGAAGAAACATAAGAGTTAACAAACTTAATTTCATATTTCAGTTAATGGTTCAACTACTTTTTATTGATCTAAGGGCTAAGTGATTGGAGTTTATTCTTAAGAATGCTTTAGTTTTTAGTGCTACTTCAGAGCTGCTTTTGAAGAATATGTGTGTGTACAATTTGAACATTTGAAAGGTTTTGTTATGCAATTCTTTCTCGAGATTCTTTTATGTAATACCTAATATAATTAAATTAAAATAACAACAATAATAATAACGAGCAATTAATAAATTAAAATATAAGTTATACAAATACCTCATTATTTGATACTTATTTTTACAGCTTTACTATGCACCTATGTGTATCATCTAATTTGGCTTAAAGGAACTAGGCGAGAAGATGTTATTTCCTAACCTCAAGTTTATAGTTCATTTTTAGATTATATTTTGGTTCTAAGTCCTAATATATTTAAATTTAAACATTCACTATCATCCTTTGTTTTATGACTTGACTAATCCATTGAATCCATCAGCATAACTTTTTAATAAATTTAAACAATAATTTATTAAATACTTTTTTAATATAAATATCTGAGATTATTATTTAATAATTAAATAATTATTTATTTCTTTAATTACGATAAGTATATCTCTTTATTATTCCCATTTTTATATTACTTCAATTATGGATCATCAAAAACAGATAATGAAAATATATATCTTATATTATAGACAACTAATTATTAATAAAATAGATAAGACCTAAACTTTAATTAATTAATTAACTAAAACATTCTCCTTATAAATCTACACTTCTAATTAATTAATAGAATACCGTAAAATAAATTGAAAACCTATAAATAATAGTTATAATTAACAAAAAAAAGATGTAGATCAGCTATTCAATAAAAGACTCAAATATCAAATATAAAAATTAATATTGATTTCTCGCTTATCATTTTATATTTAATTAAATGTAATTTTATTCTATTTTCATTATTTTTCGAATTAAAAAAAGAGTGAAAATACAATCTTTCTTTATCATAAATAATTTATTAATATCACTAAATTAACTACAAAACAAGAGAAATGTCTATTTTAGAATAGATCAAATAAGGATTCATATAAGTTTGATGTTAAACTTAATTATCTACTCAGTTTTCATTTTATTTAATTAATGGTTATTTTCTGGTGTAATTTTTTCATCCTTTTGGTTATATGCTAGGCGCTGTTAATATATTTATAGTTAATTGATTATTATGAATCAATAGAAATTTAATGTAATCTAAAGTTATCAAAAATTATCTTCTCTTTGGATTACCATTTTTTTATTCAATCACATTCTTTCTATGTGATTGATATCTTTCTTTAATAAGCATCTTTGTTAATATATATATATTTATTATATCTTTTCGATTTAGTATTGTAAACCTTTAATTCTATATAAAATGCCACTTAAATTTCTATAATTAAAATAAATTCTTTTCTTAGTTTTACTTTTTTTCCTCTTCTTCCATCAATCATATTTTCTAATTAATTTATACCTATTTTTAAGTATAAAATTTAAGAATTATTTAATATTAAAATCTTGCTGAAACATGGGCTCTTTTTCTTAAATTTTTATGAATTCTGTTTAAGTTAACATATTTAAAGATAAAATGCTTAGAGTTGGGATACGGAACTTAAACCCTTCATATTTAAATTAAAATAAAAAATAAAAAATAAAAATTGCCTGCTGTCGGATTCGAACCGACGCGGAGTAGGCTCCAGCAGATCTTAAGTCTGCCCCCTTAACCAGCTCGGGCAAACAGGCTGTGATGCAATTTTGAATGTGTTTTAGCTGATATAGACAGTTACTTATAGTTAAAATAGTCTTTAAGCTTATGATAAATAAGGATTACTGTTGGTAAAGCACATAATGATCATCTTACATAAGTAGGTCATAAGGGATGGAGTGGCTTACAAAAAAAAGAGAATCTTTGATTAAAGCTGGAAAATAACATCTCATATTAGACTTTATATCACCATCTTTCTTATTTCTATTGGCAATATTGTAGCAATTAATCCATGTTTTTAAATTTTAGTTAATTAGTTGTAGTTCCGATTAATGGATATTAAGGATTTCGTAAAATTAGGAAGAAGGATACATGAATAATTTATATCTAACCTAAATAGTGAAGTTTCACAAAATATCACTAAGGATTACATAGGATAATTAATAATGAAGTCCAGAATATATTGGAAGGTTTTTGACATAATTGTGGCGAAAATGAGAAATGCCCATATATTTGTTTTGTACTTATGTTCTGACTCTTATAATATTGAAGAAATATCTAATCATCTGATGATAGCTTATTACAATTTAAAATTAGTTGCAATATCCATCAAAAGCACCTACCTAAATCGAAATGTCTTTTCATATAGACCAACCAAAAACTAAGGAGATGAAATCTAACGAGATTAAATAATTTTAGTCTCCTCTCAAAAACAAAATACAGTATAAATACTTTTCAATTCTCTTTAGGAATTATAACTCATGTCCCATTTAGGGCTATTTTATCTTTTTCATAATAAAAGATTTCCTAGCTAATTGATCCATTTATGTTTGCTTTCTGTAAAATTTTATCCTCAATTATTTCCTTATTTTCTGAATAGATAAATATATATTTTAGAATCATAGAAGATATCAAATCTAATTTCAACAAATTTTATTTATTACTCATATATTAAAGTCTAAGGGTAGCGAGGCTGGTAATCTTGCTGCCAAGACTTCACTTCCTCCCTCTGTTATTAAAATACTCTGCTCAAGTTATGGTTGGCAGTAACCTAATTATTTATTAAAATAAATACAGCCGTCCAATTATCGAAAGTCCAAAGAATTACCTTAATTGATTATAGGTTCTATAGTAAATGTATGTCCATGTTTCATACATCCAGGGGCCTTGTTCTTCTCATAATGTATTATATCTAGTTTATTAAATTTCATTTACGTTGGAGCACAATGAAAAAGTTAGCCAACTCCATAACTAAAATTTTTACGATTTATAGACTATCCATTTTCAGTGATGTATTTTTCAATAATATTACCAATATCTCTATTTATAGTACCTGGTTTGCAAATTTGTATTGCTTTCTGCAAACAAGTGTATGCTATTTCAACAAGAAACTTTGATGATTCACTGACTTCACCAAAGTGATGGATATCATTATCGATAATTTATTTATCAACTATTTTGTTAATTTCATCTTTTGTTACCCAGGTTTGACAGCTGCATGATTAGCATCTAATGCACCTCTTACTTAACGAAACATTTGAAAATACAATATACCTTATTGTTCTATTCATATTGTTCTACATATTTTTATTATAAGTTTTATGGATTGACTCATAGAGTTTAAAGTATTCATAATCAGAAAAATAAGCTGGAGTTAAGGCAATATTTATGCAATTTAGACATTAAAAAGTTGAAGATTTATTAGTATATTGTTATTTTTTATTTATTTCTTTTTTGTAAATCAGATGTTCATTATGAAATAATATGGAGATTACCTTATAATTAATTTTTTAAAAATATATGTCCCTATTGCAGAATCCATTAATAAATTTAATTCGGATGTCTTTAATCTTAAAGAGGGCAAAAATTTAACTGTATTTATATCCTTTAACATTGAGACTCTCATCTCAAAGAACCTTACACAATGCCTCCTAAGATTATCACTCTTCCAACATGGAAAAAATTCATCTTCGATTTTATCTTTTAGCAAGAAAGGAAAGGAAGTTTGAAGATGATAGTTTCCAGAGTAGAAATTTTTTTACTTACAGTATATACCATATTCCAAAGGAAAGTATAGATCAGCTTCTGTCTGTTGCTGGTTTCTTTCTATAAAATTGTTACCTCCAGAAAGGAAATATCATTTATGATTCATCTGAGATATATTAATGGTATTCATGCAGTATATCATAAGCAACTCCATAATGTGAGGGAATGTGTCATGCTTCTGCTACAAGAAACAGACCAATTAAATTTAATGTTGATACATTGGGATATTACATATTATGCAATCAAAAATAGAGTGCTAATTCTCTATTTGTAATGTATATAGGTAATCGCTTTTTCAATGTTCAGATAAATCATTCAACAATATTATGCTGAATATAGAGGTTTTTATGAGCATTGGGAATGGGCTACATTATAGGAACAACTGATTTTTTGATTTGGAATTTCAACAATTGAAATGTGCAATACACATAAAATGTTTTAATTTAACTAGAATTTATGCAAATCATAAGAATTCAATTATTTATTTCAAAAATATGAGTTACTCAAATTCCAAGTTATCTTCATATCTAAGATCCCCTTCTACTTTTCCTTCTACTAATTCCTCAAGTTGGAAATCAACTCCTTTAACAGGTAAAAATTTGAATTTGAATTTCAGGTGTATCATTTATGGAGAGAATGCCATATGAAAGATATACAGAGCATGTACCTGAAACAAAAATAGAATATTTGCCAATAGAAAAACGATATAGAGATTATTAAGAAGATAGTAAATATTTTCATGATCGTTACAATTATTTTGTTGCAGTACCAATATTGGAAAGAAAGGAATAAGTTTTTCCTTTTGGATACTATCAAGATGCTTTGAATTATGTTCCTTATCAAAGAATATAGGTATTTTCTAGATTTAATTATTGATTGTAACATGAATATAAATTTTAAGAAAATTATTTTATCAATAAAGTTTATTGGAGTTCAAATGAGAAACAAGTTCTATAATCTACTTAGATAATTGATATAAGAGCAAGTATAAGGATTATCATGCAAGTAATATTGTCCTGATAAAATGAATCGATATATCGATAATCACCTAAGATAAATAAATCTAAATGGAATTCAATAAAATATTTATTTTAAAGAGTTGAGTATGCAATATTTAAGTTTTGATCACAAATATTAAGACTTTAGATCTTCCACATATTTTTTCTTATTTTAAATAATTCTATTTTAAAGTTATTAACTATGATCTTATGGCTCTAAATTTATATGAGTTACAGTTTTTTGTAAAGGATCCTAAATTCTGATTGAACAAGATAACGATAGACCATATTTGGAGGTCATTATTTTTCTTAATCTTAAGTAATAATTGTTTAGAAACGAATTAATGAGATAAGATTAGAATAGTTACAAAAAATTAAGTAATATTTCAAAAGACTGATTTTGTTAAGAACAAAGTGATTTGAATTTAAAAAGGTGAGTAATTATTCATTTTTATTAAATTGTGAATTAATCCATAAGATAAAAAATTTGTTAGGTTAATTAAAAATTAGAAACAGATTTCCTATTTTAGTATGGTATTTGGAATATTGATTTTTTTTGATTATAGGTAACCAAGAAATTCTTTCTGAAATATATATATATATTAGACCAGATCAGAATGTATTCTCAAAAATACCATGAAAGGGAATGATTTAAGAATTAATTGTAGAATTTAGAGGTGGTCTATTATTAGTATTTGATTCATAATAATTTTCTGAATTATAACTGCCAAGATCTTTTATAATCGAAAATTTCTAGCTAAAGGACACAAATAAAAACAAAATTGCTAAGAGTACTATTTCAAAACAATTTAATTTTAGAAGCTCATTTGATAATTTAATTCAAAAAGCATTTCAAACTATAATTTAATCTATAGATTTCTTTTGAAAAGAAGAACATATTGAAATTGCAACTAAAATAGAAAATATAAATCTTCAACAATTTATGTGAATAAAACTATAAAAATTAATTAATGATTTATAATGATTATTAAATTTATGTAAAAAAATGGTTTCGGAGGGGATCGAACCCTCGACCGTCAGCTTATTAGACTGACGCTCTAACCAACTGAGCTACGAAACCTGTATTGATGGAAATATTTCTAATTTTCATAAATACATCTAGGGATATATAGTAAAATAAAAAACTATGAGAGATATAAATACAGAAAGCTAAAGGTTTCTATCAGATTCTAATAATAGTAAGCATATTTGGGGAAGATTTATTACAAAGTTGGTTAAATCTTTATAATTATCAAAAAAAAAATTTATTTCTTTATTTTACATCAACAAAATTGGTATTGTTTCGAGTATTTTTGTTTATACACATCAATAATTAATAATAGTTTAGATACTAGAAATAAATATTATTTTTATATTTCATTTTTTAATCAAAAATACTAATTTAAATTGTCTTACAAATTTTTCATAATCAAATGAAAAGATTAGTTAATAGAAAAAAGGACTGAAGTTTAAATCAGTCTATATTCTTATTCAAAATGACTTTGATTATCTTTATTTATTTGTTTTTAATTTTGTTTATTCTTTTTACATTTATTTAACAATATTAAATCAGCTTCTAAACTTAATAATTTTTTGATTATAACTTATCCTAGATTCAAATCCCATTAGGTAACCGATCCATTAACTAAAAAGAACTGATTCATTAATTGGCTCAGACATTGAGAAGGATTCCAAATAGAAAATACAAAGAGAACAAAAAAAAACTAAAATCAAGATCATTTGTTATTAGGTTAGCAGTAAGTAATATAAAATAGTAGATAATAAAAATTAGAAATTCCCTATTCATACACTTATAATTGTAATTTAAGGTGAATAAAAAGCATTAATAATGAGTTAATTTTTGTTAAGGGGTGAAAAAGTGAATTTAGTTAACTTTAGCTATAGCTTTTAATCAAAATAATCCTGAATATTTTGAAAAACAAATATTGAATATAAATAATGGATTTTCTATGTTAGAAAAATGCATAGGATAGAAAAATATTAAATTTATTCATCATTCAAGCATATGCCTTTTTTCTGAAATATATACCTGTAATTTTTAAGCTGATGAAATAATTATAGAGTTGGAATATTTTTTTTCATAGTTAACCTATAAAATCTTATAAATCCTGACAAGATGATGATCATTATTTAAAAATTAAGGAAATAAAATATTGAATTCTGATCTCTTTTATCCTCATAACAAGAAATTATAAGAGGAAAGAACCTCAACAAGAATGCTGATATGTGGAGCCTCATAATTTTAGCCAAGGAGCCATATTTTAATGAAACTCTATATTAAGATATAAGATTAGATGAAATTAAATAAATGATATAGTATGGTAACAATAATTTTCTTTATTATGTTCCTGAGAAGGTATAAGAAATTATTAAATAATTCTTGCTAATTCTAAAATGGGATTAAATTGGAAAATAAGCTATCAATCACTAATGATTAAATAATACATAAGATAGTTAAGTACAATATGTAAATTTCTAACATTTTCAATCATGATTTAATAAATTAATTCATTGTATAGGCCAAACAGCCTATTAATCCTTTCATATAATTCAAATCTAACATTTCATTTGCCCCATGGGCATTTGAATCAGGTCCAAGCACTCCTAAAACAAGGAATTCAGCCTAAGGAGATCTTTAGTTTAATTAATTTAAAAATGGAATAGAAGCCCCTTCATGAAAAACTCTAGATTCATTGCCATTAAAAAAGAGTTTAGAGGCTGTATTTAGGATATCTTTTAATTTAGGACTAAAAGACTTAAGATTTAGTCCTGACCCTGCAGCAATGATGTTGGCTGTTACGTTGGCATTAAATGGGGGATCTTTTTCAAGCAATTACTTCACAAAATTGGCAGCCTCTTTGGCACATTTATTTGGTGGTAACCTTATAGACAATCTTATTATAAGCTCTGGAATTATTTAATCAATCATTTTTCTAGTTGAAGGGAATCCATCCTACCCTATATAAGAAACAGCTGGTTTCCAATTTCGATTAATATATTATTTTACTCTGCAGGATTCCATTTTATCGCATTATCTAGAAAACTCAATTTGCACTAAATCAGCAGATTATAAACATTCTTCATAACGATCAGCTGGAATGATCGTTTACAGAGATTTATGAACTTAACCAGTAACTGGATCTTCCAATCTATTTAATAGTACTCTTATAATGTTCAAAGCTTATGGAACATTTCCACCATCATCAGTATTAATAGGACTTTCTAATACTTTCACACATAAGTCAATTTTCATTGAACCTCTAAGTGAACTCGTCAACCATAACCTCTCATAATCTCCACTCCCAGAATCTAATGCTACCATTATATCAACCCTTTTTAATTCTAATAAATCAAAATATTGCATTAGAAAATTGCTTCCACTTTCCTCTTCTCCTTCAAACAGCATTTCAATGGTTGGATGTTCAAGCCCTTGGGATAACAAAGTTTACAAAGCAGCAATAGCTGCGTATGGGGCATAACCATCGTCTGCAACTCCCCTTCCAAACATTCTATGCCCTTCTATTACAGGTATGGTAGGGCCAAATCCATCCCTCCATCCAGGGAAGTGAGGTTACTTGTCATAATGACCATAATAAAACACAGTTATTGGATTTTAAGCCTTAATACTAACATGAATCGCTTTAGGGGCTCCTTATATTGACAACATTTCTACTTTACAATTCGGGATTTTTTATTACTAGATAACTTAATTATATTACTTCAATCCAAGACACTATGTGATTACTAGCTTTATCAAGAAGACCGTTATCCTACCATTAAGGATCGAATTAAGGACTTAAGTTTGGAATGCGAACAAAATCAGCCAATGATGGCAATATTTAATCTCTTGTAAAATATTCGATAAATTACTACATTTAATAATTGATTTTACAATAGTAAAAAAATGAATTTAATTCATGAAAAGAACTTGGAACTCACGTTTCTGCTAATTCACTTTGTGGAAGAAAGTCTAATAAAGATGTTATTGATAAATTAGAATTGAAAATTATATTATTTTTTTGGATCAATAAAATAGATAATACTATAGGATTCCTCTTTGAATCGAAATGATTTTATATGTTGTCATACTTGATCATTATAATTTTGAATTGTTATTTATTCAAAAGCTAGTATTCTCATATTAATATTTGAGAGATCAATTCCTGATGTGAGCTACTCGAAAAATTTAGCCTGTCTCAAATATCTGGTTTTTTGTACAAAATTATGACAATAAAATTGGTCCAGAAGAAAAATGATGATAAATAAGAACTCTCCTACTAAAACATCACTTACCAATTTTATCACAATTCCTAGATCTTCCACATGAACAAGCTCAATATTTAATTGTGAGAGTATCATCAAAGTTTTTCTACATCTATCAGAAAAGTTCTAGAATTATATTGTCTTAAATAAGATAATATTAATCTCACTTCATATATTTCTTTGTAATCTATGATAAAATAAATCATTTTCATGATTTAACAAAGTAAAATAGTTTTTTGAACCAGATGATAATTTTGTATATTATTCAGAATTTTATTTATTATTAAAAAGAATTGATTCTTTCAATTCAAAAAATGAATGAGGGGCAATTTTTAATTTAGATTTCAATAGCTTGTGGAATAATCAAAAGAATATAATTTAAAGTATTTATAAAGAGTGAAAATATTTTCAAAAACAAAACCTTTACCAATTTCTAATAAAATTAAAATTTTTTTTATTGTATTATGAATTTGTAATCATCTTGAATGCAATTTCTAAATGATAAATTTATTTGTTCCTCTCCAATTTATTATCTCTTAAATTTTAGATTTGAACTTTCTAATTAATTTCCATAAATTTTTTTTTTTTTTTTCAATTTTTGGGATTAGTACATAAAGGAAGAAATCCAAAAGTTTTGATTGGAGCCGATTCTTCTTTCTTAATTGTTTTCAAAAATAACTTCAAATGAAATCAATATTAATCGAAAAAAGTACAACAAATTTGAAAGCCAAGAGAGATTCTGTTCAAATAAATCAAGCTATCTGCTTTTGCAATTGAGAAGAGAATTCACCATTATAAATGGATAGAAAAGATTATTTCAAAATTTTTTATATGTGTATAGTAGGACAAATAATATGATTTATTTTTTTATGAAGGACTTTTCCTTGAATTCAGAAATGAGCTATAAATTAAAAATTTTCAGGGCAATGCTGTGACCTTGGTAATACAGTATAAAATCTTTTTATAGGGAAGATGATTAGATCAATGGTTAGATTAAGTTCATGCAATAGATGAATTGGTTAACTATAATATAGATTCTTTTAAATAAAAAATGAATAAAGAATTAGAAGATAATTAAATGAATGAATAAGTGCCAAAATTTACACATTCCTTGAGCTGAGTAAACAAAATATAAAAGAGAAATTAATTTATTGTTGGTGAAATAAATAACAATGTTGTAATTTAATTAAAAAATTAAATTTAGAGAGTTTGAATTAATTTATGAGGTTGAAATTATTTATGTGAATGTAATCAGAAAAGATGGGCTTCAAATAAAAATAATGATTGTATATTTGTGGTTTGAACATTTCATTTGAAGAGATTGTTTTTGAAAAGAAGGGAGATGAACAATTATGGAATTTGGACAAAGATTTTAGGGAAGTGCAAAATCATTTCAAAAATGACATTTTTTAAAATTCCATAAAAAAGAAAACAAAAATGAAGTAATTCTAAATTTCAAAATACAGAGACTTAATTCAAAATTAGGATAGAATTTGATATCTAATTGCTCAAGGATGTAAGTGGTAGAACCAAAAGGAATGAGGATCTGTCTACCCACCTTTAACTCATAATATATATAAGCTTCTTAGCTAAGGAGAGTTTAGACGTAAATTTGGAATGGATGAAAATAACATGGCGAAGGAATTAAATTATCTATTAAGAAAAAAGATAGATAGTAAGAATAATAAGTTTTTGCTATTGCCTCACTTTAAATACAAAGGTGTTTAATTAGATTTCTATGATCTTCGGATCTAAATCTTAAAAAACAATTGAATATTTGTTGACCATTAAATTAATACAACCAATTAAAAATATATTTCGGATTAGATCTAAAAGATACTTTTAAATCCTAAAATAAAACCTACATAAAATAATTCTTCAGGAGGGAGGAAGAATTGTCTATATCAAAAAATGATTTCTTCCTCTCTAAACCAAAGGGGATAATAGTTGGCCATAAATATTCTTTGAAAGATACGTTGTTAAAAATACCCATATTTGAGTTGCTAAAACTTACATTAGGTGTTAGTCTTTATACTCCAAAATACTGGATATCTAGGTCAAGAGAGAAACTAGCCAACATTCGAAAATTCTGAATTCAAAAAAACAATTACAGGTGCTTTCTTTATAGAGATAGCTACAAAAGAGTAGATAGAGATTTAGGTTCACCATCATTTCTTTCCAGACATAGCACCAGAAATTTTTGGACCAAACATTCTTAGAGTGTTTGGATTTTTCAAAAAGCAATTTAAAATATAATAAAGCTATGGATGATTTAATGCAGTAATGATTTATTACTTTTAAGTAAAATTATTAACTTTATAATATTTTATGGAGAATATTTAAAAAATTAATAGGTACATTAAGAATAAGAAGAATAATAATTTTTATGAGGAGAATCCTATGAATTGGCTTGAAGGGAGACAGGTACCTGAGGCCATTAAAAGAATTAAATTACGGTAAGCCAATCCAAAGAAGCTGAAGCACCTAAACACCTTGTTTGGAGAAAAAGAACCGAAGACAACTTGCCAAGAGGTAAGATTAAGGTAAGTAAGTGGATAAATCAATAAAGATAGTATAGAAGTAGAACCCTTAAGAGGAGGAAATATAGAAGTATTCTTAAGGGAGCTTTTGTCATCTTAATCCATGATAATAACTTTAGATGAGAGGAATTCATGACTGAATCATTTGGATTTTTCTGCAAAGCCTATACAAGTTAAATCTGTTCAAACTAAAATGTTGTTGCACAGATAAAAAGATTATCAATAATAAAAAATAAAATAGTATATGATGATGAGATCATTTATATTGTAATGTGAAAAGGTCGGAGTTGGATAATTTTTTGTTCTAGTTGAAATTGGAAATGTCAATGCTTAAGTTTCAAACGAAGTAAATAAAAGGACCAAAAATTTCTCTGATTTTTTGGGTCAAAATGGCAAATCTAAGCTTTTGAAAAATCCCACTGTTGGAAAAAAATTTAGAAAATATAAAAATATATATTATAAAAAAAAAATTGTTAAATTGGCTGATTGTGTTTAGTAAAAAATTAATTAACTGAAGACATGTAATTTTGAATCACTCAATACTAATACTTAGTATATGGATAAAAGGAAGATTAGCAAAAGATTTTAGCTTTCTCAAACTTAAGATTGTATATATATTATTCGATCTAAGATAAAAGAAAGTCTCTGATGTAGTAAGAAGGATGATATATCTAAAAATAATAAATCCTTATCTCTATAAGATATAGATTGGAAATAATAAAACAATGTTATTAAAAATAAATATATATAGAGAAAAATAACATGCAACAGACATATAATTAGAAACTATACAATAATAAATAGAGAAAAACATCAAAAAAAAGAATATAAGATAATTAAGAAAAATTGAGTTTTCTTATGATAACCAAGAAATCTAATGTTTATGAAAATCAAATTATGAAAAATGCGGAAAAGAGATTGATGTTATAAAACAATCTTTTAATAATAAGCTCAAAAATACCTTTAAATTTTAGTTAATTTAAAAAGTAGATATTAGAGGGATCATTTTAAAAGAAGCTTAAATAGAAGTTTTCCTCATATTTGCATTAGCTTCTGGTAGTTATGATTAGTCTATCCGTCTATGGGATGTCAAAACAGGATAATAAAAAGCCAAATTAGATGGTCATACTAGTTATGTCTACTCAGTCTGTTTCTCTCCTGATGGAAATAAATTAGCTTCTGGTAGTAGTGATAACTCTATCCGTCTATGGGATGTCAAAACAGGATAATAAAAAGCCAAATTAGATGGTCATA